TCAAGAAGTATCCTTACAATCTTCTCGTTGCCTTTACAAGTCGCCCACTCCAAAGCAGTCTCTTCCTTCCCCCGACTATTAACATCCGCTCCCGCTTCAAGAAGCATGCGTACGATCTTCTCTTTGTTGTTGGATACCGCCCATTCCAAAGCGGTCTTATTATCCTCTCGGCTGCTGCCTGCCACGCGGCTGTTGACGTCGACTCTCATATCGAGAATCATCAGCACAAGGCCCTCCCTGCCATGCTTGACTGCGTTCAGTAGTCCTTTTGTATGGCGATTAACACGTCGTCTGCTGCTCCCAGCAGCAGCATTTCCGTTGCCAACTCCACCCAATGCCACATGCTGCTGTGATGCGTCGTCATCGGAAATTTTCTGGACATCAGCTTTTGCTGTCTGTTCTCGTGGGGTTGGAAGTACAGGCTTCTTGCCCGCTTGAGAGGCATTCTCGCCCTCGTCTGTGCCTGAAATCTTGTGGCCATACCTCCTAGCTTCCATCTCGCGATGCTCAGCCACAGTAGGCAATCTGACAGTAGTCTCCGGCTCCTTATCATCATCACCATCAAAGCAGCTCCGTGCAATACTCGTGAATATATCCTCAGTCTTGATGACGAAAGCCGTATACTCGCCATTCTCACCCTCGCTTCCTGCGATGACCACTCCGAAGAATTGTCCTTGATTAATAACCCAAGTGCCAGAGTCTCCGGGCCCTGAGCTTTTTGTTAGCATCAGATAAAGTTGGCTGGTTTAGATGGTGAGCGACAWACGCAGAGGGGAATGTAAGAAGATCTTGGTGGTACAGAATCCAGCGGGTCCGATCATGAGGTACGTTTCATCGTCGGAAGCTACACCTTCAATAACACCGTGAGAGGTATACAGGGTGCACGTATTCTCGGACATGGGCTCCGACTGTTCTTGGATATCCTCGTCATTGTCCGTCAAAGCCAAGATCTGGCGATCTTTCAGGATTATTGTATTGGGCAACAGGAATTCCTTGTTGACGTCAATCAACATCCAGTCGCTGTCTTCCTCTGCTGTCGTGGAACCAGATAGGGCCGACTTTGCCACATGACCCATGAGCTTCCAATTGCGGGAAATAGGCTCCTTTGACACCCGTTGGGAGAGATAGCCAACATCCGACTCGTCACCTCCGCTCTCAATCACTTTGGTCAATGGGTGTGCGACGGAGAGTGCATATAGATGACCAGAGACCGAGATCATGCCACCGCAAGTCCACGTCTGAGGTGCCACTCTTCCTTCAGGCACTCGCGGTCCAACACAAATCACGGCTCCGCAGAGAGATTTTGCAGTTTCTTCCAGAGAAATGTAGACATTGACGRTGGAGGCCGAGGTCATGGTGTTTGGATCTTGCAGCATAGCCAAGAATCTCACCACTTGAGGATCTTTGCGCACTTCGACTTGAAAACCTCTGAGCCTCTTTCGATATTGAGGCTCCAGTATGTTATCCTTCACCGCTTGGAAATGCTTGGCTTCAAGATGTTTGGCAGACGCTCCCCCTATGAGGACCAGAAGCTCGTTTGGTGGCACAAAAGTGATGTCACAAACAACTTCTCCCTTTTTGAACGTCTTGACTTTGTCTCTGACCAATTCGCCAACGAAACGCTTGGCTTTCCTGAGCTCTTCCTTGGGAGGCCGAGGTGTCTTGTCCTATATGGTTCCCGCGCTTGTAGGAATAAATGTCGCTGAGATAAGAGCAGGAGTCTCATCAATGGATCCGTCACCAGCCGCTGGAAGAATGGTTTCTACTCTCAAGCGGCAGACGACTGCCTGCTCTTGATGAGTGGCGGGAATGTCCTCGGAAGACGTACGTGTCTGACTTTGCACAGCCCTGGCGGCTGAAGGATCAGGTGTTGCTGGAGGATTGACAGAAGGCCTGTGAGCTAGAAGATTCTTTGTTGCCCCGGAAAAGGCTGCTGATGATGAAGAGGCTGCTGGCTGATTCGGAGGAGGGTACGGGATGTTCCTCGAGTGGAAGAAAGGTTGGAATTTCTGAGGACCAATTCTGTGCTGGGTCTCGGGCTCATTAGGGGGGGTAGGAATTGATGCTATGAGGTGTCCGCTGTGCTGCTGRACGATTCTGTGCTGAATGGGCGTAGGCTCCTGCTGCTGTCTTTCAGTCATGATGTTCCGGTCGAAATGTCAGAACGAAAGACGCACCAAGGCACAATCATAGCTATGTAGGCAGATCGAGTGAACTTCGGGGCGTCGTTACAGACCAGTTTCTACACCATTACACGCGCGGGGCCGTGCATATGGCTGGCTGCAAGAAACATTCACGAATCAACACTGGTCCCAGCGCTAGTCTAGCGTTATGGCTGATTGCTTTGTCTCAGCTCTGCGCCCTACCACTCAATAGGCTCCCTTTCTTCTTTCATTAGATTCGATCTTGTTTAACCTGTGAGCGTAAAATGCCGGCCACACGCTCAAAAGAAGAAGCCAGACGCAATCACCAAATCCTGGAGGTGCTTAGAATCGCAAGTACTGCTGATGGGCATCAACATGATCTCGACGGGTTCGAGCCGTACCTCGAGGTATATAACCTTGGGATAGATAAATTCCTCAAGAATCACTCTCTGGAAGATCCCGATGATTATGAAATAGTAATCAAAGCAATCTCTACCATCGTAGGCCGGTGGCCAGGGGTAGAAAAAGCCGGTGTTCGTGACGTTCTGGCCAAACAATATCGCCAGCAATTATCCAGCATGCCTGACCCGGGAGAGATATACGATGATGCCATGGATCTTGGTCTACGCCTGTGGCTGATGGTAGACTGCAGTTGGATCCAGACAACCGGAACGCCGTGGATCTGGCCAGAAGGCATGACAATTCAAACCTATGTCGCTGCATGGTTTGATCCTCCGCCAGCAGATCCGCAAGACGACAAGAAGCGGTTCCCTCGCAAATTCACTGCCGACAACTTGGAAAGGATCGCAGGCATTCGAGTGACATGGACGGACTTCCTGTCCGAGCATCTTGCCCTTAACGGGAACAACGAAGAAATCAGCATTTTCAAGCATAGGGAATGGTTACAAACACTGAGTGATTCGCGAACGAGCGACAGTGTGTCCGCCCAGACTGTGAAGATGAACGGTCCCGCGACGTCGTAAGTGGATGGATGCGAGTAGCCAAATGCCTGATCATGCCGTGACTGACGAGATKCAGTGATTCCTGTGGCCTACCAACGGAACTGCTCGACGAGACTCTCCGCAGCATCGAGCTCTTGTTCCCACTGACAGATGAAGCGACAAACGAGTTCCTGAAGCGGCAAGGTATGGACATATCGGCCTTTCAGGTGGAGCCCAATAGCGGTGGAGCCCCTCGACGAGCACCCAGATTGCGGGAATTCCGCTATTGGAGAGAGCAGCTCCTGGACCTGATAGAAGAGTACGAGTCTCCACCGCGGCATTCGAGGAAAATCTGGAGGGATAGAAGGAATCCCATGGCCTTCTGGACCTTCTGGATCGGTATCGTCATCTTCTTCTCCACCTTGGCATTTGGCCTGATCGCTGCTGTGCTTGCTGGAGTCACCATTGGCGATGAGAGGAATGGAAGACTGAGCGATGCGAGAGTCAACTCTTCGACGATTGTTTAGTTGACCAACAGATGAAAATAGAATGTTGTGGATGGCGGGTTACGCGTGTTGTTAATGTAATGTACAGAGTTCTTAATGAAGTAAGATCCACTGTAACACACCGGCTTTAGTCCACCACTCCTTCCTCTCCAATGGATCGCGATGATCCGAAAGCACAACCCCCAAAGTCCTCGCTCAGCACGGAGGACGGGACCCTCGGATATTCACTAAGGAAGAGTGCACACATATCCGCTCTCAATCATCAAATCATACAAGATACTGTCATAATCTCTCCCAGTCACTAATAGAGTCAAAGACGGTGCCCAAAGTTGTACGCCGCAAAAGCACTCACCTCCCTCTCCCACTCTCAAGTTCCATACTTCATCCCATCATAATCCAAATTGAATAGGATACACTCCCAAAAGCAATARACCCCTAAACGCCACGCTCGAAGGATATAAATATCTTAAACACACCACAAACCCCCTGCCCTCACTAGGTAACAATGAAAAGAAAGGCACCCTTCCACCTTCCACACCACCGATCAACGCATCTCCGTAGCTCCCCAACTCATCCTCCCCCTCAATCTCACTCTAACCTCAAAGATGCCCCTCTCACAAGCACACCAAACCCGTCCTCCATCCTCACTAATCGCCAGCCCGGCCGTTCGAACTCCTCCATCCCTTCCCATACCCCCACCAAATCCAAATCCTCCCGTCCTCAGACTCGCTCTGAACAGAGCATCATACCTCTCACCAATAACATCCAACGGCTCCCTTCCTCCCGTCGCTACAGGAGGATTTCTCGCGATCAGAGACTCGGCGCGCTGAAGGCGGTTTTCTCTCGCTTCGGCGAGACTGGCCGCCAGGAGGATCGCTTCCCTCGCTTGTCGTTGGGAAGTCTCTGTTTCTGATGATGACGCGGCTGCTGCGGTGGGTCTCCTCGTGGAAGTTGCCATGGATGTCGCTCCATTGACACCACCACGACTAGGCATGGTCCTCCACCTTTCTCGAATTCGCAATTCCCTCGAACTGGCTCTCTGGCTAGCCTCCTCATCCGCGGTAGTGGCAGGGATGGCAGGCGCTCTCGCTGCTCCTTCAAACAAAGGACCCCGACCTGCTGGAGCTGCCGAGTCCATCATGTGTTCTTCAATCGTCCTCCAAGGGTTCTCATCGTCGTCATCCGCAGCGGCGGGTGTCGTGGCTTGCTGTATCCGCGGTAATCGACTCCTCGCAGTGGAGGAAGAACCTTCTGTAGCACGAGGAAGATTGGACGCAGCTCTCACTACGGAGAACTGGATCGGTGGGAGGGTGTCGACTTCTGCTTCCGCGGTTGTGGTGGTAGCAACCGGTCGCAGGGAGCTTGCGCGGGCGAGTGTAGGGAGTGCTTCTTGAAGAAGCTCATTCACTGGACGAGGATTCGATGATGTTGCCGTGGAAGACGGAGGCGCCTGTCGATTTGGTCTGGGAGCCGAGCCAAATAGTTCTGCCGTAGGATAATTGATGGAAGATGGTCCTCCGCTCGCTCTCGCTTCTTCCCTTTGTCTCGAAGTCCGTAGCGTCTCCAATATTTGATGCTCCCTGGTGGTCAAGCCTTGTGAATCTGTGTCCAGTAGTCCTCTGAGTTCATTGCGCTGGTCCTGCCTCAAAGCCAGTTCCTGTCTGGCTGCTCTCTGTCTTCTCCTCGTCTCAATGTACTCGGTGGCAAAGTTGACCGAGGATGTTGGGGCGTGCTCTCCCGTGGTGGTGTTTCCCTGTTCATATCTCCGCAAGAGCTCCTCCTCCAAATCATCCAACCTTGCCACAACCACCTCATTCTCCCTTCCTTCTGATGTAACATCCTCCACGACCAGCCTCTCCAGCGCTTCATCCTCGGGTTCCAGTTGGATGACCTGCCTCTCCTTCAATCCTGTCCTCAAATCTCCAATGCACACCCTGCCCTGGTCCTCCGCCCAGACCAACAAATCCCAGGGTTCCGGCGAAAAGACCATACTTCTGATGGCACCTGGATATGGTGATGGAACATCCGCCCGACTTCCCGCGACGACAGCCACAACGGCGTCATCGTCTTCAACATCCCTCCGCTCTAGCAGGTCCCGATCCAGGACTGTGATGTATCCTCCCTCACTCCCCACAGCCACCAATCTCCCATTTGGACTCCACGCCGTGGTGAAGTAGCCCATTGTGCTCTCCGAGACATGTAATGACACGACATTTGTCAACACCCAATCCACGTCTTTGGCTCCCAATCGATTGTGCGGTTTGGGTATTTGTGGCGTCTTTTCCAGAATCTCCCTGGTGAAGAAATATGCTTGGTTGAAATCCCCCACGGCCACCAACATCTTCCCGTCTGGGGATAGAGTCGCATGATTGATCGCAAATGGGAGATCCTTCACTCTCGTTTCCTGTCCGGCAGGGAGCGAGTAGATTCTCACCGTCTGATCGTTATTCGTCAGGATCGCCACAATGTCATCCAGATGCGCCTCTTCATCTTGTAATCTGTGGATGGAGATTGAGTTGACGATTTCCTCGCCAATCCGTTCAATCTTCACCGTTGGTGCTCGTGCTGGATTTGAGTGGAGTTGGATCGTGGCGAAATGACCCTCTTCCTCCCCACCGACACAGACCCAGCCATGTGCGGAAGCTGTGCAGCGAGCGTCAAAGGGGAGTGTGGCGAGGTGGGTTCGACGGTGGGTTTCGGTATTGAGGTGGTAGACTTGCTTGCCGGAAGCGTAGTAAAGGGATTTCTGGGTTGTTGAGATGTAATGGCGGAGCTGCCAGTGCGAAACGGGAATCTTGACGCGATAGAAGCGTTTGTTGGCGTGGGCGAGATTGTGCGTTTCGGGGTTGCTATATTTATGAGACGTTGATTAGAATTGGAGAGTGTGTTGAATGGAAAGGTCTTACGGGATGGGGTCGGGGTCGACGGCCATTTCGCGTCGTCGTTGAGGAGGAAGGAAGGATTGCGGATTCGTGGTGATTGTGCAAATCTGATGGAAATCGCCGTAGCGCCGGCCCGTTATTCTTCTTTACAATAGCCCCGATGCCCAGAAGGTGTGAGGTGGTCAGGTGAAGTGTTGGTTCGGCGAGTTCTAGGGATAAGTTAGTGGAATTACAACCATCGTCATCATCATCCTAGGTATCCTTCGTAAACAGAGGATGATGTCCATGTGGGGCAAAACGGAAGATGCGAGCCGAATGCGAGCGGATGCGAGAAAGCGGGCCGATGTACGCGAAGAAGGTAATCTCGGGGCCCCGGTCCATCATCAACAACTCCCTTCTCTCATCACATCAATGCCTCTTCTATACGGCATGATTACCATGCGAGAATGGTCCTGTGACGTCTCTGCTTCTACCAGCCAATTTCATCAAATACTGACTTGAAAAATCTACGCAAGCAACCGTCCATTGTACACCTAGACACATGGAGGAGATTGATCAAGTCTTGGGGGAATCCCTTGCGATATCGACAAGGGGGATGATGAGAGGCTTATTGCCTCGATCAGAAATCGAGGGTTTTTTTATCTTACGGGCAGTCGTGAGAAGGTTGAGATGTAAGCGAATGGGTGGAAGGAAAGAGCAACATGCTGTAGACGAATCGATTAGATCAGGAGCCGCAAAGATGATGAAGGTATCCATACAAATGGATCTCTTGAGTCCTATGTACTCTCCGCACGAACCGAGAAGAGATCGACATCGCTCTCTTGTCCGATGGGAACGGTGGATTACGGCGGCAATTCGTACACCACCATCATGCCCGTATAAGAATAATAACACAGTCGTCACATCACTAACTTTCCTTACCGCATCCTCTAGCCAACAAAGTCTCCTCCAATTCATGATAAAGCAATAGCAGAATCGAAGCCTTCCACAGCTAAATCCCACAGCGCTGACGATGTACAGCCACACATGGAAAGCTATAGACCACCATCAAAACAGGGGGAGTAAGCCAGGCCCATCCTACAGAAACACATGCCTCGGATCTGAAAGCAGTTCTTGGTAAGGGCAAGAGTTGGTAGAGAAGCCGCCACGCCCTGAAGGACAATACTCAGATTCTGTGAGAGCAGAGAAAGAGACCTCAACCAGTTCAGAACCTCGTTCCACATACATCTGCAGGAGAAGCCTAGCTAACGACAAAATCGAGCTCGCCACACCCAGACATCCACATCGACTCCCACCTCTTAACCCATCCTCTCAAACAAAGGCACAGCCATATCCCTCCCGTATTCACAAGAAGAAACGAAGAAAAGAACTATGCCAAGTCGAACCACCAGAGCTCGCGCCCATCGGCCATTTAGCAAGCAAGGCAATCGTAGCAAAAGTAAACACACAAAAATAGGCGCATCCACAAAAGCCGCATACACACAACATACGCCGCCATGCTGTTCATCGTCTCATAACCCTTTCCTCGCAATGCTTTCCCACAGTGTCAGATAAGAAACGCCACCGCCGTGTCGCAGCAACAAGCAAGGAGGGACCATCTTCAAAAGACGGCACCACAAGATCCGCCCCGCTCGCTGTTTCTAGAATTCTATATTTTTCATCAAGTCTGTTCTTTTTTTCGTAGTTCATGTTCCTGTCCATTTGCTGTACCGTTCCCATTGCATTGCAAAAGCAACATGCAATCTGCTTGCGCCATTTCGGATCGTTTGAACGTTTCCACCCTTCTCGTCATCGTGATATAAGAAAAGTGCAATCAGTAACTTTTTGTGCCGCGCGAGAAGAGAACTCTCCTAGACCGGATGGGTCTGGACGCCAACCACGGGACTATCAAAGTGACTGTTGTACGGCTTGAAAAGCAGCTTCATGTCGAGATTGAGATTATCGGCGTCGGTCTCCACACCATACGAGTCGTCGATGTCACCGACGGAGCCGATGTCCTGGCCCTTGCTCTCAGTATCGCCTACCACAACACTCTTGATGCGTTTGAGCAAAGCCATGACACGCTTGAAGCGCGAATCGGGAGTCACGGTCCAGTCGGATGCCTGCTTGGATTGGAAAAAGCTGCGACCAAGATAGAAGAAGTGAACTCCGTCTCTGCTGAAGCCGAAGCGTCGTTGGTGACAGTGCGAGGGAGGATATTGCAATTCCATGTCATGATCCCAACTACGCTTCCACTTTTCGAGAGCTTGACTGAGACGTTGCTTTTCCTGATGAGCAGACGCATTGTACGTGTCACAATTGTATGCATCAGTCGGTGTTCCGCTACCGCTGTGGGATGTGCTGCGTTGCTCGAGCCAGTCGTGTTGGGAGAGAGGCGTCGCAGGAGTGCTACCGTGAAGTCCCAAGTTGAAGTTTTGCATCGATCCGTTGGGATGCACCAAGGCCTTTTGACAGGCAATGATGCGAACAATGACTGCATGGATGAGCAGGAACTTGGAGTACACGTTCGTCGTCCCGGATTGGAATGAAGCGTATTGGTCGAGCAAGGTGCGCATCGCGTCTCGCATGGTGGGCTGCACCATCCGACGAGTTCCAGTCATATTCTTGGCTTGTGCGTGTGGCCCATTGAGGCCAAGAGCGTTTGCGCATTCGTATTGACTGGCGGCGTCCCAAGCGGCGTCATCTGCCGGCAGCATCAAGCGAATCTCTAGTGGTTCAAACTCGGACGAGTTGTTGAAGTACATGACCATGGCAGCATCCGTGGTGAAGAGCTGGTACAAGATCCGGTTGCGCTTTTCCTGCTCCAACCAACCATGCCAATTCCAATCGCGTGCCTGGTATTGGCTTGCATGCGAGCTGCGCAGAGAGTGGAGCATGCTGAAGGCGTAGTGCCCGAGTGGGGCGCTCTGGAGCAAATCCATCGACCGGGCGATGCGAACCAGTGTGGGGAACTCGGCACGGGACGCCTCTCTCTGAACAGGATCTCCATGCCACATGAAGATCGTTTGCAGCATTGAAAGCGCCTGAAGCTCCTCAACCTCGAACGGTTGGCTACCMAAACCCTGAGTCTGTCCGCTGAGAGTGCGATTGTAGACGGTGCTGGTACTTTGAACAGTGGTCTTGACAAACTCCATCATCTGTCTGACCTGCTGGACGGTGAGTTTGGGACTGTACACCGCGCCGATGCAGAGTATTGCAAGAACCAAGTTGTTGTTCGCATCCGTCAGCTTAAAGGTAGGCATATGCAAGATGGGCCAGTGTCCGTGGAAGGAGGTGTAGTGTTCGGCAAAGTGCTTGACATTCTCCACCCTCAGACACAATTGCATCAGATCTGCCGCGGCATTGCCCCTTACGGCGTCAGTCCCGTTTGGGAAACAGTGGACCACCAGATTGTCCACTTTGGCTTGCAACGGGTCGTCCATGCTCCAATTGGGGAAGCCTGGGATGMCGTTCTCGCTCTCCTCGCCTCCAAAGCCGTTGGAGTGCGAGTAGAGACTACCTAAAAAAGAGTCGTTGTTGAGGTCGTTGTGAAGGGGAAAGTCTGGTTTCGAATCTGGTTCGGTCTTGATGTGAGTGATTCCTTGCGAGCTCGCGTTCGCAGGCTGGCTGCCGATAAAGCCATCCTGGCCACCTTGAGTGAACATGCGGGTCCAATCGACGCCGCTACCATCACCATTTGGAGTCTGCTGGTGGTTGTTCGCTTGGCTGTTTTCGAAGCGCGAGCTCTGATGGCCTAAAAAAGACATTTGGCCATTCATCTGTTGTGGGTTCTGGGGGTTGCTGCTGTACATTTGGCCGTTCATCTGCTGGCCATTCATCTGTTGCTGTCCGTTGGTCTGTGGGTTGCTGAAAGGGTAGTTGTGTGACATTTGTGCATTGTTTGCCGTGGCAGCGTTCTGCATGGCATAGGCACTTAGGCCCGGCTGAAAAGGACCCGAAGTGGTCATCTGATGGTCATTGCTCTGCCSGTTGGAGGCTAGGATGCCCAGCCCAGCTATGCTGCTGCGGTGGTTCATGTTGCTGGGCGAGATCAAGCTATTGGCTCGTGATGAGCGCGCTGACATGTCGCCATTGACGTTTGGACTGCTACCCACCACGGTTGGGGTGTAGCTGGGCGCACCAGCGACTTCAGGCATACTTGCAAGGCCAATTGCACCATTCTGCTCGGGCATAGAAAGACGGTTGCCTGGGTTGGTGTTTCGGCGCTGATGAGCCAAGTGGTTGGCACCGGTCGGATTGCCACGGCGTAGCGAACACTTTTGAAAGTGACGCTTGAGAATGTCACTTCTGCTGAAAGTATCTTTGCACAAGTGGCACATGTACGGTCGATCACCAGTGTCTGTAGAGTGTCAAAAAATGTGCGCATGCAAGAAAAGAAGAAATGGCTTACGTCTGAGCAAATGCCTCTTCAGATGCTTGGCATGCAAATAGGTCTTGTTACAATGAGGACACGGAAACTTGCCATCAGCATCCTTTGTAGGAATCATGCTCTTCGCGACCTGGCCGCTGCCTTGCGCAGGCGGATTCGGACGACCTGGAGCGCTAGGCAGGATACCGCGTCTGCCTTGAGATCCCACTACATGTGTTGGTGCCTCCTCATTCTGCATAAAAGATGGTTGCTGGCCCACTTGGCCAAGTTGACCAGCGCTTGCTAGACTGGGTAGGCCGTTGAGACCGTTTCCACCTGGAGGCATCGGACGGATAGTGGGAAGACCGACGGTGGAACTCGTCGACGGCATCGAGGTCGCGGTGGACGAGGGATACATCATCGACTGTGACATGCCATATGGGGTGTTGTATGATGGTGGTAGCATGCCACCGTTGTTTGGGTAGCCGCCGGAGCCATTGGGAGCCATTGAGCCATTGGATGAAGCATGCGGCGAATTGGTCTGCTGCTGGTTGCCAGGGTATGCATGCGACAGTGAGCCGAACTGAGGGAAGCCATTCTGTCCCTGCTGGCCTTGCAGCGGCGGTAGAATCGTGTGCGATGGTGATGCCTGCTGCTGCTGCTGTTGCTGCTGCTGCTGCTGGGACGACTGCTGGCTCTGCGCAGATATATTACCAAAAGATGCCAGACCCGCCGACTGCTGCTGCTGCTGCGACTGTTGCTGATGTTGTTGTTGTTGTTGCTGAGGTGCAGTCGGAGGCTGCTGTTGGCTCTGACTCGAATTCTGCGGGGCAAGGTTTTGGGGCGCACCCTGCGAGTATGGGTTGTAGCCGGGATTGAAGTTATTGCCATCCATGATTGCGGGCGGCGGGTGGAGAGGTGGCGGGGTCGAGGATGCGAATCGGGGTTTGTGCTGTCCCTGGACCCGTGCTCATCGAATAGGCACAGTCTCACTCGACTTTGCGGGCGTGCCGCKCTGTTTGGACGGAAAGGTGCAGGTGCCAATGGAAAGATGGGCTACACGGCAGCACAGTACCATGCAGTGAGGACGTGGCAAATTTCCAAACGAAACGCGAGCAACGACCAGCTCGGCAGCGCACACCTGGGACGGCAGACGCGTTGAGAGGTGGTGTTGACGGGTGGAGTGGAGGGGCGGCTTTGCTTTGCGTGCTAGAACTATGCGTGCGTGGGTGAGAGCTCCGATCAGCGCTTGACCTGCCCGCAAAATTCTGCAGTGGCGTTYGGGTCGGCGTCCGTGGTCCGCGGCGATTGGGAAGGTCGCACGCGTTTGACAAAGCAAGGCGCGCAATAGGGACAACGTCTGGATAGATGAAGCCTACCAAACGATTATCCAAAGGCAAGAATAATGTGGATCACACTGCGGGCGGGTGCCTCTGCGGGAGCGTGCCTGAGTTCCTGTGCTCCAAAAGAAAAAAGGTGGAGTTTCCGTCCGTTGGATGAGATGTGGATCTTCAGCAGCCGGCAAGTCCAGCACAAAAATAATAATAATAATCGTCTTTGGTGTTCGAGTGCCTGAGGGGATCCACTTTCATGTGCCAACACCCAAACCCAATCGTAGAAGACAAATGGACCGCACCTGGTCGGATCTGGTGGTGAGGGAGGGAATGCGCAGCGGTGAAGAAGAGAATGGATGGACGGATGGTGAACAAGGTACCGCGTGTGCTGGGCGGGAACGGGAGGGCGACAATGTTGAGGGAGAGAAGTCTCGGGTAGAGCACACCCAAGCAGAGCAGCGAGGGTGTCCGTGCGGGCAAGCTCTGGTGTGAACGCTACGTCAGTCAGCCCGGACGGGAAACCCTTCACAAGAATTAATTGAATGGATTGATTGATGCACAGCAGGGCTAGCACTCACCTGCACGGGGCTAGGCGAACAAGCGATGCCATTCGCGACTCGAGCGCTGTCCCGTTTGATAAGTTGGCCTTTGCAGCGCGACTCGTCGCCTGCGACTACTGGCCGAGCCACTGCCTCCGCTGTCCAGGCGGCGGCTGCGTCTCGACAAACTATTGGCATGATCGCCCGTGGCGGCGATGCCGCCGTAGCCTGCGTCCAGGGCACGGGCATAGTCGGGTCTGGGCATGTCGATGTCCTGCCGAATACCGAGCCCTCTGCGAAGACAAGAACAAGAGCACATCCTGCTGTGCATCAACATCCACCTCCTGCAAAGGGTGCATGATCATGCACGGTGTGGAGGATTTTCTCCCCATTGCTGGTCTCAGACGGCCCTTTTCCCGCTTCACAGACGGCTTGCTACCACACATTATTATTATTGCGCTTCAACATCTGCCTGCATTGCTTCGGACGTTGCTCTCGAAAATCGGTACAAGATCGGGCAGGCTGCAACACTCCCTTGCTTCTTCATGCTTCCCCAATCCTCTTCCGTCGACTAGCTCGGCGACGTCTCAACCAGCGCATCCTCGGAAGCGAACTTCCTGGTCAAATGCGACATGCGACATTGGCGCCTGCGCTTGCCAGAGTTCTCCCGAGCCCGACAGGAAGGGAGCGCTGACAGTTCTGCCGCAAACTCTGACGTGCAGCACCTCGAGACTGAGGCGAGCCAACGGCAGCACCAAACCAACACAGGGCCGTGCTGGAGACAGAAAGTCTCTTGCAGAAATGTCTCAGATCTGACCGGGCTGATTAGGCTGATTTACCGAACTTCACTGCCGCCGACATCACATCTGTGTTTGTTCCGCAGGAAATGCGCTGCATCACCAATGCACGGTTGGTAGGGCCGCCTGACCGGTATACGTGACAGCTTACGGCCTTTGCAATGCTCACTAAGCCGCAACACGGCCGCGCCAGAGGGTTACATCCTCGCATGACATTTYATTCCCAACATGGCAGCTCCAGACGCCTCGACTGACGCCATCCGGTAACTGCCATTCAGACTACTGTACCTCAGATGTCAAAGCGACTCAAAAGGCGCGCGCGTAGCCACAGCTCATGTAACACCGACAGGGTTCTTAGCTGACCCTGCAAGTGTAGTGCACAAAAGGTGTAAGACCATTGGAAGGAGGCGTCCGCAAGGAGGAAATGCTTATCCATGAATGCGCATTGAGGATGTCAAACTTGAAAATGCCTTGCTTTATGACAGTCGTGCATGCATTGCYAGGATGATTGAGTTGAAAGTCAACCTCTTGCTAGCTCCGAGAAAGGGCCTACATATGCATCGACGATGAGGTCGGATTTACGACTTTTGTCCCCAAGCAGTGCCCTTTTCGATGCTGGGATCTTCCGGGTCCCTCTGACTTCCATGCAACGACACGCTGAGTGACGGCTTCTTCGCGATGGTCTGGAAGACCACACAGTATCGCTCGGTCAGTTTGCCCAGCTTCTCAACCGTCTCATCGGGTACAATTTCTCCATCTTCGAATTTCAAATCAAACGCCAAACGGATGTCCTTGAACCCGACGGGAGCCTCTCTGTCCACGCCCATGGTCCCCTTGAAGTCGAGGTCTCCCTCCGCTTTGACCGTGCCCGACTTGATGGGAATACCCATCGCCGTTGCAACGGCCTTGAGTGTGACACCCGCACATGCCACTAGAGCCTCCAACAGCATGTCTCCACTGCACAATTCGCCCGAGATCTCGAATCCATCCCCACCAGACTTTTGATGCAGACCTGCAATCTTTGCTTCGGCGGCAGCTGCTTGCTTTCCGGTGTCAAGCTTGCAGGTTATGCTGCTGGARTCGAGGGTACCCGAGGCATTGAGCGTAATGATGGCGGCATTTGGGTCGTCCTTGTATTGCTGCTTGAGTGGTGCTTGCTTGGCGCGAAGAGCTTGAGAGGCCATTGTGGGAGAGAGTGCGGTGAGTTGATGTTGGTTCTATTATTCAAGTTCGATGGCTCCCAGACGAGACGATTGACRAAAACACATTCGCTTTTTAAGGAATGGCATTGATGATGGCGTAAGAGCTTGGAAACTGACTCTAGCCATACCCCACCACTACCCCTCCATGATTGTCAGAGGCGTATCCATCGCTCCGAATCGCTCCTGCATATTTCTTCACTCAAGCCGCATTTTACAAGTATTCCTAGTCTTGTCAACTTGAAGAGTGACTTGAAACAGAGAGCTGAAGATGCCGGCGATGGTGGAGCTGAAAGGTGTGGCTGTCATGTTCCAACGCTGAGCAGGCATTCCTAAAATGGAAAGCCGGTGGAATTGTTCCCCTCACTTTTGGCTAAGGTACTGCAGCAACTACGCGGACAACAACCCCTCAAGAGGGACAGTAAGTGCTTTTTGACTTACTCTGCGTTGATTGACGTTCCTCTCTTGACCATTGTATCTATTTTCACATCATCCCATCATGGCAGTGGTTGTCCAGCAAACAGTACCCTTCTCTCCCTCAAATTTGGACCTTGAAAACGCAAGCCGCTGGACAGCACTCTTCCCTCTCATACGTCCATCTGTGAAGGCCATCACTACCGCAAAAGGCCAGAAGATCCTCGTCGACACTGCTCTATATTCCAGCAAATTCGTGCRCGTAGTCGCCTTTGCTAATCCCGGCAGTCTATCCTCAARGATCCTCGATGAGAGGCACATTACAGCCATCGTAACAGAGACCACAGGAGCAGGCATCCTCACAGCTCCAGATCTTCCCCACGCATTACAGAACGCTGGGATAGATGTGAAGCAGGGCGTCGTCGTGGTACGAACAGGTGACAAGAGAGAGATTCACTCCCACAACCCAGATGTGATCGAGGTAATAACCGAGGGCGAGCTAGAGTATGATCATGTACTTTATCTTTTGGGAAGGGCGGAGGATGGGATCAGGATGAACCCTCACAACGTGTCGGAGCTTTTGAAGAACTTTGTGAAGAATGCGAGGACCACTCATTCGAAGTTTTCCACTGAGAAGGCGGATGGAAACCCAGCGGTCTTGCACGCTGAGGGTGTTGTTGGGTACGAGAAGGCCAAATTTTCGGTACAAAGGGATCTGAAGAACTTGCTGAAGAACATCGAGGTTTCCGGCGAGGAAAAGGTGGTGCACTCTGTTCATTTCAGTGATGTCAATGGTCTGAGCAGGCTGGAGAACTATATCATTGCTGGGGAGATTGCTCAGTATCTTGGTGAGTTAAATGTCAGTCAGTCGCTCACCAATCAAGACACTGACATCAGAGCTATAGATGCCGAAAACATCGCTTACGCACTCTCACACTCTACCATTCTCAACCACAACGAAGCAGCCCGAGGCTTTTCCATATCGATATGCCCACTCCCAACGCACTTCCTCTCCGCAGACCCAAAGTCCAAGAAACACACTCCCAGCGCAACAACTACATCTTCAGCAGAGCCAACATCGAACCTTTCCACAACCCAACCCAAAATAACCTTCAACGACTCCCAGATCCGCCAGCGAATAGAAGCGGGCTGCAATGCAGTAATCGCCGCCGAACCTACTATAACAGAATACGACACAATAGTCGGCGACGGCGATTGCGGCTACACCCTCCGCGACGGCGCCAAACAAGTCCTGACGTTCATCTCCAACAAAGACCTCACAAATCTCCCCTCTACCCTCGCAGATCTCGTATCCGAACTCGAAGTTAACATGGGCGGAACATCCGGTGCCCTCTATTGCATCTACCTCACAGCTTTAGCGTCCGCGCTAGCGATGGAGGAATCTGTGCCAAGGGCATTACAAGCTGCGCTGGAGACGCTGTGCAAGTATACGAAAGCTCGAGTGGGAGATCGGACTATGATGGATGCTTTGATTCCGTATATTGAGAGTTTGGCGGGGAGCGGTGGGGATGCGAAAGTTGCGGTTGAGAAGGCTAGAGAAGGGGTTGAAGGGACGAAGAGGATGGAGGCCAAGTTGGGGAGGAGTACGTATTTGGATGAGAGTGCTACGAGGGGAGTTCCGGATCCGGGGGCGTATGGGTTGTTGGTGTTGTTCGAGGGGATGAGTTCTGTGTGAGGGGCTATATACAGAAGCGAGCAGGAGACAAGATAACGAGTATGATGATCTTCCCACCTGCAGCCCACTCTGTTCAAGTCCTGCATACCAGAATGCTCTCTCTGGAACACATCGGCTTTCGGTCCTCGTCTCTCGATCCTTGCGAGTGGTTTCTGTTATCGTTTACATGAATATTTGTCCTTTCGAGGCTGACTTCTTCTTGAATAGCAAAGAACTACAGAATATTCATAGAAACCAAGCATACCAAAGCTCGGAATATGAGGCTGAATATTCAATCTTAGCAATCAGTCATTCGTGCAACATGACGTGCACAATAGCCCGCATACAGATGACAGATCCAAGCATTTGCCATGTCTCTCCTGCAGGCCATCCCYCTCAGACAGCCTCGCCGGATATTACTCATCATACTTCCAATCTTCTTCGCACCATGGCCGGATCTGCAATTTCTCAGACGAAGGCAAAGTCAATAGTGCAGACAATATCCTTCCCAGCGATCCACTGGGTGCAGGATACCGTACATGCTGTCTCGAAAACACCGAGTGTCTTTTCAGTGGCCTTTGCTTCTAGCAGACATCTAAGACAATCGACGCAATCGATACGGTTGTACTGATAGCTCTTGGGAGGATCGATCTTAATTGTGCAGATGCTTGCCTTGATGTCCGATGTATGTACTCTTGGGTCAATCAGAGTAGTATTGTTAAGGGGTAACGAAGTTACCACCTGGGCATATTCCCCATGTCTCTTGAGACAGAAGAGTAGCAACTTTGCTGCGGCATTATGCAAAATAAGATCGCTTGTCTCGATGCTACAAGAGGATTGCCCTACCGAGTGGTCCTGTGCGATTTTTCAACCTCTGGAGATGGGACACCACTAGAAACAACAGTGCCGCAAACCACTATGCCTCCCGGTAACGCAAGTCATGAGAAACATCAGGACGGACTCCATATTATCACACTTGCTGCAGGCATTCCATTAGGCTCTGCCGTACTGGTGCTACCCCTATTGCTAATATGGCAATAGAGAAAAGCAAAGTCCTTGTAGCAGAGATTTTGGAATGTCGAGATTGTGACAGTCTCTCGCTGCGGGCGTAGAAGCAGACGATTCCAGCTCAAGCATGACAAGTTACATGCCGGAACTTGCAGCTGATAAGAGACTGGCGGAGTTGTCAGCCGCAGGTTGATGCTTAAGCGGTCAGTCCATATCGTAGTGATCGATCAGAACCGTGAGTGTAGCGGGTCAGGGGCACTATAGGTATGCGGTGTTCTCCTTCGAAATAAGGGCTCTATAGCTGCGTATAGCTCTATTGTCCACATCCTTGCATCCGTTCTGCTTTGCGGACACTTTGGACACCTCGTCCAGCTGAGTCTATACAAACATAGCAACCGATTATCGTAAATTGCTCCCTGCTTCGCATTGCCTATTGATTTGGCTGCTGTAGGGTTGGGGTTGGGGTAGTGTCAACCTTGGTTAGACGACGTTGTTCCATCCAGGAGGGAGGCAATATGCTCTGTTATATATGGATGWGGCTGTCGTGTTATATGACATGCTCACTAGGTGTTGCATCTAGACGGACGTCCTCCATGCTCAAAATGTACCCCAACTGGACATCATCGCCCGAGCGAGTACTGAGAGGGGATGCACCTGATTTATTCAGATTCATTGTCTCCCTACAAAATCGGTAAACAACCGAGAAGACACAACACTTCATAGCCGTCGACGTGAAATCAGAGGTCTGGCATTCCATCCACCCATCTCACACCGCTTGCCGCCCCTTTTGGCCTCATGAGTTCTCGCCTCAATATTCCCGCATCATGCATCTTTTCATCGAGGAAGATCCGGKCTTTGCACTCCCCGAAACCTACAGTCGGCAACCCACTAAGAGCTAGAAGACTTGCCAAGCCATCCACGATCCATATCGGTTTCCCTACGTTCGGATTCAGGAGTTTCGTCTTGGGTATTCGGAGAGTGATGGATCTCAGTTCAGTACATGCTGCGAGCAGTGAGAACGCAACCGCGTCTTCACGATTGCAACAAACGACGTCGACAGACTTCAAGAGCTGACGACCATGTGTTCCAATATTGCGAAGAAAGAGATAAAGAACCCTGGTGGAGTCGAATTTGAAAGTCGTGGTGGCAAAAAGCATATCGTGAGCATCTTCGTATACAGCTCTGTTGGTGCGAAGGATATTGCATTTGCTGGTATCCCTTCGACCGATTTTAGTAAACCCCATCTTTGTAATGACCTGGGAAGATTCTCGGTTGAGAGGAACAATTTCCGTGATTGCATCCATTCTTGGCATAATCATAGAGTATATTTCTAGCCGCAACTCAGTGGGCAGGACAAACAATGAGCTTTGGCGTGATGGTGATTCGAATCTTGGTGGTCTAGGCTCGAAGAATCGTTTCATATCGTCGATTCGATCTTGGCCAAGTGATGATGCATGCGTATTGCGAGTGTCGAGTGGAATCCTCGTCTGCCAGCGAACGCAATTCGGATGGTGGGCCGAAGATGTGAAGCTTTGAGACTCTTTGTTGAATGTGGACGATATCTTGTAAAGAGGACCTTCTAGAGCCGCGATACTGATCTCTCGTTTCACGAAGGCGTTGCAAGAGACACAATAGGAGCCTTCTTCAAGCGCCGCAAAGCCATCGTATACGTGCCCTAGAGCGGCAAGCTGGCGTGCTGTTGCTTCATTGTCATCCCAATAGCCTGTGAAAGTTAGGTATTTTCTTCATCTTCATCGATGGGCAAAGCAAGGGCTTACCCTGGAACGTCTTCAAACGATCCGGTAGGCTCGTCAGAGAGTTAATGAGTGGCGACATCGCGGAGGACGGCCGGAAGCCTAAGGAAGTGATGTCTACGAACTATATAGCATATAGTCTTGACAATATCATAAAATGTTACATAAAAGGCATGTAATAGGCTGCAAGTGAAGTCACTTGGCCCCCCCCCCCGTCACTGCTGCTATCCGATGCCTGGGATTGTCGGCCTCGGCCCGGCCCCGTTACGATGGGCAACGGAAGGCTATATCACAGATATTGCTTCAACAATTTGGCTTAATGGTTGATTTTCAACGGTATTCGTTCTTACCTAAGCTCTTTCGGTAACAATTGAGGGTTAAGATAGCCCTCGAGGTAGTCCTTGCGTCGGGAAAGCCTCGGYAGACGCCATGAGCTGATATATAGGACTACATGACCGCTGACATAATCATTGACCTCTGACTATGTCCAGTGTATTGGGGCTGATTGGCTCAATGGTAGAGGTGCCTATAGTCCTCATACAGTCCTATATCCATCAACATCGCTAACCTGTATATAGCGTCCGCCTCCTACGCCTCAAGGCTGTTGCGAGCGGAAGGTTGAGGGTTCGAGTCCCTTGTTAGTCAACGCGCCATTGCCTATGCACTGTTATTTTGCTCCTGTGGTATGCTCCGATGCTGCCTCGGGCTGTGTTACCCATGTTGGGCAATATGAAGATTTTCGGTCTTTTTTTGCACTCCAAGCGACCGTTGAAGCACATCTCTTCAGGGCATATCACGACGCTTGAATACTGATCACAGCAGTCCAGATTGTGGCTTGATCTGCTTCGTGACTGTTGTATTGTAATCCACAATATTGTGATGGCTTCCAGTTTGGGTGACCATTTTTTGGCCCCTATTGCTCACGCTCATCCGTAGACAGAGTCTACATCATGCTTTCAATGCTCTGATGCCGCAAATGCTGCGGCAACGAGGAAGCAGGCCAATTCTGCAAAAAGTTCCTATTTCGGCATATTGGAAAAGGGGGTTTAGTGAATGTTCTTCTCGCTTTTCGGGAAGGAGCGACTCAACTATAAGCAACAAGCTGGCCAGTCATCACAGCGCATCGACACCTTATCAGAAAGGACTGTGGATGCTAGTTGATGGCCCAGAGTACATGTCAGCTTCATATAGTCGCATGTCCAACAGGTTCCCTTCGATTCATCCCAGTGTGATGCAATACCCCGAAAACTTGGTAGATGACTTCTTTTTGGTCTTGTAAGGCGGCTGACGGTTCATCGGGATGATCAAGAAGCCAATGGATGTCATAATTGTCCTTGGCCGGTTGGAAGGGGCGATCTGCGGCGAGTGAATGATTCGAGCCTCTCAGGGGAAGGAACCGCTTATATCAGCGATCTTGTCTTGATGCATTCGCACTGCATTACGAACAGGAAAGATACGACCTCGGCATATAAACAATATCCACAATTGTAGATAATAGCGTCCTGTAACCGGAAACGTTCACAAACGACTTTCTCGGGCTGCCAAAGTCGTCGCACGATTTGAACGTGCAACAGACCGGCCTGGATAACATCCCGGACCAGCAGTATGGACGAGAAGATGTCTAAGTCGACTTTCTCCTGCTTGATTGAGATCTTCTGGCTGTATAGAAGTACAATTCTTGCAACGATGTTGAAATATACCGCATTAGGAACAAAGAACTACTGTAGCTACCCGCAATAGACATACTCCCTTTGACCGCCGTTCGCAAACATCGTCATGCAACACTTGATCCAACAGCTTGTGCACTGATAATCACACTGTCACTCTCAGCACGGTTCATCGGAAATGAAGTTCATCCTACCTTTCACTCTCCTGAGCGGGATCGCTATAGCATTCAATAGCCAAGCCTGCATCAAACGTAAAACCATCTTTCATACCACAAGAGTGACTAAAGTCTAACAAACCCCCAACAGATCCTTCAATTGCACAAGCCCTTCGCGGGATCTGCGGCATGGAAAACCTCGTAGTTCCCTCGAATGCCGCCATGAAAGGAGCAACTTCCAGCGACGATGATGCATTTCTACAGATAGTCGGTAAGCAAGAACAAAAAACGCAGCATGAAAACGAAGAATGATGACTGAATGAGTTTCAAGGAACCTGTGATCCACCCCAATGGGTGCCACAAAAGTACTGCTATGAGCAATTCGGCGACATGTGCTTTCGAAAAGTCACCCGGATGACATATGGTCGAAATGGTTGCCAGACTTGGAAAATCAACGTTGCGCATGGTAGTGAGAACAATGGAATCGGGGGAAAAGCTGGGACATGAAAATGTATGTGAATCGCACCAAAATTTTAATGAGTTTTGCTCATCAATTCATCGAATGCTCTCCTTCTCATGACTCTCATACACTTGGAGTCTCATTGCTGTCGTAATAGTGTCCCTGATATCATATCCGTCTCATCCCACCAAGAGAAGGTGTACCCTCCACATCGTCCTCAATCCCCATCACTCCAATAGCCCAATTGAGCCTCGCGTTATCATTAACCTTGACCAACCTGCGATCCCTTTCATCCTTGATATCAGGCATCGCATTTGGATCAAGCTGCTCCCAGCTTCCATTCAATCTGGGATCATCGCTGTAGTACGGCCTTGCAATCCTCTGATACGGTGGTCCTCGTCCCATCGCCGCAGCCTTGACCCAGGAAGTCTCACATCCATTCGCAATGAGCTCTGCACTACCCCACCCGGTCCGTCTCGCAATACTAAATATCCGCGTTACGGTCTCGTGACGTTGTCGGGCGTCCTGGTATTGCACAGCTGCAAAGAAGGAAGGCATGCAGCTTTCACACAGCGTCGCACCAWGACTGGGATTGAGAGGTTCGTCGGGAGGTCCGGGTGCAATACCCGCGGCGATCCGTCCAATTTCGTTCGCAAAGAATGCGGTTTCATGCGCTGCTACTGCGGCTGCCATGTGAGCCGCGGGCGGCATGTGTGGGTGTGATCGAATGGCGATGATCACGGCCATGTTGTAGATGGACCAAAGACAGCCAATATCGTACGATCGATAGAAAATTGCTGGCCCAAATGGAGTGTCTAACGGAGCCTGATACTCGGAAGTCAGAGGCTCGAACGTCTCACCCAAGCTTGTAGCAAATGTGTGGAGRGCAGCTCGTATTCGACCATACTCTTCCAGCGCACTATTGGTAGCCGCGTGTAGATCATACTCCATCAAATGCGTTGGGCCGGAAGTCTGCGGCGTGGAATTGCTGTTGTACATGGGCGTGTAGGACGAAGGCATTTGTACATTCGGACGCGGCGGAGGCGCCATGCCATAGAACATTGGCGTTGTCTGTTGGATGTTTGCAGGAGGTGATGGAGATGGCTGCGGCGGCCGTGGGATGTTCATTCCAGGAGCTGGCCGCCAATGACCACCGTTTAGCTCCATCTGTTTCAGCTTGCGGACTCGATCTCGTGCGGAAAAGTCTGCGATTCGGCCGAGTAAGAGAACGAGGTGGTCAAACGTTCCGTAGACTGCGYCTATCTTCCCGAGCGGTGCTCTTGGCGGACAGTTAGACCATCTGCTGAAATCCATGCTATGCAATGTTAGTCGTGTGTATATACGTGCGTCGGCAATTACTCACAGCAAATTGTTCCCGCTGACAATACTCTGGTATACGTCCTGCTTGCAGTACCACCAATACAGGTCTTTGAGGATTTCAAACTTGTTCAAATCCACAGACGGTGGAAGGCCGCCGTGATGCTCGATCCGACCGTGATCATCATATCGCACTTCTTTACCCACGAAATGGCTCACGAGCGTCTCATCAATGTCAGGAATCTGGTCCAGTAGATCATCTGGGGATAAAGGCTCCCCTGGACTGAATTGGCTTTGGTCTCCTTGATGAAATTGGCGAGCAGCCTTGTCCATCTTCATACGTCGGACTTCACGAGTCATACCGGTGAAGTCAGTCTCCACAAACAACTGCCTCGAGCCTGCCAAATGCATGTTCCACTTCAAGTGATCGGCGGTCATGACCTCGTAGAATCCCAGCAGCATTGATGCCGCCATAGTCGTGAGCTTCAGCCTGCTTRAATGATTACCAACAGCTTTGTGTATACACTTGAGAGACCATGCGTAGTGCTGCATCGATGGAGTGACTGATGCGCCTTGAAGCCTGGCAATATGCAGTGAAGCCATTGCTAGCATCGCGTGCAACAGACCTTGATGGCGTAACGCTGCCATGGGCATTGTATAGGTCCACAAACCCTGCTGAGAAAGCGGGACAGTTCCCTCGGTGAACAACACTGAAGTGTTCCTCGGATGTCGCTCAAATATTGAGAGACTRGGTCCAGTAGCAGAGATGAAATGAGCGAAAACCCGAGCAGTCGCAGGATTCCTCAGGGGATTYGCGACTTCCTCGACCCGATAGTGATCGAGTATACCTTCATATATGAATGTGTCATATCGACGGATTTGGAGTTCTCGAATACTGATCTGATTCAAGGCCAGAATCTTGCTAAGCGTTCTCTGCCTTTGGTATCCATTCACGTGTACAGCGGAGGTGTCAAAGTCTATCTCTTCGTCTGACCCGATATCATAGTAGTCGTCATCCTGCACTTCGACGGCCGCGGCGTTCAAAAGAGTAGTTGGTGTAAATGTCGTATAAGGCTGCTCCACATGCTCGTAGTACTCTGGAGAAGAGGGATTGAATGATTGAGGACTGATCGTGGGCGCTGAAGTCGGCAGTTGCTGTATATGAGTAGAATGAGGAGTGGGGTAGGCGGTCGTTTGAGCGAGTTCGGTGCGAGGCATGTATGTTGTTGGCGGCCACGCTTGTGGGGAAGTCAACGATGAATGCTGAGAGTGAGAAGAATGGCTAGACAACGGCGTTGGCAGGATGAAATCCTGGTCTTGAGAGAACGTGAAGCGGTGTTCTGGATCCGTCCACTGCTGAGGCATAGCGCTGGAATGGTCTCTGTTCGGGCTTGGATGCTGTGGAATCTGCCCCAGGGTATGCGGGGAGTGATTCTTTGGCGAGGTCATTGAATGGATGTCGACTCTGTTCATCATCGCACCGTATTGGTAAAAAGGCTCAGTGGAAGCAGGTTGTTGAGAAGACTGATGCATGTTGCTAGGCGGATGGTCGGGTATAGTCGTGGTTGTCGGGACGTGCATAGCTCTGTGATATGGCGGTGCAGTACCAAGAGATTGCATAGACTGTTGACGGTCTTGCGTAATAGGAGATGCAAGAATGTGCTGCACGCTTCCAGAAGAATGACCATGTCTGCCCAGAATCGGCGCAATGTTGTTCGATTGCGGTTGGAATCGCTGCAAATATCCATCGACTCCAGGTTGCTGCGCGTGCCCACCCTCCGGTACATGCTGGTTGATCAATCGAGGCCGAAGCTGCGTGTAGACTGAAGAATCTGCAGCCAATGCTTGCATGCCCGCGTAACTCGATGCTCGATCCGACGTCGGTCCCGCTTGGAAAACAATATGAGCACCTTCGTTGTTTGGCATGGGCTCATACTCGAATGTAGGCGGTCGGAAGATCACACGCTGGCTGTATCCTTCACAATGGCGCKTGCTTTTGACGCAGTTTCTGCATACCGGCCGTTCTTCTCCACACTTGATACGACGCTTCCGACATGTCAGACAGCCAGTCTTCGTCCTTTTGCGGGAAAGTTTGGCCTTTAAAGCGGCTTCGGCAGCAGCAGTGTCCGTTCTTCCATTCTCTCGTACATTGTCTTGGCTGCGCTCTTCGCGCCCAGTATCGCACTCCATAGTATGGTTGGATGGTAGTCAATAATAAGCAAAGATGGTGTTGTTCATGTCCCGGATAGATTAGACATCGCTAATCTCAACGATTAACCGAGTATAGATATAGAAGATTTGACTTTAAAGGAAGATGTCGGGGCGAGATTGAATCCCACACAACCAGAAGATCCTTTGCGAAGACACCCAAGGAGCTAGCAAGGCTGCCAGAACAGTCATTAGTCAGTTGGCCTCAATTAGAAACCCGCCCAAACCCTTGTGCAGATCTGACCTGGCCAATGGTCGTGGCAGCACTCGGAGACTGGTGTGGGATGTCTTGACCCACGGTGGGAACAGGGCGGCGCCAGGAAATACGAACAAAGCAAGTGCCTATCTGAACGACAGGCGCTTCACTTGCCGCCTTGTCCGCAACCGCTTATGCAGGCAATAGTCTGGGGTCGGTGATCTGTCTGCCGGATGGTGCTTGTCGTTGTGGCAGCGCTTCCATCAAGAACGACAAAGGAAGACGCTTGTAAGTTGTGAATGATGGCTGCGAGTACTGCAGGACACGGACGACCCCTCTCAGCTGACTTTGGGGAGGGACGGGAGCCTATGAAGGACGTGCAATGGGCCCTGATCCAAGCGTTGTCGATGCTACTAGCTGTCGATTGCCTTAGTGCAGCTCGCAATTCGTGATGGGGTACACTAACCCTACAGCAATACAAGAGTACCTTAGTGATCCACGTGCTGAGGCCGAACCTACGCCCTAAGGTAGTCTGCTGGATGTTGAGGAATGGCATACGGTACAAGATTTGACGTCAGCCTTGCGGCCTCTCTGGAGCAGTGTCTGCTGCGTAAATGTCGGAGAAGCACTGCGAAGTTGAGGCTTTGATCCACTCGTCGGCATGCAGGAGGAGACCGTTCAGGCTCAGGGCCGCCCCGGGGCAGTCGAGGACCGATGGGCCGCGTGCAAGGGCCTCGGCCGGTACCCAAACACTTTGGCTTGGCTGACGGTACTTTTCTGGAGGAAGTGAACACWCCGCGTGCCGCCAAAGAACTTCAGATGGGATCAAACAGTGGCACACCTCGTGCGTCGATGTGCCTCCTGTAGCTTGCGAGAGGCTTCTTTTGCGTTGCAAAGGTTCACGCCTAGACCGGGCCAAGGTTACCACACGTCCAAGCGCTGAATCCTACGGGACGTACGGCAGTCTCTGCGTTCGTGATCAGACTCTGTRCGCTGGATCGGGCTCCTGGGCGGGTAACTTGATATGTCAATGTGAGGGGCTAAGGATCGCCGTGAGGATTGTGGCTTGTGGCTGGCTGGCTGGCATCTTGGGCATCTTGATCTTGATGGCAGTGGTGGACGCTATCGTCAACTTGCGGTCGTCATCTCAATCACGCTTCGTCAGCCAACACACAGCCAACAAGACACAAGCATTCAAGGCCTCAATCGCCTTGTACAGCCGGGCATGACAACCACAATTGCTCGACAGAACGGACATTGTCCAAAAGAGCTCGTTGCACCAGGCCGGCAGGACGATCTGCATTTTCACTAGCCGTACCTTGGTATCCACTTGCCTTGCCAAGAACCACATGGCACATTGCATCAACCATGCGCACTGGCCGCTCTGCCGGAGCTTGCAAAGTGCCCAAAAGGGTATGTGTGAGCTCAGATAAGAACAATGATCCCGGTATACGAGCAGGTGCCCTAACGGACTACCGTCGAAGGACCTACTCTAATGGAAGCGAGCCAAAGCACATCGTCATCATGCCTGTAGCCGCTATCGAAACCCTCCACATGGCGAATAGGGCTTCCACGTTGCGGCAGATGGAACATTCGACATGAAGGATCAAAGCTTGCCTCGCTTCCGTCATAGCTTAAACATTTGGTCGAACCGAGATTGTCGAGCTTCCGTAATACTACATCGGAGATGATCTCTCACACGGCGAACGAGTCCTCTTCTCCCCAATACTCCTTCAAATCATCAGCTCGCCATTTCGTGGCCCATCCAATCTCCCTCTCGATCCGCTCATAAATGTCTAGAATCGCCCTATGCTCACTCGGATGGCTCATGTGCTGACCCGCGAGCCACAAAGGCTGTATACTATTCGTCCAACAACCATGATGTCGATTCGAAAAACTGATTGCGCAAACTTGTCTGGCATGCCAGAGCATGGATGGCGGCTTCTTCGCGAATTGGACGTGGGAGGGTTTGTACTTCAGCATCAATAAAGCAGCGGTGTGGTACATCTGATTGCCTGATGTCGCGGGACCATTGCCATATAGCAATGTATGGAAGGGCCTTGCTTCGTCGCCGGGTAGGGAGGGGACTGTTAGAAGCGCTGTCATCTCTTCAGGTCGATTTAGATACCATCGATCCAGGAGTTCAAACAGTCTCGACCATTGGTGGTTGTACTCGATACTGTCCATTATCCCTGTGTGCGTACGACGCCGCTGCTCCCACTTTCCCGACGAGCATAGAAGGTCAATAACTTGACCGCAGAGATACACCACATGATTCGCGTACATGTCATAATTGCCTTGTGAGTTCGCCTTGAGACTCGTTAGCTCACCACGAATCTTTAGAAGGAGAGGTACTTACAAGAAGCGCAACATCTTCAACAATACTGCTTCCACCAACCCAGTTGTGCATCGGAATGAGAGTCTTCTCATTCGATATTAGACCTCCCCAAAGGTCCATCCTCGCAAAACACCACTGCGTGTCCGTCAGACGCTTAAGACACGCACGAAGAACAGGGAGGAACTCACAAAGAGGGCCTGCTCCAGCCCGCCACAGCTCCCGGAAACACCCAAAGCTTGTATCAATGCAGCACAACCGTCCAAATGTCTGCGCCATGCTTTTGGTGAGCAACTCATCATCTCGAGCACACACAGTACAACACAAGAAGCCAGCACGGTCGTCGTTCGCTGTTGGAGAAGAGGAGAAAGGAGGTGAATCGCATGTTGGTATAGCGCCAGACTACGTGAATTGTCCGTTGCTTGAGCTTTACGCTCCATTTGAGCAGCCGAGAGTGCAAGCAGTGAGTAGCGTAGATGCGGATGGGACTTCGCCATGATGGGTAGAACGAGTTCGAAATGTCGATTGATGTCGAACTTATCCATCCAGCCTATAGAAGGTTAGGGCTATGACTATCGCCGACGACAGGAAATACATGCCAGCGACTTCATCGATGTAATTCTGCCAAAGAACGAATTCCTGCTCAAGGGATAGATGAGCTAATCTTCGGAATTCTTCGTCTTCTGTGCTGTGAGTTGGGGCGACATCTGAGTCTACTGAATCAGGCGGGGTGTCCGGAGACCCAATACGAGACGGTACCGTGGATTTCGCAGTGTCTATTATCCGACTTCGGAGGGTGGCATGTAGTTCCTGATATTGCGATCCTGGGAGGAAAATGCCATCTTCAAAGGCCGGATCGCTATGTGGTGGCGACAAGAAAAGGTCTGATACATCTACATTAGGATCTGCAAGTACCTCTGGATGGGTACTTAGAGGTCTGCTTTGACCGTTGAGTGCCGTGAATATGTCCAGCGGTATGTCGTGGCCAGATTCTGCCTCATCGAGCACGAGTCGGGAGGTGCTGGTGGAAGGTGTTGCATCAATAGTCTGGACATCATCCATAGAATCATTGACCGACTCCTCGAGATAGTCTCGGATCACTTCTGACGTGACGTCTATTATCTTGTAGCCAGAGTTTCGAACAGAACTAGCGCCGTGTCGCATTGAAGGATGGTCCAGTCTGATGGTGGAGGCATGCTCTATGGAGAGGTTAGATTCTCCACAAGGTACGTATTGCAATGGCATAATTTGTGATGGAAGTCCATACCCGGTCTAAAGCTGACTTTGACGCCCYATTCGCATCGTTCTGATCTGGATTGACATCCCTCACACGTCGGCTTGGTCTCATCACCTGCCATGCATCAGTCCATCCATATTGGTCAAAGCTGGCTTACGACCTTCATACATTTTCGTCGCTTGCGTCGACAGTTCAGGCATCCGGTTCGGGTCCTCTTGTTAGTAGGACTGGACTTTGTCTTCCGTCGKGGCGTGATGTCATCATCTACGGTGACAGCGTCTCGTCCGCCAGTCGCCGCCATCATCTCCGCGTGGTGATGAAGGCATGTTGTTGGGGCTGTTGTCCTGGCAGTCTCTACCTGGAGGTATTCCTTGAGTTGCGGCAACTGGCGGGTCGTGCCACCAGGCTGGGTGGAAGAACTTACAACGGGTTTAGTGTTGGATGTGTCGGCTTTCCCAAAGCAGTCTACCGCTCTGCTAAACAATCAACCGCGTACAAGCATTCACAGCTCTCCATTCCCTCTCCGACACCGACCCAACATCAACTTCCTCAACATACACGACACAATGCCTCCCCTCCCTCAACATCGCGAGAAGCGTCTCCTAGGTACAAGTCTAAAAATGTACTTCGACCTTCCCTCGACCCTTCGCTATGTGGACTCCATAACGACTCTCTCATCCCCGTCAATAGACCTCTTTGTAATCCCCGACTTCGTCTCTCTGCTCCCCTCTCAAGACAGACTATCCAAATCACAAAGCAACTTATGGCTAGGAGCTCAAGACTGCTACATCCAGGATAAAGGCGCCTTCACTGGAGAAGTCAGTCCATTGACTCTCTCCCAAGCTGGAGTCAAAATTGTCGAGATTGGACATGCAGAGCGTCGAAGACTGTTCGGCGAGACGGATGAGGATGTTGCAAAAAAAGCAGAAGCTGTAGTAAGAAATGGGATGATTCCTCTCATTTGTATAGGAGAGAAAGAGAAGAGTTCGGTTGCGAGCCAGGCAGTGGGGATTGCAGTTGGAGAGTGCAAACCGCAGATCGAAGCTGCGTTGAGTCTTGTGCCGGATGATGCGGAGGTTGTGTTGGCTTATGAGCCCGTTTGGGCCATTGGAGCTGCGGAGCCAGCTGGTGCAGATCATGTTGTTGCTGTTGCGCAAAACTTGAGAGCGCTTGTGCAAGGGAGGAAAGGCAGGACGAGGATCTTGTATGGTGGGAGTGCTGGACCAGGGACGTTTGAGAAGTTGAAAGATGGGGTTGATGGATTGTTTTTGGGGCGGTTTGCGCATGATGTGAAGAATTTGGAGAAGGTGATTCGAGAAATGTCAGAGGCATGAGCCACGCAGCTGTATTACATCGTCTACTTCGTTTTGTTACCTGGAGAGTAGTATTCCGGATAATTCGACTGATATCCCAGAACATATCTCCCAATAAAGGCAACCGCAATCATCAACAGCCAGCTGACCCAAATTCCCACGCCCTCCAGTCCAAATGGCATAGGCACAGCCAATGGCGTATCCGCCGAATGTAGGAAGACAAACAATTGAAAGATACTAGGCGGCGTCTTAGCCTGTTTGCAATCACTCAAATATCCAAAAAAGTTCCGAAAGAACCTTGCCTTCGAGACTATCAGCTCATGTCCTTCTGCTAGCAAGAGATCACATACCTCGTTCTCATAGTCCTCCGGGTCAAGCTGGATATTGATCTTCAAATCTTCCGTCTCACTAGCATTCTCAAATCGATGATACCTGTTGGGTCCTAAGGTGGCCATATTCCCACCTCCCTTTGCAGAAAGAACAGMACTAGGTTTGGAATCCAATCCGAAATACATGTTTGCTGTGCCTTGAATGACTTGGAAGTGTTCGGTCTGGTACATGTGGAAATGAAAAGGGGGCTGTACGATCGATGTTCCATCTTTAGGGTGTGTAGGAGGAATGGTGTGTGTCATCATGTATTTCGATCCTCTCGGGTGGTATTGGACTGAGGATGTTCCATTTTCGTAGACCGTGAGGGAATTGCTTGCGTTGACTGTTCGCTTCGGGTGAGGCGCACGGAGAAATGAGAGGGCCATTGTGATGATTATTCCTTTGGACTGTGTCTTTCGAAAAAGTCAATAGAGATTGTTCGGAGCTCTGCAGTGGTGTCGACGGTAATATTTCTGGAGAGCTGTTGTTGAGGATGCAACATGACGTTCGCGGTGGAGTCTCGAGTGCTCGGTCCGTGATCGGTAGAAGCCCCTTTGCAAGATGCCACCAGAATGTAACAATGTGCTCAAATATAGTACAACCGAGATGGTGTTCTGATGTCGCCGATTTGAAGCAGCCATGATGAAGAAGTGCGCCCGACGCCTCGCTAACGACAAATATCTAGATTCCCTCAATCGGTCCTCACTTCTCCCACTCAATCCTCCATCTCGACGTCCTCGTCAGTCTTCCTCTTCTTCGATTTCTTTTCCTTCTTCTCACCGTCTTCACTCTTGCGCTTCTTCTTCTTCTTCACCTCAGCCTCCTCTTTGGGTGCCTCAAATGCCTCTTCCCGCTTCTTCTTGCGCTCCTCCATTTTCTCCTTCATAGCATCCTCCCGCTTCTCTTTCTTCACGCGCTCCTTCGCGGCGTTGTTCAAGAAGTACTCTCCACTCTCAATCTGCAAATCGACCTTGCTCTTCTCCTGTGGCGGTGGGAAAGGCGTGTAGACCTTGTTGCTCTTATCCGACACATTCCTGGGCACTCTGCGCTTGCTCAAGTTGCGCTTCTTGAAGTGCGGCAAGAAACGATCCCAGCTTTCGTTCTTCAGCTCGGGATCCTTCTCCAGCTCTCGCTTGATCATAAGCTCTTTCACATGGTAGATGGGATGGATGTTGTCCATGCAATCCTCCACCACCCTTCGCACTTCCTTCAAAGATTTGTAGCCACCCATGACCGACACGGTATTACCCTGGACCAGAATGTAGGTCTGTGTCAACAATTCCAGTGCTTTGAGAGTGCTGCCGTTGGGTCCGAGAATTCGCTGTCTGCGTTTGATGAATCGCTCCTTGTTGCGCACCATTCCTCGCACTTTGATCACATCACACGCCATGCCATCTTCCAAGATCTTGACGGCCTGTGGAGCAGGAACGCTGCGGGCCAGCAGCTTAATCAGATCGCGGGCGTTGAGAATGCTGGCAGGATCATAAGTCTTTCGCGTGGTCTTTACAGTCATGCTGCCTTCCACCAAATCCAGCGTACATGCGATGCCGTATTTTTCCAGCTGGCGCGTGATCATCGGCCACGAGGCCTTTAGGTAGGTCTCGCGGTATTTTGGAAAAAGAGTCGCAAAGCTGCTCTCTTCGCTGAATGTGCCGCCTGCATTTTGTTCGGGTGTGAAAGCTTMCTCCTTCCACTTATCGATGTCATCGGTATCCCAAGGCTTCTCCTTCTTGTGTGTGGAAGGCATCGTTGCTGTACTGGACAGTAGTGTGCGTGGTGTTGAAAGGGAAGATCGCGGTAGAAAAAGTTACCAACCGCGAATAGAGTTTGTCGGTTGACCTTCCGAACCCGGATGTCGGAAGGGGACATCTCGAGGAAGGCATCATCTGTAATCATTACATGTATTCGACACGACATCCTACGACCAAGTACTGTTTCCGGCACTCCACCTCTGGCTCTGCTACGACCACAACATCGATATCTTSCCGACTCTTGGAACATACGAAACCTTATACTCTCTCACTACATCTCCCGACAGTCGACACCAGCCATGGCGCAAGATGGCCAGACATCGATCAACATTCCCCAACTCATCGCAGTCGCAGTCGTTGGATTCCTCGCTCTGCGTTGGTTTATGAACAAGCCTGGAAGTCCCAGCGCTCCATCACCTGCTGCCCGACCTGTTCTCGACATCAACAAAATCAATCAAGTCTCCGCTGTGTTCCCCCAGCTGGATCGCCGAGAGATAGCCTGGGACTTGCACCGTAATGGTGGGAATGTCTCCGCTACGACAGAACGGGTGTTGGGAGGGAGAGGATTGGAGGCAGCGCCGCCTTCATTCCGACCAAACATTCCCGCAGCACCGGTAGCCCAGACCGCAGCAGCGAGTACGGGAGCTAAATCACCGAGTGCGGCACATAGAGACTTGATTCAGCGTTATGGATTACAGTCGCGTGTTGGTGGGAAAGGAAAGGAAGCGGTGGCTAGCGAGGAGCAGAAGAAGGGTGGATGGAGTTCAGATAAGAATGCACGTGCCGAGGCACTTAAGAAGAGAAGGGAGGATATGATTTTGGCTGCGAGGAGGAAGATGGAGGCCAAAGAAGCGCAGGCTTCATGAGGCGGGCCGTCGTCTGGGTCACGCATTGCCTTTCACATGTGGAACCGAGCGTTAAAGCGTGCATCGCGACGAATCTCTCCATTCGCTATTTCCAACTCGATGTTGCAACAAGTCACGGGTGATGGGCGCCAGGGGTTCGTGAGATTCGTTACATCCATTTGGGGGCTATCAATCTCTAAACCAATTCGATGACAACCTTCTTCGCACTGACTCCAGCCTTGTTTGTGTCCAGTCCCTTCTGCACACTCTCCAATCCTTTACCAACGACCAACGGCTCCGGAACAGCCTTCAGCTTTCCTTGCTCGAGCGCAGGACCGAGGTATTCACTCCAAATCTGATGGGTGATGGGGCTGACTCCGAAGACACTGCCGAACTGCACATTCTCGGGACCCTCTTGAGGTGGTGGCAGTACTATCGCGACGCTGCCACCGCCCAGCTTCTCGACGATCGGAGCCACGTACTTGTAGCTCGCTTCGTTTGAGATTGCATCGTATGCACCAGCGAAGTCTCCGCCAATGGACTGCACGGCTTTTACAACGTCTTCGACAACGGAGGGGTTATTGTAGTCGACCGCTTCGCTGGCTCCCAGAGATTTGACGAAATCGTGGTTGTGCTTGCTAGCCACTGCCACAACTTTGGCGCCGGAGGCAACAGCAAGCTGAATGACAGCTGTGCCAACAGAGGCTGAACCTCCCCACACCACGATCGTCTTGCCAGACGATGTTGGGTTTAGGGATGGGTATTGCAATCCGAGGAAGCCCTTGTCCTTGCTGTACAGACCAACTGCCGCGGTGTCGATAGCCAAAGGCAACACCACGCCCTCATTGTACGAGACATTACTCGGGAGCACGACCGAGGTAGCTGCAGGGGCGGTAGAGTATAGTTGGAATCCGGCGCCGGCATTGTTTCCCGTGGCGAGAGCTACGGAGTGGCTATCATCTCTACATTAGCAAAGGCAAAAGCACAAGCATGGAAGATAAGGTAAATCTTACCTGATCACGCGATCTCCCTTCTTGAACTTGGAAACATTGGAGCCGACTTCAACGACCTCTCCAGCCATGTCTGTTCCTAGAATGGCGGGCCAATTCTTGATGAAGAGACCATGGTCTTGGATCTTCCAATCCACGGGGTTGATTGCGATAGCGTGGTTCTTGATAACAATTTCATCGGCGCCTGGGCTTGGATACTCGCTGTCAGCGACCTATGAAGTTATTGTTAGCAATCTGTGAAGTTGGAACTCATTACTGCTGGGCTTCTCACTCTAAGCTTCTTGCCGCCGCCATCGAGCCATGCTGCTTGGTTAACCGGAGCCATTATTGTTTTGTGAATTGAGTAAAGGTGTATTGTTGCTGTGATGTGAAAGTAGATGACCGTCTGATATTGTACAAGATTCTAGGACAGCGTGAGCTCTTGTTTTATATATCCCGGTGACGCAAGAGCTCGCCATTGGCATGAGCACCAAAAGTCGTGAAACCCTAAATCTTTGATTACCCAAGCTGAGGCGATTGTTCTCGGGCACTCGTCACTTCTCGGACGTAGTGAGCACAACGCTGACACAAGCATGATAAATCCGGGTCTTGCTCCGTTCGTTCGAGTTAAGATTCGAGAGCCTTCGACACGACAAGCAGGATCGCTACAAGGATGAACAAGAATGACACTGGACAGAAAGTTAGTCCCGTTGCCGGCTCAATTTCGAAAGGTKTCAGGTATGGAATTTCCCTTCAATGTATAGTATTCGACGAGAAGAGGTCCGTCAAGACTGGCACTGGGCAAATAGCATGCTTGCAATTTGTACACCCACTAATGTGCTTCTCTGAAAGCGCTCCTTGTTATGGCGGCTGCTAGGTTGATTGGCTTGCCATGAAGAGGTGATGTGGGAGCTTGGAAGTCGTCTCAGGTTTCAAAAATCTGTATTCGTCTATGGTTTATACAAGTAAATGGAAAACCACTATCGTCCTTGAATGACATCGTCTGCTATTTTTTCGCCGAGCGCGTCTATGAAAATCAGTACACCGTTTCAAGTACTTGATGGGGGTTGCACTTACAAACAGATGATTGAGGATGTCCAGGTGGCAAGAATGGGAATGAAGATGCATCGACTACACGAAGCCCCTTCACACCAAATACTCGAGCTTTCGAGTCGACGACCGCCATAGGGTTGTCGCTCGTACCCATAGCGCCTTGCACTGTTGTCAGCACTCATACAATTTCCTACAAATTCATGGAGACTTACAAGTGCAAGATGCGTGGTAAACGGTCGTGACTCCTTTACGGACGTACTCCTCCAACTCAGCATCAGTAGTAGTGTTCTTCGTAGGATGTGCTTCTTCTCCCAAAACAATGGGCTGGATAGCATCCGTAGCCCAGAACTCACGCCCGCGACGCACAGCTGCCATGGCCATCTCCACATCGATCGGATTGGTCAGCCAACCCACATCGATGATAGGAGCGACTGACATATCAGTGGAGTTTAGCGAGATGGTACCCTTGGATTGCGGCGTGATGAGAGCGGTTAGAATAAAAGCGTAATTGAGTGTTGGGTCCAGCACTTGCGTGTTGGGGAAGCTACCGACCACGAACTCGAAGTCGGGCCAATCTGTAGGGTACTTATCCAGAGCTTCGAGCGTGGTTGCGGACATGTTTGCTCTGTATTTCTCCGGCAGCTTCTCCCATCCGAGATAATCGGCGCCGGTGTTGGCCAGAAGACCGGATCCGTTTTCTCGGTACATGTTCTCGTAGACCTGTGCAATCGTGTTGTTCTGCAGAACTGCGCTCGTGGTGATATCGACGAGATAGTTAACGCCAATCAGAATGTGGTCCTCCATGTTCTTGCCAACTCCTGGGAGATTTGAGACCGTAGTGATGTTGTGTTCAGCAAGTTCACTCTCAGGACCAATGCCAGAAACCATCAAGAGCTGAGGACTTTGAAAGGCGCCTGCCGAGACGATGACCTCCTTAGCGGCGTGCAAGTAGTATGTCTGTCCGTAACTCTCAACCTGAACACCAGTTGCAGTCTTTTCGTGGTTGAACAAGACTTTTTGCGCCAGTGTGTGTGGGTAGACTTGCAAGTGAGAGCGAGCGGTGTTGAGGTAGCTTCGCAGAAAGGTTGCCTCGCTGCTAGCACGGGTCGAATCGTCCGGGTTTACTGTCAGTGGGCAATACTGTGCACCGATGAGATCACCGCTATCGAAGTCCTGGATGTCAGCCAGGCCCATCTCTCGCAGAGCCAACTGACCCCACGAAGAAAAAGGCGATGCCCATTTCGTGTGAGTGACATGGAGCGGGCCTCCTTCTGCGCTGTAGGCGTCGGGACCCGGAGCTGGCACAGAACCGTTGGCTGCTCGTATGGACATGTCTGGAGGAGTGAAATTCGCGCTTTTCTGAAAGTATGGCAGGAAAGCGTCCCAATCGTAGGCAATATCGTTCACTGCTCTAGCCCATGCGGCGTGTGTACCCTTTGTACCTCGCTGGTACAGCATGGCGTTCAACGCACTGGTACCGCCCAATGTTCTTCCACGGTCATATCGGACTGTCTGGTTGTATAGTTGTGGTTGGACTTTGGTCATGAAGTTCCAGTTTGTTCCCACATTTCCAAGGTTCTCCCCATAGTAGCCGGGTACCAGCGTCCTATTGCCACCTTCGTTCTCATAGAACCCTCCGGCTTCGACGAGGGCCACAGAGTTGTTTGCTTCTGCCAGCCTGACAGCCATCGTCATGCCTCCGGGGCCCGAACCGACTACTACATAGTCAAAGGAAGCGTTGGTGCCCAGCAGACCAAAGTGGTTGCTATAGGCAATGCTCCCAAAGTTGAACGCAGAAGCAAGCGGAAGCACCAGTGAAAACAGAGGCAGTGAAATCATCTTGAGATGCTGAAAGAGGTTCGAGGAAGTAGAGAGAACTTGTAAAGAACGCAGATCTATAGCGGATGCTGCTTGCGTGCATCCGATCTACACCAATTGCGGAAGCTGCAGAGGTCTGCAAGTCTGGTCAAAGCGGAACATGCTGAACATTCGGACTGCCACGAGCCTGCAGATCCAATACGCCCTGCATATAGCAGATGTTAGCCTTGTAGGCGTTCGGAGGTAATCTTGCTCTGTCTCTCTCACGCGTCTGGCTCTTATGTGGACCAATACATCCATCACGGCTGTGTTCTTTCAATGATGCTCAGAGGAGAGAGGCGTCAGCTCGATAGACTTATACGGTTTGTTGATGGCAGTGGCGAAGTAGTACCTACCTTTAGGAGGTCCAAGGTGAAGTGTAAGTCCTCGGCTAAACTCAAATTCGCGCTAGTGGACGATGATCCGAAAACGCGACGCCTCAACAACAACCTTGGAGGCTGGCCCATATACCCATCAATCATCTCATAGGATAGGATATCGTAGACACCTCGATGCCATCCCAAGGACGGATAGAAGTCCGCAAGTGTACCCTCAAGGCTCCTCTATCGGATCCCCTGGAGTATGCCACGCGGGCAGATTCACGTGGCAGCAATGGGAAAATCCATTCTTTTCTGAGTCTCATGCTTTGATTCATATACATTCCATCAGATCATGGCTATTTGGTACTACTGGCTCGCTACAGCTTGCGCTGCATGGTCTTGTATCGCAGAAATACACTCTGGTGTACTCGACTTGACACTTGCGACATCCTCCCTATGCCTCGAAGAGCACGAGACGGTCTTGGTGAACTGTTAGTTTGCYATGCAAGCGGCGATATCAGATCGCAATACATCGCAGAATCTGTTTGATTTGCATGGAAATGGAATAGTCTACGTTCCTCATTCAGCCGACCATGAAGCCTTCGTGCCGGAGTTCGAGTATGCCGCAGAAGTCCTGGCCTCGCCGGATATCTATCTAACGTCATATGACTGTACCGTGATATACGACGAATCATTCGACTTCTGTGGAAGCATGTTGGGGAGTACAGAACCTGCCATGTTCCTTCTATACCAGGGCCATACCAGCTCACCCACCGTCTATGACGGGCCTAGGCAGACTGCAAAAGAGTAAGTTGTGCCTCTACCTCTATTCCCCAGCATCTCACCGTGGCCAGCATCATTTCGTACATGACAAAAGAAAAGCGGGCAGTATCTTCATCTTCATCTTCATCTTCATCTTCGCCGTCGAGCTCATCATCTACGCAAGTACGTACAAAGCCTAGCAAGACTCCTCTTCCAAAACCATCGCCAAACTCCACGGCTGGTAATGCGGTGTGGCTAGCCGGCAACGGCTCCCGTGCTTTGGCAAGTTGGTTATTCCTGGATTATTGGATTCCTCAGCTACTACGGTATTTTGAGCAAGGAGGAGAAGCTCACAGAACGACTGGAAAACGACCGAAAGATGTCACTTTCGTWCGACATCGACTACAGAATCTGCTACATCCCCCCAGCAGAATCGCACCGAGCGATGAAGATATGACCGTAGTGGCGAATTTCATCGTGAAAGAGCCGAACGTGTCTGGAGACTTTGAACACGGTTTCAAGAAGCGTTGCTCGACAAAGGTTTCCGAGAAGACGCTTCCGTCTTCGGTGGAGAAAAGGCACACGATCCTACGCCTGACTATTCCGTTATAATGGACTACACAATCTCTACAAACGGTCAGCATCTCCTCCTAAATTCCAACTACCATGCATTCCAGGTTCCCGATCCGTCTCGACCAGCGCTACTCCCAGCAAGAAAAGGGCATCAGATTTGAGCCACGACCATTTCATCACAAGTGAAGTAAACAAATCCCCTCTCATTGGCCTGGAGTACTTCCTCGATGCCCAGGACCGCGATGATTCTGATATAAGCTACTTTTAACCACCATCCCGATCTATTGCCGAATCTGGTTGGTGCTGGAGGAGGACCGAAGTCTTCTGATCCTTTCCTTCCGTTGGATGCGCCTGAGCAGAAATGGGTTGAGATCATGCCCCGAAACACGAATGGTCGATCTTCAGATGTTCAAACCGAAGCCATCGAATCGTCAAGGTGCAATTTGTGGACCGTTCTCGCGATATACGAGGGAAGAGAGTTGAGTGTTGCGCTCCAAGGCCTGATGATATGGCTTGCGGCCAGAGGAGTTGGCGGTGCGCAGACATTGCAGATCCGCCGTGGTACAAGCATGTCTGGAGAGTCAATTTCGATGAGGTTGGGCGGATTGGTAGTCTCAGACGGAGCCCATTGTTACCACCGTAACAAGTACAGTCAATACTGCCTACTGTGCCGTGATGGGGGAAGGTGCTTTCTGCCATTGCTGTCGCGATGCATGTGAGAGGGAAATGGACGAAGCGGAGGCAGAGTCAGGAGCTTGAACCAGGGAAGGCAAAGGCTTGAGTGGGTTGATCAGAGTCTAGTCCATCCAACGCTGTTGAGCTATACAATGAAGGTTGGCTCAGAAGCTGTGGCATAGGCCGCTCATCTTGTGTTTGTTGCCAAATAACTCCACAAGTGATGGAGCACTCTTCGTAAGCATCGATTGCAAGTGGAGCTCGAGCTTTGATCTGCGGTGTGCGAAATAGTGCAAACCTTAATTTATGCGTGCACCGAGCTTCTGCATCTGCAGCACGTCAACCGTCCGGTGTCTCGTGCGCTTTCAAGACCCATCTTCCAACCTCACACGAGTTCAACACCTAGCRACTACGGATTGTATCACCACGTCCGCTCGGCATTCACTTTCACACCAACCCTGCGACATCATTCCTGAACGTATACGGAAGGAGGCGGAGTTGATGCTACGGTCCTTGGGACCTCAAGTGCGGACGGAACAATTGGGAAGCGCATACGATGAATGCGTCACGCGGTAGGTACTCCCCACTCGCAACTGTTCATCTACATCGTTCCTGTTCGTTGTTGGTATTTGGCACAATGGTTCATGCGCGATTCCCACGCATCGAAGAGGATGGCCAAGTCTCGGAAGAAGCAGAAGAAGAACAAGACACTATTTGTCGCATTTGACTACACTGGGAAAGCTGAACAGGACGTCTTGAACGGTATTGGAGACGGGGTTGAAGACGATGCTGAAGAGGGAGCTGAGGGTGGAGTTCAAGTTGAAGATGGAGCAGTCGAGGGGCTCGCAGAATCGGCATACCACACCGCATACGGATCTTCTGGAAGTGCTCCCAGCGCTCCAACTGAGAAGTCCTATGAAACTGCTCCCGAAGAGCACCGATTCCCTGCCAATGTCGAGCGAATCCTAGAAGCCGCGCTTGATCAAGCACCAGCTGACGGGCAGATTGGCGCTGCTATTWCCTTGCATACGAATGAAGCATCAACTAACGACAGGCTCGACTACGTAGGTAACCAGGCTCAACCACAGCCACTCCGCAACATGTCGATGAACCAGTACGGCGCGCAGCCAAGCTCACGGCAGACACCCAGACTGCAGAACACCCAAAAGACTGGCCTTGGAAATGGCAATGCTGGTGCCAATTGGTCTTTCGGCACTCCAGCTTCCGCCAACGGATTTGGTGGACTCGCAGGCGGTGCTCCCGGTCTCGCCCAGGGACGGTCGCAGCTCACTGCGTATGCCAATGCGATAGGCGGTGGCAGTGGTCAAGCCCCCATCGATTTGAGGTATGTTTTGTATTGCTCCTCCCCATCACCCGCTGGAGATTCGAAGATATGACTCCGTGTGGGACACTGTGTGAATGGTATGCTTGGCGTTTGTGGCATCGACTCATTTCGCGACGCACACAGCGTGACTCCGCGTAAGACGTTGTGTGAATGGTATGCTTGGCGTTTGCGGTGTCAACTCGTTTCGCGACGCACACAGCAACTTCCTTGATACATCACACACGACCGGAGAAACGATCCGGACAATGGAAGCTGACATTGCCTCGTACAGTGACTTTCCCACTCTCTCAGGGCCACCACGCCAGCAGCAGAACAGCGGCGGCTGGAACAGCAACAATGCCATTCGTCAACCGCCTGTTCAGCAGCAGCAGCCACAGCAAAGCTCGCAGCAAGCGCAGCTACAATCACAGCAGCGCACACCGTCCGCAGCACCGTCGCACGCAAACTCCGCTGATCACTACGATGGCGCCCGTTCACAGCAGCCTTCTGGCGACCATGGCGGCGGAGCAAATGAGTTCCCGCCACTTGGCGGACAACTGAATGGCGACGGAATGAGGACCTCTAACGGTTTTGGCAGCACTCTCGACTCCCCCGAGGAGTCGCATCCGCAGCCCAACGGCCAACACTCACAGCTTCCCATCCGCGACGCCTCAAATACCTTCTCTCAGCCTCAACAAGCGCCAATCGGTTCGCAGGCACAGACTCCTCAGAGTCAACCAGCCCCAAGTCAGAGCCCGCAGACCTCCCAGCCATCACAGCCTGTGAAGAAGTGGTCCGAAATGACCGATCAAGAGCACTTTGGCCTTGCAGGTCTCAGCGCCATTTTCGAAGCTCGAAAGCAGTTCGACATCGGCGGTGTGGTCGACGAAACACTCCCACCTCAAATGAGCAACTCAATCCTCTTCATGAGTCAGGATCTCAACCAACTCGGCATGGACTTGGACTCTCCGGAGCCCCTCCACCCCACCTTCCACGTCTTCCCTGATGCTACGGGCACAGGCTCATTATTCGACAGCAGGAAGCCTGTTCCTGCGTTCAACGTGCCGGATGCTTACACCGTAACTAATGTCCCGCCGATGGCCACACGCATTGACGCGTTCAGCGACGGTATGTTTGCCCCTCTCCGTTGACTGCCCAGCGACTGACAAGTAATCAGAAACCCTTCTGCAAATCTTCTACACATCACCACGCGATGTCATGCAGGAACGCGCAGCTGAAGAGCTCTCGAACCGCGAATGGCGCTGGCACAAGCTGCTCCGTCGGTGGTTGCAAAAGGACACTCGCGAAGCCAACTTGAGCATTGTCTCGCCCAGCCAAGACCTCACCAACGGCGCACCCATCGGAATAGCACCCCAACGCATTGACGAGCGCAGCGAGCGCGGTATCTACATCTTCTTCGACCCAGTGAACTGGCGTCGTGAGCGTCGCGAGCACACGCTCGACTACGATGCGCTCGACAACAGACAGCCGAGTGGTGTTGCGATCAATGCGATCAATGCGATGGGTGTCGGCGGCTCGGGTAACTTCAGTGCACCGCCCGGCATGGGAATGTCCGGAAGTGGCGCGGTCGCCAACCAGGGTGTGGGCAGTATTGAGAGGCAGAGCTCTGTCATCACTGGTGCATAGCATGCCCAGAGATAAGTGGAGAGGATTGTTTGCAAGGCAATCAGCAAGGCTTCGAGAGGGAAGAGGCGTGAGTGCGTGCCACGGTCCGGAAGTTGCCAAGTTCATGCGGCCGTCGAAAGACTTTGCTACTGAACGTCACACCAACAGTACAGGTGTGGAAGAGAGAACGTGGTACGATAGCAGTCATCAATGGTACAAGCCATGCGATGTAGGAATGCTATGAAAAAACTGTATCCTATTGCTGTCCCACTCATTTCCCGTTCCGGAAGAAAATTTCCCGACGTTTGTTGCAAAGTCGATATACTCCAGACCTCTTGCAGAACCCAAGACAATACACCGAAAACCAACGCCTCCCCCATCACCTCTAGTAATATTCCTGCCGCCTCTCGAACCTCTCCCGCACCCTCTGACGTTCCCAGCCCTCCGCTGACTGCCGGCCGCTCAACCTCGCATCGATAACACCATCCAATTCTTCGTCCCGCAACCCCAATCGACCCATCGAAGTACTCAACCGCCTCGCTCGATTCTGCGCCGCGGCCGCTTGTGTCTGAGCGATCACAGCATCACCATGTTCTCTCAGACTGTCTCTCTTCGGAGTGGTAGAGGAGTAGTTGTTGTGAATGGYAACAGGGTATCTCGCGGATACCGGCCTGCTCGATGTAGGTGCATGGGTGAGGTAAGTGTTTGTCATGTGCCGAGCAGAGATTGGGGAGGATGCTGGGACGGCTGTGTAGGTGATTTCGCGAGGTGAGATAGGCACGCTGCGTGGCTCATAGTATTGCAGAGCGGGAGAAGATGCGGCAAGCACATGCGCATCTGCAACGTTTCGCTCACGAGCCATTTGGGCGTACTCGGCGTTGACGTGGCGTTGATGCTCCTCTTCGGTGGCTTTTTGGAGAGCAGCGGCTGTTTCTTGGCGATAGCGCTCACGTTGTGCTTCTTCGGCTCGATGTCTGGCTTGGACTTCTGCCTCCTGGCTCATTCGAACTCGTTTCCGCCGATCGGCATCCGCTTTACGATTCCTCTCGCGGCGAGCTTGGTCTTCTTCTCGTGCCTTGGCCTCCCGACTCTCACGATCAGACTGTCGACGGTGGGTCTCAGCAATACGAGCCCGTTCCAGTCGAGCCTGTTCTTCATTCTGTGCTGCAATCTCACGCCTGACACGCTCGTCTTGACGACGATCGGCCTCTGCCTTGAGGTCACGTTCTAGTTGTGCTTGCTGGAGCTCCTGTGCTTCGATATCGCGGGAGATGAGCTCTTCTTGGTATCGTTCGGAGGCCGCAATACGTTCCTTGCCGAGATCAACTTGTCGCTCGTCCTCTTCTGGGAGTGACCGAGCCTCAAACTCATCGTCATCAGCGAGGGAGTCGACTCGTGCTTGATACTTGCCCCTGGACTCCTCGTAGGCAGTATCATCATCAAGGTCTTGGACGTGACGGCTCAGACGAGGTAGATTGCTGAGTCCTGGCGATGATCGTCCGAGCGAGGACGTGGTGCCGGTCATCGAAGCACCAGTATCGACAATGATGGCACGTGGCCGGGCTTTCCGCAGTGACGGGCCTTGTGTTGTTGGACTTTCAGCATTACCGCCTGATTGAGGCACCTCGAGCGATGGAGGCCGCTCGTAATCGGTACTTCCATCAAGGCCAACACTCCTGTCCGGAGCGGTGGCATACGAGTACTTTATTGAGCGGCGATGAGGACGATCGCCACCTGAAGCGGATGGTCGAACTTCTCGGGTAGCTAGAGACAATGAGCTGGAGAGTACCTCAGCCGAGTGCCTGGCGTTGGCACTGCTAGCTTCCAGTGAGGAGCGCTTGCTGCTAACGCGGATGTACTGTCGTTCTCTGCCGTCCCTGCCAGTGGTGATGATATCTGCGGAGGAAGACGGTCTACTCGAGGACGAGGCCATAACGTCGGAGACTGGAGCGGAAGCGGTCCCTTTACGCTCAACATGATCGCAAAGAGAACCCCTCCTTAGCCCTTCGTGGCAGAAACGGGTCTTCTCTTTCTTGCTCCGACGTCCATCGGAGTGCCGGTAGGTCTTGAGCTCAATGACACACATCGTGGTGGTGGTGTGCAAAGGAAGTTGAAACGATGGATCAACTGAAGTGTTGGTATAAAGAAGATCTTTTGAACGACCTGAGTTCTCGAAGATATGGGTGCCTGAAAGGCGTCGTAATGGTCAGGTGTTGGTTCTTAAGGGCGGCGTGGGTATGACTGGATGTGGCTTTGCAGGCCAGGCTAGGCAGTAATGGTGCTTCGGAATCCTTCTACCACTGTTCGGAAATTCTGGAAGAGAGAAGACAGAAGGGTCCGGGTGACGGAAAGATTCGAAGTTGGTCAAGAAGAATACCTGTAAGGTACAAGGCGAAAAGAAGGGCAACTTTTAAGTGGGCAAGAAGAGGGCGGCCAATTGGTGGTGTCCAAGTGAGAAAGTACGGGTCCTCGCTTTGTCCTGCTCCTGCACGAGACAGTGTCTGCAATCGAACAATGTCTGGGTGGTTGATGTAGCAAACGCCTTCTGCATGTATGCCTGCCACACGCCCAGGTGGGCGGTGATGTAAGTAAAGTGCAAACGGCAGGCCTMCCGTTCGTTCGTTGTCTCGTAGCGTGTTGTTCCTGCAGAATGATTGAACCAAGGATTGGTCTAAGATAGTCTAAGCCGCCCGCATGTGGCTCCAGAATACCAACACCTACAGCTCGGAACTGGAGAGATCGTGGGATATTAGCGAAGGAAATGCTGCGCCCTGAACCCACCCGAATGACGAGAGTTCGGTGCTTGGGTTTTCATCGCGATGTGAGTTACTCGACACACAGAACTTCAGGAAGAGTTTCCGATGCAAGCAGACCATGACTACACCAGTGAACTCGACCATCATGACATATGACCAGACCAACCAGACGACTTCCGCCACGAGCGAGGCTGGCGGCGTGTGTGAGTAACATCAGGCTGTCATTTTTGCATACCACCACCAAGCATCCTGTGCTTTTTTTTCTGGAGTGCCTTGACAGACCTCATCGTGATAAAAGGGTGTTTCATGTCCAGAACTGAGCAGATGGTGGAGGCTTGGAACCTAGTTCCTCTGCGACTCAGCCCCAGGAACTCTCTTTGCGCTGATGACAGAACGTCACCTTGGTCACCCACACCTCGCACGGGAACGTGCATGCTGCACAGCACGTTGGCCCGGGACAGTCTCGTTTCTTCAGCAGGTCGTACAAACAAACACTCTGTTCGCTGATGCAAGCGCTTCCCAAGACTCCAGGCCGATGACGAAGCTGTGACATGCAGTTGATCGGCATGCCACAATTCGCCGCGTTGCCAGCTCGCGTGCCCATTTTACATATGCTGATGGCTGCGCTCATGATGTTCGGTCGAGCACGGACTGTTGGTTCCTGTTCGCAGGATCGTGCGAGAACATGGTCTCCACACAGCGGAGTTCCATCCTCCCGAGCTAAGACACCACAAGGCTGTGGCGCTGTTGGCAGTCCTCAGAAGCCAAAGAAGGCATGGTACTCAGCTACCATGGGCTGTAACTTCAATGCAATCAGACGCTGCGCTCGTTAAAGCCACCCATCCCAACCAACACTGCACTCGGTAAGGCATCCTCATCTCAAGCGTCGTTTGCGATCTGCAGTATCTGTGCAGAGACTGCAGTGCTGAACGGCCGCGTGCCGTCACGCTATCTGACATGCATCTGCCATGCGAACTTCATCGACATCCTTGTCAAGCTGAAGAAGAAAAATGAACATACTTCACGCACTGGCAAGCGAGGCATGCCCTAATCCWCTCGCGTAGGGGATTGGAAGGATTGAATTTTCGATGATCATCTCAACTGCAGCAACCTTGTTGAAGACAGCGATAAAAGCAATCGATGAATTGCTGGTACCGGGAACCCCATCATTACCAGATGGGGAGGCATGTCCATTCGAGATGCTGCAGATAAATCTGACAAGCAGCATGATCAGAGCCAGCACGAGCACCTGTGAGTGTGCCGCCCATAATCTCGGCACCGTAGAATGGAAGCGAAAGGGAAGCGAAAGGGAAGCGATCACCAAATTTAGTAATCTGGACTCAAAATAATCTTCTTCATTAATCATCCTCACTCTGCGCCTGCGTTCAGGCACCTTGGCTGTCGTTTTCGCTGCAAAATCATCATCAAGTTCGTTTGAAAAGCAACGCTGCATGGGTATCCTCCGACGACTCACGTTCAGACTCCCGTGAACGCCATACGCATCAAACCTCGTATCAAAGTCATTCTGCAATTCAAGTTTGCCTTGTTTCCTTCACTTGACGCCCAGAGCCCTCATTGGCAGTCTGAGCTGGAAGCCGTCGTTAAGTCGGCCCTTCGCACCAATGCCATGCCTTCCTGCTTCCTGTAGCAAGAACATCCGGCGTGCCATGATCTTTTCATCTGTGTAAAGCTCAAAGTCTAGGAGAAAGCACATGGTGATCTCCAGATTYATAAGCTGTCCCGAGCTGACGCCTCCGACTTTCGCAACACGCTCTTGTGCCCATTTGTTATCCTCCAAAGCCTTTGCTGCCACTCTTATTGCAGCAAGGGAGAGTCTGTGGATCGTTCGGTTTGTGGCGGGAACAGCGAGATCTGAAACGCACAGTCGGTGGATGTAGCCTACAGCAGCCAGGTATACACCTGGTGAGTGGGGGCAGAAATGGTGGAATCGAAGCAGGTAGTCTCCCAAAGAGAAAGGCGGCGCTGTCTTGGAGAAGAAGCGACGTGCTATGGCTGCGTGCTGTACAGCCATATCCTCTGCATGAGAACCAACCTCTACTGTGATGGGCTCATGTGGATGAGCCTCGGGACTGCCGATGTGTAGTGAAGGAAGGCCGACTGCACCTGCAGCTCGGTATGGGGTTGAAGGAGTTCGCCTGTGACCACGCTCAGCTTCCATGCGCCGAGGTGTCGTCGGACGAGAGACAGGCGGCGTAGGAGGAACATCGCCGGTTGCGTCGGCGAGCTTCTCGAGCGCTTGAACCAGCATACGGAGGGCACCCAGTGCCGAGATGGACGTTATGTCCCAGTCGGCGCTGCTGAGCTGCATCGGCGTGTCTGATCTCTTGTCGAGGGTGGGATCGAGGGTGGAGGCCGTCGCATCGTCTATGTTTGCTGTTGCCGTTATGTGAGCGTCATGCCGACTTCCCAGTTATGTGTCCCAATACTTACGATCAGGCGGCGGCGGCGGCGACCTGGCCTGGTCTCGCTGCTCGCCCTCCGGACAGGCGTGCGAGACGCCATCTTCCATACCTCGAGAGTCGTGGGTGGGGTGTCTAGGCAAGTCGTCGCCACAGTCCTCCCATGGGCTTGAGAGTTGGCAACGTTGGGTCAAGTGCAGCTACAGAGCAGGTCACTTAGGTCACTTCGCGGGGTCGATGGGTGTCGTTGATGGTGAAGAGTCGGACTGCTAGAACCACATTCGAGCGAAGAGCACAGAGGTGGAGCTCGTGAAACTGGTACTTCATGACCCACTGGCAAGGTTGGTGCAGCCGTGCAGTTGACCAAGTCTGTGCAAGCTGTGGAGCGCGGTTTTAATGTTTTGTTTTCCAGGCGCGTGATGATCGGCGAAGGGCGGATGTTGGCCTATCGTACAATAGCGTCGGTCTCACTTCTATTGAACATACCATTTGATCATTCCATTGCACTTGCCTTGTTCGTCTGCCTTGGAAACGGTTATTGCCATTTAAAGGGAAACGTTTGTAACAACAGATCTGTTCAGATCCCTTCACATGCATCCCCCAAAAGTGTCGGGTCCCTCACCTTGGACCCTGGAAACCCAGCTTAAATTTTATGCTTCCGCTGGGCCAGACCATCGTCTTGCATGAAACGACGACTATCTCCGAAACTCTACGTCCCACGGCACCCGATCGCATGCGGGGGAAGTCTTCCTGTCGTGCCTCAAGCCTCAATGAACTGCTGCAGGTGTGCCCACCCCGAGCCACTAGAGCAACGCGGCACATTAAATGGCCACTTTCATCCATGTAATCGGACTCTCGCCTGCAACATGTCTCGGCTTCTTTGATCGATCGAGAAGCTCAGCTTGAGCAGTTTACCAACCGCCATCATAGGTCTACCATTCTGCCATCTAGTGCCCTCCAGACGAACGACGAACAGCTCGCAGATAGGAGATCTCATCCCGCTCCATTTCACCTCATCACTTCATCTGATAGAATCCCACTCACTGGCGCACCTCATCCCCTGTATCGACAAAAGAGCTCCAGGTTTTCGGAGCATTCTGAGATGATTACGCTGAGAGAGTGTTTTCCTTTGTTCACACTACATCCTTTACACAATCTTATCGTCAGCCCAGAAGAAGATACAATTGTACGAATGTCTCCAGCTACAATGCATTGTCGACACAGCGTCTTTTTGCATCGGCAGGTAATCCTGATGGCCAAAGATCCGCTTTCTCGGTGGTTTTGCGACAATGATACGCTGCTAACGCACTAGAGTCAGGATGCTCGAGAGGATTGTGTGGATCTGAAAAGCCTTCGTTGTAAAGAGATGCTGTACACTCAGCAATGGCATTTTCCATACGCTATCGAGTACACTCAGCAATGGCATTTCCATACGCTATCGATGAAACAATGCTGCCAGCCTTGTCAATGCATTAACATTACACAATGCCATTCTACAATCCCTACGATTCAAACATGAGGGCACTATTTATACAGCTCACAGGTCAGCAATTTGGCATAGACCACACATCCGCAGCACTTCTGCATCGATCCAAAACGAAGCCTCGAGCAATCCCTAACGTGTCCAACACCAACCCAACAATCAACCCCAACACCCACCAGCATGTCGGGCCTTCTCCCTCGGGACCACTTTGCGTCTCGGCGCAGCGGCTCTCACGCCGCACCACCAGTCTCCTATCGCGACCCTTCCAACAGGGGCCGCGATCCCTACACCACACCTCCACCCTCGCGGTATGCCTCTGCCCACTCTTCGCGGCAGAGCTCCACCTCACCGTTCGACATGGCGAGAACGGGCCTATCATCGCGCTCCGGCTCCCAATCGTTCGTGCACGAAGCCGAGAATATGACGAATCCTTTCGTCTCTTCTTCTTCCAGCACATCCAGCTCTTCTCGCTATCCCAGCACGTCTAGCTCATCCCGCCATCTCAGTGCTTCAACGTCTTCTCGTTACCCTAGCACCTCTTCCAGCGACTGGGATCGCCGCTCACAGGCAGCTGCCCGCGACCCCTATCACGTGTCAAGCAACTGGGGCAGCCAGCCATCAAGCCGTTCATCCTCCGCGGATTGGAATCGCCCACCGCATTACGACTCCGATCGTACCCCGCGAGCTAGCATCAGCTCCAACCGTTACTCCAGCACCTCCAGCTCTCACCCTGCCTACACTGACCCAGCGTACATCGGGCCGGGTTGGAGCGAGCATCCCTCGTCCAGCAGGTCGTCTATTCAGTCCTCTAGGCTTCCATCCATCCAGGAGGCTCCCGGGTACCTCCCCGACCGTCGCACTTCCTTCTTCGAGCGCCGCAATCCCTCTGTCGACCTCTACAGCTCGCGGTACCAGTCCGAGTCCTCTCGTCGACTTTGACGGTAAGCTCTCGCGGAGTGTGTGATGGCAACAAGGTGAGCGGCGTGACTTTCTTACCAATAAAGGCGTTTCATCATGGCGCAATGGGTTCTGCTTTTAGATAATCAATGAAACCAAAATTCACATATCACGCTTCCAATATTCTATCTCACGTGAAGCTCGCAATCTTTCAATCAGTCGTGTAGTCTATCGTGTCGTGGTCTTCGCGTCACAATTGTTCATAGTAGATCCAATGAAGCAGCTTATAAGGACTCTTCTCTTCACCTCCTGCCGTTGATTTCCATACTAGTATTCAATACCAGTACCAGACTAGAGTATCCAGCACTGACATGACAAGTCAAGGTTGTGGAAGGCTGTGAATTTTAGTTTCCATGACCTTTCCATTGCGAGTGGACCAGAAGAAGGGAGACGGAGAGTGCTGTAAGGCTGGAGGACCGGGTGCCACCGATTTGACCACGTTGAAGCTCGACAATGTGTTGGCTAGAACAATGAGTAATTGGTGCTGGCTATCTAGTATACCTGGTCATGATGTTGTGGAGTTGAAGCTGAGGTCGGTCAGCAGGCAACTTGGGAAATTCTGCAGAACGGCGCTAGTCTGGCACCTCCGTCTCCAACTCCGCCCATTGATCACATCGCCATCTCCTCCAGATTCTTAATCACAGGAGGAGCGGGAGTGGCAGACGGTGCAGACGCGAGCGCCAAACACCACCTCCGTCATGTCGAAAGCAATGAACTCGCCGACGGCGCGGCTGCTGCAGACATCTCGCCTCTTCTCCCTGCCCCGGCCATTGCCCACACCAGCGCTGGAGCAGGCCACCTCAACTGGCGTCTTTCGCGCATCCGAGACGGCAACCTTGCCTCATCCAACACATCAAGCCATTGCCACGCCAGCTTCATCACATTTCCGCGGTGACTGGGGATTGAAGCGTGCTCTGCCCGGAAAGGCGACCCGCTACACTTCCACTCCCGTCATTCGTGTCCGCGCTCAGGACAATCCTCAACACATTACCGATTTCGAAAGCGCCGCCGATCACACCTTGACTGAGCGGAAATGGCAGGAAATGAGCGTGCCCTTAATGGCCAAGAACACAAGGTCGACCTACACGGATACCGATCGCATTGCTCGAAGTGTCTACGAGGACAATCTGGATAACACCGATCCCAATGTCGTTGCAAGTCTGAATCCCAACTCCAACCAATCATCATCGAGACCTCCAATTCCTGGCTTGCCCACCAGAAGCAATGCCCTGCTCGCAGATACGTTGGGAGTGAAACGATGGAAGTACAGCAGCCCTTGGATCACTGGCATGCAGGAGGGCGAGTTCAACCACTACGTCGCAAAGACGATCGCAGGTCRAAAGGACAAATTTCGCAAGTTCTTGGTCCAGCGCATAGCAGATCAGCGAGTACAGGAGGAGGAGAGATCTTTGCGCGATCAAGGCATTGGGAGACAACTATCCGCGGATCGGATTCAGAGTATTCGCAGAAGCGTGGAGCAGAACTTTGAAACGGAGGAGAAGAGACTCCGCGACGCACATTCTGAGATGCACTTGGGCTCTGAGCTTACTGCAGCAATTTGCGAATTCCTGGACTTGCCTGGCGTACGAGTTGCCCCACAGGGCGCTGTGAGTCAGAACGAGGCTTTCGCAAACAAAATGTCTGCCGGCTTGGGATCAGACGTAACTGGTCCGCCTTCGACACACCCCGCAGCTGGTCTCTCGCATATACGCACAAATGCATTCATGGAAATGCATCCTCTGTGGGGAGCACAATCCCATCGCGCTCCTGTGCTCGCTCGTGTTCTCAGTCCTCGCCTGCGAGCACAGGGCAATGAATTCCAAGCAAGGCTTGGAGTCGGTGGTATTGTCGCCAACGATCCCAACGGCGCATCGTACCATCCTGAGCGAAATGCAGCAGTCCGCGCAGATCAGACCAAGGAAGAACAATGGTTAGATGCAGAGCGTATGACCCATCAGCTCGACCCCGATCTTGAGCATGGCAACAAAGTCTGGGTTCACCCTGAAATCGCCCACATCGATGAGCAGGGACACATTCGTCTCGACGTCACCCGTGGTGATAAGGAGTCTATCGCTGTGAAGACCTCCCACGTGGAGCCGATTATCGAGGCTCGAAACGCAATGGGYCAGGCTTCGCCTATGGCGGCTCCTGGCACCGCAGGCAGCGCAAACTATGGTTTCTCTCTTGCGGATAGGAGATATGCCTCGCCCATTTCTAGCCTTCGCGGTTTTGACGCTGAGATGGGAAGAAGCCCGAAGGATGGTCAAATGGACAAAGAAGAGGCGCAACAAAGGATTCGAAAATTGTTGGAAGGTAGTGGCACTCCGAGAACACCGAAGGGCGGAGCGTAGTCTGTACTATATACTTGTTGGCATAGCCATGTACATCGCCTGGAGACCGTTGCCAATGTACAATGTGCATACTCAGCAGCGACTTCTCAACTCGAATGTGCTACACTTTCTGACTGTTGCTGGCCTAAGCCGATTAAAGCCGGCACTAGTGTTGTATCTTGTAACACCACCACTGTTTTTGACATTCATATCTTTTGACCTTGAGTTGCAACACCATGACCAGGAACACCATGGCGCCCAAGCCAATCGCCAACCCGAACCTTCCCAAGCCGCCCTCTGGCAAGTATCCAGCCAAGGCCCACGCACGGAGAGTCGCAAAATGGATTGCTGAGAATGGCGGTCCATCAAGTGGAGTCATCTACCTGGAAGGCCAGAGCGAGAAGATAGTCGAAGACGACGATACGACTGCTCACTTCAGACAACGTCGCCATTTCTTCTACTTGACTGGATGTGATCAACCGGACTGCTTCTTTGCATACGACATCGCCTCTGACAGATCAACGCTATGGATTCCTCCCGTTGATCCAGAGTCGGTGATGTGGGCAGGCTTGCCTCTCCTTCCGAATGAAGCCAAGGAACGGTACGACATCGACCAGGTCCTCACAACAGATGACCTCAAATCTGGAGAGTCTCTCGTCAGCATGCTCGGAAAGGAAAAGAAGACTCCCATCTTCGTCATCAAAGATCGCGCCGACTTGTCCATTTTCAAACAAGAAAACGTCCTCGCCACGGATCCAGAAATCGACTTTGACTGGGCCCGCAAAGCGATTGAGACATGCAGAGTCGTCAAAGACTCCTTCGAAATCTCTCTAATTCGCCACGCAAACATCGTCTCCTCCTACGCCCACGAACAAGTCCTGGCCTCAGCGACACGTGCTTCCAACGAGCGCGAGCTCAACGCCCTGTTCGTCATGCACTGCCACGCCAACGGCTGCAAAGAGCAGGCCTACGGCTGTATCTGTGCTGCCGGTACAGCAGGTAGTACTCTCCACTACGTCCACAACGACATGCCCCTTCAAGGCAAAGACAACATTCTCCTCGACGCAGGTTGCGAATACAGCTGCTACTGCGCAGACATCACCCGCACGTTCCCCATCACCAAAGATGGAAAATTCACCAAAGAATCGAAGCAGATCTACGAACTCGTCCTTCTCATGCAGACGGAATGTATGGGAATGATCAAAGCAGGAATGGTCTGGGAAGATGTACATATGAAAGCTCACATCGTCGCGGCAGAAGGCCTGCAGAAGCTAGGCATCTTCAACAAGGATCTCTCTGTGCAGGAGATTCTAGACTCCCAGATCACGACGAGATTCTTCCCTCACGGTCTTGGTCATTACCTAGGAATGGACACGCATGACACGGGAGGAAATGCGAATTACGCTGATTCGAATCCTTTCTTCGCATATCTCCGTGTGAGAGGAACGGTTCCTRCGGGAGCTGTCATTACCAATGAGCCGGGTATATATTTCAGAAAGTACCCACTCGAGAAGGAGCTTGAGGATGGAAAGTGGGATGGTGTTGTGGACCAGAAGGTTCTCAAGAATTACTGGGCGGTTGGAGGCGTGAGAATTGAGGATGATATCGTGGTTTTGGAAGGGGGATATGAGAACTTGACGACAGTGAAGAGTGATTGGGAGAGTGTGCAGGCCATGGTGCTTGGAGGGGCGGCGGCTTGAGTGTGCGAGGAGTCATCGCTATGCATTCACAGAAGTTGCCATGTCAATCAGTCTGTTTAGATGCCACGGTAGGAGGAGGAGTGAGATGCCACTACATCAGCTTAGCACATGACCATTAAGCCTACCTCATATTGAGCACTAGAAAGACAGACAGACAGACAGAATGGAATTCGTCTCGTAATCTCATGGTCCAAGAATCATACACTCAGCCTGATCAACCCCATGGAGCCCACCAAGGTACAATAGCCAGTCTCCAATCTGCATACTGTTTGCTCCTTGACATCTGCACTCTTCTACACCATAGTCWCTGCTGCTGCGAGGTCCTCCATGATACTCCTAGGCATTAAATCCCAACTCGCCCTTCAGCTTATCCACAAGAGCAATATATCTCTGCTGCGCACCCTCCTTTGTAGTCCCAGCCTCGACCTCCTTTTGCCACGCGTTGTACTTGGCCTTGCCCTGTGAATCATCATCCCACATGTCAGCCGCCATCATTCGCCTGAGATTTCCCCGGGAGAGAGAGGGAGAGAGAGAAAGAAGGGGGTATAAAAAACTTACCTTGAGGTCAAAGACACCTGGCTTGGAGACTTTAGAAATGTCCTCGCCATTGCCGACTTTGTAGAGAGAGTACAACTGGCCCCCGTCAGTCAGTAGGGCAGAGAGGGCAGGAGCGGAGGATCATTGTACCTCGAGCAACTTGTCGTTGTCGGGGGTGMTTCCCAGCTTCTTGCTGTCTTCGGCGGCCTTGGTGAATTCGGCAGACATGTTTGCGGGATGTATGTGTGTCTTTGTTTGGCGTGGTTGGTTGTTGTTTGGTATGGTGGTTGAAGTTGGAGGAGCGTCCTTGATGAGCGTGAAAGATGACGGCAGCTTCTGTTTGGTGGGGGCCTGTCAATCGCGGGGCACATGATGTGATGTGAATCGAGTCCGTGCACGTGCACGACAGTCGTCATGTTAGTGAGGTGGTTGTCGAAAACTTGAACGTGATTGTTGCACGATGATGCTAGAGATACGGCCTTTGTGCGTCGATTTCGATGTGTTGCAGATTAAACAGCCTCTTGATACAATTTGCCATTTGGAGGGCTGTGGGAACTTCACATTGGTCCGTAGGGAGAAGGTGAAATAGGAGGAGAASAGAATTAGTGCTCTGGTTCCTCTCTTGCCATCATCATCATTCTAGAAAACAGCTTCCTTACATCCTGTGGGCCTGATACTCACACACTCATACCAAACTCAACTCCATCTTCCCTTCCAATACCTCTTCCGTTTACTCTGAGCTGGCTCATTCGTCACAGCCTGCTGTACGTCCCGCTCGAATCTCTCCTTCTCAATGCTCCACCACCAAGCCCAGCCTGTCAGTGTGGCAATGGTCAAAGGCACAGTAACGACCCAGTAGATGTAGAACGAGGAAGTGACCGTGGTGGCTTCCCAATCGAACATGCCCATACTGAAGAGCGTCTAGTGTTGAGTGTCAGTATGWATGGGATGAACATCCCATCTCGGAGACGTACCGCCACGAAGGTCCCGGGAAGATAGGCGGCTGTGATCAACGCAATGATCTTCATGCTCGTACTATCCTTCCCGGCCGATGCTGCTAGCCTCGCACCCGTTTGTCCATCGTCTTGTGCAATGGCAGTGTACAACTTTGAGAAACGTCAATGATCTGTTGTGTAGCAATAACAAATGGGTGTACTCACAATGTTCAATTGCAATTCCACTCTTGCCATTGAGGATCGTACAACTTCTGAAGAAGACTCGCAGTAGTTTCTTAGATAGTCTAGTGTCTCTCGGAATATGTTRTTAGCAACATCGCTGTAATCTCGTAGGCGCTGGTACTCGAGCGCTTTCGAGAGAAACTCGATCGTTGCAACGTCCCATTGTGGGGAACGTTGGGCAAAGATGATCGTAGTCGACAAATCATTGACTGCAGGGGCGTAGGGTCAGTATCGTCTACTCAAAGGTCGCAGAATCTCTGGGTTCATCACATACTTGTTCCAACCAAAGTCTTGGCGTTTTGCCGCTGCATGTGCTCAGCAACGAACAGCTTTTGATCATCTGCATGCTGATAGTCGGTGGGAAAGTCCAGTTCCGTCCTTCCAGATCGGCCAGTCTTCGTAATCCCAATACTATGCTCAACAAGCACGACCCTCCGGCTCAAAGCTCCCATCACATAATGCTGTACGCGGCGGGCATGTTCTACCAGAAACAAGCACGGGAGAAGCAGTGGATGTCCCCAGCACTGTTGGCAATCGTTCAGCTGCTCTAGGAATTGCACGAGTGCTGGTGGCGTAATGTCGGGCTTCGCATGAAATTCCTTCAAATCAAAGGCATAGCCCAGAATCAAAGCAGTCGTCAAACCTTTCTTGAAGTCATGAGAGATTGACAAGCCGCCGATGCTGCAGTCTTTGAGCTGTGGCGTTCGGAATACAAAGGCCAAGGACTTGCAAGTCGCGACCGTACTCCCTTCAGGAAAACAGTGGGAGGAGTATATACCAGAGTCCAATTGTAAGGCTGAGTATGTATGGCTTGGTAGACCGAGACCTTTCAAGACGGTTCCTTTCGCCAGCTTTTCGGGTATGGCATGGCGGAAAGTTGACTCTGGCTGAGCGAAGAGGATCCGAATGGTGCAGGAATCTGTCGGGCTATTATCTGATCGGGGAAGCAGCACTGGTGATGCGAATGATCCTCTCTGCCATGTCCAATCTTCGACTTCTGCTTCCTGCAAACGCCTTACTATGGGCTTTCCCGGCRAATTCTATCCATGTTAGAAGTGCCGTGCTTTGTGAATTGAACAGCATCTTACCTTGTCGCTCTTCCGTGCCTCCACASACGCAAAGTATCCACCGCCGATTTTATCAGGCGAGACTTCTAGCGGGCTTTTCTGGAAAGCTTTGAGCATCTCCGGGTCAGTGTTTGGAGGACTTTAGTGCGGTATAGCTTTTCTTGAGCGCAGACAGCTCTGTCATATTATATCTGCGGTCGCGTCATAGCTCGTACGGCTGAATATAAGGCCACCAGGAAGTTTCGAGGTTTGTGACTAATAAGGACGCAGCTGGCAGACGTGCCTCCTGATGAGGTGCGTGAGGCTGAGAAGGAGCTGGCAAGTCTTGGCTGCATATCGATTGGCCCATATTTAGCGCGATTCCAGAGCGGCGCTTATAATTTATGGCAGTTGGTTGTGGCGATCAGTATTTCTTGTCTGGCTTGATCGCATCTTGAAGCCTTCTCTTCATCATGTAAACCAGCGCGACGACTCGATGAAAGAGAGGGTTGGGGCCGTGAGATAGTCGTCAGTGCCAAAAGCGGCGCGCTTTCCCGCGCGAAATGGGCTGTTCCAAACGCATTGCACCCATATGGCCAAGAGGTACTTTCCAGTTGAAGTTCGTGTACGGTATCTTACCGAGTTGTAGGTGCTCGTCCTTTGAATTTCAATTCTAGGAACCTCCCTCGGCTGTATTGTTAGTGATTGGTCGAAATGCCTTTTGTGCTGATAAGAGGTCAAATTCGCCCAGAAGACAAGATGAGTCAAAGCCGAGATGCGACATTCGCCGACAATCGCATGCTGCAGAATGTGATAAAGTCGTTCGTTCGTTATCAACCGCTCAGAATTACATCTCATTACTCCGCCGGGTTCTCCGTGATCTGAAACTCAAGCGCGTGCCATTCATTCCTCACTGGATGGCGGTTGCGCTGATGATCTTTACTTCGGACTTGGGTCTGTCATTACCGTCCACAGCAACGGATCCAAGCTTGTCGACAACATCCATGCCACTGCTGACCTTTCCAAAGACGGTATGTTTGCCGTCTAAGTGGGGCGTAGGACCAAGCGTGATGAAGAACTGCGAACCATTCGTGCCTGGTCCTGAGTTTGCCATCGAAAGGGTTCCCTTTCCAGTATGTTTGAGGTGTGCAACGAACTCGTCTTCGAATTTGTCGCCATAGATCGATGAACCTCCTCTGCCTGTGCCGGTCGGATCGCCTATACATGATGAGACATATCAGCTTATGCCTTTGCGGAGAGGTATACTGATAGACACTCTCCCCAAGTATATCGGGACCACTGACCTCCCTGGATCATGAATCCAGATATGATGCGGTGGAAGATGACATTGTCATACTTGCCCGTAGCTGCGAGGGTGGCGAAGTTCTTGCAGGTCTGAATATCTTGTCAGCGCTCCAATTCCTCAATTCTGGCCTGGTGATGTGACGATTTACACGTGGAGTCTCCTTTTCATAGAGATCAATGGTGATATCGCCTAGTGAGGTGTGCAAGATGACACCCTTGGCACCGTCTGGGTTTCCGCCCGACTTGGGAGCAGTGCTGCTGCTGGCGCTGCCGGCTTGGTCGCCCTTGTCCTTGTTAAAGATCTTCTTGAGTTTGTCCATGTTGAAGGTCGCTGAATGCTCGTCTGAGAGATTTCCGATGTGAAGTATTTCGATTGTGAGAGGTGAGAGGTGAGATGGAGTGAGAAACCGGCGGGCTGAGGAAGAAGTCGCAGTCGCGGTGACGTACTGGTCGGAATGTCAATGCGCGTCCTCTATCTGGGGCAACCGCTGACTCGAATCACAGAGATGTTTGAAAGGTGCGGAGATTGAAACATCGGTGTACACTTTGATGCCTTGCATGGACAAACGGTACCTTACGTCGTCTCTCACACCGCGCATGTGGCTGTGGCTGAACATGCGAATCCCAATGCATCCATCTGGAATCTCGTCATCGCGATCGAGGCGACATCGGCGTCTTTCGCCGTCCAAATGATGCATACAACATGGAAGATGGTGCGCATTTTCCGTAGGATGATCAGATGAGGTCGCTTGATGAGATGCGGTTAAGTTAATCTCCCGGCAAGAAAATAGAAGGATGATCGTTGTGCTGGGCTTGGCTTCGGGCCGGGATGAAGCCATTAAAGATGACCTCCAAGAACCTTACCACAACATCCACCAACATCTCGATAGATCGGGTCCCAATTGTCGATTCCCAGGCCTATATCGTAGCAAAGAGCCTGCACAATCTGAAGTAGAGCACTATGCGAATGTCATAGTCACAGCGCCAACATCAATGGACCAGGAACCAGGTCCAGATTTCGATTCAGGAAGCCGTGAGTCAACCCTATCACACCTAACCTGAGGAAATGGACTCTCTGCTTTAGCCATTGCTTTTGAACAATCAACGTAGCCGTGTTGATTATGGCTGCATTACCATTCCTTGGAGACGAACGTACTGCACCGCGCTGGACTCTTTGTCCCAAACATGGCGTTTATGCATCGAAGATTAGTCGTCCTTGGCTCAGTAATAACACCTTTCACCCGAGAATCATGGAATAAGCGCATCACAATATTTAGAGCGCACTGTACGCTCCGATTCGAAGCTACCTAGGTAGCGACTATGCCGAGAGCATCCACTCTACGCATTCCTCAGGCATAACCTCTTAAACGAAAGAGTTAAATGCATATCACTATCTGCTTTTGGGACGATTTTCACATATCGAGAGTAGCCATCGCTCTCACAGCTTGAGCTATATTCTTTCGACCGTGCTAGGCAGCACAAAATACACCCTCTTCTTTAGACGTCGAGAGCAGCCAAGCTTCGCATGGCTTTACTAGTCTCCCTTCGAGAGCAATAAGATGAATAATTTGCGCCCTCTACTTCAACGACGACGGTTCCGTCTATACAGTGTCGGTATAATCTTCTCAGTAGCGATGATAGAAGACATTGCGCTCTCGGAACCGAAGATGATTTTCATGCATCGAGTATAGCAATGCTCCGCATAGCATTCCTTGGGTTTCTTCGAGAGCGAATTCCAAGCAGGGCGTACAAGTCCCTAAGGCGGACTAGACGCAATGTGTTAGTTAGCATTACCTCCCCGAGCGCGGTCGCTTGTGACAATCGCACTCTCGAGCTAGAATATGAGTTTTGTGCATCGAGCGGAGCGATGCTTCGCACGGCGCTCGTGTAATATTTGGAGATTGACTGTTAGATAGGGCGGCAATCTGATTCACATAGAATACACGCAATGTGAAGAAGCGTTGAGCGGGAGTTATGAGGGCAGATTGGGTCATACATTCACTTGCATTCACCAAGCTGACAAATCAATTGAGACAAAATTGACGAATACAAACAACAACGCTGCAATTTCCTGCTCCCTACTGTACACACAGAACCTCCCTCAAACCCTTTCCCCATCCAACCCTCACAAGGACTTCCCACACCGCGGTATCTCAGCGCTCGGCGGTTCCTCACCAGACCACTCACCAGCCAGCTTTGGCGATTGCTCAGCGAGTATCTCTCGCTCGACCCGTCTCGCCTCCTGCTCCTCGGCCGCTTTCTGCTTGCGAGCAATTCGCTCCTGCTTCATGTCTTGAATCTCAGCAAATGTTTCCAGGACAGACGGTGGTAGCGTGTCGGGGTCTTCGGAGGGGAGAAAGAAGTCAATCCGGCCATCTTGCCCGACTCTAACAGTCCACATAGAAAGGTCGTTGGGCACAATCGACTTGGTGGTCAGCACTGAGGCCGCCATCGCACGTTGCTGGCGCTCGTCCCAAAAGGCGTCATCGCACAATTCCTTGAGGAAGCTGGGCGGCAATCGCGAAATCAGGAGGTATTCCGGGGTCTCTTCCCGCCGGAGGAAGTCGTATGGCTTGCCGGCGTACTGGTTGTAGGTCCTCGGCGACGGCCAGTGCTCTGTCAGCATAACAGGCGTTGGCTTGCCAATGAGGCTTGTGCAGATTTCGAGATCCCATTGCTCGCAGACACCTGAGAACAGGGCGACCTCSAGCTCAAATCCACCCTCGCTGGTGCAACTATCCTGGTAGAATACCTCGTACTGACGGTGTCCGTTGCCGACCTTGTTGATTACATGTCCCATTTCGTGAACAAGGTAACGCGCAAGGATGTATTGCGACGTGGACGAGGGTTCGTCCACGTTGATCTGCGTGTGTCTAGCAGAGAGCTCGATCTTGGCTGCCATGGCGCGCGGGAAAATTTGCCGCGCAGTCTCATCCAGCTGGCCGAACTGGTGTTTCGATGTTAGACTGGTCGATTTCCCTGGCAAGTCATTCTCCACGAAGACAATACAGGCTAAAACTCTCGCGATGTTCTCCAGGATCTCAGCTGATCTCTTCCTCATGTCCTCTGCGGGAGGCAACACCCGTTGTGGCAGACGGGTCAGATGCCGTTGGGGAAGACGCAAGATGTCCGCCTCGTCGAAAGCAGGCTCCGCGGCATCGATCTCGGGCCACTCGAGCTCCTCGGACCCGTCATGCAGAATGCCATCGTGCATCGTGTAGATGTAGTGGGTTGCTCGGTCGTYACTCAACATGCGCGAGGCGAGTCTCAGGGCCGGCGCCAGCTTGTCGTAGGTCGCTGGTGCTAGAGGACTGAACTTCCCGTCCTTGATGTCGTAGAACTTTCCGCGCGCGAAAATAGATAGGATCGGGTTGGTGAGGTTAAATCCCCAGCTCAAGTCGTCGTGTGGGTTGGGCAGATTGAAGAAATCCGAGCAGCAGCAACCAGGGCACTCCTCGAACGTTGTGGTCTTGGAACACATAGTTGAGTGATTGGACGTGCWGTATGGTGTGTATGGTGTCGTGTACTGTAAGACTGCTGAGAGAAGAGGCTGGTCTGTTGTGTCTTGTTCTTGCAAATTATTCCAAGTGTGTGTTAGAAGGAAGATCGGTCAAGTCGGAGGAGCAGGAGTTGTTTTGTTCGACCTGTGCACGTCATGTCCTCAAGACTCGACGTCCTCAAAACAGCCCGCATCATGCCGGCCAAACTTCGCGTCCTCAAAGTCAAGGTTGCACAGAACCACCACATCCGCATGCGTATAGAACTCACGGCAGCAGTAGGTTTGGGCGGCACCACTCGGAGCAGTGGCAGATCCAAAGTTCGGAGGGAAATGGCATATTATTGCTACTCCTCAGAGCGTTGCTTTCGTATACTGGTCGCAATGACCAGGCAGTTCTCAGGACGCTCTGGGGAGTGTTGGAGAAAAAGGTTGGAGAATATTGCAGACGTTTGCTTCTCAGCAGATTATACTGATCACAACGACAAGATTCGAAACCGTCGGATGCAAAGATGGCTGACATGGAAAGCAGAGAGATATATACCCACCTAACATTTGTTTGTCGGACTGTATAGGCCTCTTTTCCCATTTTTTCTTTGAATTACTGGACACGACTGGGCATGATGGAACAAGCAACGCAACGACCTCCGACAACCGGGCTGCGGAAAGAGAGAAGAAAACATGGAAGATGGTAGCAAGCACTTACGATATGCCACAGTGTTGCTAGCCTGTCCATCCAGGCAGTAGGGCTCCATTGGTGCACGCGCGAGAGCTGAGTTGCGTCCTAGCATCCCTCGTCCAGATCTCCAACTGTACGCTAAGGCATTGTACCAGCGACTTCCAACCTTGACCTTGTCGACCGTCGACCGTCGACCGTGTGGATGGACTTCACCATTTCGGTACAAGTATGGACAAGAATTTCATGCACAGAGCTCTGTTTTCCAGGAGAGATGGTGTGCGACCCTGGGCCTGCGTGAGAAGAGTATCCAGAGGTGATGTGAAAACCCTGCTGTCCATTGAACATTCGCGAGGACCATCGCAAACAGTTGTGTAGGCTGGAGAAGCTGGAATGTTCATCTCCATCCAGTCGCTCGTCTCTGATTGTTCTGAAGCATGGATGCGAAGTCCGGCCCTCCTCTCAATAAGCACCGGTATACGGCCAGCTTGATGACACGAATGGATGTCTCTCTAGAATTGGTGCCAGTTCCTATCTGGAGCGCAAGCAGGGCCCGGACGATCATGGCCGACACGCGACTATTTCGCGTTCACCCGGATCCGTCGACAGTCCAGGCGAAGAGCTTTGGAAGACGGCAGGTGATGTTCCACGCGAAGGGGTCAAGGCACAAGGGGTCCATCGCAATGTTACCTTACTGGAGGTTGCCACTGGCGCTGGAAATATGGTTGAAGCTCGGCGAAGCGGCAAAGGAGCGGCGACCGAGATCTCCGTAAATAGGTGCTAAACACCGTCGGCTTTTGCTTTTGCCTTTTCACTCAAGATCTGGTAACGTAACCCGACGGCAGCAACGATGGTGTCCTATAGCAGTTTCCTAACTGGCCTCGCGGCATGGAAAGATTGTTCACAAAACAGCAGCAATAGTATCTGACAGCAGTGGCAAGTGAAGGGAGTCGAAGGAAGTGTCTAGAGTGCCATCACGATTTGGACCGCTGACACCGAGACCGTCTACGATTGGCTCCTTTGTTTCTCCAGAGTCGAAATTGACTCCAGCTTTTCACATGCTGCCGAGGCCTTTGTGGGGAAGGGGACGGGAGTGACCAACGACGAGATCCTAGATCACAAGGACACGATGGTCAGCAGCCCGCATGGCCGGGAAGGACGCGGCACATTCACATGCAAATGCAAGGCCCGTCTCCTGATGGAGCAATAATATAACGAGCTTGCCAGGACCGTCGACGCCGGCTTCCTTTGTACATCTTTGCCGCCATCACTTATTTCCGTAAATCTAAAGTGTTGGTCGCTTTCCCCACGAGACTTGCCACATTCGAGGGATTGAAGGCCTGGCCAGTGCTTTTGAACCCTTGCCGAGGCATTCTTTCAGATCATATACCGACCATCTCTTCCAAACAACACTCCCTCTTTGTTCCCCACACACCTCACCCTCTCCCACATACAACAAATCATGCCTGAGCGAGTTATTGTTGTTGGCGCCGGCCGTAAGTACCAGACTCTTCCCGACAGCGGGCAGCATCACTGACCTCTGAACAGTTTCCGGCTTGAGCGCAGCCCACACGATCTACCTCGCAGGTGGCAATGTCGTTCTCCTCGACAAGAACAGTAAGGAAAGGCGGTGGAATATGCAAACATGGATGCTAAGACGTTTCCGCAGACTTCATGGGAGGAAACTCTACCAAGGCGACATCCGGTATTAACGGTGCCTTGACGCGCACACAGGTCGACCACAAGATTGGCGACAGCGTCAAGCAGTTCTACGACGACACCTTCAAGTCCGCTCGTGACAAGGCCCGCCCAGACCTCATCAAGGTCCTCACATACCAGTCTGCCGCTGCCGTTGAGTGGCTCCAGGATGTCTTCAACCTCGATCTCACTCTTGTTTCCCGTCTAGGGTATGTACACTTCAAGTCGATTACTTCTGGCCTTTTTCTAACTTTCCCCACAGAGGTCACTCATACCCTCGAACTCACCGTGGCCACGACGCCAAGTTCCCCGGAATGGCCATTACCTACGCCCTCATGCAGCGATTCGAGGAGCTGGCTGRGAAGGAGCCTGAGCGCGTTTCTCTGATCAAGAAAGCCAACGTCAAGAGCATCAACATGGACGGCCAGAGGGCGATTGGTGTCACATACGAGTTCGGTGGCGAGCAGACCTCTCTCGAGGGCCCTGTTGTCCTCGCAACTGGCGGTTACGCTGCCGATTTTACCCACGATTCGCTTCTCAAGAAGCACAGGCCCGACACTTTCGACCTCTCCACCACCAACGGCAACCACGCTACTGGTGACGGCCACAAGATGTTGATCAAGATCGGCGCAAACGACATTGACATGGACAAGGTGCAGGTTCACCCCACAGGTCTTGTAGACCCCAAGGACCCAACCGCAAAGACCAAGTTCTTGGCTGCTGAGGCGCTCCGTGGTGAGGGTGGTCTTCTTCTCAACAACAAGGGAGAGCGATTCGTCGATGAGCTCCAGCACCGTGACTTCGTCTCCAATGAAATGTGGAAGCAGAAGGAGCAGGGCCTCTGGCCAATCCGCCTCGTGCTCAACAGCAAGGCATCCAACACTCTTGACTTCCACGCTCGTCACTACTCTGGCCGTGGTCTGATGAAGAAGATGACCGGAAAGGAGTTGGCGAAGGAAATTGGCTGCGACGAGAGCGCACTTAACAAGACCTTCACGGCATACAACAAGTACGCGAACGGCGACGAGAAGGACCCATACAACAAGAAGTTCTTCCACAACTTCCCCGTGGAGGTCAACGACGATTTCCACGTCGCACAGATGGAGCCTGTGCTCCATTTCACCATGGGTGGTATCGAGATCAACGACCAGGCACAGGTTCTGAACGCTCAGGGCAAGCCTTTCGAGGGYCTTTTCATCTGTGGTGAGTTGGCTGGTGGTGTCCACGGTGCCAACCGTCTCGGCGGTTCTTCTCTCCTCGGATGTGTTGTCTACGGTCGTGTCGCTGGCTCAAGCTCAAGCAAGTACCTCATGCAGCGCCTCCTCAACGGCGCCGGTGGTGTCGCCGCGACTCGTGCCGGACAGATCAGCCTACACATCGACCCAAGCCAACCCGGAAAGGTCTCGGTTGAGTGGGGTAACGGCGTCAACGCTTCTAGCAGCGACGGCAGCTCCGCAGTTCAGCAACAAGCACAGCGTTCCGCAGCACCTGTAATGGGAGGCTCCGGAGACAGCAAGGACCCCGGCAAGGTCACCGACAGCAACGATGTCAAGAACTTCAAGGTCCCCGAGGAGGAGTACTCACTCGAGGAGGTCGCCAAGCACAACAAGAAGGAAGACCTATGGATTGCCGTCAAGGGCGTTGTAATGAACGTCACAGATTGGGTTGATGAGCACCCTGGTGGCCCTCAGGCACTCTTCTCACACATGGGCAAGGACGCCTCTGAGGAGTTTGAGATGATGCACGATGATGAGGTTATTCCCAAGTACGCGGCTGGAATCGTCATTGGACGAGTAAAGGGACAGGAAATCACATTGGAATACTAGGGAAAGCTTTTGATTTAGGCGGAATAGCTTGATTGTATTACCCTGTTGTGTAACATGCGCCTTGGTTTCCGTTCGCTTTCAAATTTGTATCCCCATTCATTCAGCACCGCGAACAAAGCGGTCGWGGCTTCGAAGTGGTCGAAATGTCAATCCAATCTGCGACCGAGCGTCCACTTCTGGAGCCAGGACGGGTGCCACGTGGAGGACGGCTGGTCTCGATCTACATCCATCTCACAACACCACAAACATCGATCAATGGCGTGACTCCATGGGACGCTACAAGTCGTTGCCGCGCTCGGACAGCTTGAAGAAGGTGGAGGTGTATCCTGCGCTCGGAGACCCGAATGTGGGAATAAGGTGTTCTACGACTGTGATGCCGGGACTGAGGGAAAACTCAACTAATGTCTACCATTTGTGTATGTGTGTGTCAGTGCCAGATCAACTTGGTCAATGAACTTACCTCTCTCATACACTTGTTTCTACACCCGAGCTGCTCGACAACCACAACTGCAACGATATGACGATGGCGGTATAAAGGCCTGGATGGAGAAAGTCTAGATTCCAGACGAACATACGTTCTACATAATGTAAAACCCTTTCCAAACGTCAAGATTCGCTCATTGCGCCTCAATATTGCGCTTGTTTGCTCTGCACCTTGATTCCCTGATCTTCCAGTCCGGTCTTGAAAGCGTCTTTCAGATCCTCCTTCGTGTCCCCCTCGTCTTCTCTCGCGTTCTTCGTGATCTTCTTCGTGAGCATTTCCTCGACCATCTGTTCGCCGGCCTTCTCCGCTTGAGTGCTCTCAGCAGCAGATGCAGCCTCGCCTGCTACACGATCATCCAGAGCGAGCTTGGACTCGCCAAGAGCGTGGATCTGCTCCTCAATCGTGCCTTTGCTCACAAGACGAACAACCTCCACTTCACGGGTCTGACCAACACGATGCGCGCGATTCTCAGCTTGGATGTCGTCTTGTGGGTTGAAGCCAGAGTCGAAGATGATGACCTTGTTTGCGGCCGCGAGGTTGATACCTGCACCGCCAGCCTTGGTCGAAAGCATGAAGACGGTGATGGCTGTGTCGTTTGTGAATGTGTCAATCATCCCCTGTCTGATGTCCATCTTGGTCTGGCCGTCAAGTCGCATGAACTTGATGTCCTTCGTCTCCATGACCGTCTCGAGGATGTCCATGACGGTTGTGAATTGTGAGAACAGCAAGACCCGGTCTCCATTAGCCTTCCATTTGGTAATGMGGTCAACGGCGATCTTGACCTTGCCTGAATCCATCCATTCTTGATGCTTAAGAGCAAATTTCTTGCGCAGATAGTCACGTTCCTGACAGAAACGATGGACACCAAAGTCACCACCCTTGAGGACCTGATCAGAAGCCTTTCCGTTCAGATACGCGCGAATCTTGTCAGCAGAGTTGCCTCCGAACTCCTCAGACTTCTGAAGCACCTTCACGATCTTCTCAATCCTTGCATCATCGTATATGCGGTTCGAGAGCAGAGGGTGAATCGCAGCTTTCCGGAGCTTCATGATGACATTGGAACTGTACGCAGCGGAGCCCTTGATCACTCCTGAGGCCTTGTCTTCGAAGAAACGTTGCGCTTCCGTAAGGATGTCGGCGTAGTGCTCAGATTGGGTGTCGGTCATGTCGCACCACTCTACACGGGACGTCTTCTTGGGCAGATCAAGAACCTGATGTTTCTTCCTGCGAAGGATGAATGGCCGCATCATTGTGCGCGCTCTCGCAATACGCTCGCTCGATAGAAGAGCGGCGTGAGCAGTGTCCTTGGTGCTGGCCTTGTGCTTGAAGATATATTCCAGATCTTCGCTCTTTTGAGTGAACAGTTCTGGCATGATGAAAGCGAGAATTGCGACGAGTTCCTGGAGATTGTTCTGCAAAGGTGTTCCTGTGAGGAKCACCTTGAAATCTGCGCCGATTCGCATGAGCTGCTTGTATCGATTCGATTTGGGGTTTCTCAACATGTGCGCTTCGTCGTACACGCAGACCGAAAAAGGTCCGTACTTTCGAAGCCATCGATTGTCTTGCTCGGTGCAAGACATGTCGTAAGTTGTGACAATCACATCAATGGTCTCAAAGTCCTCGTCAAGGGTCATTCTTAGCTCCTCTCGCTCCTTTTGCATCCCATAGTATGGGCGAACGTTGAGTTCGGGAGCAAAGCGGGCGAATTCACGGAGCCAGTTTTCCAGAGTAGATCCCGGGACGATGACGAGATGGACTCCGTCGACTTTCTGCATTTGCAGATGCGAAAGAAATGCGATGATTTGACAAGTCTTTCCCAACCCCATGTCGTCRGCCAGGATGCAAGAGAGCTTCTTCTGGAACAGGAGGTCCAGCCAGTTCAAGCCAACAAGTTGGTAGTCCTTCATGATGAGATCAGGACTCATGATTTTGGGCTGGCCGATGAACTTGCCCTTGCTGGAAGATGTCTTCTGAGCAGCGCCCTCCTCCACGGCGCAAGAGCTTAGAGGCGTGCCAATCCCGGAGTCTTGTGCTTCGTCGAGCTTCATAATCTGCAATTCGCCATCGCCTTCGCCGTTCACTCCCCATCCCTTCAGAGCTTCCAACAATGGCTCTGCGATCTGCTCACATTGCACCACCAACTGGTCTACGGCATCATAGCCAGTCATGACCTCTGTACAATCATCGACCAGCTTGTCACCGACGGCGCGCGTTCGCTTGGACTTCTTGCCCGTCTTCGTTAAGGTCTCCATAACGACAAGACGGACATCATCCAGCGTCTCGAAGGGCCGCTGATCCAGCACAAACTCGATATTTTCATTCGGCTGCCCAGAGAGCTCGGCCAAATCATGCACCGTCGACTCGTTGAAGATTTTGAGTAACCGCGCCTCACGTATCTCCTGCATGCGTCCTGACGGGTCTTCCTCTTCATGGGAAACTTGAGCGCCCTTCGCCTCCTCAAACTCGTCCGCGCTAGCATCCGGGCCAGCTCCTGGATCGTCCTCCGAGTCCGACTCAATAGCGATCACTGACTTCTTCACAAGCCGATTCCGCCGAGGAGCCTGCTGCCGAGGTGGAGAGGATGATGGAGATCGATCCCCCTTGAGCCCTTGCACAAGTCTCCCTCTGTGAGGCTTGATGATTTCCTCGTCGTCTGAATCTAGCTCAATTGGTTCATTGGCTACCGGTCGCTTCTTGTTGGCATTGTACCGCTCTGCAATCGTCTGGAGTGGCTTGTGAATGTGCTGCTTGGCTGCGGGCCGGACAGGCTGCGATGAGTTTCGRGAAAGCGACGATTGTGAAACTGGCTGCGCGATGCCCCTCCTCTGGATTGGGCTGCTCATGTGGGATAATTCGTCCGTCTGGCGCTCGGCATCTTCTTGCTGCGCCAACCAATCCGACGAATCCAGCATGTTACCCCTCTTGAGAAGGAGCGCGTCCATGCATTGCTGTACTGACCATTTGGACTGTATTTTTCGTAGCTGTTCGACCTTGCGACGCAGTGCGAAATCCTCGATATCTTCCAATCGATGGTATGCGCGCGCGGACGATACTGGCATTGCTCGGGATGGAGCTGTCTGCGGATTCGGATTCGGCTGTCGGGCCAGCCTCGAGGTGGTTCCATATGCACTTCCCATATCATCCATGGGCGACTGTGGTGGAGGTTGCTGATAGCCAAACTTACTCAGCATGCCCATGAAGGCGGTGGGGGCCGCGTGCTGGACGGAAACGGGAGCTTGTGCTTGAGGAGACTCGCTAATAACCCTATTCGGCGAGGAGTCGAGCCCACGACCAGCTCGCTTAAAGTTGGTTGGCTTGATGTGTGGGTGGCCACTAGTCGGCATCTCTTCGTCACTGTGCTCGACTGGTGGGTCCTCATCACTGTCATCGACGTCTATCCGAATTGGTTTTGCTTGCACTCCTGCAGGTCTCCGGAATGCGGTACCAGGGGGTGCCATTGATCGAGCAAGGACACCATTTGGCCTCGCGAATGGCGCGCGCGTGATTGCTGCTGGGACCGGCTTTTGCGCAGGAGAAGCTGCGACTGGAGAGGATCGCTCCACCTGTACTTCTGGTGTGCGTTGCTTTTGCAGTGATTGCGTGGGTTGGGTCGTATGCCGTAGTGACTGCGTGGGCTGTGTGACAAAAGTTGCCGGGGAGGATCGAGCATGAGTGCTGGCACTGAGTTCCGAGTGCAGTTGTCCAGGACCATACTGTAGCTTGCGCTTGGCCTCGGGCTCCACCGCGCGCGTGGTGGTTGCAGCTGGCTGGAAGTCATTCTCGGTCAAGTCTGCTGCGCTGTCTTCATCCGAGTTCCACGGTCTGCCACTGCCGGCGTCGGCGTTCAGTTTCCTCCTCTTATGCGGCGTTGCATCGCTGCTGATTGGATCGTCTCGGTCGGCCATGCTGCCGTTGTGGCRGTTGCGTGCGATGTGTTGTGAGGTAAGGTAGTCTGAAAGAGAGGAATGCGCGGCGATGGAGTAGGCAAGCGAGACTTCCTGGAGCAAAGAACAACGGCAAAAGGAAGTTGTTGTGTACTGTACAAACCGACTGATTGCTCTGGTTCAAGGCGCCTAACAAAGCCGCCGCCGCGATGTCGAATGTGACGAGTCCAGGTGTCGAAGGCGCGTGGAAGACGAGAATCTCGAACTTCGAAGTTCAGTTTCGTGACTTCCTCGCGAGGTCGGGCCGGAGCTCGGGCCGCGTCCCGAGCGAAGCGGCGTCGAAACGCCAGTGAATGAACATCGTCGGACCTTTCTATTTGTTCATCAACCTCGACTTCACTACAGCAAATCATGGCGACTCGAAGAATTGCTACCGCAGAGAAGACATTGATAGATCGGGACGATGTCAACTCGGGAGCGAAATCAGACATCACGCCAGCAGTGCCTTCGTAAACATACCTCTAACCACCACCACTTGAAGCATGTGACTGACAAGAAAGCAGATCGGTCATCGTCAAGCTCCTTACCTTCACATTCGCTATGGTCACACTACCAATCGGAAGCTACTTCGCGACTGTGAACGTGTTGTTTGGAGGTCGGCAGACGCTTTCTCCACTTTGTTACGCCACGCTGATTTCCATAGGTAACTCCACGTATGCTGGAGCCCTTGCCGCTATCATGGCAAATGTAGTGCTCATGGGCTATATCATTGTTGCATTCAATGATGATAAGAGTGAGAGGGAGGCAGAGAACGAGAAGAAGGCCCGCTAATGGAGATATCCGATTGCTGCCGCGAGAAAAGGCTGCAATGCGCCGACCATTTCAATGCCGCTTACAAAGCGTCTGGTTGCCCGGGAAGGACCAGCTACCATGTCTGATCTATAAGGTCCGTCTGTAATGGATATATTCGACCTCGAACTCGAAGCGAGGGGGTGAAGTGGCACACAGTACCGTGAAGGTCATTACGGACTCAGCGCCTCAGCTCGAAAGATGGTGTCGAATGAGGTGAGGTACCAAAGGACCGCCTGATGAACGACACCTTCTCCTTGAAATAATGACTTGACGAAGTCATCGGCACAGCGATGGGGTCATGGGAACAGAAGAATCCTCGCTCAGCTTGATTGATTGCAGCTGCCATAGAGTTACCTACGCCCGCGACGAGCGTAAATGCCGATTGTTCAAGCGCTATTGCAGCTCCCTACATATATCGTGCTTCGCGCCAAGAGCAACAAGGGTTTGCGGGTCTTGCAGGCAGCAATCAAGCATACAATGTTGTGTATGCCATGCTAAATGAAGCGTTGGGATGCAAGACACCACATCTTCATATGTCGCACGATACTCACGCAGAGCACAATCAACCCCATTTGCTTCGCATGCTTATCTCAAGCAAGGCAGGAGGTAATCATGAGCCATGGGCCTGTCATTCAAGGCCGCGCAGTCCCCTAGGGTGCACCATGGCATCGGAATGCTACATCATGCTGTATGCACACGGGTCCGGATCTACAATTGTGCCGAGCAGTGCAGCATCTTACCATGCCGGAGTGCTGCTCCGTAGAGTTGATTCGCAAAGGCAGCTCGCAAAGGCCTCCAATGATTATCAGTCGGAGCGGCACCTCGTTCTAAGGAATGGTCATGGCTGTTGCTCCATGCTGTGATTCATCGCGGATGCCACGTCGGAGACACGTTGAAGGCCCTGCAAAGCCATTCGGGCTGAAGCTTAAGCACGTTTCGCATGCCGATCGAGAAGCCTAGAAGCCTCGTGAATTGAGATGAAATGCACGTCGTCCGTGTTATGGTCAATACGTCGAGGAGTAGTTGCAGCTCGACGCACCCTGCTGGATTGAGGAGCGCTGCATGCTGTCAACGTCTGTACGGAAGTAGTCAAGGTGGAGAGCGCGTTGCGAAATATGTCTGCTCACCGTAATCTGTGCGGAAAGTTCCAAGGCCGTAAAGCAAGGCCGTCTGCCGTTCGGAGCCTTCGCCTCGCCTCGCCTCGCGTCATGCCCGACCAAACTTTTCACCGTTCTCACCGCAAGGTACCTTCCATTTTAGTACGAGCCAAATCGTGGTTTTTATTATTACCTACCTATCTGCGCAACTAGCACGCTTCTCTCACAGACATCGTAAGCTCAGTCGTTCGCGAACATGCACCCAGATATTTACGAAAAATGTCCTTTCCATGCTCCCATGCTCCGACAGGGATCGATCTACAAGCGGTTCTTCCACGCAAGCGTCACTGGCCCGTGTATAAATAGGGCAGAACCGTTGAGCCGTGCGTTGTGAGTGGACTGCTGTCACCATTAGAGTTTGACCATGAAACAATCAATTGATGGAGAGTCTGGAGAGCCATGGGAAGCACGTCGAGGGGCTTTGAACAGAGGTTCGGATTGAAATTGGCATGCCAGGGTGACCAGGTCGATGCGTTGGTGAATGCATGGGACTGTTTGCTTGCAGCGGAAAAGGTGCATTGCTCACTGCATCCGACGATGAAGAATAAAGTACCTACCTAGTAGGTAGTCCTAGCTGGAATCCAGTCAGCGGCGGCGCAGGGCGACCCTACGCGTCAGCGTTCTTTTGTCGTGCCATTGCTGAGCTTAAAGACCTGCCTACTTTCTGCACCTCTCACACACATTCCTCGGTCGCATCACCACTGACACCATCTCCCACAGTGCATCCCCTACTTCAAAAGCATCCGATAGCGTTCCACCACACCGCCGCTCGTTGCAGACCTGTCGACCACGCGAAGCGGATCCATCCGGATCGCCACTTTGATCAGCACAGGCMGTTTGTAGCGCACCCGCCCACGAGATCCTGGCTTCAATACCCACCCTGCTCCACTTTCAATCACCACGCAGCGCATTACGGCCAGGGCTAAATGTCGCAGATGTCACAGCCCCCAACGAGTGCCGAGAGGCCAGCCGTGCGCGGCCACCAGTCGCATGGATCACGCACATTTTCCTTCCGATCCAACAAGAGTGGAGGATCTCAGGCAAAAGAGGACCTCGCAGAGAGTCCACGGGATAAAGCCCGGCGAGACAGCATTTGGAAGGCCACCAGCAAGGCTAACCCCAACGCCGCGATCCAGGAAAACCAGCCGGGAGGTGTGTTCCAACCCTGCGTTCGTTATCGAGCACCGTTGCGCCTCTTTGATCCTGCATCATCACAGGCGTCTTGCTTTTCTCCGTCATATTCTCTCTTATCTCCTCCTACACATCTCATTATCATGGCGTCCGCACAAGCCGTACAGGCCGTCTCTGGCAAATCAGTTCTGACTAACGCTCCATCAGTAAATGCGGTTTTCGAAGAGAGCACCCTCGCACCGCTACGTAGCGTKCAGCACAGAGATGCGTTTGGCAACGTCATCAGTATGTACACATGTTGGAAACAACAACGACACCTTGCAATCGATGCTAACGATCCGCCAGCTGATCCAGATCTCTCGAATCCAACCCGTCCACGCCTGGAGAGACCTCTCGATACCATTAGATCGTTCGAGAAAGCCATTGACAATGGCTATAGGCGCAGGTCCAACTATCAGAGAGCTGGTGCGTATCAATGTCACAACATTCAAGGAGAGAGCAATCCAGCTGACTTCCTTCCAGAGTCAGATTCCAACATGCACCAACAGAACGACAGGCGCAACAGCGCATATGGTGAGCTCTCGCACTCCCCCTTACACCCGTCTTTGCTGACTCTTCGGCTACAGGTTACGATGCCGCCCCCTCCCACAACCGATATGCAAATGGCAACGGCGGTGGCTACTATGGCGGACAACGACCAGATAGCATGGCCGGCGGGCCACGTCGTCATCCCAACAACCGCATGACATCGGACTCAATGATGTACAACCAGCGACCGTACCCACACCACGCCCAACAGCCATCGCAAGACACCGGCTCCGATAGCACCGGACCTTGGGCCAACAGCACCGACCCAAGCAGCGAGAACAGCTCCATAGACCGGATTGCTCCGCCTGCAAAGCCATATGGTGAGAATGGATATCCGCAGAACGGTTATGCGCACAACGGTTATGGTCCAAACGGCTTCCAGGGCCCAATTCCTGAAGAAGGTGGCTCATACCCGATGCGCGGAGGTGCCCCTGCTGTGCAAGCGCCCGAACGTCGACCCATTCCACTAGGTAACTCTGGTGATGCTCCTCTTCCATCCGGCAGTCTGCCCTCCACCAAGCGACCCGAAGCAGAAAAGCGGAAGAGCTGGCTAAGTCGTCGCTTCAGCAAGAAGAACTAGAACGAAGGAGAAGAAACGACACATCAGAATTTCCGCGAGCAAAGCCGTTGGACACGCTTCTGATGGTCACTCCTTGCGTTCTTGCACATAATCTTAATGAATAATGGATCGGATATGACATGGCACGATCATTATGATCGTCAATTCGCATTGTTGGGCACTCTCTGCCGCGGCGCTACATCTGATTTTCCGGGGAGAGCGGGTAATGAAATGCGGGCTAGAATTGCGGCGCTTGGCTACAAGGACACGAACCGCAGCGGGAGTGGAGAGCAAGAGTGTGAGCGGGAGACGTCCAGTGAAGCCCATGGGATGAGGCTCGGGAACGATGAGGGGCTTCCAAGGTCCTTGGTCGGAATTTACCTTATGATACCCTCCTTTTATGAGACTTTTTCGCCTGTCTTGTGATATCTCACCGATTGTTGTTACGTGAGTGGTGGGCTCCGCTCCGACATTGACAAAGGATCATCAGAAGCGATCATTGGAAACCGACATTGAAGCTTCCAGAAGCGAGGAGCTTACCTTATTCCACCTCCTACCTGAGGATGATCTGCTGCACCGTGACTCACTCGATTGTAAAGATACTGACCACATGTAGCCTTGCTGGTGAGCACATGCTTCCAGACGACTCACCCCTACTCTCAAGCAATCAAATTCCAGCAACAACACATTCAACTTCAGACTCCAATTCTACGACAAATTACAGCCAAAATGGCGACGTCAGACTCAAGCACGCTTCCCAGCCACAAGCGACTCGTCCAGGAGGGCTACGACAAAATGGCAGCCGAATACACAGCATGGGCACTGACCGGCTCTCACACACGAATGCAATACGTTGCTAAGGCTCTTGAACAACTCCCAAGGGCTGCTCAGTCCACAATCTTGGAGGTAGGCTGCGGTGCTGGTGCGCCAGTTCTCGAACACCTGGTAAGAAAAGTGTCTCACGTCTTCGCCAACGACATTTCCAGCACCCAACTCAATCTCGCGCGGGAAAGATGTCCTGGTAAAACGACATTCCTATCAGGAGACATGGCAACTCTAGAAATTGCGCCTGGGACCCTTGATGTTGTGATGGGTTTCTATTCAATTCTCCATCTTCCACGGGATGAGCAGCCTGCAATGATCGGTCTGATTCATGGGTGGTTGAAGGAGGGAGGGCTCTTGGTGATGAACCTTGGTACGGAGGATCAGGAGGAATTGCGTGGTAAGTTCTTTGGTCAGGAGATGTACTGGAGCACATTCTCGGCCGAGAAAAGCAAGCAGATGATCAGGGATGCAGGATTTGAATTGCTGGAGGCGGAAGTGAAGACGGGCGAGGATTTGGATGCTTCTGATCCAGATCATGGAATCAGCTTTCTGTGGATCCTTGCGAAGAAGTCGACGGGTCCGTGATCTCTGGTGATGAAACTCCGGGTCCATCTGGATCTGAGAGTATGCCTTGACGTGAGAATGGGTTGGATAGTGTCCTGAGTCTGTTGCAGTCGAATTCAAGGCATGGTGTATGCGGTCGTGGCAATGGAAACACTGCATCTCCTTCCAGATAGAAATGAAACTCGTGCAAAAGGAGTCCAGAGCACTTCCTTCCTCCAGAATCCATCGCCATCCTGCTCCCCTAGTCGATCACCGTGAACCAACCGCAAATACGCATCRCGCACGTAAGCTTCTCACAAAACAGCCATCTTCACCCCATTCTCAATCTCCCCATCCATCCTCTTYCCCTCAACCATTTCCTCGGTAGTCATAAGTCCACCTGGAAGCACATAGACCAGATCCTTCCTCCGCCCACTTTCAGCCTTGGTCTCTTCGAACTGAGACAGATCAAGCTGATATGCGAAAAGCAGTCCACAGCGCGCGCACCTCACAGCATATCGCTTTTCGAATCCGTCTTCCAATTTCAGCACTGTGGGCGTCTCTTCCGCAGAAATGGCGCTGTTGAGGATACAAGATTCTTCGATGTTGCAAATGAGAGACCCATCGCCTTGTCGCTTTGGCGACTCTGTGAGTAGAGACTGTRTCGCAAGCGCAACCTCAGTGCAGATACAGTGGTAGGTTGTGACGGGCATGGCTTGYGCTGAGTGGTTGTTGATGGTCAAGAAGACGACGAACTCAAGTCGAATTTGTGGAGCTAAATTTTGGTGCACGAGCTTGCGCTTTTTCAACATTTGTCTCATTAGGTATCGTCTCATCTGCCTCGATAGGTATCTATGATTTTACAGCTTTCGTGATGCCCTGACCGTAGAGCCAGTGCTCTCCCTCCAAACGCCCTGCACAAAATCCAACTACCAGTTCGTCACTTTACGCCTAGAAATGCGAGTTCAAATGCCTGTTGGTCAAAACGCCATGGAACGCTCGCTAAATCAATTTGTCTTTCATCAATCGATCAATCCTTCCATCGCGCAAGAAACTTGGCCATATCGCCTTCAGGTCCAGCCTGCGCAGCAGCCTGTACACATCGTTAGCGGCATGAAACTTGAAATGTTCGGAGAGGCTTACAGTATTCTCTTGGATGGCCACGGAGAATGTCTGCGACTGCGTAATGGTGGTTGCAATTGTAGCCACTGGGAGAGCCGCTGTTGCGATCTTGTAGGAGCTCGTTGGGTGCAAAGGTTTGTAACCCTTCATGGTGATTTTGGTGGGCGGTACGGACTGCATCGGTGCATATTTTGTGAGGCCGGTCTGGTCGGCGTATGGCACGCCAAACAATCCCGCACCGCCTGCTGCCACGCCCGCGCCTGCTGCCACACCTGCGCCCGCCGCTGCATTGTTCGCGATATTGTTCTCCGTCTCAGGTACGTCGGTGGTACCAAGGCCAGCTGCTGCTTTCTCAAACTCGGGTGGCGTGTTACCGGTCATTCCCGTAATGGTGAAGCGATTCGAGTAGTTGTTGATTGTGCCGCCTTCACTAGCCGTCGATACCATCTTGAGGTAGCTGTCGGAGCGATGTCAGCGGGTCGTCATAGCATACTTCATGATTTCAGGAGCTCTCACAATCCGTTCTTAGTAGAATCTGCCATTTCTGGTGCTAAAGCGGGAATAGTGGCTTTGTTGCCTGTCGAGAAAGACCCAGTCACGGAGCTGAGTGGTTGCTGTTTGTCGTAGAAATGTCAGCCAGCCTGCATCGTCCAAGTACCGATAGCCCTCATCTKCCAACGCATGCGTGTCCAGACTTCTAAGAGCCTTCACCAGCTCCCCACGGTGTTCGACATACATTGTCAGTGGCGCCGTTCCCGCCTAGCAGGACAGTAATTGTATATGTCGCGAGGGCATCAAGTTTCGGGGAATCGCCAGAGTCCTCCCATGTGACGGATATGGCGCCGACGGGCAGACTCGACCCGCCTTTGGGTGTGAGGAATTTTACATCGGCGAGAACAGCGGGCGCGAGTGCTGCTGCCGCGAAAGCGCAGGCCTGTGAAACCCGCATAGCGAGGGGTGGACGCAGCGACTTCGGGAGCGACAGGCAGGGTGCAAAATGGTATCGCGAGAGGTAGCCGAGAGCGCAGTCGATCGATTCGCTGTACGCTGATACTGTTGTCGCTGGCGGTAGTGCGGAGTGAGGGGTTCGATTGGTGTTGTACGAAAAGTAGAGGTGGAGGCGGAGACTCTGGAGAAGTCGCGGTTGACGCGCAGGGATCCGCTAAATAATTGGATGTCGCCTTAGTCGCAATATGAGCTCTGACGTACTCTCATTGACTACATCACAATCTCTCTCATCACTGCTACATGCAATTCGATGTTCATGATAGGGACGCGAAGACACGGCAGCAGAGATGGTTCTGTGAGTTGCTACAATTATCGTCCGCATGCACTGGGTTCTCTTCCCCGACCGACAAAAGTCATCGCAACCGTAACAAGGCTCAATCAATCGCTCAGAACGCTCTTCATCCGCATTAAGAATGCTCAAAGCTCTCTCATCATCATCCGATGGGCAGCCTCAGCGCTTCCACTTGAAGTCTCGCCTGCGTGCAGTGGATCCGGGTAGTACCATGCCGTGACGGCAATCAGAATGTACACAAACACACACAGCGCACCCTCCAGGTAGTCGCTCTTTTCATCTCTAAGGAAATTTCCGACCACAATGATGGCGAGGATCAACACGATTGCATCAAACAGCTCAAAGTTTAGGCTCATCTGATCCTTGCTCAGAGTCCATCCGAGGAGTACCACGATTGGTGTGTTGAGGAGTGCGGTCTGGATGCTTGCGCCGAGGACGTGGCTAAGAGCAAAGTTCATTTGGTTGTCGTACGCTTCGTCAACAGCCGTGATATGCTCAGATGCTTTTTCAACAATCGGAATGAGGATGAGTCCGATGAATGCGTCGGAGATGCCTCGCACCTCCACCATATAATGGATTTCCTGCACCAGAAAGATGGCYATGAAGCTGACAAAGGTCAACGCAATGATGACAGCCACAATGGATTCGGTCAATGTGAGCTTCGCTTTGGCGAGATCTCTGTGGCGATCGTGGTCTCGCATCTCGTCGGCTTCCAGAATATCCTCGTACAGACCGTGGTGGCTGCGTACCTGGAACCAGACGTAGAATAAGAAGGCTACCAGAAGGATCAAGGCGGTGGCGCGGGATATCTTGAGTGCCTCACGCTCGATTGGCTGATCATTCCGACTGACAAGAGTTTGGTAGTAGATTGTTGGGATCACGAGAGCCATCCCAGCCTATCAGTCAAAGAGCGAAAGAGTTAGCGAACTCCCAAATCATGTCAATGAGCCTCATGGCTTGGGCACCAACAAGCATACACATATGTAATGCGGGCCTTCTGTTCTTGATTCGACTTACCACCAGCATCAAATTACTACCCACTTCGGAGATAGCCTCGTGAAACGTCTGCTGCGGGTGAAAGATACCGCCGACGAAGAAGCACAATCCTATGCGTTTGAGGTTAGCTTAAGTCACACTTACCCGCGTCTCTAAGCATCTTACCCAAGCACAGTAGCAAATTCGCAAGAATGGATCCCAATATGGCCGCGCGGATGACTTGTGCATTTTCGTCGGGTCCAACAATGAGCACRGTGAAGAGAATGATTTCCACGATACTGCCGAACGTGGTCTCAACCAGAACGCCAAGGACCTTGGGCAACTTTCTAGCCAATTCCTGCCCACCAAAGCCGACGAGGTTCGCAGCTGGAACCATACCAATGTAGGCGGTGATGAAGATCCAAAGCTCAATCTGATCATCGTGCCCCTCGCTACGGAACCCAAAGTGCAAGATCATGGCAGCAATGGTGAAGGGCCAAAGAACATTGGTCCACTTGCTCGCTGTGCATGAAGATCGCCAACAAATTGCGAGGAAGTGCAACGGCGAGAACCAGCTGCGTCCACTCTCGCCATCAGGCTGGATACCAGGTGTAACCTTGTGCCCAGCGTGGTTCACTTCATGTCCATCATTGTTGTACATAGGCAATTGCTTGCTTGTTCGCGGTCCATCTCGGTCAGGCCTCACTTTCTCCTGATCATGACTGCCATCCATTCCTGCTCCGGAATGGTCCATCGTTTGGGGGTGTGCATCTTTGCGGCGCATCACCTTGGCGCGATCCCTGCTCCATGAAGTCTTTCGCTCGGGTGCAGACATGACTCCACGCGTGGGTGGGAGTGGTAGGACCCAAGGGTCGCGGATGCTTGGTAAAGGCTTGAGTAGTGGATCGCTCGCAAAGCTTGACCGGCCGTGTTGATTGCTAGACATGTCAGCTGCGCGAAAGGGAACGACGAGCACATGAGATACTGACAGGAATCCTCGGTCACGATGCTTATCCTTAAGGTCAGTCTGCAATGCCGTTCAGGGTCGGTGGAATCACGGCAGCTCAAGTATAAAGTTCGTATTCCACGTTTAGTACAAGGAGAAGTCCTCGGCGACAGGGAGTTAGATGGGCTGGGCAGATTCAGCCGAGTTGGCACTGCCAGGGGTCGCAGGGGAGAGTAAGGAGAGAAGTGAAGATGAGAGAGAGAGGAGAGAGAAGGCAGTAAGATGGCTGTCAAGCCTACACGCGCGAGTCTGGAGGAGCACAAGCGCCGACGAAAAGAGAGCTTGTATCGTTTCTTGATTTATTGGCAAGCGCGAATGCGCCTGCGGGCGGCCGATCGCTTTGGTTCGTTGGCAGCAGCCACAAAATCGGGAGATCGCATGGTTAAGATTACAAGGAAGAAGGTTTCTCTTCGGAGAAGAACGCGCTCACCGCCGTCATGAAAGCCAAATGCCACTTCACTCCATTTTACCACCACGGCGAAAGAGCCATGATTTAGAGAGTCTCGCCCGTGAGAGACCATCATGGCATGACATGCTGGCTACGTTGTCATACGAAGGTCTACTGGCGTTGGACTCCGGGGTAGTCCTATATCAAACACCTCTAAGCGAACAACGCCTGAGCTAAGGTAGTTGCATCGCCAAGAAGGTGAAACCCCGATGCAGGTTTCGTAGCAGCTTGTTATGCTTGATGACCCTCCACGGAGAGCGTCTCGTCGTCACAACGCATCTCTGGACGAGCTACGTCTGTGAGGCATGAAGTCGTCGGACCTTACAAGAACTTGAGCATCGAGTACAAACGGTCTCACGTCAACAGAATGTCATTCGTTCATGCAGGATCACCGAACTCGAAGTACCTCGGAGAATGCTTCCATGTATCTTCGCACAGCTAGAGATCATTGCGATACGTACATGTAACACGTTCGGATTCTTCGTGGATGCTTCGTGCGCGCGCACGACTAGTCACTTGCATATCATTTTTAATGCCCATTGTACTCTGTACTATATACGTCTAATCTTCTTTACAGATACCTGCCAGTACTAGAACAGATCCCCCCTGGCAGCAGAAACGACACTTCCCGACAGCATTGTACATCCCAGCCTACGTGCCATCGTCAGGCTTTGCGTTGAAGAGGTCCACTCTGCCACAAAGCTCAGCAAGATACCATCCGGCGCCTGGTGACATTGGATGATTTGGACCGGCAGCATACATCCCCATCATGCCCAGACCGCAGCTTAGCTCGCCTGTGTCCCACTTCGTTGGGAACTCGAGCTTGCAGTTTCCAGACCGAATATCCCATCCACTTGAGGCACACTTGTCTGTCTCTGCGCACAGCTGGCAACAGATTGAAGCATTGTCGGTGGTAGTTTCATAAGTGGCTCCGGTGTTTGGTACATCAGTGACATAGTCGATTCCAAATCCACGGCCTTCCACAATCATTGCTGCAGGCGAGCAGCGACTGTCCATTGAGACTGTCGAGGTCCAGGCGGGTACCGTCTCTGTGACGTCGCCGCATACAGCTTCGGCCGTAGCGGTCTCAGTTGCGATGACATGCTCGGTTCCTCTGTACGTGGTGGTGGTTATCGTTGCCTGTGTGAAGGCGGTGTGGGCGGTGTAGGTGCTGGTCTTGCCGTTCTTAGCATAGACCTGCGTCTGTCCATATGTTGTGGTCGCAGTTGAGGTAACAGTACACGGTTCTGAACGTCGGCGGGGACCCTCAGCCCGTTTGCGGTACCCATCAGTACCAGAGTACACTGTTACAGTTGCGGTTGGCACTGATCTACAAAACGTTAGCAATGACTTTGAAAGTAAATATGGACAACACTCACACAATGCCGGTAGCTCCGCAGACAGTAGTAGTAGTCGTGAAGGTGAGAAGGGTGTTTGTCTCCGAGATGGTCTCGACTTGAGTAAAAGTTCCAAGATCCATGGGCGTGGTGGCGCTAACGGTAACGACATCAGTCGTCGAGTATGTCGCTGTGGTGGTGGGGACAATGGCCCAAGTCGTCACGGTGGAGCAGACCTTCTGGGGCAAGGCAGATGCCAGACCCGCAAGAGCGGTGATCAGAGCGAGCATATGCATGGCTGTGGACTCTGTGAAACGTATGTATGGAAGTCCAGAAGAAGGGAAGCTTGGCTGTTGAAAAGCAAGTCAAGGTCGGGAGTAGAGTGCTTTTATGTATTCTCCTGGTAGAAAGATCTCCGTCCTCCACGTGCGGTGATGGTCTCTGCGCGGACTTCTCGAGGTGTGGAAGACACGGACACGTCCTGAGTAGTCCCAATGGAACGGGCAACCACGAGTAGCGTGTGGCCGTTTCTGTGATGGAAGCGACTTTCTAGAAATTGTGTGTGCGACTGCAACGTCACTTTCGAGAAGAGTCTGTTCATGCGTGCCTGCCAGGTGCAGCCACTTTTAGGCACACTCCTCAGCAAGTCACTATCTGCGCGCGCGAGCTGGGAATGGCAGCAGGGATCCTGCATACATTGCTGCCAGGAACCCGAGTAGCGCTGCCGGAAGGAGAAAATATTTTGGCCAGGTGTGCGGCTAGAGCTGCAACTGCTTCTCAACACCTCAACAGCCCTTGAGGAATAGTTGACGTGCGATTACAACGTAGTAGTTTGTAGTCCCAACCCTAGATGCAACTTCATCGCCCCAAGGATTCCATCTGCCGATGACCGACCGGAACGCGACGTTCAAGTTTTGGTGGTACTGCGATTCTACGTGAGACTGCATCTTCTGCCCAGCGGCAGCCACCCGGTAGTCTGCTCCCTACGCGCACCAGGAGATTCAAATTATCTTGTGCGCCACACCGGATGTTTGCCACTCGGATCGCGTGCAGATATCGTTCAGCCAGCAGTGAGGTTGGCCGAGATATGCTGCATGCACGTATGCGCTGCGACCACCCCTTTGCAGACTTCTATTATTATCAGCACGAAATATGAATCAGTCCACAAGTGCTGCCATCTCTTCCCTTCATCACTCACCGGCGGCACAGTGATCACATAGTACTTGTTGGAACCTTACAGGAACAGGATTGGAAAATTTGACCGACCCTGCACACTGTGTGCTGATGTGCAGTCCTCCGAGGAGGAGGTTATAGCCAACACGTGCATGACAGTCGTCTCCCTWGCGTCAACCCGCGTTTGAACTCCGCATTCGCAAACTCATGCCGCTATTCCAATCTTGTGGAGACATGGCCATCCGCTCCAGTATTGCCCAGCCTCGTACGTCGCGGCTTCGCGCATGCCTAGACGGTCTGTTTTCACATTTCGCGTATTTTTGGGTGCCTCGACGGAATGTATCACCGTCATCCGCCCTGCATCCTGTCGGCGTCTTCTCGTATGGTTTGAAACAGGGAAATGCTCTCGATGGAACGGATGTGCCAGGCAACACAGTTTGAGCAGCGAGATCTAGGCTGTCTTCTGCTTTACACGCACGATGAATTGAGGCCGAGCCGAATCTTCTCGTAACAAAGTGCTAATCGGTCGACAAGGATCGAGGCTCACTTCCGCGTTGCGTGTCTCTACACGGCGCCATTCATGTTCCGTCAATGTGTCAAACGGCCCATCGTCCCCGGCGATTCCTTGACTTGCCCATGTGTGCGGCTCATGAACATCTCCACACAACAGCAACTAATCAAACTTCGCAAAGGCCAGCTCGTATGCCAAGCCTAACGTCAGCTTAGCATGTTGAAGCATATGATCAAAGTCCTGCGGGGAGCAAATGATTAGCTGTTATGTATCAGACGGTCTCGAAGCAGGCAACGACTTGGGGCAGTTCGAACGACATGCTCGGGCTGTCGGCCTGCTTTTCGCCCTTTTGCGTCTTACCAGGAACTCGATCTTGTCCTCGGTGGTGTGGATTTTCTTATCGCTGTACTTGAAATCGCTCTCAATAACGAAAGCAGATGGGTATCCGGCCTTGCTGGCAGATGCGTGGTCAGAACAAGCGTAGCCACATTTCGTCTCGATGTATGGTATCTGAGCAGAGTTAGGCGGACTGGAATATATGGGATGGGGGCTAATGCGTACCGTGCAGTAGGCGGTCACGACCTTCTTGATGAAGTCGGTGAGTCCTGGATCAACAAAATCGGTGATGACCCCGACAGATTCGGGCTCGCCAGCTTCAACGGTTCCGTGGGTGTAGCCCGTCATATCTTGCTGTAGCATTGCTTTCACATCTCGGCCCTCCCGGGCATAAGAGTTAAAAATGGCTTGAGATCCAAGCAGGCCACCCTCCTCTGCTGAATACCAATGGAACTCAAGTGTATTCTCGGCCTTGCCTTTTACCAAGTCCTTATCCTGGAGAATCACACGCAGAGCCTCAAGAATAGTCACTGTGCCTGAGCCATCGTCATCTGCTCCCGGAGCTGCCAAGAAAGATGGGAAGAAGAGATTGATGGAGTCCTGGTGTGCTCCTAGGGTTCGGTCAGCGTGGCCCATCATCCAAGGTCGTGCTCATTCGCAAGGCGAAAGCAACCGCCCTGCGGGATACGATGCAAACTCACCAATCACAATCGTCTTGTTACTCTTTCCAGGAATCGTCGCAATGATTGAGTTCTGGCCCCATTCGTGCTTGAAGTGGCGGACGGATCCGACGCCATCGAGAGTCTTGTTGACCTGGTCCAATAGCCACTCGGAGCTCTGCCTACCATAGTCTGACTTGTAGTACCTGGTGTGGAAGGCAGTAAAGGTCTCCAGATGCTCCCTCATATTCTTCTGGTCCAAATTCCCAAGTAGCTTCGACACCGTCTCGTTCTGGGAGATCTTCTTTGGGAACGTGACCGACTTCACTGCCTTCGCTACCATCGGCAAACCCAGTTCAGGGGCAGGGGAGTGATCGGTGATATCGAAGAACTTGCGCCCTTCTCGCAATAGCTGCCATTTCTCTTCCTCCGTAACCCATCTCGCCTCTGTAGGCGACAGCTCAATAAGGTACTTCTCTGTGCTTGCAAACGGCTGTTGACCGCCAGCGAGATCGCTCCATGATGGGATGTTGATAGCTGCACATACGGCAGACGACGCGACCAGGGTTGATAGGAGCTTCATCGATACGACTTTGGTATAGTTGTTGCTACGGTGCCGATGGTGTTGTTGATGCCCGGTTGATGACGCTGCCGCAGCAGTAGCCTCCAATGCTCCGGTATCGGCTTCCTTCCCCGCAAACTCTCGCGTCTCATCGTTGTGCCGGTGTCGCTGTCGATATTGGAAAATAACAGCCAATGGGATGCTGTGCTTATCTGCTCTGCAGACGCCGATATAGGCTGATGAGGCACAAGAGGTAAATAACGACTTCGAAACCATTCCCTGCAATCTCACCCGCACTCATCCATCCTCCCATCGCCCGACCGTAATTAATCCCCAGAACCTTTTGCCGCAACTCACTCCACCGTTACCCATCGAGTTGCACCACAATTTTCGCCATACCGAAGCAACACAAACTCTCCGAGAGAACCACATCACCCCGCTCACAATGCCAGGCGTAGTGAAGGGCCCTTCGACGCTCTATGACAAGGTCTTCGAGCAGCACATTGTAAGCCGCTCCTCACAGACGCTTACCTCACTCTCATGCTAACATGTTTTTCCAGGTCGATGAGCGGCCAGATGGAACCGTTCTGCTCTACATCGATCGCCACCTGGTGCATGAAGTAACGAGCCCCCAAGCATTCGAAGGCCTCACCAACGCAGGCCGTCAAGTGCGGCGACCGGATTGCACCCTTGCCACCACCGATCACAACGTGCCAACGACATCCCGGAAAAACTTCAAGAATATCAGCGATTTCGTCGAGGAGGAGGACAGCCGTTTACAATGCACGACGCTCGAGCAGAATGTCAAGGACTTCAAGCTCACCTACTTTGGACTTGGAGACAAGAGGCAGGGAATCGTACACGTGATTGGGCCCGAGCAGGGCTTCACTCTGCCCGGAACTACTGTGGTGTGCGGTGACTCTCACACCAGCACCCACGGGGCGTTTGGTGCTCTCGCTTTTGGTATCGGAACCAGTGAGGTCGAGCACGTCCTGGCTACTCAGACTCTCATGACCCGAAGGAGCAAGAACATGAAGATCCAAGTCGACGGTGAACTTGCACCGGGAGTTGGCAGCAAGGACATTGTTCTGTATGTCATCGGCCAGATTGGTACTGCTGGAGGTACTGGACACGTCATTGAATTCTGCGGCTCTGCGATTCGCGGTCTCAGTATGGAAGCCCGCATGAGCATGWGCAACATGAGTATCGAGGGTGGTGCCCGCGCGGGTATGGTTGCTCCAGACGAAACTACGTTTGAATATATCAAGGGCAAGCCATTGGCGCCAAAGAAGGACTCTGAGGAATGGACCAAGGCTTTGAAACACTGGCAGGCTCTGAAGAGTGATGATGGTGCCAAGTGGGATGCTGAGATCTTTATTGACGCCAAGGACATTGCTCCAACGGTATCTTGGGGCACCTCGCCTCAGGACGTGGTGGCCATCACTGACAAGGTGCCCGGACCTGACGACTTTGACGACAAGGACAAGAAGCAAGCTTGCATACGATCTCTGGAGTATATGGGACTGGAGGCTGGTKTCCCCATGACAGATGTAGTCATCGACAAAGTCTTCATCGGATCCTGCACCAATTCGCGAATCGAGGATCTTCGCATCGCCGCACACATTGTCAAAGGCAACAAAGTTGCTCCCAACGTCAAGCGAGCAATGATCGTCCCTGGGTCTGGTCTGGTCAAGCAGAGGGCTGAGTCAGAAGGTCTCGACAAGATCTTCACCGATGCTGGCTTTGAGTGGAGAGAAGCTGGTTGCTCCATGTGCTTGGGAATGAACCCGGACATCCTCTCCCCTGGCGAGCGTTGTGCAAGCACTAGCAATCGTAACTTTGAAGGTCGTCAAGGTGCCGGAGGTCGGACGCACTTGATGTCCCCCGCCATGGCTGCAGCCGCAGCACTTGTTGGCAAGCTCGCAGATGTGCGGAAGCTTGCCGGGTACGAGCAGGCACTGCCAAATGCCAAGTCTGGACCAGCGGCTATCGAGCCTCAGGTGGAAGACCCAGAGTCCGATGTGGATCTCGACAAGCTCATGGACTTGCCTCAGTCCGAGACTGGTGGCAACGGTACCCAGTCGAAGGCTCCTTCGGGTGGTGCTGCCGGCATGCCGCCATTCACTCAATTGAAGGGTATCGCGGCGCCAATGGAGAGAAGCAATGTGGACACCGACGCCATTATTCCCAAACAATTCTTGAAGACAATCAAGCGTGCGGGTCTTGCGTCGGGTCTGTTCTACGCGCTGCGCTTCAACCAGGATGGAAGTCTCAACAAAGACTTTGTGTTGAACCAAGAGCCGTACACTAAATCGAAGATACTTGTGGTGAGCGGTCCAAACTTCGGATGCGGTTCGTCCAGAGAGCACGCGCCTTGGGCTCTCCTTGACTTTGGCATCAAGTGTGTCATTGCCAGCTCATTCGGAGATATCTTCTTCAACAACACCTTCAAGAACGGCATGCTGCCATTGCAGATCACAGATGAGAAGGCGCTCCAGAGCATTCTTGCAGAGGCAAAGGCCGGACGCGAAATCGAGGTGGATCTGGAAGCCAACGTTGTCAAGGATGCATCCGGCAAGGAACTCGCCAAATTCGAGGTTGAAGAGTTCCGACGTCATTGCTTGTTGAACGGACTTGACGACATTGGCCTCACATTCTTAGACGAGGACAAGATCACCAAGTTCGAGAAACGAAGGAGTGCGGAGACCCCGTGGTTGGATGGCTCAGGCTACCTGTCACGCCACAGGAGTGGAGCTGTCAAGGTGGAGGCTGCACCCGTTCCAAAGACGAATCGTGGTGAGGAAAAGACGGAGCCTCTTGAGTGGTAGGGACCGTGACTCGGATGTTGTCCTTTGCGTTGAGGACGTAGCATAGGCGAATGTTTCCAGACTCCAAGCGAGATCCACCTTAGCTCCGGAACCTGAGAAAAAATCAGTTGACTCCGGTACTACATCCCACCCAACGTTGAGCTTCCAATGCACGATGCAGACGAGAGAGGTGAGACTATGCGGTGCTCTCAAACGACGTATACCTGCCGCCACTTGAACTAGGGTTAGGGTTTGGGTAGCATGCGACGCTGCTGCAGCCACCGAACATGTTATAGTGAAGCCACATTCGAGTCGAACATGATCGTATGGGCATGTGGAGTAGATATRCGTATTGATAGTGTCATTCACGAGCCAAACGTGCGTCGGTCAAGTAACTACCATTCGTTGCATCGAACTGATGTCTCTGCTCAAATTAGACTCAGTACCGTTCGTTCAATGGAGGAACTCAATGATTACATGTTGATGGAAACTGCTTCAGGCCGACCCATTTTGGAGACGCTAGATGTAATCTGCAGCAGCACTGGCCAGCTTTCAGTCCCATCCACGAGTCGAACCACGAGAGATCCGTACCAGAATCAAGTCCACAACGTTCACTCAACTTTGCTGGAAGTTCTTCTTCTCGTGCTCCATGATAGCATCCACCTTAGCCGCGCTCGCCGAAGAGGGATCGAACTTATACCCAATCCACTCCTTGGCCAATCTCCTCGCCAACTCAATTCCAATGACCCTCTCACCCATACATAGCACTTGAGCATCATTGCTCAAGACAGCTCTCTCTACACTGAAACTGTCATGTGCGGTAACCGCTCTGATGCCAGGAACTTTATTCGCACTGATAGCCACTCCTAGACCCGTTCCGCAGATCAAGAGAGCACGATCAGCCTCGCCAGATGCAATCAGCTTCGCGGCATCGACGGCGGGATGTGGGTATGCGGTATTGTCCGAGGACTCGTTGACACCGACATCGATGACTTTTGCTACTCGAGGATCTGCTTCCAGGTCCGCCTTGATCTTCGCCTTGTAGCCACAGCCTGCGTTGTCTGCTCCCATGGCAATTCGGAGTCCAGTGCTGGRAGCCATGCTTGTGATTGATTAAAGCTGACTGATATCGTATCCTTCCACTGGTTCGACAGTATTCTTCGACTTCAGCTGTGTGATCTGCGGTCCACTCGTCTTCTCGATTGTTCCTTCAAGCTTCTCTGGCTCCGAGAGATTACCAGTAATGTTCGTAGAGTTGGTGAACAGATGAGGTTGTTGTTTGTTGATGATCTTCGTCTCACCGGTGTTGTGGTCGGTGATTTTTTGGTAGAAAGAGTCGGAATGGATGCTCGAAGTAGAAGAGATCTTTATACGCTTGCTAGGCTCCATCTTCGGCGACTGATCATCCACAATTTGTTGTCCCGGGTGAGCTCACGTTGACCGTTCGACTTGGAGGGGCACCCCACAATGCCCGGTGTTTCCTCTTTCGGTATTCCGTAGCGTATGGAGAAACGCGGGACAACGTGGAGAAACATTGCGGTTCCGAAGCACTTCACTCCTTGACTTTGACCTCACTGCTTCATCACTTCACTGATATTGGAGGATTGCAGATTTCAACGACAGCGAGGGCGAGATCACGCCAGAGATACCGTGACGAATCAACAACATCAGCGAGCCTGGCCTAGTTTCGTCCACGACCACCGTGTGCATGATCGCTGTTGAACCATTTTAGATGAGCCATGCCCGTGAGAGATGTTCATAATGCAAGACGCGAAAAAAAGATCAAACCTCAGGTCAAATTCGATACCGGAAACTTGCCATTCGCAAAGACTTTGCACCCGGAATCCGTGTATTTCGAGTTCCCCATTTCGAAATCGGGACGGACTTTCGTGCTTACGATCAGAAGGCAGCTTTGACTCCGCAAGACTTGACCCTTGGTGTTATTGTTGCTTTCTTAGAGAGATCTGACAAAGGTTTTCTTTTTCCTGATTTTGAGCAAGTTTTTTATATCGAGCCTGGTCTGGACCGAGTATGCAAAAGCCAGCAGCCGTGTACGCACGAGCTTGAGTAAAGAGTATCCAAGAACTCGCCCCATCTTTGCTGTATTGACAGACTGTATGTTGGCCTCCCGATACACACATTGCGAGGGATTTATATGAGTGCACGGACCGCCCTCCACACGCATCATATGGTATACCTGCCCTACGGTACCGACGATGAGAGTTCAGACTTGAAAATGGGTGGAGTGTAGAGTTCCCAGCAGCAGTAACAGGTAAACGTGGCCTTCGATTTCAAGAGGCCGGTACCACGCGGACGCAATTAGGTTGCGTCCTCAAGAATATGGCTTTTAAGATAATTTGCGGGCTGAATCTCTTCCTTCAGCTCCGCATCCTGCTCGAAAACCATCATACATGACAACTACCACCAAGGCGACTCCTACAAGGCGCACTAATCACCGGACTCGGTAGCACTCAACATGGGCGGCCCAAAAGAGCAAACGCACGCGGCAGAAATTCCTTATTCACAGGCACAAGATGAAGTTGAAGCAGCCGCTCGTTCCAGGTTTGAACAGAACAGAGAGAAGTTCGAAGAGCTCTTTGTCCGAAATGTGAAATTACGCGAGCAGGAAAAGCTCCAAGCCAAGAGAAATATCGAGAGGCAGAATATCAATCTAGGTGCCCCGGAAAATCTGAAGAAGTTCTTGAAGAAGTGCAAGGCAGTCTCAGCTGGACTCAAACTTGGTCCAGTGCCAGAAGACATGATCCCTATACTGTCGAGAGCTCCCGAAAAGCAGCCGCAAATAGATGTATCAGACGGTGCTGCGGTGAGTGTTGAAAGCGAGAGCGCACACCGCGACACCACAGATACAGAACTCGATCCGCAGCTTTCCGGTGAAGATTCAAAACCAGAAGAGTCGCCGGAAGAGGATTCAGTCACCAATCTGGAAAATGCCACCTCGCGCAATATTCAGATAGCATGCAAAGTCCTACAACTCCGGGCCCGCATCCAAGCTGTTACGCAAGTAACAGATGATGAGGAAAAGAACGACATGTTTGCAGAGATTGCATTAACTAAACTCAGACTGGAACTCACGCGACTGAATTCCCCGACCGAGGTCCTCGCCTGGCTGGATTGGTGCTTGTCCGAGAATGGTGACGAGATTGGAGACGGATTGAAGAGTCTACTCGAACAAGACCTGGCTACAGATCCACTCGTTCAAAGTCCAGCTTTGGAACAAGAAGCCCGTCAAATTGATCCCCGGAACCAAGCTGGAAGGAAGTTACCTCGCGTCTTGGAGAAAATGTCAGGTTTTATATTTGACATGGAGTTACAGCGACTCAAGTCCATCGGTGAGCCCAATCATTGGTCGATAAGACTCATAACTTGGAAAGGCTTTGAGATTGGAGCCGATATAGAAACACCGGTCGAAGGTGGAGAGGCATCGAGTTCTTTGCCGAGCCTGACAACAGACGAAAACGGAGAGACGACAGTTCACACGCTGAAGCGGATGAAGATTGTGCCCCGACACCTACCTGATGTACTGCTTAGCCTCAAGGACATGCTTCCCAGAGATGAGCGAGACCTAATCACGAACAAAGGTCCGAACGGGGAGGACATGTACGCTGTCAGATGTTGGCATGTAGTATCGTCGAAAGGGTCTACACAGACAATCCTGGAGGTTTCAATTAAAAAGCTTGACGATAGCATGGCGGGTGCCTGACGAAAGATTCGTAAAGTATCTAGGCATGGAGCGCTTCGGGATCACGTTTTCAAGGCTCGTTGCCGCTAGCTTGGGATACGCAATTTTGTAGTATTGTAACACCTTAGTACGTCTATAGCACATGTCTGTCAAATGCATGAACCAAGACAACAACACACTATTTCATCCTCCGCGAATGCAAAATCCGTACTAGTCTCTTCTTCACTTTCCGAATCCGTAGGTGTTGTCTCTTCCTCACTTTCCAAATCGTAGTACTTCTATCTCCTCGATCCGGATGTTCCATTTTCCCTTTCAGCAGTTCACGCCATCTCTCCCGCACATCAGTCCAAATTTGATAGAAGAGCTCTCGCAAAGTTGGACTATTCTCGACGGCTTCCTCTGAAGCTAGGAACATCGGTTCAAGGCGGTCCCAACCAGACGTCTGTGGACAGAGAATAACTAATGCGAATACTGCCACGGCGAGAGCGAATGCTGCAGCAAGAGCAAATGTCAGTAAAATTATCCCTCGTCGCAGTCGTTGGTGTCGACACATGGACGCACTGGATTGATCGTGATCTGTCATGATGCGGATTTTTGAGCTTGCTTGTTGTAGAGTATTGGATAATATTCGATATTGTTGAGCTTGCTGTTGTAGCATGATTTCGTCTGCGATTCGGACAGAGAATGCTGGGAGCATACTTCCCGCGTACCATTTTCTTCTTTCAAGCGTTCCGATGGCATCCGTCCCATAGGCCGTCGGTACGATCCTGAAAATTGACGGGATATCAGCCCAGAGAGAGGTCGCTGTACGTCGATGCGTCGTCCTACCAGTACAGGCATACCTGTGTCTGTATGCCACTCGATCACTCCTCCAGCTTCCTCAAGATTTCGGCCTGCTTCGCCTTCACAGCTCTCGCAATAGCATCAATATCCAGCTCCCGCATTTCGTCTCCGATCCTCTGCGTCYCACACTCGAGTTTCTCCAGGCCGGTCTGCACCTGGTCATCCACAAGTCGCACTGTGCCGTGTTCAGAGTGAGCAAACACTCTCTCCAATAAAACCTGCAAATCTGCATCTGTCTTCGCGATGGATTGCGTGATGTGATCCGTGATAGTCTGCTCCGTTCCGCTTGCTAATGTAGAGAGCCTCTGCCTCCGTTCGCGAATGGCCGAGTCCAGAGCATCCGCCAGCTTAGCCACACTACCATTTTCCGGCACGCGAATATCATACTGGCGCAGGAACTGTACGGCCGGATCTTGAGGTTCGGAGCGGTTCGCTTGCACAAGTCTTAATGGCTTGAGACCTTTGGCGCCAGATCTATCTGTGACAGGCGAAAAAGTAGATTGACCTTCTGGAGGCGGTCGAGTAGAGATAGTCTCATCCAGAACACGAGATATCGTGGATAGCGCATTGCCATGCGCACGCAGATGCTGCACATGGTCGCTGATAGCGTCCAATCTAGATGTCAGATAGAGTAGTGCAGTCACGGTGTATTCGGACCACTCTGCCCGTTGCAATTGAGAGTCTGCTCGAGCCGATAGCAAGCCTTTCCGGAGTGGTTTTCGATGCTGATGGTCAACGACGATCCCAACCAGTCCCTCGATTTCACTTCCCAATTCCTTGAGTTCAATGCGGGCATTTTCGCGCTGTGTCATCTGCGAATCGCTGAGAGGTCTCTCACTAGAGCCATTCTGCCTTCCGGCGTAGTCCTCCACTGTCTCACGATATACACTGTCCAATCGAGCGTGTATCTCTTTCACGGAAAGCATAGTCAGCGCTGCGCACAACTGCTCCACATCAGCAGTTTCATCCCGGTCCAGCGAAGTATCAGAGATCCTTGGAAGAAGCTTCCGGAGACCATCGAGGAGTCTGTCATCTTTAACGAGCAGACGGTCAATCTGTGATGGGATGGCACCGTTCGCCGTGTCGCTTTGCTTCATGGCAGTCCGGATCCTGCCGCCGGCAGTTTGAGACAATTCATCGATATCAAAGTCGATCTGTGCTCTCTCCCGAGCGAGCTTGTTCTGACGAGCATCCTTGCTGGAAGCCGCGAGATCATTGGCCGAGTTTCGGGATTGCAAGTCTTTGAGCGCTCTCTTTTGAGCCTCGAGGATTTGAGTCTGCTTCTCAATCGCAACTGTGCTCGCTTCGAGGGAGTCGATGGCAGCTTCTACTTCCGCGTCAGAGAGCGGTCGTCCAGCGGCTGCCGGAGGCTTTGAAGATTGCGTGTCAATGCCATGTTTCTCGTAGCTAAGACACCGAGTTCAGCATGTTGATGAATCAAATCAGAATTATGGGTGGACTCACAATGTAAGCTCATCTTTGGTCAAGAGTGTGGATGACTGTAGAAACTCTTGCACCCACGATGCAGCGCTGTCCTTGGTTTTGGAGCCCTCGAAGGCCCAGGCGACATCATCGGCGCCCAATGGAATGTCTCGTTCCTCGAGTACTCGGAGGAGTGTTCTGAGCTCGGGATGAACCGCCTTGCTTGGGATTCGAGACTCAAAACTCATCTTGTCATTCATGGCTGTGATGACATTGTTGACCGTGAACAGGGAAGATGTTTGCACTGAGGTGGTCTGTCCTTCGTCCGTGCTGCTTCGTAGATCGAGCTTCGCCAAGGCCGAGCGAGCAAGAGCTCTCTTCGTGCAGCGATCCATCCTCAAAGCTCGACAACACCCTCTCCTCTCCTCTACGTAATCATATCACACAGTGATTGCAGCCATGCTGGACCGCTTAGTCAAGCCCTCTATCGCGAAGCAGCTCCCTTCGCTGTACATATTTCAAGCGGGAGCCCGGCCAGCCATTGTCAGCACACAGCAGCAAACCCGAGCTGCGTCCACATCTTCGCCTCCCAAAGACTCCGCGATTCCTCGACGTAGAGCAGTCACAATCGTCAATGACACTGGACGGGTTCCCTGGACAAGTCTCAGCCCCGCCGAGAAAATTGCTCGAACGACACAACAATCCTTCAACTTCGGCATAGTTGCCCTCGGCGTGGTGTTGACTGGCGGCGTCGCTACGGTGCTCTGGCTGGAGGTCTTCTCCACCGACAGCAAGACGGCCTTCTTCAATCGTGCTGCTGATCGCATCCGTGCTGATCCCAAGTGTCGCGAGCTGCTGGCCGGAGCGGGAACGCACAGCAAGAGGGAAATTAGCGCGTTTGGGGAGCCGAGTTGGAGCAGGTGGGCACGAAACAGGACAGTAGCGAGCAGACTGGAGAAAGATCGTGCGGGAGTCGAGCATCTCCACATGCACTTCTACGTTGAAGGGCCAGTTGCGAAGGGAACAGTGCAAGTTCACATGGCAAGAAGGCCGGGCGAAGACTTTGAGTATCAGCTGTTGGCATTGGATGTACCTGGACAGACTCGCTACTATCTGGAGGACGCCAACGCGAAGTCGGCGCTCTCGAAGTYGGGTACTCTTTTTGGGATCAACTGGAATAGGTAGCGGCGGATCTATCACGGCTGGCATAGACGCAAGCGAACGAGGGCATCTACAGATGACGTGAAATCGGGCAGCTCATTCGGTGGCTAGACTGGCAGTTATCTATCTAACATCAAGTCCCAGCCAACTCCTTCCGCATGGCCTCCTTCACGATGCTCCCACACAGCTTCGCATGCGGATTGGTATGTACCGCAAGAGCTTTGGCGACCTCGTTTCCGTACAGTCCCCCCAGGTAAAATAACTTCGAAGCCTCCTCCTCGAATCGCTCACAACTCCATTGTACGGAGTCAAACTCTGTGACCGCCATCTCAGTCGACGTGTCGAGATCCTTGAATGCGGCATAGTACAACGCCGCGAGTTGAGTAGTCGACTGCGCTAACAACTTTCCCTGCGTGGCCGACACTCCATCCTGTGGTCTTGCTGGAGATGACAGTTCGATGGCCGACTTGAGATCCTCCACCGCCGCAACGCCTGCAGCGCTTCGTTCGATATCAGGACGAGCTCTGGGCTGACACAGAGTATGCCGGTCACCGAATCGCCATCGGCGGAGTTGGGCCCGATTGTTCCTTGCTGAAGCGTAGTTTGGGTGACAAGAGATCAGATCGTCGAGAATGGCAATGGCTGATTGGAATGCATCAGATTTCCCCGGAGCGTTGGATGACTTTCCCGACTTCTCGAATTGCTCGATGAAAGCGATGGCTTCCCTCTCGCGCGCTTTCAGGTGGTTCAGCAGATCAATGTCGAGAATGTGACGGTCAGCTGGAAGACTTGGATCGATCAGAACTTCTGCTCTCCCGGGTGTGCTCTCTGGATCGAAGACTTGCGCCAGGACTTTAGAGTCGGCCCTGGAGAGTGGTTTCTGGAGCATGGTTGCAAGAAGAGATTGATTGATGTGAAGGAGTTTACGTCGATGATTGATTGAATCAATGGGAGGTTATCATTTATCAGCAAACTGGGGCAACAACTGCTTTCCGTTCTCTCTGCGGCCTACCGACCTTGCCGTGAGGGCGACAACTGTCAGCGCGGCTTTGTCCTTGTGCCGAGTCGTCGGCTCAGAGAAAATCAAGCCGATTGCGTGGAACTCATCACGTGCAGCGTACACCAACAAGCCCGGTCTTCGGCTTAGGGCATAAGCCGAGTAATTCAATGGTTTGCTCGGCTCAGCAGATAAATGTTCCACATATACTGCTGACACATGACGAGAGGTCAGCGGTGTTGAATAAGAACCGCAACAAAGAGAGGCTTAAGAAGACTCCCCTCTCCGTCCTTTGTCCAGATCATCATCACCGATTTTTTACCCGACAATAGAAATCATTCGCCGAACGTCAGTCAATCGAGGACCATGGCACCCGGAGCTTTGCTGGTCACTTTAGGGAGTGGAGCAACCACACCAATGTACGAGTCCGAYGGCTTTGTAGCTCCTGCCTCTGGCCAACATGTCGAGTATCGTGGCTACGACCATGTAACCTGGTGGGTTGGCAATGCCAAGCAGACGGCACAGTACTACATCACTCGCATGGGCTTTGAGCCAGTCGCATATCGAGGCCTCGAAACAGGATCGAGATTTATCGCCAGCCACGTCGTGCAAAACAACGGAGTCCGCTTCGTCTTCACATCACCTGTCCGATCATCAAGCCGACAAACACTAAAGGAGGCGCCTGCAAGCGAACAAAAGCTTCTCGACGAAATTTACGATCACCTCGACAAACATGGCGATGGCGTCAAAGATGTAGCCTTTGAAGTCGATGATGTGCGTGCGGTGTACCAGAATGCAATCATAAATGGCGCCGAATCAGTAAGCGCACCGCGCACCGATTCGTCCGACGAAGGCGAGGTTCTCCTGGCCTCAATAAGGACTTATGGCGACACCACCCACACCTTCATCCAGCGCATGTCATACACCGGTCCCTTCCTCCCCGGCTTCCGCGCAGTAACATCCGCCGACCCAGCCAACAAGTACCTCCCGTCCATTCACCTCGAAGCCATCGACCACTGCGTTGGCAACCAAGACTGGGATGAGATGAATGATGCATGTGATTTCTACGAACGCTGTCTTGGCTTCCATCGTTTCTGGAGTGTAGACGACAAGGACATCTGCACAGACTTTTCCGCGCTCAAGTCCATCGTCATGAGCTCACCCAACAAAATTGTCAAGATGCCCATCAACGAGCCTGCTCTTGGTAAGAAGAAATCTCAGATCGAGGAGTACGTCGATTTCTACAACGGTCCCGGCATTCAACACATTGCACTGCGGACCGAGAACATCATCGGAGCGGTGTCGAATCTGAGGGCGAGAGGAGTCGAGTTCATCAGTGTGCCGGAGACATACTACGAGAACATGAGGCTGCGATTGAAGCAGGCTGGTATGCAACTCAACGAGTCCTTTGAGACGATTCAGAAGTTGAACATTCTGATCGATTTTGATGAGGGTGGGTATCTGCTGCAACTGTTCACGAAGCCTTTGATGGATCGACCGACGGTGTTTATCGAGATTATTCAGAGAAACAACTTTGACGGGTTCGGAGCTGGAAACTTCAAGAGCCTGTTCGAGGCAATTGAGAGGGAGCAGGATGCGAGAGGAAACCTTTGAGCGATTCATGAGTTCTGTTTGTGTGGATGCGTTGAAAGCGAGACACAGAGTTAGCGAAGGTCCCAGAATGAATAATGACATGTGCTCTTACCGAAACTCTTCACTTTATGGTATGATTTGACGACCACATGTAAGGCATGAAATTTGAAAAGGACGAGTAAAAGTGGGTCCATGATGAGTGACTAAGCTGACGCGGTCGCGGTCCTGCTTAGTCGGGACATCACCGTCAACAAAGGGAAAAGGAGAAGAACAGGAACTTGGGCACCATGAAGGACGGAGACCGAGATCCAAATCATACGATCTTTTGGCAATGACATAGCCTCGAAAGATCGCGGCCACATCATCTAATCCTGCACATGTGGTAATTAATATTGCCGGTTCACGGAAACATCACGGCAGGATAGGGACTTAGGGGCCCTGGCTTCGTAACAAGACTTGATCAACGAGGATTCGGCGTCGCTGCCACGACTCCTTCTGCCCAGAGCAGAGCAGCGTACACCCGGCTCAACACACATACACGTTGTGTCATACCCCGATACTCGTCAACCAGCGTTTGCGAAACCGCCCTGTGGAACAAATCTCCAAGACCTTCATCTGCGACGCAGAGCCATGTTAATCTAGATGTACCTCGAATGTACCTTTTGAGATTACATTGACGAGGTTCTGAGAAGCTTGAATCGTTGTAGGTACCAATGTACCCAACGCTCAATGAACCACCATCGCGCGATCACAATAACCCGGGAACATCAAGTCATGCTTGACCATCCACATTGTTGCAGGTCRGCAAACGGCTACGGACGAGGAATCAGTGTGCCCTTCGTAGCTGGGGCCCAGGGCGTTACACTGAAGCAGGCGTGGATGAGATATCTCATGGTCTATGTTGTCCGCATTGGATTGCAGAAGCAAGCGTTGTTTTCCACACCATTATTGGCATCTCTTCGCTCCCGTCGAGCGGAAAGGTGTTGGCAAATCACTCTTTGCATCGCAAGATTGGCGTGCCACTCAAACGCCACTGTTACGGTTGGGTTGTCGACAAACGAAGGACACCGGATGTTGACCATTCTGGRGTCAGCTTGTTATTTCGCATGGTATGTTCTGTGCGCAGTTCCCGAATCAGCCTTTTGTCCCAAAGAGGAGATATTGAGGTTCGGGCACTTTTCCGCGAATCTTTTATTACGGACATATCTCGCCCGCAAGGAACTACTCCTCCGAGGACACTAGTCAATCTTGTAGCATGGCTGGTCGCGCGGAACTCGTTTGCAGGCCAGAAGTGCCCAACTACTCAAGGCTTCTTTGCTCCACAAGCGGCAAATCCAATTCATCCTTCGCATGGCTTGCGCGGCGCGCCGGACAAATCGCAAAGTGACGAACACCATCGCAATGTGACGACCACCATCGCTATTTKCGCACAGTATTCGCCAAAGATGTGCCCTCGGTTAACAGAATGGTGATCCACGAAGATCAACAACTCCCACCAAACATCTCCGCATGGTGATCGGTCTGCCATCGGCAACAGGCACGGCTACAAGATGTGGGACAACTGCGGCAAATGCGTCAAACACGTCGGATCACACATGCAGAGCCTTGTAAGCTGCAATTGTAGGACCCCGGTCGATGCAGTCATCTAGATGCCCGAGCTGAAACCCAGTTCAAAAGTTACCACTTTCGCTCGAGAGATTCTCGCAAGGCCGACTTGTCAATGATGGCGACTTGTGTCTACGAGGCTGGCATCGAAGCCCTGGGCTGAAGCAGAACCACATCATCAAATCTGTGTAACTTTTGACTCGCCGACGACGGACAGAAAGACAATTTGCCACCGATCTTCGGACTCTGGGGACGCCGTTTGGTTTCCCCAGAAGCGTTTCGCGGGGAAGGGCGCTAGCCATCCTTTAACCCCAGAATCCACAAACGCCTGTGCATCCGTCTGTCCGGTACACAACCGCGACAGTTCTCCTGTTCGCACAGCGTTGTCACACGAGCGGGATGGGATGATCGCACGATCTCTACCTGCCACGACGGAGTTCTCGTGCCTGCCCTGTTTGCTGCTCATATTACTTGAGCACTGAGTGTCAGCCAACAAGGTTCTACGTGCACCATGGCATCGGCGGTCCAGTAGTCCGGGCTGTTCGCTCGTCTGGAGCTAAGGGAAAAAGCTTCGGCATGCTCCAACCAACGGTGACCACGAACGGTTGGAACGCTACACCTCTTTTGRAAGCTACCAGGGCACATCATCACATGCACGCGGCGAGCGGGCGTCAGGTGGACGCGAGGCGAACGAGCTCTGTTGCTTCGGCGTTCGAATTTGGCGTCCTGGAGACGATCTCCTTTCTCCCAGGGCCAAAGCGCAACGCATGGTAAACTGCTAGGCAAGTCTCGGTCATGGTGCGGAGCTGCGATGATCTGTGCTTGACGGCAATCATAAGATGGAAGCTCGCCCCTGTCCTAAGATTGCTTCGTCTGCATCTGTAGTCTGCTGTGTCGTTGTAGCAGAACTCTTAGCACTTGGTCGCTCGGGCCTTCCATCAGCCATTGGAACCAACTGCCATGTCTTCTCAGACCGCCAACAATTACCAGACAACGCAGAACAACACCAACCTATCCCCCGACGGACCTCTTGAGAAGGATTACGGTAACGGTAAGCAAGAGCAATAATCGCATTGAGTACAACAAAGCTAAGTGCAACTCTCAAGGCTACCACCTCGACAACAACATGGACGCCGATACCGCTCTGAGGAAGATTCAGACTTCTGGAAGCATCTCCATCTCACCGGAGTTGTTCGAGAAGATCTATCTTTCTCCCCAGAACAAGGTTGCTGGTGACCTTCGCAAGACCTTTGGTARCCCCACACCATTGGCCCTCGTTGGTTTCTTGCTCTGCCTCTCCCCCCTCTCGTGTATCTTGATGGGATTCCGAGGTGCAGGACCCATTGGAAACGGATCTTCTGGCATTGGCTCTTACTTCTTCTTCGGTGGTCTTTTGATGATTTTGGGCGCTCTTGGAGAGGTGAGCATACTGTTGGCTTCGGCTACTTCGGGCCATTCACTGACACCTACCCAGTTCATCCTCGGAAACACGTTCCCATTCATCGTCTTCGCCTCCTTTGGTGCTTTCTGGCTCACGTTCGCTGCCACTCTCCAGCCCTTCTATTCGGCGTTCGAGAACTACATTGGCACTTCGGTGGGCGGCTCAGCCACTGAAATGAGCAAGACTGGGTTGGACTCCCGTCCATTCAACGCCTCCTTCGGTTCGTGATATAGACTCATACGCACCACGATTTATCACTGACGTCGTCTAGCATTCTTCCTCGTCTTCATGGCCGTGTTGTGCTTCCTCTACATGATCCTCGCCCTCCGAACCAACTTGGTCTTCTTCCTGATCTTCCTCTTCCTCGTTCCAGCCTTTGGTCTCCTCGCAAACGCCTTCTTCATGCAAGCAGACAACTACGCTACTACCACGGCCGCTGTCGCTACACAGCTTCAAGCTGCTGGTGCATGTGCTTTTGTGGTCAGCATGCTGGGATGGTAMATCTGGTTTGCGATCATGTTGGCTTCTCTGGACTTCCCCTTCCAGCTCCCAGTTGTCGACTTGTCGCGATTCGTCAAGGGTGCTTCCGAGAAGGCGAAGCATGGAGCGCACGAGGCTTGATTGTGTTGAGAACGAGTTGATGACCCAGATGCCCTGGACGATATCTAATGCATGGTACCAAGTGCTATTTCATAGCAGAACAGAATGCAATGAATAGTCAAAAATTCAATTAATACTACTTTACTTCTGCTCCATGTACCGTCCTGGCCTGCCAGGGATGTCTTTTCCAGCCCAAAAGTGAAAAGCAAAGGGATCAGCGATGCTGTACTTTCAGGCGCGCGTAAATGAGAGCTTCGACGCGCTCTTCCCGAGCCCCCAGCAGTTCCGAAGCCGCATGGAGAATTCCTCGTTGATAGCGTCTTCCACGGAGGACGACCCCGAATCGAACGTCACTTTCTCTTGCATTCCCCGCCTCAGGTGTGCGCAAGACCCTGCCACTCGTTCCGATCGTCGAGTCAATGGCATCGAAGAGTCATTGCGGGGCTGGCTCCACACGACATAAAGGGAACGCCCACGCTCACATGTGCACGCCACACATCCCAGAACCGTGGACTCCGCTTTCGCCTCTGCGGTATAGATCGACACCGACGAGCGGGGATGAGCTCTGTGATCGCCATGTGTCAAGAGAGCTATAGCTGTGGGGTTTCGCCCCGCCTGAAACTTCCATTGAATCGCCACAGAGACTGTGGAATTTCGTGGGAGAATATGCGAAGTGCCGTTCGTTGCGGACAATGGAGTGTGAGTGGTGTTTGTAGTTCTCTTTCTCCTAGCTTTTGAGCAGTCGAGCATATCTGTATGGTACAACGAGCTCTTTCAAAATGTCTTCTTCTTCGAGCATCAAACTTCATTTTCTCCAAGCCTCACGTTGCATTCGAACGGCTTGGCAGCTTCAAGAGCTTGGTCTCCCTTATGATTTTACGTTCAGTGAGWGGATCAATGGAACGGGGCCTGCTCCACCAGAGTTCAAACAGGCCGGAGGTGGACTAGGAAAGTTTCCTACGTTAGTAGAGACGGTATAAAAAGCTGTTGAAGGTGGTGGGGATGACTGACTTGAGCACCATGTAGGCTAGAAGATGGAGGCAAGTTCTACTACGAGAGTGGGAGCATTTGCGAGTACGTCCTCAAGTCTCCTTCCTCCACATCGTGCATCATACTCAAGAGCATTCCAGGTACCTCGAGGACAGATACGACACTCAACACCGACTTCTCCCCGCGCCCGGCGATCCAAAGCGCTACGAGATCTTGCAATGGGTCCACKCAGCAGAGGCTACCTTCATGCTCCACGGTCTCGCGATTCTCTACACCAGGTGGTTTCAGAAAGACGGCGACCCGAAGAAGACGGAGGAAGGGCTCAGCCCGAACATGATCAAAGACCTCGATTATCTCGAGGCAGAGCTGAGTAAAGGCAATGGGAAATTCATCGTTGGAGATAGTCTCACAGTTGCGGATATAATGATGGAGTTCTCGGCTGATTTTGTTCTTGTTCGTGAGTTGGGGACCAAAGGAAAGAGTTGGCCGAAGATCAATGAGTGGCTGAAGAACTGCCATGAAATAAAGACATACCAGGAGGCTGTGCAGAAGACTGGATACACATTAGATCGTTGAAGGATATGAGGAGAAAGTAACAGATGAACAGGATACAGTGGCAGTACGATGTGATCCTTTGATAGTTACGGGAATGCAATGGTCTGCCTTGTGGCGAGATGGAATAGATCGCGTACCGATCCAATTCATACAATGCGGTCGCGCGTTGGAAGAGGGCGAGTACGCTGGAACGTGGCCCAATTCGAACCGAATCTCTGATCCTAGGCGCGGCAACGAGTTTGCATGAACAGCTTTTCGTGTCAGTTCTTGGTTGCAGTCCTTTGTCTTCCAGGCACAGGAGATATCGATGCATCGAATTCCATGACCGGAACGCTGAGCAAGCCATGCCAGGATCTCTTGTTCTTTGCGCTGACTTGATATTTGGTCGAAGCACTTTGCAAGACGATGTGCTACGAATTCGCCTCCCTATCGGTTCCCAGAAAGAAAGGACGAGAGTAGACTTCACCAACGACGCTAACCTGCGATGCGGGCGGAGACGCTGCCGGCGACGACCGGCCGTGCTGCTACTCTCGCATCTCTCATGAGTTGAACGCAGATATTCAAGAACGCAAGGCCATCGTCGCTGACAGAGAAGCTCAGTTCATCAGTCAATGGGTCCGCAAGCCATATCTGGGCCAGGAAGCAAGCTCGTAGCGATTCGCGTGATGTCTGCGCGAATGTCAAGTGGTAAGGAACCTCACAACACTAGAGGTCTCTCAGAACTTTGGCAACGGCCTCACGAGCGTGTTGTAACTCCTTGTCGATGCCATCCTGGTGAGCGACCTTTACAGTCCCGTGTAGATTGAGCAGATCCTTGGCCCGATTTAGGTCCTGGTCGTTGTTATCATCGCTTGCAGCGGCCGTTGAACCCTCAGCTCCCATGGTTGCATCTGGCTTTGGAGGTCTGGCTGAGACGAGCGCAAGGGCTGCCTCCGCATCCTGATGAAGTTAGAAACGGCGTAGAATGCTTGTCAATGTGTTCTACTCACGCAGATGCTCAGGGTTGTCATATCCTATTGACAAGGTCAGGGGCATTCATGACAGCGATGCGTGCGTTACTCACGGATAGGAACTCAGCGACCCTCATGATGATGAATGTGGGTAGTGTGCTGATGTAGGTAGTAGCGTGGGTAGARCTGTGGTGATGTCGAGCAACTCGGTCCGGCCGAGCTAGGGTGGGCTGGAGCTCCCCCGTGGACAAAACACGCCCGCTTCCCAATTCCACCTCCACCTTCTCTCCCTCACTTGCACAGCCATTGGATCTGGTCCACGACATTGTCATCGCCATCGCCATCGCTCCGCAGAGCTCGAAACCATGTCGGTCAAACTTAAGACCGCCGCGGATGCACGCGCTAYGCGTACAGTCTTTCCGCCAGAGTTCAAGCAGAAAGTGAACATGGACAAGGTCAAGCTGCCGCTCATCAAAGTCTGGGTGCAGAACGAGGTCGCACGAATCCTCGGCAGCGATGACGACGTGGTCATTGGCATGATCATGGGCATGCTCGAGGATAAGTCTGTAAGTGGCTGTTCTACACCAGGAGGAAGAAAACATCTCACTGACCGTGATACAGCCCAACATCAAGCAACTACAGACCGATGTCTCCGGCTTCTTGGACAAGGACGCGGCGCCATTCTGTCTCTCGCTGTGGAAATTGTGCTTGAGTGCTCAGGAAGACCCGAATGGCGTTCCGAGAGAGCTGCTGGACGCGAAGACAGAGGAGCTCAAGCAGGAGAGGGTGGGTTGGAATATCGATGCTAGTGGGCACAGAAACAGTATGGCTAACACAGTCTTTAGCTGGCTGAGGAGACAGCTCGACGTGAAGCCCTTCTCCGCCAAGATGAAGACCGTGAGCGCGATCGCGAAATGGACCGCATCAGAGAGCGAGAGCGGGGTCAGAGAGGACGCGGTGGTGGCATAGGATATCGTGGCCGTGATCGCGACCGCGACCGCTATCGCGATGACCGTGATCGCGATTATGACCGCTCGTACGACCGCCGTCCACCTGTACCAAGATACTCCAGATCTCCACCACCACCAAGAAGACGCGACGGACCCAGACGTACCGACAGCTATATGCCGTCGAACAGAGGCCGCCACGATGACGAGCCGAGACGCCACCGTCGCTCTCCATCTTACGGTCGATCGCTAGCGAGATCTCGGTCTCCTCCAAGAAGGCTTCAACGCCGCAACACCAGCTCAGACCTCTCTCGTTCGTCGCCGCCGCGCAGAAACAGAGTTGGGAGCGATGATATCGACAGACCCTCCCGTCAAGATGATCGCCAAACACTACGCTCACAATCACCTAGGATGTATCGCCAGAGGTCGCCAGACTACAACAACGCGCGTCGCCGATCACCACCACGCTCGCGTTCGCCAGCCCGTAGGGACCGGCGAGGTTCGACACGCACGCGCTCACCGCCGCACGAAGGCAGAAGGGCATCCGTTTCGCATGATCTCATCTATCGCACCGACCGCACGTCAAACTCGCACCGTTTGCAAGCTCCAAGCCAGGACAGCTCTCCGTACGGTGACAGTCGACACGCCTCGGATGCGAAGTCGACCGATGGTGGTGCTGCTGTCAACGAGGTGGGTCATGAAGACTAACCACTCACACATGCCCTTCTCCAGCCTGCACACGAGATAGCATAATTTACTTTTGTCACGACTGACCTTTCGATTCACTCTTTCCTTTCTTCTTTCACAGCTAACATATGCAGAAATTCATCAAGGAGAGAAACAAGGGAGTACCAGTAGCACTTGCAAGATTCCGCGAGGGTCTCGCTGCGACGAGGATGGAGCGCGCAGTACAGGAGCGTCAAGATGCGGAGAGGATGGAGCGCGCGCGGCGAGTCCAGCTGGATCGTCAGCGCCGCAACATGTACGAGCAGAGGTAAGCAAGTTTTTCCCCTTCATTATCACCATCCCACGGCGTGAAGACGGACGGGCAGGCAGGCAGACAGGGAGATTGGGAATGAGAACAGGGAAAGGCGTTGTGATCAGTGAACAGAGGGGAGGCAATGTTGGTGTGCGGAAAACAAGGATGGTGGGGTCTAGTAAGTACTGCACGGAAGTGAGGGTAAGTGTCACTGGGTGCTGCGGACATGAGTCTGACTTCGAAAACGACTGGATTATGGAGCGAAGGCCGCAAGCGTGGGCAGCTTCACACGCGCAGCCGTTACGGAGAGTGGCCTAGATCTCTTTACGCTGTTCAAGGCATGGAAAGGTGGTCATCTGCAGAACGCGAATGGCAATGGCGTAACTCAGTGTAAGTACACAAAAATCGACCTCTCTCGGCGTAGTGGTGTCTCTTTCCTGCTTGACTTGACTGGCAGTCTTGCTCAAGCCGCCCCTTCCTCACTGTTCCCTCGTCATCATCGCTCTCCCTTCGGTTCGATCTGTCCTAGCTTTCACTTCTCGACAACGACCCTCAGTCTATACCACAGCAAAGCAATGGCAACGMAAGAACAATTCCGGGACTATGGCAAGCTCGTCGTGGAGCGGATGAGTCTCCTCAAGACTGTTGTGCAGGCCAAAAGGAAGCACCGCGAGGCCGTGCAGGCAGTGAGGGACATTGACGCGAAGATGCACGCGATCGAGACGGTTTGTCAGACGTTTGTCATGCACAGCTTCACTCTCCTAACGCTTCCTAGTCGCATTCGAAGATTCCGCCGACCCGCATGGCGGTTGGAGAACAAAGAGCTGAAGAGCACAGGACTGAGAAGCCTCCAGAGGCAGAGGACAGACCTCAAGAGGATCCAACCCTACCAGACGGAGATGAACAGCTGCCCATAGCAGAACGGGTTTCCACATCGCTCCATCGAGGCCAAGCCGACACCACGACACCGATGGCTGCTCGGCCTGGCCTCTGTGCATATACCGGTCCGCGACGTGAACCTATCAGGTCACATGATCACATTGAAGTAAATGGCCAGGAACCGAAACTCAGCTCCGACTACACCATGATAGTGTGGCTTGATGGTGGATGGTTTGAGATCTGGTGTCATATCTGCGGCGCCAATGCTAGTAGCTGTGTAACCAGCCCAGACCACCTCCAGGATATTGCGGGCTTGACTACACACTTGGCCGCAATGCATGGCGGATTCAACGTGGCAAACTCTGTCGCCAAGAATTGGACTCGTGCAGACGCCCTCGCTACTTGTGGGAAGTATTTCTTGGGCAAAGAAGATCTACGGGCCTTGTGTAGGTGGGAACTCACCACAAACAAGGTCACTGCTTCTGGCCGACCGGTTCCCGATGTGAAGAAGCGACACAACGCGCCTTTGCCGCCTCTGCCCGATGTACCGTCACAGGTTCTCTCCTCTAGCACTATGCGCGCTACTACTCCGATCCTTGGCAAGCGTCAGAGATTGGAAAACGACACCGGCCGTGACGGCGAGGACGAAGCCGACAATATGAACATAGCATCTAAATCCAGCATGGGCTGGGCTACGGCTGCCGTACGGACGAGCTCCGAGAAGATACAATACTACGATGGATCCGAAGATGATTTCTAGACGCTGGCTAGAAGCACCCGCTTCCGTGGGAGTGAGCGTGAGTATCCTCCTGTTGCGGTCAAAGATTCTCTTGAGTCTCTGCTGATTCCTACTTATTAAGTGACCGCGCTCTTTCCTACAATTCCGCATGTGAAAGGACAACAGCAAAGTATCAAGTTGTCATCCTACCGACGGCAAGGCGGGAAGCACCACGACCAGGCGCCAACAGGTCACCAATACGATGAGTAGGCCATGCTGTATTCTCACCTTGTCTATCCTCCTTCGTGCGCTTATCGTTGCGGGGAAGGAAATCTGCGATTATGGATAGTTAAATTGTAGACATTGCCTACTAGGCTTCCATGCCGAGACTCTGGTTCTATCCTTCATGCAAGAAGACGCAAAATAATGCAGAATTAAAGCAAGATCAATCATTTAGGCAGCCTTGATGGTCTGAATCATCGGTATAGCAAGCACAAAGTTAGCAATCACCTCCTCTACGCCTTGTTTCCACCACTAAATACTTGCTCCCTATTACTGTACACTGATTTCGTCGCATCTAAATGCGGAGCAGATATCTTGGGAATCTGAGCTATCGCGGAGCATTAGGAGCGGTCATCGACCAATGAAGTCGCATACGATCAAGTCTGATTAACGAGCATGTTCAACAAACGTAGGTCTCGCATCATTTGCTATTGCTTCCAGGAGGATGCGGGTCCCTTAGTGCTTTTAGTTTCGAGAAGGGACGCTCTGACGATCGGCAAAGTGGTATGAGGATCCTCATACTAGACGGCAAAGTGGCATGAGCAAAGCAGCATTAAGTCGTAGCGGCAGTCTCCCTCACACATTTTTATCTCCCATCCAAATATCTTCTGGGCCCTCTGCTTCGACATGCGGCTTCTTTCCCTCCTTTCGCTCACACTAGTAGCCAGCGCTGCCTCGATAGGAGAGCGCGCAAATTGTGATATACATGCCAGCACTGCAGAGTTCGCAACATCGAGGAGAGCACTGGTGGATGCTAGACTCGTACCTGAGACACCAGCCCAGTTCCAACCCACGGGCAGCAATGTCAACTTGATCCCAAGTTTCAACCCGACAGCCCTGCTCAACGTGACTTATGGTCAAAAAATTGTGAGACTCGGCAACTCGTTTTCGACTCTGGAGACTGTACAAGCCCCATCAATTACTTTTACTGCAGAACAGGGACATGGTGCGTACACGGCCTCCATCGATCCTGCAAATATAAGATTCAGCTGACGGTCGTTCTCCAGACCCATTCACAACCAAATACACAATTATCATGGCAGATCCAGATGCTCCGGACCCGGCTCTTCCGATTCTAGGCAGCGCCCTACACGAAATCATCTCAGATGCTCAACCTGAGTGCGTGACGAGCCAAATGCGTAAGGAGGTAGCTTCGTACAAGTCTCCGACGCCACTGGGACTTCCTCCTCACCGATACACATTCCTTGTCTATCGTCAGCCAGCTGGCTATGTTCCGCCAGCAGAGAATCAAGCTCTGCTGTTTAATGTTACGCAGTATGCTACTGAGCATGGGCTGCAGGGCCCTGTTGCTGGGAACTTTTTTCGCGAGGGATTGGGAAATCTTCTTGACTAGGACCTGATAGAATATGTATCGAGGGRAATGGCAGAGGTTGAGTAGATTCATCTTGAGGGCAGTGTGTGGGAAGACTCCATCTTGCTTGTCTTTAATGCCTTGATTGTATGAAACTTGTTGAGGGCGAATTCAAAGATACGGTATATAGAAGGACAGGGGTAGAGAATAATGTATCATGTGAGTTGTCTCGTTTCGCTCTAGGTGAAGTACTCGCATTCCTCGCTATTGTTTGAAGGCATGTTCCAGCTAATGCAGTCGTCCGATGCAGATCACAGGACAGCTGCGCAATCCACATGGCTTCGTATCCTGAATGCCGGGTCTCGTCGAGGAACCGCTTTTTCCTTCAACGCACCGAACATGGGTGAGACGGCATAAATGCGTGGTGGAGGTCCGTACCGGATGAGGCCGGACGGGAAGTGGAGGAGACTAGAACTACGCAGGTGGAGGGGCTCTCATGAACAACGTCCTTCCGCCAATCATCACGTTGAGAAAGATCCCAATCATTCACGCATCTCGACGGGCCAGATTGCCCACTCGGAGGACGGTAGTCTCGAGGAGCCAAGCGAGAGAGCGTGGTTGAAGTCGGCGGATATATTGCTCAAGGCGTGCCTGTCCGCCAGAGTAACCCTGGTACGGTAGCTTCTCAGTGATTGACTTGTCAGTACAGCGAGCAACCACGTTCCTGTTCTTGACTCACTTCCTTTTCCCCTGCCACTTCACCTCTCTCCTCTCTTTTTCCTCCAGCATGCACCAAGTCCAATCCAACAACGACCTACCTGACTCCCTTCCACCAGCTCGATCCACTTCACACCGCGACATGCCCACCATGCAGGACGAAGACATTCTCAACGACATCTCGCACCGACGCTTCAACCAACTACGAGGCTCGTGGGTGCTGGTCTCACCACACCGGACCAAGCGACCGTGGCAGGGCCAGAAAGAGGAGCCCAGCAAGAACGTTCTGCCTCACTACGACCCCTCGGTACGTGCTTTACGTTTGGCATATGCAAGAGCATGGATATCAGGATCACAATGCTGATTCATGTAACAGTGCTATCTATGCCCCGGCAACAAGCGAGCCCAAGGCGAGATCAATCCAAAGTACGAGAGCACCTTCGTTTTCGTAAACGATTACTCGGCAGTGAAGGAGGAGCAGGCAGAATATACTCCGCCCAAGGGCAATGGCAGTAAGATACTGGCGTTCAGTGAAGTGAGCAATGAGCTGGATTAACGCTCTCCCAGCGCTCGCTTCCCGGTTACTACGTGCTGAGGGCACCACTGGCAAGTGCTACGTGATCACCTTTTCTCCCGAACACAACATCACACTCGCCGACATGCCGCCCGCATCAATAATGCCGGTGATTGATACCWGGACGAAGATCTACACCTCACACCTCGACCAACGGTCACCACTGCTCAGAGCAGCAGGATCACTAGCGAATAGCAATGGCGCAATCGAGCCAAAGCAGCAATTCCGATACATGCAGATATTCGAGAACAAGGGTAGCGCTATGGGCTGCTCGAATCCCCACCCTCACGGCCAGGTCTGGGCAACAACATCCCTACCCGAAGAACCGAGTCTGGAGCTCCACAACTTGCAGCAATATCGCAAAGACAATGCTGGCTCACACATGCTCGTCGATTACGCCAAGCTAGAAAGTGAGCAAGGCGAGCGAACCGTATTTGAGAACAGTAGTTTCTGGGCTGGATGTCCATGGTGGGCGACTTGGCCATTCGAAATCATGGTCATTGCMAAATCTCACAGACGTGCGCTTGTAGATTTCAGCCAAGAGGAGAAAGAGGATCTGGCAGAGGTGATTGCTGAGGTCACACGGAGATACGACAACCTGTTTGAGACTAGCTTTCCTTACAGTGAGTTTCATCTTTTTGGACTGTGAGAATGTAGCTGACAACTTCCCAGGCATGGGTATCCACCAGGCTCCTCTCACAGGAACGGACGAGGAGATTGAGTCCTCACACTTCCACATCCACTTTTMCCCGCCTCTATTACGGAGCGCCACCGTGCGGAAGTTCTTGGTTGGCTACGAGATGATGGCCGAGCCGCAGCGTGATATCACGCCAGAGCAAGCCGCAAAGCGACTGCGGGATTGCGTAGGTGAGCTGTATCGGAGAAAGCTTTGAGGATGGGGATGAGCGTTGAGAGACACGATGAAACTTTCATGGTACGATTTGCATGCTCTCAGGTGCGGGCAGTTAGAGTCACGGCATAGCGTAACGCGACCACGATCGACATTTACTCACCTTATCGACTCTCGGTTGAGACTGAAGCTTGGAACGTTTGGACCAGGAATCTCAATACTGTACAATGTCGAGAGGTAGGTACAACATCCAAAGTCATGCTTTCCATCCCAAGCGCCCGCCGCTGAAATACTGACATCAAGTAAAAAACAAAAGAAATCCCTCATTAAGACTCCACTGCGACAACGACTGGTCCTCCAGCCTTTTGCCAGTCGTCCAAAGCCTCTGCCGTTTCCATCACTTCTTTGTGATCTTTCTCCTCTTCCTTCTTCTCCTTTTCGTCTTGCTCTGRGCGAACAGATATATTAGATGATTCGAGATCGCCTTGAAGGCATGTGACTCGGGCTTGGACGAGCCGCCAAGAAGACGCCTCGCTCTCCCTCTCCGAGAGCGACGCGGTGTTTGTTTGCAGGATACATGTGCATGTGTGAGACTGCGGTGTGAAGGTTTACTTACTACCACCAAGCATGCCACCAACCACCGGGATCGACGACAAAGCGCTGCCACCCTTCTTCTTGTTGTCCTTCTTCTTGTCGTCGATGAGACCGAAAGAGGCGAGGAGCTTGTTGATTCCGAGGCCGCCGAGGAGACCATTGACCAGACCACCAAGTCCTAGTCCGTTGAGGAGTTGTCCGACAAGGCCGAGCACACCGGCGAGCAGGAGACCGACGGCTGCGAGAATCTGGAACAGAGGCTGGGTCATCAAGCCCCAGAGCGGGTTGAGCTTCTTCTTGGCGTGTGGCATGTTGTTGAGCTTCTTCTTGGCGTCGTCGATTGTGGTGACGACCGTGCTGGTGAGCTCCTTGAGCGTCTCTGCGAGACGGAATTCCTCGGGAGTCGCCTCACCTGTGCCAGCGCGACCCTTGGCTTGAGCTGCGATCTTGCCGTCAGGATCAAGGCCACGCAGAGAGCCATTGCACTCCTGCAGAATGCGACCACCCTCCTCAATCAAAGGCTTGACTTTGTTGACAAGCTCCTCTTCATCGAGCTCATCCTTGGGTGTGTTGTCGGCCTTCTCCATGTGCTCCTTGATCTGCTTGCAGATGGGTTGCATCTTCTCGAGAGTCTGCGTGCAGATGCTGGCCATCTTGCCGGYGATCTCGCGCTCCTCCTCACGCTTACGGGCTWCTTCGAGTTCCTCCTCGGTGGGGCCCTCATATTCGTCCTCGGCGATGWTCTCGATGAGTGTGACTTCACCGATCTTGTTGCCCTCCACGTCGACGACATTGCCAGCGTCATCAATCTCTTGACCGACGCAGTGGCCAAGATCACCCATGGTCAGCTTACCCAGCAAGTCGCCATTCTCATCGCGCACCTCTCCCTCCTTGTTGACACGCATGCCAGACATGGGGCTGACACGCTTCTCCTTCTCCTCCGGCTCCCACCTCTCAGCCTTGCCAATGCGGTTACCATTCTTGTCGAGGATGTCACCGTCCTCGTCAACAGTGCGACCAAGAAGCTTCTTGATGTCACCCTCGATAACACGACCGACAATATCGCCAGCTGCGGTGGTGACAGTGCCGTCTTTGTTGATTTCGAGATCATCGAAGCCAGCAAATGGGCCTTCCTCGCCACCAGCACCGAGAGCAAGCTCTGCGCGTCCGATGACATTGCCAGCGTTGTCCCAGATCTGACCCTCACCATCAACCTTCTTGCCGATCATAACATTGGGATCTCCCTCAACAACACGACCAATGACCTGGCCGCTGCCATCGACAGCGTATCCGGCCTTGTTGATGGTGGTACCAGCAAGAGCTGACAAGTCCTGGGGCACTTCGTCTTCTTCAGACCATGGCTCGGCATGTCCCTTGACGTTGCCATACTTGTCGATTATGTCTCCATCCTCGTCGACATGGAGTCCGACCAGCTTCTTGGCGTTGCCTTCAGTGATCTGACCAACAGTGTTGCCATCAGCATCCTCGACGAAACCATCCTTAACGACACGGAGTCCCTCTAGACCTGCGAATGGTCCTTCTGGGCGGGCGACTCTCTCGTTTTCTGGCAAGACCTCGCACTTGCCAACGACTTTGCCAGTGTCTCCGTAGATGTATCCGTTTTCGTCACACTTCCGGCCAGCAAGCTCTGACACATTGCCTTCGACGAGACGCCCAAAGGGAATTCCCTTATCGTCGACGACATAGCCTTGCTTGTTGAGGTACTTGCCATCGAGCGCGCTGTTGTCAAGAGGAGTCTCGTCCTCTTCGACAATCGGCTCAGCGTGACCCTTGGTGTTTCCAAACTTGTCGATGATATCGCCGTCGTCGTCGACCGCCATTCCGATCAGGCGTTTGGGATCGCCCTCCGTAATCTCACCAACGACATTGCCATTCTCATCCTCCACTTTGCCCTCCTTCACAACGCGGAGACCCTCGAGACCTGCGAAAGGACCCTCAGGACGAGCAACGCGCTCGTTGTCTGGGATGGGTTCACATCTGCCGACGATCTTTCCTGTATCGCCGTGGATGTAGCCTTGCTCGTCGCATTTACGTCCAGCAAGTTCAGAAGCAGTGCCTTCAACGAGACGTCCGAATGGAGTTCCGTCAGAGTCGACTGCAAAGCCTTGCTTGTTGAGGGTGAGTCCGTCCAAGATGGAGTAATYGATATCAGCCTCATCTGGAAGAGGCTCTGCGTGGCCCTTGACATTGCCGAATTTGTCGATGATGTCGCCATCCTCATCCACTCGCATTCCAAGAAGACGCTTTGGATCACCTTCGACAATCTCGCCAACCACGTTGTCGTTGATGTCTTCGACCTTGCCCTCCTTCACGACATGAAGGCCTTCGAGTCCTGAGAAAGCACCTTCAGGTCTGCGGACACGCTCATCCTCGGGGAGAGGCTCACAGCGTCCAACGATCTTTCCAGTGTCGTTGTAAATCAGACCCTTTTCATCCGTCTTGCGGCCAGCCAACTCGGCGGCATTGCCTTCGATGATCTTGCCGAAAGGCACACCACTCTCATTCACGACGAATCCTTGCTTGTTCAAGGTGAGACCCTCAAGAACGGAGAAGTCGACTGGATCCTCCTCGGGGAGAGGTTCGGCATGGCCTTTCACATTGCCGTACTTGTCGACAATGTCTCCGTCTTCATCAACGGTCAGTCCAATCAAGCGCTTCGCATTGCCCTCGACAATTTCGCCGACAACGTTTCCGTCCTCGTCAGCGACCTTGCCGCCTTCGACAACGCGCAAGTCATCGAGACCAGCAAAGGGGCCCTCAGGCTTGGCCTCGCGCTCATTCTCAGGAATCAGTTCGACCTTGCCTACAACAGCTCCAGTGTCATTCCAGAACTGGCCCTTGTCGTCAAGCTTGCGACCCGCGAGCTCCTTGGCGTTGCCCTCTACCAATCGAGCGACTGGAATACTCTCATCCCCGATGACGAGACCTTGCTTGGTGACGGTCTTGCCCTGGAGGAATGAAAGGTCGGGAGCTTCCTCGGTGACCTCTTCTTCATCCTCTGGGACGTAGCGCTCGGCGTGGCCGACGACAGAGCCCTTCTTGTCAATGATGTCGCCGTCTTCGTCGACAACACGGCCGATGAGCTTCTTCGCATCGCCCTCGGTCACGTAGCCGACGGTGTTGCCGTTGTCATCCTGAACCCAGCCGTCTTCAACCACGTGAAGGCCCTCAAGGCCAGCAAATGTAGCCTCCTGCTCGGGATCTTCCTGTGGTACGGTCTGAGCACGACCAATAACGTGGCCTTTGTTGTCCCAGAACTGGCCTTCGGAATCGGCGGTCAGGCCTGACTWGGAGAGCTTCTTCGYATCGCCTTCGACGAGTTCACCTGCAATGGCTCCATTAGAGTCAATGAGCTTGCCGGCTTTGTTGACCGTGAGGCCTTCCAGGGTGGAGAGTGGGGGAAGCTGAGGTCCATCATCTTCAGCTGCCTCCTCTTCCGCTGGTGCTTCCTCCTCCTCAGCGGCTGCCTCAGCCTCTTCTTCTGGCTCAGATACTGGCAAAGTGCGGACAGTACCGAGGACATTGYCTGAGTCATCGAGAACCTCGCCCTTGCTGTTGATCTTCTTTCCAGCGATCTGGGCAAGGTCGCCGCTGGTGAGCTCACCGATAGGCTCGCCGTCCTCGTTGAGAACCTGTCCCTTCTTGTTGACCTTCAAGCCCTCAAGAACAGACACGGCCGGTGCCTCTGGCTCTGGCTCTGATTGTTCGACCTCCTGGGGCAATGTTCGCACATGGCCAATGACGTTGCCATCTTTGTCAAGCACTTCGCCGATTTCGTTGATCTTCTTGCCTGCACATTGCGACAGTTCGCCAGCGGTGAGCTCACCGATTGGCTCACCTTCCTCGTCAAGAACCTGGCCCTTCTTGTTGACTTTGAGTCCGTCCAAGATGGAGAGCGAGGGCTCTTCCATGACTGGCTCTGCATCCTCTGCAGCCTCCTCAACATCAGAGGTAGCTTCATCTGCAGCTTCGTCCGCCACATCCTTTGCGTCCTCGGTCGCATCTTCGGTGGCATCTTCGGTGGCGTCATCGGCGGCATCTTCTCCCTCTTCGGGCAATTCGCCCAGCTCTGCGAGAAGCTCGTGAGTGGCTTCCTCTGCAGCATCGCCCGGTGTGACACGAACATGGCCGACCAGGTTGTTCTTTTTGTCGAAGACCTCGCCTTTGTCGTTGACTTTGCCACCAACGCAAGCCGCAAGATCGCCATCAATAAGCTCACCAATCTCTTCCCCATCATCGTTGAAGATCTTGCCCTTCTTGTTGACCTTCTTGCCGTCAAGAATCCGGAAGTCAAGCGCGGAGTGAAGGCCAGCAAGCTTCTCTGCCACGCCATCCGCAAGTTCGGTCTTGCCGATGACGTTGCCCTCTTCGTCGAGAACATTGCCTTCTTCGTCGACCTGAAGAGTGTTGGGATCAACTTCGCCTTCCGCAATCTTTTGCCGAAGGGTCTCGTCTTCAATGCCACCAAGAATGTTGCCTTCATCGTCAAGAATGTCGCCAGCCTCGTTCAGCTCCTTGCCCTGGAGAGCCTCGATACCGGGGAGCTGGTCTTCGATCTCTGTCGGTGCAGCATCAGGTACCTCGTCTGCAGCATCTTGAGCATCTTCGGTGGCGTCCTCAACCTGACCCTGTGCGTCTTCTGCGGCTTCTGAGGCATCTGGAACCGCCGCCTTTGCCGGCGGCGCGGCTTCGTAGACACCCTGCTCGACAAGCTCCTCAGTGTCTTCATGGATCTCAGCGTGTCCAATGACGTTTCCTTTCTTGTCGACAAACTCGCCCTGAGCGTTGAGAGTAGCGTGCTGGAGCTCCTCGGGGTCGCCATCGACTACTCTGCCAACGGTATTGCCGTCGTCATCGTAGATGAGGCCGTCGATCTGGCAAGACAGCCCTTCAAGGATCGACACAGCGGGAAGGTTGTAAGCTTCCTCAACATCCTCCTCGGCATCCTCAACGCCGTTGGCAAGCTGATCCTCACCATCGTCAAATTGACTGATGAAGTCTTCAGCACCCTCAGGCAGCTCCTCGCCCTTCTCTTGCGCCTCTTGAAGCTGCTTCTTGACTTGCTCGGGTAGGAGTTCTACTCGGCCCACCAGATCACCATCATCGTCGAGGATCTCGCCCTCATCCCCAATCGGGTAGCCAGCAAGATCTTCTGCGTCGCCCTCGGCGAGCTGGCCGACCGCATTGCCTTCACTGTCGTATACATTCCCATCTTCATCAACTTCCAGACCTTTGAGTACGGAAAGATCCACGGGAAGACCCTCAGGAACTTTGACTTCACCAGGGACGGCACTGGTAGCATCATCTGTGTGAGGAAGCTCCTCGCCAGTTGCTTGCTCGGTGGTTTCCTTGGCTTGATCCTTCACGCCGTTGGTCGCCTCCTGGGCTTGATCCTGGACGCCATTGGTAGCCTCATCCTTCGCCTGACCAGCCTGATCAGCGACATCTTCTCCGGCTTCTCTGACGTTGTCACCAGCATCGCTGACTGCATCTTCAGCTTGCYCGGCAGTGTTTGAAACGGCCTCGCCAGCTTGGGCAGCAGCACCTTCGGCCGTGTTACCAGCCTCGTCAGCTGCACCCTTGGCAGTCTCGGTCACGCCACCAGTGGCATCGTCTTCCGATTCATCTTCATCACCGGCTTCGTCCGTACCCTCAGTACCCTCGCCGGCGACCTTCTTTCCCTCCTCGGTACCCTCCTCGACAGTGTCGGCAGCATCAGCGGTAGCTTCCTCGGCACCATTCTTGACATCAGTAGGTGCCTCCTTCGTCGCGCCGGCTGGGTCCTTCGATGCTTTACCAACAATACCAGTCGCCTTGCCTGCCAGGCCTTGAGCGCCGCTCAGGAGGCCTTTGGTAGGCTTGCCGTCCTTGGCCTTTGATTGCAATTTCGGTGGCTGCTGTTGCTCGCTCTCATCATCGGCTGATTGAACAGTATCTCCAGCCTTCTCTGTTGTGTCGTCGGCAATGTCTTCGGCTTCGCTTTCGGCTCCGCCAAAAATCTCTTTGCTCTGAGATTCTGCGCCCTCGACAGCGTCGTCGTCGTCTTTGATTGGTTCTGGTGCGGCGGACTGGAGGCCATCCTGCGACTTCTGGCCAGCTTCAGTGACTTTGCTCATGGGAGCTTCATCGTCGTCGTCTTCATCGTCTTCATCGTCATCGTTGGCCGTGACATTCTGCGCGGGCTCAGGCTGTTTCTGTGCAACATCACTGGCAGCGTCTTTGGCTTGATCTTTCGTGGCGCCGATACTCTCCTCAGACTTCTCGCCGGCTGCTGGCCGGGACGGTAGCTTTGGAGCTTTTGATGTTGGCGTCTTGGTTTGTGAAGGTTTTGGTGTGGATGGCGCTGGCTTCGCGGAAGACGCCGTTTGACCCAACTTTTGAGGAGTCTGTCCTGGACGCCGAGAGATCTTTGTAGGGGTCTTGGGCGCAGAACTCTGCGTTCCAGCAGCAGGTGATGGTGCCATTGCGGGAGGTAAAGTGTACTTGAGTGGGGTGCTACTTCCGGAGCTCTGTCGCGACGGGGGCGATGTTCTTGTCGGGGTAGGAGGAAAGGAGTAGTATGCGTATCGATCAGTCATGCGACGATTAAAGAGATTACAGCAAGAAGAGGTTTGAAAGATCAACGAAAAGTGTGGCTGAGAGCAGGTCCTACCAGTGTTATAGCAGATGGTTCATGGGCGAATAAATGGCAGGGAAACATCCTGCTGGCGCTACACACCAAGATCCATAGTCGTTCGAACGCGCACAGATGACGTACGAAGAGCACAGAAAACATGGTGAGCTCGCGCCTCATGTGGCCAGTGATGAATGTCAAGTAGCACAGAGCAGGTTGTGCCGGGTCGAATGCCGCCACAGAGCACTCGGATGGGTTGATTGGCACTGATTGCAAGGTGTCAAACGAGTGGAGTGATCTCATCTTGCTTTGCTTTCCATTGCAGGACCGACAGCGTCGCGTAAAGCGCGTCTACCGGGGCGCGAGCCCGTGAGAACGATGCAAGCGAAGTTCGCGATGTGTTTCAACAATAGGCTGCTTCCAGGAATGCTGTACAGACGGCCGCAGCCGCGTGGAGCCGTTACCGCGTGGTGTGGCGAGTATCCGTTTAAAATCAAGGACATGTCAGATCCACCACAAGCGATAAAGTGGGTAGGATTGGGATGACAGGGATTGTGCGTCGGTGGTGGTCACCACATTGTGCAGATGTCCGACAGGTGACGGCCGTCTCGCCAGTCAATGATGCGCATTCGATGCTGAGTAYCCGATGCGGACCGATGCATATCATCCGCGCAGCGGCTGCGTGTCTGGTTGTGAGCACACGGAAGACCTCGAGTTTGGAGTAGTAGCGTGAGACGTGAGGTCTCTTCACAACTTCGTGGCCTAATTGACTTTGGCTAGCTTTTGATTTTTAGTAAGCGCAGTTTTTGGCGGAGGCGTAGGGGAAACGTGAAACGATACGGAGTAACTTACCACTCTTGGGTCGTCGGATCTGTATCCACCGGGTTGTACAAGAACTGGTTCAACGATTGTGTCATCACTGCTATGCCATTCCCGACTGTGTGACCGCTGAGGAAGACCTGCATCCTGACGCAGAATCTGCGGGCCTTCTGATGTCAGGTACTCGGGCTTCCCTGCAAACCTCCAAACTCGACCAGTTCATCTCTTAATGGATCGCAACTGTGGCTGAAGAAGTGCATGCCATTGGGATTTGTGCAGCGTGAAGATGTTTCGCAAAGAGGGCGCCTCGTTAGGTCTCGACTCCGAGCAACGCGGGCGAGCGCAAATGCAGGTCGGATATCAATCGAGGCCGGGACTTGCAGCCGCAGCCGTCAACCAGATGGACCACGGATTTACAGAGGCTTGGATTTTGTGGGCTCATCGCCGCGAGCAAAAGTCTGATATGTTAGTGAGATAGTGTTGTGCAATCCACTGAGGGGACTACGATTCGATGMCGACGCCGTGGCACTACCCCAACCCTAACCCTGTTCGCACCCCATCAGACATGCGTTGTTCACCCACGGTAAGACTGATAATTCTAGACTGCCACACATCATGAAGTGAGCAGGAACGTATTGTTGTGTTGTTATATTGGTACGGCTTTCATCCATGCATGGGGTAGGTACACTGGACCTTACATCGATAACCCATCCAAAGGTCTCCCAACATTCGTGAGCTTCTTGTCTGTACGGAGACCCGACCAACGCTACGAGATGGTATCATTCGCTAAATACTGCACAAAACAGATCTTGAGGTGCATCCTCCCTACTGTGGTCTCTCCCGTACTAGAGGCTCACCTTCCGGAATCACAGCAGCACTCTCGGCCTCCTCGTCCACCTTGTCATTGAACCCCAACTTCTTCTTAAGCCTGTAACTTGTACTCATCCTCCGCCTAGCACTCTCCTCTTTCTGAAGAACCTCCCTTTCCCTCTGTGCACTCTTGCTCATATCCCTCTTGGCCTCCTCCCTCTTCCTTGCCTCCTCCGGATTGAGCATATCCTTAGTCTTTTGACCCATACTTTGAGCTCGCTTCTTGACTCGAATGTAGCCCTCAAGACCCAAGATCACCGCATACGAACGGGAAACATTCAAATGCGATAGATCAGCTCCCGCCGCCTTTAAGGATTTCAGAAACTCCCGAAAGTTGCGTACTGGCGGTGCATAGTGTCCGCTGAGCGGTGAGATCTTCCTAATCTGGCCACGTTTGATCTTGATCAAGCCTGCTGCGCTCACACGAGCACCTTTCAGAAAGGAGGAATGCTGGAAAGCACCCGACTGTTTGATGCCGATGTACAGTCGAAAACTGGTGTCCGCCACGAATATCCAGGTATTCTTCTTGGTTGTCTTGCGCAGCAAATGATTCATAAGAGAGTCCACAGACACATGATTCAATTTCGAAAAGCCTTTGGCGTTGTGGAACTCCTCGTTGACGTATTTGGTGGAATCTTCAACACTGCCGGTGCTGATTCCGCTGGAGATGGAGGAAGCATCTGACGTTTCCGCCTTTGAAGGCTCCTGCTTCTCCCCCGTGGTGACTTCCCTCCAAGTTGGCACATTTTCTTGCTCGGGCACGATGCCCTTGATGCTGTCCTTGAAATATGGCGATGTTGTAATAGGTTTCCCATCTTTGACCCAGCAGAAGCGGCCTTGAGCATCGATTCGGACCTGATACAGTGCCCGCTCCTCGCGTGAGAGATATCGCACTTGTTCTGTGTCCAGGCGTTTTCGAGGGCGGTCTTCCAGATCCAGATTCTTGCCTGCTCCATAATCCAGCCAGAAGAAGTAGTTTTCAGTTGTGTCACTCTTCATCCACTCTTGATGGTATCTCCGAAGATTGCTGCCATATCTGTGTTTCAGATCAACCATCTCGAGGAAATATTCCAAACCCTACAATGACTGTCAGTCCACCACGATCGAGACTCTACCAACACCAGACAAAAGCCCACCATGGTCTTTGCATATTTTTCCCTCTGTGACTTTTGTTGCCGTTTGATCTCAGCATCCTCACCTCCTTCATCGTCGCTAGTGTCATCACTCCCAGCTCTGAGCGCAWCGGCACCGGCCTGACTCCAACGTTTGCGAACTCTTTGAGTCGAACTGTCAGTACGGTTAAACTTTTCAGATCTCGACTTTGGCTGAATGACGTTTCCATATTGCGCTGCATTTCAATCAGCATCTCTTCATCCTCACACTGTGACAACGCTCACCGTCCTTCAAAGCCTGCATCGAAATCATTAGCAAACCGCATTGCACAAAGATCGATGCGGCAATCGATACAAACCTCCATCCACCTACGATCGGCATCTAATCCAAAGCCTTTCAATGCCCTACGATCCCGATGCCCTCTATAATTCCGCTGAATGACCTCCGCAGCATGAGTTCTCTCATCATCTTCTTCGCTCGTATGTCGCCGCTGATCGCGAATGGCCTTTTCTCTCTGGTTCTGCTTTCTCTCAATTTCTCGCAAAGCTTCCGCACTGGGGAGTTGGAACGGATCCTTGGCATTCTCCAAGGTGTCGGCCATTAAGAGTGACTGAAACGGATCCTGGAAGTTTGTGGCTCGTACACGCGCGATTCGAGCTGCCTTTCTGTCGTACCCCGCAACAAGGATTTCGGCTGTAGGAGGTACTTTCAGCACTTTCAGCTGCGGCGGTGGTTGGTAGTACGTCATTGGCTGGATGGGTGGTCTTAAAATCAAGATTAGGCTTACGTAGAGACACGCGTCTGACGCGAGTGAAGTGTGGAAGAGATCCACCAGATGATGAAGTGTGAGCCATATATATCGGACACCTTTTGCATACGGCGATATTCACCATAATATGCTTCAATGCCAGCTTTAGTCTTCTTGTGATCATCACTGAGAATGGAGTCAGAGTTGGCTCAAAACATTAATTCTTTCATGGTATCGTAAAACATGCCAAAGCATGAATGGTTGTCAAGGAGCCGTTTCTAGGTTTGGAGCTTCGAGTCCTCGGTGAATCTCTACATCATCACCCCGGACTGACCGTCCATACTTCCATAAGGCAGCATCCCAGGATAATTGGGGTCGATCGTTGGGTATTGAATCTCTACATCATCACCCCGGACTGACCGTCCATACTTCCATATGGCAGCATCCCAGGATGGTTAGGGTCGATCATGGGGTATTGATCCTGACTGCCCATCATAGCGTGGGCGTACGGCATATTGGAAGCCTGCATCTGCTGGTAATCGGGCATCTGTTTATCGACTCCCATTTGTTGATGGTCGYCCATCTGCTGGTGATCTCCCATCTGTTGATGATCACCCATCTGCTGATGATCACCCATCTGTTGATGATCTGGCACCGGCTCGTAGTGAATGTGATCATCTTGCATATGAGCGGCACCGGGTTGCGATTGCATATCCGGGTGGGACTGCATATCGTTCACCATGTCGTTCTCGTCGCCAAGCGCCTGGCCAGCCTGCTCCCCGGTATAGTTCTCCGCCTTGGTGAAGCCACTATAGCCATCCGTACGACCGACGATTTCTCCCGATTTCTGCATCTTCGCGCGAAGCTGACTCATTTTACGCTTCATGCGCTCACGGAGCAACTCATCGTGAACATGTGGATCCCAGTCGCCTTTCGCTAGATCGACAAGTCGGTACAGTTCGCGGTACATTTGATCAAAGGTGTCGGACATGGGCTGGCTGTAGGCGTAGCAAGAGTACTGATGCATCAGGTCTGCCAGTGTGCTTTGAGCTCGTAGTGGCCATATGTCCTTGCTCTGCACCCACTCTGCTGTGAGGTGATCACGACGCCGACTGCGACGCTCCAGATCTGCGAGCATTCGCTCCTGCCTCTCGGCTGTCCGCCTCTTCGATTCTTCAATCTTCTTTTTACTTCGCGAGTCTCGTTTAGGTGCCGTTGTCGGTGTGGCCGAGGGATCGTAGAGGGTCGAGGTGCGGCCTGGAGTCTTGCGGGCTGAGGTTGGCATGCCTTTGCCGCTTTGCAGCTGTCGCATCTTCAACTTCAATTCCACCTCGCGCTTCTGTAGCGCAATCTGTTGAAGCTGCAACTGGATCGTTTCTTCGTCATCGGGAAGCTCATCTTGCATGTTCATGGGAGTCGCAAAGTGCTGCGGCGGCGGTAATAGCTGGGCGTTCGGCATCTGTTGTGGTTGTTGTAATGCATTGGCAAGCTGTTGCTCTGCGGCACTCGCTTGCTGAACGACCATGGGGGCATATGGTGATTGATACTGGGCCTCAGTCCGCATAGGTGAGCTTTCATCATCGTCTTCATCGTCCTCATCATCATCGTCGTCCTCCTGTGCAGTGGTCTTGCGTCGTGCGCCTTTGCCCTTGGCCTTCGCCTTCCCTCGACCTCTAACATTGTCGCCTTTGCGCTCGAAGACGCGGCGAATGGTTCGCGTGCCAACGACAATCTTGTACGTGTCGTATAGCCACCAGAGCATGTCATCCACGGTGAGCTCGGGTTTATCCTTGGTGTGCTCGAACAATGCCTACACTCGCGTCAGCCATGTCATGCCACGCGTACTTTTCCGCCAACATACCGCTTCGATTTCTGCGCTCAAGACCCTATGCCTGCCAGTCCGAGCCTCGGGGGGCTTGCCAATGCGACCGGTACGCYCCAATTCCATCTTCCACCGACGTATTGTCCTGTCTGAGACTCCCGTCTCGCGCTCAATTGTCTCCTCATCCTTGCCCGCTTCCAATCCCAACTTCACAGCCTGACGCTGCTCCTCGTTGTACGCCTAAAGGGAAACAAATCATGATCAGCACGTGGCGCGAACAGAGTGTTGTTCGTGCTGGTCAGGGCGAACGTACTTTGCCCATTTTAATTAGTCCAAAATGTCGAGAGACGTGGGTCCGGCCATAAGTAATGGGCGATGTGTTAATGTCAGAAGAATAGGTACGAGGCTTTTGCGACGAGGTCGGCTCATCCCGCTTTACTTTAGTTGGGTTTGGGAGACTGCAACCGAGAGCTTTTCAACAACAGACGAGCGAGGTCATAGGCACATGTATTTACCATTATCCACGAATTATAGCGCATGGAGCATGAAATTGAGTTGTGGTGTATTGCAATGGAACTGATTCCTCTGACAAGAAGGGCTGTTTTCTTGACAATTTCTATCTAACCGAAGGGGTATCTATCGTACACAATGAAGATGGTAGCATATTGATACAGCACGCCATAAATCCCGACTCATCTGGATCTACAACCCTAGTGTATCAGATTTGCCAGGCTGGGGCTTGCGCTCGCACCATTCCCGCCGGGCCCGGGAGGAGCACCATTCACTGGGCCACCCCTAGGTGTAGTCGGCTGCTGCTGCTGCGAGTCGTGGGCCCAACCTGGACCGGGCGGGGGCGGTCCCGCACCCATAAGCTGGGGATCGATGTTTTGGGCGGTGGCCGGCGGCGGCTGCGGCGCTGGAGCCTGTTGTGGCTGCTGTTGCGGTTGTTGCTGCGGTTGTTGCTGCTGCTGCTGCGGATGCTGCTGCTGGAGCGGTGGCGGAATGTCTTGACCACCGGCGTGCATAGGCGGCGAGTACTGGAACAGCTGCTGAGGTCCACCAGAATAAGGCCTATCGTTACGCTGCAGGTGCGGTGGAGGATGATGCGGGGGCGGATGTTGATACCCGCTTGGAGAGTGCRTTGGTGGTCCCTGAGGACCACGCATAGTCTGCATGCCGTTCGCCATGGGTTGGTTCGGCTGTGGATATCCATTCATCTGGGGGTGTCGCTGGGGAGCATATGCGGGCATAGGAGGAGAACCTTGTTGACCATAAATGGGAGGAGATCCTTGAGGCGGATATCCATAACTGTTATGTCGCTCGTGCATGGGAGGTCCTTGAGGAGGGCCAGGCATGTRCCCATTTGGCTGATGTCCATAGTGTGGTGCTGGTGGTCCCGCATGGTACATGTGGTCATATGGAGTTTGTGTGTGCTGCCCATAACTGAGAGGCGGACCGTGACCATTCATCTGCGGTTGTGGCATGGGAGGTGGGGTTGGCTCACGTGGAGGCACATCCCAAATGAGGAATTGCTCCTCGATGGATTTTGGCGCTGGTTTCGACTGACCACCCGCAACCGACTGAGAGGTAATGCTGCGCGACGGCGATCCTTCTTTTACGGTACCCTCGTCTGGAGGAGGCGTAGGCGCTTTCTGAAAGCATCTATGACACATGTAGTCGGGAGGAAGCTGTGGCTTGGCCTGTTCCGGCTCGGGCGATGGCGCCGCGGCAGGGTTTTGGTATTGAGGAAGAGCGTGTTTGTGGTATCCATCGTCAGCCGACTGACCCTGTCCGTCCTGTGCGCTGGATGAGACTGGCCAGTTGGGTGGTACGGCATGACCCTCGCTGCGCTGCCCTTCTCCGTTCATCGATGRCTGCCCACCGTACTGCTGAGACTGTGGCTGCGGCACAGTTGCTGCTGGTGCAGATCCCGGAGTAGCGTGAGGCGGTCCGTGTGCCGATCCCTCTGACAGGAGGCCATCAGCATTGGCCAAATGTCCTGCAGATACGGTCGGAGCTGCAGGATCGCTGGTTCCACCCATCGTGATGGAATTGCTACGCTGTATCGGTCTCGCAGCCTCATTTGGCTGCACATCTTCTTCAGGCATATGCTGCCTCGGAATCGCGTGCCACTTTGGTGTAACATCAACATCGCACTTGATGCACCGACGTCCCGCGGGGATATCTGCGAGGCTCGAAACATCGGTGGCACCATCTTCGGCGTCGGCTTTCATCTCGTTCACTGTTGACGTCCTCCCACCACGCTTGACGGCCGCGGCGATGCTGTGCACGCCAGATTCGCGTCGGGGAGGGCCATTCTGAGCAGGGAGCGCCGACAGTTGGCTCTTGTCCCTAGTAAGCTGTGCCAAGTTCGCCTTCCGCACAGTTCCCGTCAGAGTCAGGTCTGCTTGCTTGTAATTCTCAACAAACACTTGCAGAGCAGTCGTGCCCGTGTCATCTTGAACCTCGGATATCGGATGGATAAAGCTCTTCGCCGTATGCTCCTTGCAAATGATGACGGCCGTCAACGATCCCGTTTCTGATCCAAGCGTTGCAGTCGTGACTTGATCTTTCCTCGAGCCCTTGACAGGAGTGACGTCAAAGCCAAAGGTGTAGCCGGCCTCGAAGGCGCAAGATGCGTGGAAGCTGGCGCTACACTGAAAACAGTTTAGACAAGCACCAGCGTTCTCGCGCACGCGATTCTGATGATCCTTGTTCTTGCAGAGCTTGCATACGGCTTCGAACCGCTGCTGGGGTATAAGCTGAACGCCCTCTGCGACTTCCATCGTTTTCCAATTACTGAAACGTATCTCTGGTGCCCAAACCGCGCAGTAGACGTGGACCCAATTATTGCCAGTAGTTCGCTTGAGCGGTTCGCGTGGCAGTAAAGCGCGGTTCATGTTTAACTGCTTGTTGCGATATTCCAGGCGCATGTTGTCAGCAAGCTCCTTTTCCAGGCGCTCCTTTTCTCGCTCGCGATCAGTCTTCTTCTTGTGGGAAACCTTGGGCGGCTCCACCAGATCACACAACGTCTCCTCGGTCAGGCAAAGACAGCACGAGTAGTCGGTCGACACCGTAGGATTGCGATCATTCTGGCACTGCTCGCACACCCATTTGACCCCACCATCCGCCCTCACGCCCTCGTTCTCGCCGATGCCGAAGCAGCGTCGGTGCACTGTTAGCTTACAATGCGCGCAGGCGACGGTGTCCTCGAAGCCCTTGCAGATGGCGCACGGAAGCTTCTTCCAATTAGGCTGAGCAGGAATGATTGGGGGTGGCGGAGGAGTGGGCTCTTTAGGCGGCGGTGGGGGCTTCTCCTTCTTCTTTTGTGCCTCCATGGTCGCCTGGGCGTCTTGGACCTTGGACTTCTTCTTAGGCGGTTCCCCACTTTCAATAGACTGTACAGCAGGCTCGTGCACTGGTAATTTGGGGGCCTCGTAGTCCGCAACGATCTCGCGTAGGAGCTCCTCATCGAACTTCCTCTTCAGGCCGCGACCGCCGGCGGCTGCCATTTTCTTGGAGGCCTCGTCAAGTTCCTCCCATTGGATGGCGTACTTGCGCCACAAACCGCAGCACCGCAGACAGAGGGCTAGAAGTGGTCTGTGGCCTTTGTGATCCTTGCTGCCGCCTTTGGGCGCCGCATCAGCCGACGAAGCCGTCTGTCCAGGAGACACGCCTGGAGCTCTTCGCCATTGTCTCGAGTGCGTAGTGTGGCAGAATTTGCACTGAAAGCCCCGATGCTTTCTCATCGCTTTATCGTTGTCGAAAGCCGAATCATCCACATCATGTGCAACCTCGGCCTGCAATTTTGCTCCGGAATCGTTCTCAACCTTGCGCTTCTTTCGACCTCCGTAGTTGCCCCAAATCTCTCGGCCCTTGGGTGTCTTCTTCCACAAATAATAGAATCGCACAATGTCCGAGTTTGACAGCTGCGTCTTCATGTGCAATCGCACGAGACGATGCTCGGAGCCAAATTTGGCCACACCGTCCTCAAACTTGACAAGATCGGGCTTGCTCAGCACTGGCTCATGCAAGTCCTTGACCCGGTCAACCTTTTGCAGCTGCTTCAACGCAGCATCTTGGTTGAAGTTATTCGCAGTATAAAGCTCGAGCGCTTTGTCCAGAAAATTGGTCCCGAAAGGAGGAACGCCGATACCCCTAGCGCAAGCCTTCGCTCGTTGTATGTAGTTGTCTACCAACTCAACGTTCTTAGATGCCGCCTGGGCTGCAGCGCTGCCCTCGGCTTGCTCGTCAATCGGAGGCATTTTGAACATGAGTCGAGCGGTGCAGCGCGGGTCTTTCGCGTCGTAGTCTTCACCACGAGCAACATACCCGGCCGGCTCGTCCTGGACCCATCTGGGACGCTTGGCCTTTTCCTCCCTATCGGCCTCCATAATCGCAAGAGTCTCCTTGGTCAGTTTGCCTTCCTTCTTCTGCGCATTGCCCTTGTTGTAGCGTTTCTTGATGTCCGCAGGCTTGACTAGCTCCACGGGTTGACCATGCCACATGTTGACGTTGGCTTGATGGCGTGGGCCGAGACGTGAGCTGGCTCGAGGATAGATGGCACGGTCATCGTACTGTAGAGCGTCTTCCACCCGAGCATGAATTCCCAGATATCTCATCGGCCACATTTTCGCCAGAGCAATCTCGGCTTGAGTTGCGGGATGATCGTCGATGACCATATCAGACCCGCTCGGGCTAGGTGCTCGAGTGGTGTCATTAGAGCCTGTGGGCACTTCTTCCTCCTCCACAGGCTCGTCGTCGTCCACTTCCGTTCCGGTAGGTGTACTGTGGTCCAATTTCTTCTCCGAAGCTCGACTGCAAGGCCCACAAGCCCATGCAAACCCACGCGATGGCTTCTTGGGGAGCGGCGGCTGAACACAGTTCATGTGATATGCATTCTTACAAATTGCACAGTCCACAGAGTCGGTGGACGCACAATACCTCGCACAGCGTTTACATGTTTTGGCAGCACTGGTCAGCTCTTTAACTCGGCCAATCTCAACAACAACAAACTTCCATCGCTCGTCCAGTGCCTTTTTGACCTTTTCCGGGACGTTGATAATTTGCTGCACAGGAATGCATTCGTACGATCGTCTGATGAAACGATCGAAAACTTGCACGAAGAAGAACGAGTCGCGTTCTTTGCGATAGGCTTCCAAATCCTCAATCTCGGAGCGGTGCTTGATGGTGCATTTTCCACGCAACGACGTGAGTGGGCACATATCGGAGTGCATCGTACCAAACACCAACCGCGTATCGGTGCTGAATCGTTGTACATCGCGAGGGCGGTAATACCAGTTTACGCGTATCGAATCAACAGGCGAATTGGGGTTATCGGTATCGACGTGTAGGAATTCCATAATTCGGCAAAGATAATATGGCTCGCCTGGTGGTTCGCAAACAAGGTACACGTGATCTGTCGAGTAATGTTAGCCCTATTATGCAAATGTTGTTTTGTTGGCGTTGGTGAAGTTTGAAGCGGGGTAGGCGCTGCAACCTTCGATCCCAAGGGGGAAGACGCTTACCGTTGACGCCCAGTTTTGTTCCGTCGTCAGCCACGAGTTCGGCCTTTTTGTTGAGACAGCTTCTGCTTTTCCCAAAAGTCATGATGTTAGTCTCTCTCGCGGTAGCSGATGCTGCCGCATTCGCCGACGCTGACAAAGGCATGCCCTTTCGCAACGCAGATGGAGGTGGCGTGGAAGATACTGCGGGCGTTTGCAGCGCTGATGTGGGAGCAGCGGCTGCCTTCCGCTTCCTAGACGGGGCTGAAGTCGCGCCGCTAGACGTCGAGGGAGTCGCATCTTTGGCGCCCGTAGCTGGGGCTTTGTTACTACTCCCAGCAGTCGCGTGCGAAGAAGACTGCGGCTCCGGGACGCCATTAGAGGAGGGCTCGGCCGCCTTCTTCTTTCCAGCCGATGACATTTCGAAATCCATTTCCTGGTCCTCGGCATAATTTGGTCGATTATTGGTACGATTTCGTGACCGTGTGCCGTAAGTTGCGTCCATGGTGGCGTCCGAACCATCAACCTGCGAAGACATTTTCGTAGCAGACTGCGAGGTCGATGCAATTGCAGAAGTTTCTGCTGTTTGTGGAGCGTCCTGTGCCACCGCAGACTCGCGGGCCGGTGGTGTCAGGTCAGATGGGGTTTCGCGCTGTAAGTTGGTCGCGGGACTGCCAACACGACCATTTTCGGGAACGCGTTGATGATTGATGGCTTGGAATGAGTTGGACACCACCGCTGGCGATATTCTGGCGGCAGGCGTGGCAGCCCGTGACGCAGGCTGGGAACCGCCATTCTTGGACCCCGGCATCGCGGCCTGGGATGAGGAAGCCTCATCTGAAGCAGGCTGTGCCATGACTATCTGACGCACCGGAGTCAAAGCCACACATTAGTCGGCGTTGAATTCGCGACACCCAGCCGTGATGATTGATGATGTGACGTTGTTGAGTGGCAGGATGGAAAGGAAGCAGTGGCGAGCGATAGAAGCCACACTTGCGCTTCGCACTCCCGTTAGGAACCTCTTGATCCTTAATCCGGATGAAAGTCAACCGATGGGATTGGWTCAGACCGACACCTCCCGGAAAGAGATCGCACAATGCAAAGCGCGTCCGGCGGTGCGAGAATTGATGACGCAAAGCACCGGAGTGGTGAGCGGGTGCAAACGTGTTAAAAGAGTGATGAGGGAAGAGTTGTGGGCAGGATGTCGAAGAAGCTAATCTAAAATCGTAGACCGTAGACCATGCCGTTCTAGGCGAAAGCCATTTCATCTTGGCGTCCAGAACGACATATCATCCAGTCATACTTTGCCCTCCCCCAACTACTGTGATACATCGTGACTTGGCTGTCCTAGGGCGTCATCAATGAGCGGAGAATTGTCCTTGCCGCGTGGGCACCTTAAAGGCGCGTTTGTGCTTGTATTGCGGGTGTCATGGCGGAAGATCATGATATGTTGCCTGAGTCTGTTGTTCGGATCGCTCAAACGTGGAGCCAATTGGCTCTCGGCAATAATACCGGACTCCTGATGCGATTCTCGTCCCAGGAATGCAACTTTGTTGAAGCTTGAAGACTTCATGAATCGCGGGCTCGGACTCTCTTGAATAGATGTGCTTTCAGTGTACAGATGTCGCTGCTCTGTCGCAGGGTGACGGGTGGTTGAATGTGGCTCGTGAGAAAACAAAAAACTCTCCAGCGGACGCCACAGACGTTGCGGATGTCCATCTACATCGCTGTGGCAAAGAGAGCGTCTGGACGAACAGTTGCATCACCGAATTGGCATGTCAAGTGCGTGTTGTGATCACTTTACAGAGCATGCAGAGGATCTGTCACGCCGCGTGAGGTACTCACGTCGCATCGGGACGGCGGCAAAATCCGGAACTCCGAGCGACGTTTTGCGACTTCAGTTCGACTTGCACATGAGACGAAGCGATCAAACATTTGGCCATTCCACCCTTCTCGTCATATCAACCCTACTCCGGCCCCTTTGTCTTCATCAGGTTTGAGACGCCCCGTGTGACGAGCAGAGAATCTTCACCCCTTGACTCTTCCGGCAGCTCCGACACTCAGCGCGATCAGCGCGAGGGAAATTTCAAAACATTTTCACACTTGGATGGAAGTAGCCTCCAGAGTGTGAAGTCGTGCCCATCAAGATCCTTCCTCGCCAATTCCAACCCATGCTCCGTGCAATGGCCGCCACAGCAAAGCGTGTCCCAATTCCTAAAAATGGAGTCGACTATCGTCAAAAAATTGTCCTGGCACCCATGGTCCGCAGTGGTGAACTCCCTTCGCGTCTCCTGGCCCTCAAATACGGCGCAGACCTGGTCTGGGGCCCAGAAACAATCGACAAGGCATTGATAGGAACCACTCGACATTTCAACCCAATCACAAAGACCGTGGACTTTACAAGAATATCTTCGAATGGTGCCAAAAACCCGAGCTTACACCCCGATCAGAGAGAAAGCATTATTTACCGCCTTCATCCGGAAAGAGAAGGTAAGGAGCTCATCTATCAGATGGGAACCGCAAATCCGGAGACAGCGGTGGAGGCTGCGAAGATTATTGCTGGAGATGTCGCCGGGATTGATGTAAATGCGGGATGTCCAAAACCTTTCAGCACGAGTGGAGGAATGGGTGCTGCCTTGTTGAAAACCCCGGAGAAGCTGTGCTCCATTCTTGAGGCGCTCGTCAAGCACGTTGGAGAGGTCTTTGAGATTGGTATCAGCGTGAAGATTCGAATTCTCGACACTGCGGCTGAGACGGAAGAGCTCGTGAGGAAGCTATGTGCTACGGGGATTACTGGACTTACGGTACATTGCCGTACTACACCGATGAGGCCCAGAGAACGAGCCATCAGAGACCAGTTGAAAGTGGTGGTGGACGTGTGWCACGAAGCTGGTGTGGCTTGTGTGATGAATGGTGATGTCTACAGTCGGGACGAAGCAATGGAGCTCATGAAAGAATATGGTGCGGACGGAGCAATGATTGCCACGGCCGCCGAGACCAACCCTTCGGTGTTTAGGGCTGGTGGTAAGGCGGAGTGGGAGGAGGTCGTGAAGGAGTATGTCAAGACCGCAATGGAGGTGGAAAATCGATGGGGAAATACAAAGTACCTTCTCGGCCAGATGATTCCCGGAAAGCAGCAAGTCTACAAGACCATGATGGCTTCGAAGAGCTATAGTGGGATGTGCAAGGCGCTGGGGTATGAGGAATTTGAAGCGCTGGCGAAAAAGGTTGATGAGAGGTTAGAGATTGGTGCTTTCGAGAAACCAAAGATGACCAAGGCGGAGAGAAAAGCAGCAAGCAAGGCGATGGTGAAAGGGAAAGTCGAGGGCGAGAAGATTGAAATCAAGAAGCCACTTTCTGCGACGGCAGCGGGGATTAAAAGGACGGCAGATCAAGCCGAGCTGGACATGCCGCCTGACATTGCGATGCAAAGAGCACCAGGGAGTGTGTCTGAGAACGTTTCACAGCTGGCAGTGTGAAAGTTACCGATCTATTAGCTACGATCTCAGCTCACCTGCGGGACTTCCAAGTGCTGGAACCCGAACACAGCTTGGAGAGACTCTTATGAGCTGAATTTATATATACATGAGAGAACGTCACTCTCCGCTTCAGATCGTGTCACTGCCCAGATGCCCTCACCACTCATAATTCGTTTCCACGTAATTCAATTCAAGCATACTTCAACACTCCCTTCAGCGTCCAGACCTCTCCATTTCCAACCCTTCGCGCAGCTCCCTCGACTTCCACGCCCTCAGGCATCACCACTTTCTTGCCATCCTTCATCTCCCACCACACCTYCCCGCCACCCAAAGTCTCGACTTTCTCGCCCTCTTCCCATGGATGTTTAGGGACAACATGCGCCTCGACAAATCTCCTGAGGTTCTTATGTGCGCGCTCTTCTCCATCTTTGCCATCGTATGCTTGCGTGCCTAGAGCCTCGTAATCTCGTGGATCCTCCCATGGTTTCCGGGGAAGAGCCTGAACAGCGGAGTTCAGAGGGGCGAGAACAGTGGTATTTTGAGAAGATGTCTCCAGACGGGTGGAGATTTGAAGAATGTCACGAGTGAAGCCAGCAAAAATGTTGATGAGACGATTCGTGCCGAGAACGTCTGAGAGGATTACATCGTTGTTTGGTGGTGGAGGCGATGTTGAAGAAGCGGGTGGAAGCTGGATGCCGGCCATGGGTTGCTGGAGTTGAGCGCTACTTGTGAGCAGCAAGGTTGAGAGTAGGATTGAGGTTGGAAGGCTCGGGATCAGCTGCATGGTTTGTGGTGTTGGAGGGATCTCGAGATTCTGGGATGTGAGATAGTGGAGCGGAGGGACGACYGCTACGTCATAGTTTCTGGGGGACTGAAGTGTTCACGAGACCTGGGAACAAGGATGATTAGATATTGATCTAGACCGACCTTGCTGACGATAGATATATATCCTGTGCTTGTGTCGCATACGATGTTGCCGCTTCTCGGCACCCCTTTACAGATGTCGAATGCAGATGTCGTGAGATTCGGCTGGAGATGGAGATGAAGATTCGACCGCGATCGCTCCTATTTCGCGATTCCCCGCGTCGTACAAGGACGCRACCTGCAAGCGATCTTCAAATGTGCATCGTCTCTATGAAGATGTCATGATTTCAACAATTTGAGCATCATGCTGCAGGAGAGCAAGGCCTCTCCATCCAAACACAATGCAATGCTTGGAAAGAAGATATCCCACCCAAAATCAACCAAGTTCGACGCTGACGACGCCGACGACTTCGCCTCGCCACCTGCAAAACGGCTGAAACGGGACATCTCCAACTTCGTGCGAAGGAGTCCCAAGAAGACGGCTCGAAGAGATGTGATTCCAGACTCAGAGGAAGATAGTGAGAGTGAGAGCCTCGAAGTTGAGGCGCGAAACCATCAAACCGATCTCGAAACTGCTCTGCCTCCCATTGAGACGGACAAGGAAGCCATCGAAGCATACGAAGCATCTCGTGCCGCCGAGCAGGCCGAGAACGGGTTGAATGAGCGTCTCGGAGAGCGGAAATGGGTCAAAGGGAAGAGCTCGATATATGTGGATGCCTTTAATCTGGCATTGGAGACGGTTCTCGAGGATGAAAGTCACCTGTTCGACGAGGCCGAGCACGTTGTCTTCCAGCAATGGCGGGATCTCAGTTACGAAGCACAATACCTATATGTGAGGCTGTTCCTGAGAAAGACCTCGAGCTGGCATCGTATCAACCGACTGGGCTATCACAGTGATATCGCAGATTTACAGAATGCGGTCGATGACTTACAGGCGGTGAAAGAGTTGCCACTGCATCCATCGCAACCTCAGGATAATCCTGGCGAGCTAGAACCACCAGAAGGAACAACGTTAGGTAAGAGCTTCTCCTTTGCAGATCGCTCGCAAGATTGCATCAAGACACTCGAGGAAGCGTCTTCACTCCTTCTACTTGATGAGTTAAAGGCTCTTGCGAAAGATGCCAAAGTACAGGGGAAGAACAAGAAAGATTTGCTTCGAGCTTTTAGGAAATCTAGTGGCCAACAAACAGCACKTTCAGGATTCGTGGGCTTGAAACGTTCAAACACAGAAGAAACCACAGCATCTTACGAATCGGGCCCGGCCGACGACTCCAGTAGAGATGTCACACCAGTAGGACGGGAGAACCGAGATGCACACTTTGTAGAGAAGATCCTGGCAGAGACAGGCCCTTGCATCCGTCTCTCCCTGACGACTCTCAAACTCTTCGAGCGCGTTCACCTCGTGTTCTATCATTCCACCGAGTGGACTGAAAAGTCCCTGACAACCATCATCCTCGCTCGGATCGCCCGCCGCAACTTTCCGGAATATATCGTCTCCCGGTCGGCGAACATCTTCCCATCGCRCTCTCTCCTTCTCGAATTTGAAGCTGCTGTGCGAACGCAGTTCAGAGTTGACAATCTTCTTGAGTTCAACGGCCCGACGACGAAGGACGATTTGCAAACAATCCTTGACATTTTSGATGAAGTCCATCCCCGATGGCTCGTCCTTCTCGCAGACGAACAAAGAAAGGAAGACAGCATTTATAGCACCGGTGAAGGTGCCTATCTCCGCCGCCTCTCTCCCGCTTGGGTTTACACTCGCATCGTTCACAAAGCTGCATACGTTCTGGGGAAACTCAAAGATCATGCGCGCGAACATGCGGTACTCTCTGAACTGCTCGATCAACGACTGTTCCACACCTCCCGGAGAGGCGACTGGTATCAACGAAAAGCGTTACTTGAGGAGCACTATATGCACCTCCACTTGCCCTCGCCGGCTACATGCAAGGATATTGACGCGAAGAAGAAGCACTTTAAGCGTGTTGCGCTTGAGACTTGTGAGCAGGGACTACAAGACCAGCTGACACACATGATCTTCCACCGAGACTTACAAAAGCGAACTACAAAGATCGAAAAGTCTCTGAAGATAGCGAAGCGGTTACAACACGATTTCGAACATGTACGCCTGACGAAAGCTGTGGAGAGGACTTTCAGCGGGACTCAGATCGTACGTGCTGTCTCGGCGAGAAGAAATAGCGAGCAGGGTCGGAGGAGCACGAAGACGATATGGCTAGATCCTGCACCTGTCGTTCGCAAAGGCGAAGAAGACCAGGACGGGAGCGATGTCAAGCAGGAGGTGGCCTCGAACGTGGAGCAGGTTCAACCCGAATGCTCCGTTGAGGAAATGTGTCTCTCCTCCTACCGCGCCCTAGGCTGGAAAGGCTACCACTGCGAGTCTGGGATCATCCGCACACTGTTTGCTTACCTCTTCTATGACGTCTTGTTTCTCTACATTCCAAACGTCTTTCAAACTGCATATCAGACGTGCCCGCTGGACCTACACACGGATGCCTTCTACCCTTCTAGGATCAGCGAAGTGAACGCACGACTCAACGAAATTGCAAACGGAGAAGCGGGATCTATCATCAGGCGAATATGGGAGGAACATAGCGAGAGGAAGACTTGTGTAGTGGGGTTGGACTGGGCGTTTGAGTTGAGCGATTTGCTGGAAATTGCGGAGTGCTTTGAGGGACAGGCTTTGGGGACTGTGATGAAGACTCTAGCGCAGGAGTATGGACAACGAGGCGGCGGTGTACCAGATCTATTTCTTTGGAGGGAGTTTACGAATGACGAAGAACGGAAAGGGAAGGGGGAGGTCATGTTTAGTGAGGTGAAGAGTGAGAATGATCGGCTGAGTGATACGCAGAGGATGTGGATTGATGTCCTCAGTGGTGCTGGGGTTCGGGTAGAGTTGTGTCGGGCTGTGGCTGGAGAAGTGAGGGAGAGAGATTGAGGAGATATAGCATGAAGAGAAAGATAATTGTGTGCATTGCATGTGATATTCTTTAATCATGCGTTTTGGAGGCGATCCTGACAGCATGTATTCATTTGAGGCCTCGAGTAGACAGCGTATCCATGATGTCTGGTCCCGCGCATGCTTCCCTTTCACATTGCCGAATTTCGTGAAGCTGTTTGTCCTGAATCGTGAAGGACCAAGTACGAGAAGAATCTTACACCTCTAAGATTGCACGATAGCCAGGATAAAACATGCTAGATTATTCTGTGTCATCTTCTCTGCTGCCCTCCGAGAACATCGGACAAGAAGTCAGCAGTGGAGACTACCCCAACCCTAACCCTGAACATATCCTGCCGAAATGAGAAGATGTAAAGACTACACGACGTGAGGGGCAAATTCGACGATGAAATGTGAATATTTCCGCGTTAAACGGTCTGGCGATGAAAAAGAACTTGATAGAGCTGGGAGCAAGAACGAGCCTTGGAGGACGATCGGATGACTTCCCCATCCGGCTAGCCAATCATGGGTGAGGTCGGGGAGAATCAGGCGCGACATCCGAGATCGCGTTCCTGGCTTCAACGTGCCAGCTTTCGAATGAACGTCACACGCATTGAATTGGACCATCTTATTACCCAACAGATCACCGGCAGCTCCAAAACAAGACCAACAAGAGAARATCATGGCCGCCATGCTACCAGGAACAGGCGGTGGTAGCGCAAGGACTGCTAATCCCTATGAATCTTATGACAACCCAGTGGAGGAGGACGACCTGATTGACCCTGATGATGGTGAGGACAATAGACGAACGACTCGATTGCGGCAATTACCTGACAGGCCATCTAGCCACATTAGACGACATGGACGACCCCATCAATTCCTCCGATCGAGCTCCCCTGACGGGCAACATCAGTTCAACACAAGCCAACCAAAATACACGAGCGGCCAACAATGCGCAAGGATATCTCAACTCAGCAGTAGCTGGTGAAGACAGGCGGGCTCCAGTGGACACAATCGACGAAACTGTTTGGGAGACTCTTAGACGAGATCTTCTGGCAGTATGGGAGAAGATGCGACAGGTGCTTTATCCAAAGTACTTGCTGGGTGGCATGATGTCGCGGGCCGAGGGTGCGGAAGAGCAAGGAATGGCCCAACAAGTCAGAGGTTTGGTGGGCAGATGGCCGGACGCAGACACTGTACTGCAGGGAGGGATGAGCGAAGGGCTGAGAGATTGGGATCTTTGGTATGTTGTGATGGGCACATTTCTGGTTGACTGGGGACTAATGATCTCGCAGGGGACCTCTGCTCTTTTGCCTACTTCTCTCATTTTTGCTGAGTCTGAACGCAAGAGCAGACCAGCGTTCGCTCGTCTTCAGTGGTGTATTTGCTATGATCTGGATCGGCGAAGCGGTCGTTACGCTGCAAATCAAGCTTCTGGGAGGCAACATGTAAGTCACCCCTTGAAGATCTACGGACATTACGCTGATGAATCGTCTAGCTCCTTCTTCCAGTCTGTATGCATCATCGGCTACACACTCTTCCCAATGGTCATTGCCTCATTACTCAGCGCGCTTGGAATACCCACCATCGTTCGTATACCGGTCTACATCGTTCTGGGTCTCTGGTCTCTAGCTGCTGGAGTTAGCATTCTGGGCGGGAGCGGCGTTGTCAAGAACAGAGTATCATTGGCAGTGTATCCGCTGTTCGTCTTTTACGTCGGCGTGGACTGCTTGTGCTTCATCTCCTGAACCTTTCGGATAGCTTAATGTATACGCCCAATCGGCGGCGAAGTCGTCGTGGAGACCTCCTCTCGAATCAGTCGACCACAGAAATTGAATCTTTCTACCAGTTACAAAGCTGACTTGTCATGCAGCGCAGTGTTGGTGAAAGTCACGCTTTCTTTTGGTATCGCTTGTATCTCGTGCATTCCACGACTAAACTTTTAACCACACGGCATTTCAAGTACGATCTCATTAATCGTGTCAGTGCTGATCTGCTCGCAGGAAAGGTAGTGTCCAGAAGCCCATGAGGGTTCCAAATACCACCAAGTCGATCACAGGGTGCCAATACAATTCCAATCTTCGCCCGGCCAATACCATTCCCTCACGTTCCTTCACGCCCAAACATTCATTCCTTATCAGTTGTCGATGTTCCACCAGTCGAAATCCGAGTAGACCGCAGGGATCTTAGACGACGAAGTATAGAAGATCGCGCGTTCGAAATCGACAATGTAACCCTTTTCCTCTTCTTCGCTCCAGAGGACGTTGCGACCCATGTGGGAGTCGTTGTCAACGCAACAAGAATGCACGGCGCTGCGTGGTATCCATCAGCTTTCATTCCATTTCAACCCGGTGTGGCACTTACTCGATCGCCGTTGCGAAAGCGCTTCTCACTTTTCCTTCCGTACCCTCATCTTTCCAGTCTTCGCTGTCGGCCAGAGCGTAGCCCGGCAGCTTCGACATGAGCACATAGCGTACGACTTCGCCCCTGGGACCGGCACGTCTGTTATCGAAGTCGCCTAGATATGTAGGCGCATGCTGGCATTGGTGTTGTGTGAGGCACTTGAGGGATGCGATCTCAACATTCGCGCGACTCCAACTCGAGTGGCCGCTGCAGAAGTTTAGCAGGTGAGGAGGGATATTCACGGAGGAAGCTCGACTCACACCGTGAAGATCTTGACGATAATCTCCTCGCCTTCTTCGTAGACAGGCGCAACGACGTCCTGGAGGCCGTCTGGTTGCGGAGACACGGTGCGTGGCGCGAAGGTCTAAGGCATGTCAGAAGAGTGGCACACACATTGAGCTTGTACTGACCTGTTGCTCGATAGTATGATCGGGAACACCATGCGCTGGCAACTGCTCGTTGAGGACACTGCTGGAGTCTGACCCGCTCGGCGGCGAGACAGATGGTCGGTACACCATCCTATACCGCCCGTCAGTTGCAGAGTTAGTTGCTTCGACCTTGAGCTTCAACATGGTTCCGTGGAACACCGCAACGGAAGATCCTCGTATCTTGGTCTTGGGCTCCGTGATGGCGTTTCCCAGTCGTATATGGTACTTGCCATCATCGCTATGCACGACCTCATGACCTCGAATCGAAGCCATCTTGCGAAGCTGAGGTTTTTCCTCCAGTGGAGTTTGAGGTTGATCTCCGCAACTGCGTAGGCAAGAATTATTATTACCCTACAAGGTCTTAGCGCGTGGGCTTGGCAGCTGCAGAGGCGCCCCTGAAGGGAGCTTTGGCCGGGACATGCGTGCGGGTGATCAAGCGGTCCAAGGGTAATACACTCTGATCTGGAGATAGGTCTACTCAAATCCTCCTCTTGAGAGCTTGACGGGCCTCCCCTTTCTTTCGGCCATCTTGAGACATGGCTCTCTCTCCTGAACACCGACGGCGGTCAGCTGCCGGAAAGGGGACCAAGACGCAGTACCCAGAGCGCGGGATTTCCCTTCAACCTCCAAGTTGGCTCAGAGAATTGAGACGAGCTGAGACAATGCTTGAGACTACAGCTGAGAAATGTGATCAAGATTTCCGCGGTCGAAGTGTTTGCTTCGCAGTCTACGTTGCGGTCTTCGAGCAAGCAGTGGAAAGACCGGAGGGGCTCTACAACAGCAGAACCGTGCCGTCAGACATACCAGGACCGTAGAGCTGCTAATCTTGATGTCGCAGTCCTAATGCTCGACCTTTCAACATTGGCTGAATACTAGAAGCAGACATCCCACGACGTGTTGCTACAGTCGCCGAATCAGACACCATATTCCCTTCATCCATCGAGCTGCCACCCAGAAGCCCGCCCAATTGAAACAAGAACACACGGCTGGCATCTGTGAAGGCGGCGTGTCCAGCGCCGCGCCTTTGAAATCAAAGATGTAGCACGTCTCATCCTTGGGACTCCATATTACGTCGCGAAGGAAGGCCGCGTCGTTGTCGACGTGGCAGTTGTGCAGACTCCTAGCACAGTACAATTCTTGATACCAATCGAAGAGCTGCCAGGAGCCCCGTCGATACTGACCTGATCGCAGTATCGAAAGCCCTCGCAACTCGGTCATAGCGACGTAGAGTCTTCCGCCATGCAGTCTTCTTCCTCAAGCGTGGCCTGCAAGCGTCGTCCTAAGTATATATATTGAATTATGCCGCCATCACGTCCCTTCAACTTCTATGCGAAGTCATACCAAGTACTTGGGAGCATGCTCGCACCACCATGGACGCAAATCGATCCCCCCTTCTGCTAATCCATTGAACACCAATGATGTAGTACCCACCCATCATCCTCTGGACTCTACATAATGTCACGGCGGCACGGCGAATTTTTTGGCAACGTCTGCACCGCTCTAAACAGCTCTGGAACATAAACCCGTCGGACGACGCAAGCTCACAAGATCCCTCATCGCACCCAGCAGCAAGAAGACATCCTTCATCGCGATGTTGAAATGCCTCCGCTCCTCCAGCTCTCCTTCTGATGCCCAGATTCCAGATTCTATGGTAGGCCAGAAGGTACATGACCTGGCAGTCTTGGTCACAAAGAGGCATCGAACCCCTCCTACCCGGAAAACCATATGGATTCTTCTTGAAGCTGGCGAGATACACAGAGAGCGTAACTATAATCGATACTCTCACTTTGTCCAAGGCTTCGACTTCGACTTCGGCTTCCTGATTTTTCCGGTCGTTTGGGTTCACTGTGCGAAATGGGCCCAGGATGACTAGTCAAGATCTCAATGATGATATCGTGTCTTCTTCAGTCCCGCTATTGAGTAKCAGGTTCTTCTACAGGTAAAGATAGTCGCTCTATCTTCATCATAGGTATCCCGAAGACTTTTGCACTCAAACCCACCGGAAGCGACAGACAGAGATAAATGTATCGAATCATATAGATGGACGTACCGCCACAGGTCAAGAAGACTTGATCAAAATTCCCATCATAAAAGCCACGCACGACCCGAGTCTTTCTCTGTAGGCTTCTTCTTCAATGTGCCTAGATGAAGGATATATGTATATCTAATATTCATCGCTGCGGACTAAGTTACTCTAGCTTCTTACTAATGATCAGGAAATTTTACCGCTTTATGATAACTAGGAAGTAATTTCTACATATCCAGCAAATCTTCTTACAATTAATAGCCAAGGCAAGGTAAGGTAAGCGAAAAGAGACCAGCTGCGGAATGGAATATTGTTTGTCCGGGCCGGGAACCTCTAATAAGATAGGTATCCCTGGCCCTGTTGTCTTCCATTCCTGAGTGACATAATAACAAGTACTGAGGTGAGGACAATTTTTTTACTGGATTTTAATTCTCGTGATTTGTTTTCTTGCTGTTTAATTGCTGGAAACGTCGGGCTGCTGTTAATCGCTAGCAGGAGAGTCTAGTGGGCACTTTATGCTATGCTATGCTATGCATTTTCTTCGACGATCGATTATGAAGGGTTTAATCGATTGATCGAGATTGAGAATGTGGAAGTTTTATATAGAAGTATCTGGGTATGGAATCCTTAGTATACTGTATCCTTGTCTATGAAAGTTTTGTATGTTGCTTGCATACTCTGCCATGTGAGTATCTGCAGAGGATATCTCGCACTTAGCGTTAGAGACTAAGTATCATAGTGGAAGTCTATGGGTTCGAATGAATGGTGCATAGAGAGGAAGGTATAAGCTGCTGGTTTCCCGTCGGATTACGGGCTCTTCTGGTCTCCATCGAAAGACTCCTGATCGCCAATATGATCAGCTATCGGCGTGGAGGTTTGATTCTACGATCATGACTTCAATAGCGCGCCTTACCCTCATACATAGTGGATAACAAGGCATGGTCAAGGTAGAACAGCTCGACATATCACGAAACCCTTGCAAAGAAGTCATCTGTCACTGGTATGATTTCAGGTCCTATCTAAGTCCCCTCCCCAACTGTCATAATTCCGGCTGCCCAGATGAAATCTCTCATCGCACTGCTGGAAAAAAAAATCGTGTCGAAGAAGCGAAGTTGCCATCTCCTTCTCCCAACACTCAGATTCCCGGGCTGCACCAACGAGAAAAAAATCTCATCCTGCTTCCTTGTCTGTCTGTCTGTCCGTGTCGCACGAGCTTACCGACCCCCACAATTCCCTGAAAGATCCTCCATGTGAAATATCATACGCCTGACTTACCTGGTGGATGATGCTCAAAGAGCTGCTGGAAGTTTCCCATCGGAGGAGAAGTGTTCTTTGGGATCGGTCGTCCGTGTGAAGTTTTCAAATGAAAACTTCATCCTCCGCCTCGCCGTCCTCCTCTGTGACTTGTTAGCGTACACCCTCTCTTCCACAGAAGCTATCAAACCAGCTAGAAGTATCTCGGACGACGCTTGATTCCAGCAAACCAGCATCTCTAGACTGAAAGGGAAGAAAAGGTAAGTACCTACCAGCAGCGACCTCCTCCGGAGCGACCTCCTTCTTAGCACCCTTCTTCGCACGAGGCGCTCTAGCCTTCTTGACAGGAGGAGGGAGAGCCTCAGCGTCCTCCTCGCCGCCCTCCTCAGGTTCCTCCTTGACAGCAGCGCCCTTGCGCTTCTTGGCAGGAGCAGCAGGCTTCTTGAGCTTCTCAGCAGTCTCTCCACCACCAGCAGCAGCCGCCGCACTACCGCCGGCCTTCGCAGCAGTCTCCTCCGACTTGCCGTCCTGGACGAGCTTCTTGTACTTGGCGAGGCTGCGGTTGGRGACGGTCTTGAAGGAGGCGAGTTGAGTCTTCTTGTCTGGGTCGTAGGCGGCGTGGGCGACCTCCCAGTTCGTGGCCTTTGGGGTGTGCATGTGATTAGAGGGTTTTGGGGAAAAGTGAGGTGAAGTGATGAGTAAACTTACGGTCATGTCGGAGTAGAGCCAGAGAGTGGCCATGCGCTTGAGGTCGGCTTCCGAGGCACCGTCGAGGATGGCTGCCATGTTGATGGTTTGGTAGATGGTTGGGTGTTGTGGTTGGGTGTGTGATTGGAAGAGTCGAGGGAAGATGTGGTGGGTGGAAAGGAAGATCGAAGATGTCGTGGTGATGAAGGAAGAAGAATCGCAAACAAAAGAGAGGGGAGACAGACAGCTCAAGATTTACAGGACGCGGTACGTGCACAATCTTTGCAAGACGTGCTCCAGGCAACAAGCGACGGCGACATCGGTCGACCGCATGCAGATAATCTCATTCACTCTACTATGGTGGACCTCAATAAAGATGCTTTTGATGATTTCCATTGTGACCATGGATGGCGCTATCCATAGCTGATGTTTCGCCTCCAAGTATCTATCAGGAAGGAGCTCCAGAAGGACCAGGACATCTTCCTGCATGGAATCCACGACAGATGTGCATATGTGACTGACAGACACATCCTGCTCAAGCCGTCCAATCTGAGGTCCAGAGAAGGATGAGCGACCTTCACATGCCGACTACAATCTGTCTGCATGTGCGCCTGCCTCCCTCCAGCTTCCCCCGATGAAGCTCTCTAATCGTTCCCATGCATTGAGGTACCTACAGCAGAGCCACTCAAAACAGCAGACCCTCGCCATCAGACTCGCTCGTCAAGGCAGGCTCTGGTTCCTGCTCCGGCTCCGGCTCCGTCTTGACCTCTATGATTATGACAATTAGCCCAACTCCCATCAATGATCAAACCCCATCTTTCAAAAAGGTAGCTACTCACCAACAACATTCTCATCACGCGCCTTCTTACCCCTCTTAGCCGAACTCTTCGGGGCAGAAGCCACAGGAGTATCATCAGCCTTGCGCTTCTTACCCCCACCAGCCTTACTTAGCTTTGGGCGTCATGTTTGGCGGCTCGTGATGATGACCCCCACCGAAATCTCCAGAGGAGGTATCATCGTCCTTGTTGTCTTTGATTTTCTTGGTGATGACCCAAATCTGGCGCTTGAAACTCGCGGCATTCCCTCCGCCGAATTCTTTGGCGGCTTTTTCGGCGTCGAACTATTTGGAATGTCAGCATGCGGCGTGGAATTGGGGGATGGATTTTTTTGGGGGTATCGACGTACGTTGACGGTCGCGGTGGAGGCGAGGTATGCGCAGGCCAGGCGCTCAATGTCCTGTGGAGAGCAGTGCTTCTTGGCGACGGTGAAGGAGAGATCCATTGGGATGGTCTGGCCTGGTGGCATTGATGCTGCGGTGGAGATTATTTGTGATATTGTGAGCTGGGTGTGGATGGAAAGTAGAGTGGAAGTGTGTCGATGTTTGGGCTTGTCCCTGTTGTGAAGTTTTGAATGCGATGTGTCGACGTCGACTTCAGAAGCCGAAGCAGAATTTCAAGCCATGTAAAATTAGGAATGGAAAGAGTCGCGATATGAAATGCCTTGTTTTACGTGTTACAGTGTTGATCAGAGGGAGTGTAACTTCTCGAACCGAGAAGGAGAGAATGAAGTAAGATTGACAGCACAACATGCTTTGCTGGAGGATATAGGTGCGGGCCGTAGTCAGGATATCCCAGCTCACCACAGTCTATCACGAAGCTTGACAAGCGACCCCAAAAGCTTCACCAGAGAGCTCACCTACTGCACAGATTGCCATTACTTGACAGGACCCCAAGACATACCTCGCGCAGTCTGATCTTGAACCCACCAGCATCGATTGACCCTCCACCTTCAGCTCAACGTGGTGTCGATACTCCGATGAGTCTTTACTTGAGGACCTTCGTCCAGGCCTCTGATAAGCTATCAAATTTTGAAGGCGGTAGACGATCCCACTCTATACTCCTCTCGCAACAAGATCCCAGTGTGCTCCCGTCTTGCCACAGCTGTGTCTTGCAATATGTGGTTGGAGCAACGCACCTAACATGGTTCCATTGTTTCCGACGACCATGTCGCCCATGTGTATTCCCAGTACGTCTCGCAACGTTATCCCTCTCGTGCAAGAGATGGCCAACAGCAAAGCCCATTCCACCTATTCGAAGCAGAGATCCCGGTCTCGCAGTCGTGGGTCTGGCGTGTGAAGATCCCGTCGAATACCTCGCTCCATTCCATTGGCAATCATGCATTCGTGCATTATTCGCTTCGCATAAGAGGTAGATCACAACTCGTCCCTCTTGACAAACTTTTCATGCTTCGCATCCTCCACATCCGCCTCGAAATTCTTCTTCTTGGGATTCTTCGGCACATCTCCCCGCTCCTGCAACACCGTCCCATCACCTCTCCTCGGCAACTCCTTCTTCTCAGAGTCTTGTCCCCGCTCTCCCTCACTCCCACTAGCTTCCGCCATCTTCCCAATCTCCTCCGACATCTTCCCCTTCAACACCTCTTCCGGACCCTTCTTCGCACCAGCACCTCCCGCTCCGACAGGAATGCCTTGCCTTTCAGCCATACCGCTGGGAAAAGGTTCTGCTCGACCTGTAGCGCTCGGCTGTACAATAAGCGGAGCTCTCGTTGTCGAAGAGATGGCAGCCGTTTTGGAAAGTCCCGTACTCGTCACAGCAGCAGATCCACCACCCACAATTCCCACAACAGAAAGCACCCCAATCACCGGCTTCCACACAATCCAATTCACAAGAAACCACCCCACTTTCCAAAAGAACAGCGGCAATTTTATAAACGGCCCKTAAAGAATCCTTCGAAACACCAACCAACACAAAGTCGTCAACAAGATATAAAACGCAGTCTCCAAATACCACGTATCACTCTTCTGACTCCTCAACAACGTCCCCAGTAAATTCTTACTATTGCTCAGCAAAGTATCAAGATTACTGTAATCTTCCCCCAATTGCGCAAGAGCAGCCGTACTCTCATCAAAAGTCTCCTGCGCAAATCGCGAGCGGGAAAGTTCCGTAGACAATAAATCGTGAGTTCTCCGCAAAGCACTCGTAACGTCTCCAGAAGCGTGGACGAGAACTTCGTCCTTGTTCAATCCTCGTCTCGCAGCGGCTTTACCGCGTCCAGCGAAAAGTAATTCCCTCGCGTCACCCACTTTTTGTTCCGTGGAGGAATTCGATTCGGCTTCTTTCCGATATCCCTCATACAACGCTTCCCTTTCCAGTCGTTTGGCCTCCTCACTCGCAAACTTGGCGGAAATCTGCGCGTTACGGAATGCTTGTCGGGAATGTGTGAGATCTTCGGATAAACGGGTGACTTTTGCTGTGATGCGCGCTTCCTCTCCGCCGTCTTTGTGGGTTCCTGTTCCTACTGCGGGACGTCGACGTTGCGTGGAATCGGTTTGGTAGTCTTCGGCTTCTTGGGCGAGGAATTCGAGCTCTTCTTCTAAATCTTTGAGTGTTTCGTGGATTTCTTGCGCGAGTTCTAGACGGGCGAGGCCGCCGGAAGGTGCTTCGAGGGGTTCGGAACCGGGTTGGAATTGGAGTTTGGCGAGGCGTGTGATGAGGGTGTTTGTTGTTTTGAGAGAGTCGGAGAGGGCGGAGAGCTGGGAGAGCAATGTTGCGGCGCTCATTGTGAAAGCGGGAAGGAGGTGATGTTGTGGAGGAGATGTGGAGGTGGTGGAAGCTTTGTTTGTGAGGTTGTGACGTAGATTGGCTGGATATAACTAAAGCTGGCCAGAACACCTCTACCAAATCAAGTCCTCCAAACAAGGCAGCGCATGTTTATGCCACGATCTAGAAGAGCACAGCACAGCTGCTGATAAAGCTTGATTCCAACATGACCATCAAATTCCTTTATTGTACAGATATAGATAGATACCCAACCCAAGAGCACATCTACTCTGCACGTCTCCCCTTCACCCTCTGCCCACCTTCATACATGATTCGATCAATAGCAGCGGCAACGGTAAGGGTACCACCAATAACAGCACAGACACCCACCAAGAAACCCGAAAAGGACTTGGTGCGAGTCTCACGGTTAATGACCTTCATCGGGGAAATGTCCTACAGAGAGATGGATGTTAGTCCCGAAATGCCAATCAGAATCATCACTGCCAGCACTCACATATGAGAAGAAGACTCCCGGGATACCGCCCCTAGCATGCAGCCTCTCCTTGTGTCYCTCATCCTGCGCATCACCACCACCCAGCGCCCGTTTATGCGAAGTGACGGAATACTGATGTGTTTCGATGCTGCGATCCAGGTTCTTTCCCAGTTGTCCCAAATCCGCATAGCTATCCATCCCAATCCCTCCCAACACAGGCCGCGACTCGAAACCCAACGGCAAGTATGCGGTCGAAACCACCTTTACAAAATACATGAAGTTGTAGGCCTTTTCGTTCGTCTTTTGCTCTGTATCATCCAGCGGGTTCAAGTGATGGTTACTCCACGCCATGCCCTTCTTCCCAACCATCTCCACCACATTATCAGGCAACTCCGGTCCGAATCGTAGATGATGAATCTTGTGCGTGAAGGAATGATCCACTCCTCCCCCGAAATAATTCTCCAAATCATGCACATGCATATTTCCATTGCTGAAACTCTTTCCCGGAGCGAAATGGAAGTTTCCCACGACCTTGTTGACGCGAATGCTGCCTGCGACCCGACATCCCTCTTTTCTCTGCTCATCGAGATGCTCCGCGTAGTGTTCCCGCTCACATTGCTCGACATTCTCCCCTCTCCCAAACGACCACGATACTCCCGCATAAGCCTCTCTTACTTCTGCGCAGTCATTACAGCACCCAGCCTTCTTCGCATTCGAAGGCGCAGGAGCTCCATAACAGTCTCCACAATAATCCGGGCTCATGTGTGGAGCCTTGCTGTCCTCGGAGTGTAGATCCAGTGCTTCGGTGTTTAATGCTTTGCTGCCCTCACTCTCCGGGGTGAGGCGTGTCTTGAAGACACCATGCGTGACGCCCGTTTGAACATCTCCACTGACATCCATGACGTCCAGCGTGAGCAATTCGCAGGGAATGCGAGGAAAGGTGACATTCAAGTGAATCTCCATCTTTTCGCCTCGGCCCTTGTCGACGATGAGTTCGGGGTGGATGGTGATGCGGCGGTAATCGGTCCATTCTCCCCATACTAGGTAGAGGATTAAGAGGAGGGAAGCAATGGTTACGAAGCCGCCCGAGGTTGTTCGTACGCGGGCTGTATGCATATATTAGACTGGCAATTCACACCATTTCATATCGCATTACTGACCATCCTCGACGGTCTTGGTAAAGGCGTCAAACCGGTTGAAGCGGCCTTTGGGAGCCATGTCGGCGGTCGAGTAGAGAGGATGAAGCGATCGATCGATGCAATGGCAGCCAGTGGGTGGGTGATCCCTCTCGCTCTACCTCTTATCCAATCCCTCAACAATCAATCGTTATCATACCAATTCCCAGCAGCGTAAAGGACGGGAGCGAAAATGACAGGACGGCGGGGAGGATGCGGACTCGTGTATTGTACGACACGTATCAACATTTGGGTGCCGCGATTCATCAGCGGACCTGGATCCGCTGGTCCCACAACGGCAAGCTTCCCGCCAAACCAAAGTGTGGAGTCGCCGAGTCCGTGAAGACGACATGAAATACTACACTACATAGTATTGTCATGGTCAATACAAGCCCGAGGTGGCAAGCTATACAATGCCGCCTCAATTCATCAAGGTTGCTGGCATTGACGGCAGATTGACGGCCACACAGTGGAACATGACCTCTATGTCAGATCCACCCTCCCTCAAGCAATTTGAAGGCTTCAAAAACTTKGCTGGAGTGGAGACCACATCTTCTTCAGCCTTTATCAGTTAAGAATGTCAATGGCGGTGCTTGGACGCTGAAATGTCCGCTCTGTATCAAAGCCATACGCAAATTGTGACACGAAGCTGAGAAAGAAGCATGAGGGTATGCATCATGAACGGGCAATCAGGAAAGTAACACGCCGTTGGTGAGACGCGAGTGACAAAGGTTGCAGTTGAAGCACAATGCCGATTCACTGGCGATGCCACTGACTGCTGATGTGTACGATAGAGGATTGCAAGATATGACCCTCGTCTCAAGACGGCATATATCTATCCCTCACCACTCGGATCTTGTCGCCTCATCTGTACTTTACAGCCCCGCTAGAAGTCAGAAAAGAAACCACCATTTCGCCCCATCTCATCCTCGTAGATGGAAGTGTCAGGCCAGCTTTCTAAATCTGCATCCAAATACCCTCAAACGCCACGCAAATCATTTGATGCTCCTTTTCCTACCACCAGCAACCATCAAGTCTGTTCACCAAGCCGGCCGTGTATAGTCTTCGGATGAACCATCAGATCGAAGCCCACAATCCTCACTCCATCCGGTGGCTTTCCCTGGTCTGCCCAGGCTACTTTGCAATACCTTTCCTTATGCTGTATCCCCACAACCCAATCCTGGCTGGAAATGTGTACAGCGATTCTAAACGACAAGAAGTCGGATCAGCACGTTTCAATCGGAAGAATGCAGCATGAATTTTGGTCACTTACGCGTCTTCGCGCCTCATCTGCTCAGCTTGTTCCTGCCAGCCCCACGGTGTATACCAACGGATGCTATGAGGTATTGGCATCACGCCACTGCTTGTCGCCTATATCCTAAAGTCAGCGCCAACAACCTGAGATATTAAATAAGAGTCGCACTAACTGCCTCATTCCTCCCCGCAAGTATCTTCCTCCCAAGAACCTCATTTAAAAAAAGTAGTATAAAGATCAGCAGGAGGTCCAAGAGACACACCAAAACAGTTCCCCCGAAACCCTCTCGCAGAATTCACAAAAACCAACCCCCCTCCCAACCTCACAAGGAACACACAAAGCACCCCTTCCTAACTCCCATCTCCCCACAAAAATCCCATCCAAGCGCTCCCGATCCAGAAACCCCAGAAATATTTTCCTTCGCGCGCATCGGGTGGTCCCAGAAAATCCATCGCAGAAATAGATAACCGATGCAATGCATCAAGTTGCTGCTTCAACCAAGAACTTCGAGGCCGAAAAAACGACCAGACCACATCATCATCATCCGCAGTAGGGTCTAGACGAGTTTTTTTTTGCGAATGTAATGAATTTTCCCCGAAGACCTCTTGACCCAGTGGAATGGATATGCGAAAGAAATCCGGATTATCGCGAAGAAGAAAATTCGGTGTTCGCATACCAAATTCCAGCGGCGGGATTTCAAAGTACATGGCAGACTCGTAGAAGAGATCGATGGGGTATATGCGTTCTGGCCGTTGATGATAGGTAGTTACTCTCTTCTTCTTCTTCGAGGAGGAAACGAGGACGTGGGTGAAGATGATATCTATCTATTAATTCCTGAGGAAGATGGGTTAGAGGTGTCATTCGAGAATTTCTTGCGCGGRTGTGGGAGCTTCTAGCGCGCTTTTTATCGAGGATTGAGCAGGGTGGTAAGAAGGTGAGAGCGGATAATGTGGAGGATAGATCGTTTATGGTCTTTGCGGTGTTTGTTGTAGTACTGCTTATGCGCGTGGGGGGATGGGGAGGTCTCTATGATAGWTAGTCTTGCGTTGTGAAGGTGTGTATTTTGAGATAATCATTTCTCGGAGTTTCGAGACTATGTACTTAAGTCTATTTTTGAAGCGGGGGTTTTTTTTGGCGGAGGAGAATGGGAAGAGGGAATACCTAGCGTGGCTTCATGTGAAAATCTTGGCAATAATTGATTTACTTGGACTGTTGTCTTCTTTGAGCTGGAATTTTCACTGGGTGGCATACGGCGGAAGTAATTGTGATTGTATTTTCTGAAATTTGTGATGTTGAGAATTCAATTAACGTCGCTAATATGAATGTCTGGCATAATCTATCAACTCTAGCTAGAAAGGTTTCCAGTGATTTGTTTTTTTGGTCAGAATACTTTGGGCTTTCGGCCGAAAAGAAACGGAAATCAAGAATTGAACGCCCTCTTTGTCTCCCGCAACACAGATTAATATCTAGTCTCTCTATTGGCTCTCCGTAAGGCTGCTACTTTTTGTGCTCATAGCTACCCGTTCGTGAGCGTTGTCGTCGACTCAATTCAAGGAGAGGCGGCAATCCTCAATTTCACCGGCCCTCGGACGTATCCTTCTTCGAAGTCAAAATCGTAGCCAGCGTGGTCTTGATCATTCCAATACTGGTCTCCACCTGCGGCGTAGTAGTAGTAGCAGATGTATAGGCAGCCGTGGTCGAGTTGGATTTCGTGGCGGTCGGTTCATAGACAGCCGTGGTTGAGTTGGATGTCATGGAGGCGGTCGGCTTAGACGACCAAATTGTAGACTCAAGAGTCTTTGTCGTTCCGAGCATCGTGGCTACATCGGTCGTAGTAACAGCTACCACATGCGTATCTGTAAATGTAGATGATGAGATGGTCGATGTAGACGAGATTACAGATTCAAGAGTCTTTGTCGTTCCAACCACGGTCGCCATGTGAGTCGTCGTAGTAGCCGCTGTATACGCATGTGTAGCTATCGTTGTAGTTGTAGACGGCGAGATGGTCGACGTAGACGAAATGGTAGACTTGCCAGCCTTTGTCGTTCCAACCACGGTTGCCATATGAGTCGTCGTAGTAGCCGCCGTATACCCGGCTGTAGACGCTTTTCCAGTCAACACAGTGATCGTCTCCGTCTTTGTCGAAATCGAAGCAGTCGCAGTCGGCAAATCCAAGACTTTGGAATACGTCTCGGTCCATCTTACCGTCGTCGCGGGTTTCGTTGTTGTTGTTGTCTTGGGGTTAGATCTAGTGTGAGACAGACTACTGGGCTTTGCGGGTTTCGTTGTCTTGGGTTTCGTTGTCTTGGGTGTAGATTTAGTAGTGTGAGAAGACACACTGTGTTTCTTGCGACGAGGACGACATTCCAGTTTAGTACTTTTCGCGTGGCCGTAAGCTGGATTCGCTTTATTCTTGATTACGGCTTGACATTTCGTGAAGCGAGTGGCGAAGATCTAGTGATTTTGTCAGTCAGTCAGTTGGAACAACACTCATACATACAAAAAAAGGAATAATGGAAGCTGTGGTGCATACATACATCCAAATAAGTATGAATCTTCTTTTCCCCGTAGCAATTAATATCGCTATACATTATCAAATCGCAGATTTCACTTTCTGAATTGATTCTCTCGGGTATATCGTAATTCTCATCATTACTAGGAAAATGGATGTATTAGTACGGGTCGAAAGAAGTTCTGAAAGGATACGTGAAGTAGAAAGGACATACGTTTGAGCAAATGCGAAGCTTTTAAAGGGCATCTCTTGGTTGTGACAAAAACTCGCTCGAGAATCCCACAGGTCGATGGTCACTGGCTCGCCGAATGGATCGCCGGTGCAGTTGTCGGTTGCATATGTCCTCCAGACGGCGAGTGCTTGTGAGGTTGAGCTGAGCGCGAGGAGAGAGGTTAGGGCGGTGGTGAAATGCATGGTGAGATATGTTGGAGGTGGTAGTGTTGTTGAATCTGAGTGGTTGTTGAATCTGAGTAGTTGTTGAATCTGAGTAGTTGTTGAATCTGAGTAGTTGTTGAATCTGAATGGATGCCAAGTTGAGAAAAAGTACTCGAGATCATAAATAGAGCATGCTTATATGGAACTGATTGTCAGCGAAAACTGGGCGAACCATACCCTCAAAAAGTTGACATCCGGCTCTCCTCGCTACCTCCCAATAATCCCACAACACGTCCCCAAACAGAAAAGCATGGAAGAGGATTCTGTACACCCTCTCTCTCTCTTGTGATATATAGAGCTGAGGTAACACTACCTCCCCATACTGCCATGCTCTCCGATGCTTCAGAGTCACAAGCTTGATAATCCCAAATTTGTCAAATTAGGCTCGGTACGGTTGTATTGACTTTGCTTTGGTGAACGATCGATCCACTGGGACCATTTAGACGTCCGAAGAAGTGACTATCGCAACACACGTGTCTGCTACCATCCTACCTCCTTCTCAGAACCTTGGATGGCCGCCTTCGCTTATTAAGATGTTAGGTTTCCTTGGCTTGCCCAAGGAAACCGACGCTTTACAACGACCCTTAACCGTACGTACCTGCTACCTAGGTATATATATATAGACAAGGTAGGAACACCGAGTCCGTAGCTATGGAAGTCACACCTACCTTACACAGGGAAATCACGAAGCGGCTGAAAGGAGATAGCTACCATCCCAGACAGCCGGAGTTCGACGATGAGGCTGAATGAGGTCTTTTTTTCCCAGCGCCTCTACTTGTGCCAGAGTAACATGGACGAATCGTAGAAGCGATGGACAGTTCAACAAGTTGAAGAGTACAACATCCAGCATATGGTGCGGTAGATTATGCGAAAGCGATATGACGTCTCGCTAGACTGACATTCTAGGCTAATGTCCGCTAGCGCGGCGATGTGGGAAATGGGTGAGTAGAGAGCAAGAGCCATCACGGCATGTTACTTCTACTTCTCAAACACAACAACATCGACTTTGCAACAAAACCGTCGCTCGCGGTGCATATAACAAGAGGCTGCGCTCAAAACGAGCGACCACCAATCACAGTACTGTATCCTGTCATAATGCACGTCGATCGTGCGGCTGAATCCCCACACAATACACTACTGGTACGGAGCGCTGCAATCCATCTCATGTGACAATGAAGCTCGCGAGGCTGGCGGCTGTTGATTCCTTCTTGTCGGGTGAGCCACCACAAATCGAGGATAATCGTCACATCAGGCACCACGAGCAAACTCTACCTCCTTTGTGGGCGAGAAAATGCCTGGCGGTCATGAATATCGGCACATCTCAGCGACCGATAACGCCCACATCATTAACGGTGACATTCACAATAATTACACCAATGCCCGAGTAAACCATGGAGACACATACAACACCTACCTCGACACTCAAAGACCGAAGCCTCCGACTGATGGATCCTACGAACGTGGCCTTATCGGAGCCGCCAAGAGTGGATCCATGGAACGCATTCAACGCTATCTGAAATTTGATATCAAGGTCGACTTTGCGGATGATCGAGGCTGGACTGCGCTCCACTGGGCTGCCAGGATAGGTCATGAAGATATCGCCCAAGCTTTACTTGAAGCTCACTGTGATATTGACTACAGGAGTCACGAACATGGAACTCCACTCAACCAAGCAGTTCACGCTCAAAAATCAGACATGGTCCGATTCCTCCTCTCCCAAGGAGCGAATCCCAATGCTACGAGTAGACAGCATGGATCGGCTCTGCATGAAGCATGTGAGATTGGTAACTTGGAGATTGTCAATTCAATTTTGGCTTCTGGAGCAAACGTTGATCCATTCTGCATCTTGCACACTGCAGAAACGGGAGTATCTTCCCAATACATTGCATGCATGCCACTGTACTCAGCCATAAAGCATGGTCACGCAGAGACAGTTTTCTCGACTACTGGCATCGGGCGCGGATGTAGAAGCGCTATATGCACGGCCGTGTGAAAAATTCCCAAGCGGCTTTGAGACATGGAGGAAAGTACCGCACAATCTCAACAATGTATCGTGGATTCGACAAGCAATCCATGTGGCGTGCTTTTACGGCCACGATGCAATTTTGGACATGTTGATTCGATCCGGTGCATTTGTCGACGCCAGGAGCTCTCCAACCGGCCTCACTCCCCTCAGTTACGCGGCGACATTTGGTCATATGGAATGCATACGAGTACTACTAGCACACGGGGCTTCTACGAATATCAAAGCCGTCGGAGGAGATGCACCCCTTCATCTTGCGGCACAAAAAGGCCATTTRGAAAGTCTAAAGCTCCTGCTTGACAAAGGAGCGGCGAGAGATGATACTACTAGTTCTGGCTGCACCGCATTACACTGCGCGGTTTCAGGAGGCTGGAAAGAGTGTGTGGAAATCTTGTTGGCAAGCGGCGCATCCACGAATATCCGGAACCACTACGGAGATCTTGCCTCACACATAGCTGCTCGACAAGGTCACTTGGAATGTCTCAAGTGTTTGCTAAACGGCAATAAAAACAACTTGTTAGACGGTCGTGGAAGACGGGGCTGTAATCCTCTCATGGTCGCGATCAGCAACGGACATACAACCTGCGCAGAGCTCCTCCTAGGAAAAGGAGCAGACCCCTCCCTTGCAGAAGATCGAGGTCGCTCTGCAATTCACTTCGCCCGCGACGAAGCATGTGTGAGAATCCTAGCTCGTCACGACACTTCCATGATGACCCTTCAGGATCACGTCGGATCGACTCTCTTGATGATAAGTGCAGCTCATGGTCGCCAAGCCGTAGTACAGAAACTATTGGATTTAGAGGCGCCAATGATCCACCAAACTGATAGAAAAGGATTCAATGCATTCGATCATGCTAAAGGCCAGGAGCATAAAGGTATCGTAGAGCTTTTAACACGACACGGTGCGAGACCTACTTCTCGTGCTACTAGACCATTATCGAACGATACGATCCTCCACACTTCTTCTGGAGCAACACAGCATAAAGTATCCCTTGGATTGACGACATCTCAGAGGAACCCGAGTATCTATACTAGGAGATTAGCATATTACTCTCCTCCTCTTTATACTTATCGATCGACAAGACAAGTCTACTCGACCGAATCTGAAACCGCACCAATGAAGTAGAGTACACCGGCCTTTTCCATCGCCGGAGTAATAGAGGAAAGCGAAATCTATTCCCAAGGCGAGGAGGGGGGAATAATAATATATCTCTTACTCTCTACTATAAGACCAACCTTTTCCGACGAGGCTATCGATACTCTCTATTACTATTTGTAACCCTATATAATCGAGCATGGAATTAATCTACTAAAAGCCCCCGCTACCGAGTTAATAAAGTTCAAACGAGCTATCGCTATCTCGATCCCGAAAAAATCTCAAACTAAAGGACTAAAAAGTCACGAAGAAGGCCTATTACCTACCTTACTAGGAAGCGAAATATTAATTAAAGAGGCACTTTAATCTAAAAGAAACGATGAACATATTTTTCTCTTACTAAGCGCGTGTCTATAGAACTTGGAGGATAACAATAATAATAATAATAAGGATTATTATCGTTCGTTCTCCTTCGCGAGAGCGAAATTCCGCTAGATGGAGGACAATTGGGGTGGACAGACAGGACAGTACAGTACATGCTTCCGTGAGACAACAAGCACGCATGAGGAAAGCCGAAGCGAAGCGAAGGGAAGGGGATTATACTATGCTATGCCATGCCATGCTATGCGTCTTCTTCTCCATCAGCGACCTCGCCTCCATCAGCGACGTGGACTTGAGCATCCTTGGGTTTCCGCTTTCTCTTCCGCTTTGTCGATGCTTGTTGTGCTTCTCCATCTTCGCTCTGTGGAGGTATTAGACCGGCCTTTTCCGCTGCTTGTGGATCATCCTTCTTCGCAGCTTTCTTAACAACAGCAGCCCTTTCCATGTCAAGCACAGGTTTGGGTTTTGCTTTCTTCGCACTCAGAGGATTGGGACCTTTGGGGCCTTTGACTTTTCTCTTCTTCTTCTTCTCCCCTTCTTCTCGAGGTCCTTGCGCACCATCCTCAGAATCACCATCTTCCCTCTTCCTCTTCTCCCCTACCCCCGCCAAAACACCCCTCCTCCCGACCAACCCCGCCTTGACCTTCTCCTTGGCCTCCTGTTCTCTAACTTGCTCGGTGACTCTGGCCATGGGTTCCAAAATCATCACACTCCTCCTCACATACACGAGGGGAACGCCCACCACCCCTCTCAACCGCCTCCGCAACCCCTCATCCTGCGTAGCAACCACATACCGATTCCGATTCCCTCCACTGCCCTTGGGATCCACCACACTCATGATACATTCCTCCTCACTCAACGGTTCCTCCAATTCATGATGTCCACAACGCCTTCTCTCAGCCGCTTTCGCAACGGCAATCCAGGCGTCTTTTTCGGGACAGGGAGCTGCGTTGTAGAGGTGTCGAATACAGCATTGGGTGATCATGGGTTTGATTTCGCCGTGGAGGGTTGTGGAGAGGCGGTCTCCGAGGGCCATTTTGGTCGAGGAGGCGGCTTGGATTATTGCGCTGTCGAGGAGGACTTGGTAGGGGGTTCGGAAGGAGAAGTTGAGTTGGTATTGGAGCATTAGTTTGCGGTAGGTTTTGGAGCGTTTGCCGCGCATTTTGAGGGTTGGTGGTGGGGGGTGTTTGGAAGGAAAGTGGTGGAGAGGTTTTAGAATATTTGGAAATTGTGAGGTTGGAATCTGTTGTAACTTTTTGTGAGATAAGGTTGATGTGCAGCTGCGGGAGCGGGCGGGCGGGTAGAAGCGAGTTTTTCATGGTGGAGAGTGGAGAGAGGGGTTGAGTCCGGAGGGCACTTAGTGGTTGGATTGCCCGTTGAGCATGTGCATGCATACAAATACAAACAAAGGCCGGGTTGATTGGAGATTGAATTGATACATTTACATGACACAATTAATGCGAGAATTCTCTCAAGGCAGTAGTACCTTACGAWATTGAGGGCAGATCAGAGAGGTGCAATACCACAACAGAAGACGGAAGATCCTTCGATAGGATGAGCCGGTAGCATGCCGGAGACGGTGCCAGGACAGAAGCAGGACACGATTGATGGAGAGGGAGAGGAAGGAAAGCAGGAGGAAATCAAGCAGGTGGATGAGTTTGGACTGCCACTGAGAGCGGCGAGAAGACGACAATTCAGTGAAGCGGAGAGTGTAGAGGAGGGGAATGAAGGAAATGGCATCCCGACATCTGCACAAGACTTTGCGCCGGGATCTGCTCCCCAACGGATTGAAAATGCGCAGGAATCGGCCGAGCCAACAAATGACATTCCCACATCGCCCTCCCGCCACGCTCATCGGGCGTCGGTAACCTCGGTGTCGGAATGGTCCCATCAGCAACAGATTTCCCGACCTTCGATTGAGGAAAAGGAAGAGGAAGAGGAAGAGGATGAATGGCAACAGATGCCTGCTCTGGCCACGCATCGCATCTACGACGACTGGGGCAAAGTGGTGGCGCAGGAATACGGCGAGGTGGAGGATGAACGAGTCGTCTATGGAACGTTGGGAGGGGCGGGCAAGGGCTACACCCGCGTTCAAATGGAAGAAGACGCCAAATCGGCCACGAGTCTGGACGATCATACGGCCTATCTGTTCAAGGAGGGATATGCGAGAAATGTACTGGATGAGGAGGATGAAGAGGGTCGGGATCTGTTATCCCAAATGCAGACGACCAAGGAATTGTTGACCGAAGGTCAGAGGGTAGCATACGTCGGAGTGGTCAGACTTGCCATCGCGCAAATGGCAAAGGATCTCACTTCCCTCCAATCCACCAAAGGGACGAAAAAAGCGATAGAATTCGCGACGGAAGCGTTGAGGATGTGGGGCCAGAAGATGATGTTGCGCCTCTACAATCACATGGAAATCGATGCGCGGGAACAGATCATGGTCGAACAATTGGCCGATCATGGCGTCCTTCCCTCTGATCTAACCCCTGCTTTGATGCAGAATGCGCGGGTGAAGAATCCTAAAGTCGAGGCGGAGAGCAGGCCTCCATCACCATCTCAATCATCATCTCCATCAGGATCTCCATCTCCATCAACACCAACATCTCCCTCCCTGGAAAGCCCACCTCCGGCATATGAACAACACACGGCCGATCAACTCACCATCCAAGATCCCGACGACCTCCAAGATGCGAAAAGTCTCGACTTGGACATTCGCTGGACCGTCCTCTGCGATCTCTTCCTGTTGATCATTGCCGACAGTAACTACGACGCCCGCTCCCGGCAACTGCTCGAACTTGTCGGAGCTGCCCTGCAAGTGGAATGGCAAGAAATCTGCCGCTTCGAGAAACGTGTTACGGATGCCTTGGAAATGCAAGAACAAGCCGACAAAGAAAACTGGAATGAAGACGAACATCTGGAATCCAGAAAGAAAGCAGCCCGAAATCGAAGATTGATGGTCATGGGAATGTGTACCGTCGGAGGTGGGCTGGTCATAGGATTATCGGCAGGCCTCCTCGCTCCCGTCATCGGAGCCGGTCTGGCAGCCGGGTTCACCACCATTGGAGTCGCCGGGACCGGGGGATTTCTAGGAGGCACCGGAGCTGCTGCTCTCATCGGCACAACAGGAACCCTCATCGGTGGCAAAATCGGCCTCACGACTTCACATCGACGAACGGGTGCCGTCAAGACATATGAATACAAACCCCTCTTCAACAACAAACGTGTCAATCTGATCGTCACCGTCGCGGGATGGATGACGGGCACCGTCGATGACGTTCGCCTCCCGTTCAGCACCATCGACCCCGTGATGGGAGACATGTACGCTGTGAACTGGGAGCCCGARATGCTCCAATCCACCGGTCAAACCATTCAAATTTTGGGCACTGAAGCATTAACTCAAACCATCCAACAAGTCCTGGGAGCTACCTTCCTCGCCACTCTCATGGCGGGATTGAGCACCCCACTCATTCTGGCCAAAATGTCCTACCTCATCGACAACCCCTGGACCGTCTCCCTCGCCCGAGCAGACGCCACGGGACTAATCCTCGCCGACAGCATTATTGACCGCAATCTCGGCATCCGACCCATCACCCTCGTCGGTTTCTCTTTGGGATCGAGAGTCATCTTCTCCTGTCTCAAAGAATTAGCCCGACGAKGAGGTGTGGGTCTGGTACAGAATGTGTACATGTTCGGCAGTCCTGTCGTCGTCAAACAAGAAGAATACATTCGCGCGAAAAGCATCATCCCGGGGAGATTTGTCAACGGCTACGCGACGAACGATTGGATTCTGGGATATCTCTTCCGCGCCACGAGTGGAGGTATCATGCGCGTCGCGGGTCTGGCGAAGGTGGATGGAGTGGCAGGGGTGGAGAATTTCGACGTCACGGATGTGGTATCCGGACATATGGCATATCGGGGTATGATGCCCACATTATTGGAGCGGGTTGGATGGAAGGTCACGAGTCTGGAGTATACGGAAATCGAAGACCCGGATCCGGAAAATCACGCCCAACGACAGAGGGAATTATTGGATGAAATCGAAGCCGCGAGACGGGAATTGGACGCTGAGCCGGAAAAAAAGGGTTTCGGGAGATTTTTCTCTTTGAGAGGGAAGAAAGCTGGGAGGAAGAGAGTTTGGGAGACATATGACGAGAGGAGCAATTCGAAAGTTTTGGAGGGGGATGTGGGGGAGGTGGAGAGGGTCAATGCGGAAGTTTTAAAAGAGGGTGGGTTCGGTGGGGATGTCATGTTTGATGTCGAGGCCATAAGGAAGGAGGCGCTTGCGTTGGCTGTGCAGCGGCCCGGGGATTTGGAGGAGATTAAACAGCATTTGAGCGTGAGGGAGATTCAGGGGACTTTGCCTGCGCTGAAGATTGATGGGGGTGGAAGGGGAGGGAAAGAGGGGGAGGGGGATGGGGATGGAAGTCCGACTACATCTCCCACGGTCGCCGGGGGCAAGAGTCCTGTCAAACAGTATGGATCTCTGGCCGAGGAGGGTGTCGCAGGAGGAAGAGGGGGAGGAGGAAGAAATCCCGCACCCATTCGATCTTTCACTGCTCCTTTGCATGGTGGGAGTAGTAGCGGGAATGGGAATGCTAGCCATTCTTCCATTCATGTAAAGGACGAAGGAGAAGAAGACGAGAGACCGGGCATGAATTCTAGGAGTTTTAGTTCGGATGTCTCTTCTTCCATCCAGCAGCAGCAGCAGCAGCAGCAGCAACAACGAGGCACTGGGATGGATGAGAGGAGAAGGGAAGGGGAAGAGGGAAGAAGAAATCCTTGGGGAGGTTATCATACTGGGGATGTAGATATCGATGATCCCGAGTTTGGGAGGGAGGAAGAGGGGGAAGTTCGCATGACTTTTTGAAGAAATTGAAATTTATATCAATCATGCTACCTCCCTACCTTTTTGATGTGAGTCTGTCTTCGCCAGGCTGGCTGGTTTGAAAACTGGAAGTTGCGATTTTTTCTTCCGAGCTAAGTAAGGTAAGTTCACACACACGCTTTCCACCGTCTTCATTATTCATTCCAATATCCTACTCTGCTGTCATCGCCTCAAAATCTCAAGCCCAGCAACTAAATATTTTTCCCCGCGCCGCTAACCGAGTAAGCAGTCAAAGCCGCTCCGCCCCGCCCACGTCGCTGTTCAAAGAAGCGGATTTGGAGAATTGAGATTTTCATCATTGGCGGCGGTGGTGATCCGAGCTTGATATAATCGATTACCTACTACATCAGATTCATGTACGGGAAGAAGGAGAGGGAAGGGCGTGCGAGGTTCAAATAGTTGGAAGGAGTGAGTAACCATGGTAGATTTTATGGAGACGAGAGTTTGGTAAGTAATAATAGGGAAGGAAGTATTTTGTATACTTAGGTAGGTAAAGGTAGCTTAGACGAATTACCTACTTTCCCGTCTAGTTTAGGTACGCTATCTACCTAAGTATATACATATAGGTAAAAGGTTAATCGTGAAGGATTTCTAGCTAGAGGTAGGGCATAGGTGAAAACATTCCCGATGCATCTCTCTTTTTTAGATCATCATAGTATTGATCTAACGGAGTACCTAGTAAAAGGAGATGCAATTAGCAATTCGCGCGGTTTTCCACCTTCCTAGAAAAGTCACTAGCGTCTTTTATATAAGTGAATCAATCTCTCTTATCCCAACGCACTTCGCCCGCGGCTTATAGAACTTTCTTTTTTTCCCGCATCGTGCAAGATAAATCCCACTTCACTATCATCGTGCTCGTCGTCCTTGCAGCAATAGTTCTCCATTGAGTAGTATTTCAAAGATGTCGAAGGATCGCCAAGACTTGCCTTATCGGCAACATCGGGATGATTTTCAGCCTGAGCTCAAAGATAGATCACTGCTCCACTATCCTCCCATCCCACGATGCAACTCTCGCATCGCCTTCTCTCTCTTCACAATCGTGAAATAGACTCCACTTCATTCTCCATCTCCGGCTTGGCGATGCAGACAGAGTGAAGTGGGATTCTTTTTGGGGGGTGTCAACCCTACATCGAGATATAAATTYAGGATTCGAAGTCCGAGATGATGGATGACCTGGGTAAAGTCAGTCATATGGCTTGAGCGATTTTCTTTTCCATGAAAGACTCACTCCACTTTGCTGGCTGGCTAGGATGATGTTTTGTCTGAACCCTACGTGCTGTTTTGCGCTATGGATTCAGGAAGATGGGGGACTTCGGCTCAATGCAGGCTCTCTCTGTTCTTGGCGAGTTGGTTATTCTTGATCGGAAAAGAATGAATGGGTGGGAGACACCATACAGTGGATGTGATGAATCCACAGGGATGGCGGGACTTCAACATATTCTCCAAACGAAGGTCGGTAATGCAGAGGCATCGTCGATGGTCGTCCATCATCCCAGGATAGCGGTCTTGGGGGAGGAACAACATAAAAAGCAGCAGCCTTTCCTCCTCTAGTACCATCTCATCAAACAGACACTGCCAGCGCCTCGACTTCCAATCCAAAACTCCATCATCACCACGATGAAGAACACCAACATCCTCCTCGCCGCCCTCCTCGCCTCAATCAGCAGCACGGTCCTAGGCCAAATCGCCACCTGCGACGGTGACCAAGCCCCAGATTGGGAAGATTTTACGTCCACCACACCCCCCCTTGAGCACCCCATCCCATCATCATCATCATCATCATCATCATCATCACCACCATCATCATCACATCTCTAACCCCTCCCCCAATCCACAGGCGACGCAATCTACGCCCCCTACCGCGGCGGAATCGACTTCATACCCAACATACTACCCCCCCTCTGCGCAGTCTTCAACGCCCCCGAAGGAGTGAGTCTCCGCCAAATTCCCTCAACTGCAGAATTCAATGGTGTCCCGAAAAGGTCCCGACGTTTCCGAATCCTTCAGTGGAACAGGAGGGGATTACAATATCCTCAGTCTGAATTGCCGCGCCCAACAATGCAGGTAGGTGGTGGAGCTGGTCGAGCGGGCGCTTGGACGTTGCAAGTGATTAATAACCCGGACTATGAGAATTGAAACCGCAACGCCAACGATGATGACGACGGCGGGTGAAAAAGCCAGTATGGAGGAGGAGGAGGAGGAGGAGGAAAGTGTTGTCACCCCGGAGATTTGGACAGGAGGTCCCCCATCTCGCCCTTCTTCGCAGAAAAAGCGACAAGCTGAGAATGACAATGGTTTCACTCTTGTTATTTCCTCCCGCAGTGTGGAGCGAGAAGGGATTCAAATTACAGGCTAAAGTGCCTTCGGGAACAGGTCTATGGTGATTATGGAGACGGATTCCAAGACGACTTCCGTCTCTCCGTCTCTGCGGAGGTTTGCGGCGGGGGTGTTTTTTTTGAATTCTTCTCGGCTTCGATTGGGACTACGATTACGGAGGAACAAACTTCTTCGAATACGGTTGGGTTGGAGTTGAATATTCCTTGCGCGGATCATCAGTCTGGACAGCTTTTTTGGTATCCTTTGTATGATGTGTAAGTGGATGGGAGGGTTCTTTCTTTCTGATTTGAGGAGGTTGATGAGGCTGACTGTGATGCAGATATTCGGGATTCACGACCCCTTCCACCACGGATGTGGAGGTCGTTGTGCCTCAGGATAATTCGATAAGCGGGAGTAATTATCGCGTGGTGTGCCTTGAGTAAGGTAGGGTAGGGTAGGGTAGGGAGAGAGGGAGGGAGAGGCCGTCTTGGGAGATTGAGGCAGTATCGTGGGATGGTTCAACACATGTTTATCGATGTACCTAAGCTTTGATCTCTAGAATCCGGTCGGTGGATGGATGTATATCATATCGCAGTAGCTATTCAAAGGGATCAATCAGTACACAATGCATTCCAAAATAGCAGCTCACCATTCATTCGTTTCCGACGCCAGAGATTGATTGCTCTTCAGGAAGACCAGCAAAACGTGACCCAAATGTTATGAATGATATTTCCGATTCTCTTCCTTTTCGACTGACTAATCGTGTGGAAAGAACGGACATCCCAGTGGACAGAATTCCTTTCACAACCTCGAGCTAAACCCCCCAGCCTGCGAAACCATCTTCAACATCATCGGCTGCCGCATCAAATTCAACTCTCCCAATTTCTTATTAAAAGCCGTGAAAACCTGGCTTGAACCATGTTCTTTTAACGCCTGCTGGTTTTGATATCTATGTCAATTCCCACCTGTTAGCCATGACACACACTCTCTCAAGCGTAGGGCATGAAAAGCAGACTTCTCAATCATGACAATCTCCTCGGTACCATCTTYATTCGGTCTCAGAGATCGATTGATGGAGTAGGATAAAACACCGGGTTCTTTGGCTTGGACGTATTCTGCGACTTCTTTCATGTGGCCGAGGACCTGAGGGAAAGATCATTCGCATGTTAGTTTGGTGAGGTGCTTGCTGGAGAGTAAGGTAGTAGGTGGGTGTACCTCGTCGGTCTTTCCCTTTTGGGGGTAGAGGATAGCAATGACGTTGAATTCTTTAGACGACATGATGGTGATGAATCTTGCCAATATTGATTATTATCGGGAAGAGGTTGTTAAGAAGAAGAGWAGTAGTGGTAGTGGTAGTGGTGGTGGGTGATTACAAGTGATCGACAACCGAACCTCGGCCCGGAGAGCGTGGCTATAGTAGGTACCTAGACTTGTCGTCCTTTAACAACATTACATTATACATTAATGTATAGTAAGTACATTCTAAGGCCGTTCGCTATAAGCACTTAAGTTCCCGGACATTAAGATATATTACTTATAAACGGGAGAAGAAGCCTATCTAAACGAGCCGTATTTATAAGATAATCTCTCTCTACTATACCTATTACGCTTTTTCTATTATCTACCGATAAATACCGTATCGAGTAGAAAGAAGGATTATCTATACGTACATAACGCTAGTGAGAATCCTACGCTACTCCATCTGCCTATTAAATCGACACCACAGTAACTAGACATCCACGACTATATACTACCACTACAATGTCTATCCTCGCGTGGACAAGAAAACGGCTCGCCGGACCTCGTGTTAAAAGGTCCTCGTCCCTACATAAAGATTGTTGGTGTTTAAACCAAAGGAACGGCTTGGCAGAGTTTCATCCCATGTGAAATCCACGTACTTCTCTGCCTTATCTTCAAGATTCAAGAACGTATCAAATAGTCCGGAGAGCCTGCCTTCATGATTTTACTTACCTGCTTCGACTGGCTAGTGATGAAGAAAGATGATGAATCAGGTTGACTGTAGACGTTCTTCGTGATCGGTATTTCTTGTGAGTATGACACGAATAATGAGTCCTCTCATCAGGAAGAAGTAGGAGTTGTATGATGGAGAAACTGGTGTAGAGGTGATTGGGAGTCTAATTTACTGATTGAGTCGATGGGTCGAGGTAAGAAGAAGGATGATCTGGTTTGGTGTTATGGGAAGTACCATGGTGATGGGCTTGAAGAGGATATGGGTATTAGTGCTTAGTGTCCGGACAAAGAACGCGGGAGAAAGGGTCAGTTTGAGCGATAATGCTTGGGCGGTTTGGCATACTTCAGAAGTAAACGCGGGCTTAATGGGATCTCATGCATCTGGTACAGAGCGGATGGGAGGTTCGTCGCACAGACTGTGCTTTTGGAGTTGGTTGAGTGAAAGCGAGATGGTGAGAGAACGCTTCGAAGTGGACGAGAAAGAAAGATGACTTGAAATCAGAAGACCAGAAGAAAAAATAAATCAACAAACCTCTCCTCAACGTACACAACGACCATCAGTGGCGCCACTCGCGGAAAAAAGCTAAAGGAGTAAGTATCGTGAAGCATATTAATGCCACTACATAGCTGATGATAGAAGAAGAGTCTCATTCTTCCTCAACAAGAGTAGCGCCCTCCTCTTCCACCGGCTCACCACCTTCCATAGGCCCTCGTTTCCTGAGATTCGCCACATTATACAACAAATCATCCAACTGCTTGCCCGTACCATCGAATACCTTGCCACTGTATGAGTTCATTCCCTTCAGCTTTTCCATAGAAGCGATATCTTGACCTCCAGTCTTCAGATCAATGACTTGTATCCTCGCCGAGTTCCCCTCTCTCGCATCCACCGAGACGACCACTTTGTTTCCCAAAATCGCAACATCCAGCGGATAGAGCCCGGATGTGGACCAGGACTTTACATCTTGTTCGCCCTCCAAGGTCGGCAGGTAGAATACGGCGTCCACTTTTTCCATCACAAACACGACTCCCTCTCCCGCCTGCCAGATCCCGCTCACGGCCATTTTGCCTTCAGGTACTAGGCCCTCCAATTGAATCTTCCGCTCCAATGTCATGGTTTGAAAGTCCCAAACTCCCAACCATGCATCGCCACCTCCGCTGACCAATCTCCTCCCCACTTGACAGATGCGACTCACGAATGCCTGATGTCCCRAACAGAATCCCTCGATGACGTGAGCTTGTGGTGGCGCTCGAGAAATGCGGATATGTTCATCGCGATCACATGTAGCAAGCCACTGTCTCTTTTCTCCCGGAAGTGATAGGAATGTCATATCTGTAAGCATCGAGACATGTCCCAACAACAAAGTATTGTCAAACTCTGCAAGGACATCCTTTCTAGGCGTGAATTGTTTCTGTGCTTGTTGAGCTTGCAGCGCGGTGAGATTTCTCTTGGAATGTACCGTCAAAGGCGTCGCTGAAGGTTTGAACTTGTTCTCCTCCGAGGCTTCTGGTTTGGGTTTGGTGGTGACTTCTCCTTGGATTAGGGGAAGAGAATAGACGTCGCCGTGCTTGTCCGCTAGCAGAAGAGTGTCGTTTGATGGTGGAATCTGGATAGCACATGGTCGCTTGGGGACTTCGCGGGGTTTCCCTATCTCTTGGAGGGTGGGCAAGGCAAAGATACGGATTGACTTGTCATCTGTCACTGCTGCGAGGTGATGTTGATCTGGTGAGACTGCAAGGAGGATGAATGTAGATGACTTTTGGGGTGACGCATTCTTCTTTTGTTGTTTGGTCTTCTTGCCGAAGGAGGGTTRTTGCTTGTTCTCCTCGGCTGGCGTGTCATCATTGGAGGTTTTCTGTCTTTTTGATGGAGGCTCCGAGGATTGTGAGATCGGATCGTCTTTTGATTGGCCATTGATCCCGGATGGAAGCTGCATTGGCTTTAGTTTAGATCATTTGATTGGAGGGAGGGATACAATACATACATCACTGTCCGCTGTCCATTCCGAAATGAGCTCGCCTGACTCCAGGCTAAGAGATATGAGTCTGGGGCCACACGCGGCGATCAAATGGCCATGTTCTGTGCCTCCCTGCACAGCAGCGATACGTTGGAAGGGATGTTGCATCTTGATACCAATCACTACCAAATGGAGTTGTGATGATGTAGGAGGAGAAAGAGAGGTGATGTTGTTCGCGAGGCGGTCATTGCTTCAGATGTGTATTCTTCACGTTCGTACAAATTATTTTAGCTTCCATCTCTAAACCTTAATTCCTTGCCGACATCCGAGCGCCATCGATCCCGAGAACGGGACATCTCCATCAAAGTGCTCTACAGACCGTTGTGTGGTGGTAGGGCAAAAATGATGTATGTGAAAGATGGACGGCAAGATTGACACAACCCAGTGGACACTTTCCCGCGCATCGGATGCCTCATCTCGGGTCAGCATCTTCCATCGTTCCCCATGGAACATGATCGAATCGCGAAGGTTTCACAGGGAAGAAGGAGCTATGTCAGTCTTCTTTCAGGTGAAGTTCATATTTTATCTACAAATACATCTCCCACTCTTCTCAATACCCATCCACTCATATCTCGCGCGTCTACCAGCGGCTCAGTGATTCCAGCAAACAAACGGTACGTAAGGTAGCACCCGCCAAATCATGCCTCCCTCTGAACCCTGATCTACCTTACAACTTCTTTCTCGCCTGCCTGCATCACAATTCTTCCCCCAACACCACCGGTGATTCCTCCACCGTAAACACATTGCACAGCACGGCGATTTTTGCAGCACACCCACTGACATTTTCTAGTATTATAGTGCAGCGCAGTACATCCAGCATTCGCGCGGAGTCCTCACACCCTCACATCGCCTCGGACTACAGCGGAGATAGGCTACGGCTGATRGCGACACTTCACGGGCACCCCGCCAACCTCCCCTCTATCTCACCCTCCCTCTACTACCGCAATCATGGTCAAGGACACCAAATTCTACGACGTCCTCGGCGTATCGCCCGATGCCACCGAAGCGCAGCTGAAGTCGGCGTACCGCAAGGGCGCCCTCAAGCACCACCCCGACAAGAACGCACACGACCCGCAAGCCGCAGAGAAATTCAAGGAGATCTCGCACGCATACGAAACCCTCTCCGACGCTCAGAAGCGTCAAATCTACGACCAATATGGTGAGGAAGGCCTCGAACAGGGTGGCATGGGCGGCGGCGGTGGTGGAATGGCCGCCGAAGATCTCTTCGCACAATTCTTCGGAGGCGGCGGTGGCGGCGGCGGTGGATTTGGAGGAATGTTTGGCGGTATGGGAGGCCGTGATGCCGGCCCGAAGAAGGCGCGCACTATCCACCACGTACACAAAGTGTCACTCGAGGACATCTACCGCGGCAAGGTCAGCAAGCTCGCGCTGCAAAAGTCCATCATCTGCCCCAAGTGTGAGGGTCGCGGCGGTAAGGAGGGCGCAGTCAAGACGTGCGCGGGATGCAATGGAGCGGGTATGAAGATGATGATGCGCCAGATGGGACCMATGATTCAGCGCTTCCAGACCGTCTGCCCCGACTGCAATGGTGAAGGCGAGACAGTACGCGACAAGGACAAGTGCAAGGAGTGCAACGCCAAGAAGACGGTCATTCAGCGCAAGGTATTGCACGTGCACGTCGACCGTGGTGTGCAGTCGGGAACGAAGATTGATTTCCGCGGCGAGGGAGACCAGATGCCCGGCGTGCAGCCAGGTGATGTGCAATTCGAGATTGAGCAGAAGCCGCATCCGCGTTTCCAGCGCAAGGGCGACGACCTCTTCTACCACGCCGAGGTCGACCTCCTGACCGCCTTGGCTGGTGGTGCCATCTACATTGAGCACCTTGACGAGCGGTGGTTGACTGTTGAGATCATTCCAGGCGAGGTCATCTCACCGAGTAAGTCATCCCACTCCTTCCAGCCACGAAAATCACTAACACTCCACAGACGAAGTCAAAGTCATCCGCGGCCAGGGTATGCCTTCATACCGCCACCACGATTTCGGCAACCTGTACGTCCAATTCGAAGTCAAGTTCCCGGAGAAGCTTACCGGCCCGCCCGACGCCGACGGCTACCCAACTGCCATGGGTCCAGAGCAGGTCAAGATGCTCGAAAGCGTGCTCCCACCCCGCCAGCCACAGAACATCCCACCACCAGATGCCATGACCGAGGACTACAGCTTGGAGAAGGTCGACGCAAGCGAGGGCCGGGCTGCAAGAGCGACGGATGAGGATGAAGATGAGATGGGTGCTGGAGGAGAGAGAGTCCAGTGTGCTAGTCAGTAGAGGGAGTGATGTGGACAAGCATTGGGCAGGCAAGCGAAGTGTGCTTTCTTCAATCCGCAAGGTTGACAGGGGTATTATAGAAATTACGAACGAATGCATGCATGGAATTCCTCCCATTGTTGTGGAAGGTCATGATGTGAGATTGATGTGTATTGCATATGGAGCCAATGAAGGACAGCAAGTATTGACAGCAATGACCTAAACTCCATCCGCGAATAATCCTACCAGGCCAGCTTACACAACTTCTACCTCTACCTCTGATAGGTAACATCACAACATCCTCCTAGCCAAATACCCAGCCACAAAAGCCGCAAGCCCACTAGAAGCAAGCACCCAAGCAGTAGGAACCTCACTCCCAGCCTTCTCAGCAATTCCATAACTAACAATACTCACCGCCCCGGACAAAACCTGCGGCAAAGAAATGGCCAAATTGTGAATTCCCAGAATCGCACCCGATTGTGCATCACCATCCTCCTTAGTAGTAGTAGCAGACTCATCACTCGACTCCGTCACGCCCCCACCCGTCGTGAGACCCAATCTAGAAGTCTCATAGCCTATTAAAGCCCAAGGAACCCATTGCGTCACGGCCCAGGGAATACCTGCTAGGGCCACCAGGACGATTCCTTGCCATGGGGATGTGGAAGCTAGGGTTAAGAGGAGGAGGAGTCCGAGGAGGGGTTGTGTGAATGTCCAGAGTTTGATGAGGATTTTGTTGTTATTGGTGGGGAAGAAGCGGGATGTGATGACTGGGAGGGTGAGAACGGCTATGAAGCCTACGATTGCGAAACTGAGACTTCCGATTGAGCCTGCTTGGGCTAGTTGATTTCCGGAGTTGCTCGTTTTTTGTTCTGCGGTTTTGTCTGGGGGGTAGATTAGCATGTTAGAGGTGAGATTGTTGGGAATTGCTAGGGGGGACTTTTTACCGAGCTCTCCAATATAGGTGGTGGTGTAGAATAGGAGAGGAAACCAAGCCATCCAAGATGCGAATTGGACTTGACACGCCATACGGATTCTCTCAGGTAAAAATCGCACATTCCGCCAGATTTCGCGGAAGAATCCCAGGATCGTGCGCTTCGTAACTTCGGCTGATGGTCTTCGACTATCTTCTTCCCCGACAACGAGACAAGTCAAGAGCACCGTAGATCCCAACGTGATGAAGTTCAAACAAGACAAGGCTTGGAATTGCGTCAAGCTTTCCAGACCCGGGATTTCAGGAAACGTCAATGAACTGGCCCAGAAGCTGAAAATGGCCATTGCGCCTTGAATTCTACTCGCATATGCAGAAGCTCTGGTTTGTTCATGAGAGGGCGCGATGTCGACTGTTAAAGCTCGACAACCTGCTTGGACGGGTTGCACGGAGATTGCGAGGAGGATGGTGAAGATCACAGCGAGTGCTACTACGGCTTTTTCGACGCCGGCTCCGCATTGCCTTGAGTCATGGTCCCCACACCCTGCGATGAGATGTACCAGTTGTTCGGTCCAGGCTAGCAGAGTGAGAGAGGCAATTGTGAGAAATGCCCCGGTGAGGATTATGGGTCTTCGTCGTCCCCAGCGGGATCGAAGACGATCACTGAGTGTTCCGACGCTGGGGCCGATGATGGCGCCGGAAAGTGGAATGGAGATTATGATTGCTGCTGTGGTGGATTTGGAGAGGCCTAGACCTTGTAGGTAAGGCTGGATTGAATGATGGTCAGCATGTGCAATGAATGTGGGTGTTGAGCGACGTCTTGATAGATTGGAGCTTCGCCGATCGGGTTGCTTATATCCCTCAAGCGTGCCGATGGATTTTGATCTTCCATTAAAGACAGAAATCGATCCATTCCAACACAATGCTTCGAAGAGTGTTAATTGAAGATTAACGAACCGCAAGATTGGCCATGACGGTCGAGAAGAAAACCTGAAGACCGCCGTTGATACATGTTAGGGCTATGAGGAAGCCGATCGAGAATTTGGTTTTATCGTCTTGAGAGGATTCTGTCGTATCCCTTCCCAACAAGGGCGTTTCGCTGTCATGTCTTCCATCTTCAGCGTATGTCGAAGCTCTCCCACTCTGTTGGCTCGGGAAATCCATGATGTTGATGATTGTTAGAAAAGTAGGAGAGGCGATGTGTGAGGTCATGACCCTGTCGACATCCATTACATAATCTGTCGGAGATCGACCCGTGTATCCCTGGAGTATGTCCCTCTCGAGCATTCACAGACCAAATGTACTCACAAGTGAATAATGCCACAGGCTATGCAGGAGGATCTCGCCGGTTCGCTTCTTCCACGATACTGCACTCTCGCCCGCTCATCCAACAATGGCTGCATTTGCGCCAATTATTTCCAACAGCTCGACTATAATTTGCAACAGTCTCGGGTTTATAGACTTTGCAAACCATCTTCGCACGACTCTTGTCAGAGCAGAACGTGAAGTTGGAACAATGCCAGCAAGGCTTCGGGGCGAGCATTCCCGCTTCCGTTTCCTCAATGTAGCCAAAGTGCGAAAGTCTTCTCTTCCGATCGAGCTTCACCTTGTCCCAATCGTACGAGGCGACCATTGGCTTCGCAAGGGGCCGTCGGAGTGGAGCTACGCCGCCTGATGGTGGTAGGGGAGCGATGCCTCTCGATAGTGGAGGTACCTGGCTGCCTTTTCTCTCACTGGCTGGCACTGCTGGGTCAGACCTCGACGGATTCATGCTATCTGAATTGGATCCCGCCGCATTTTCGGCGCTGTATGCATCAGTATGATCAGCAGAGTGGCCAGTCTGCTCTGGAATCATTCTGGGACGTTTCGATGACTGAGAATTCTCGGCCTGTGGTCCTCTCGGACGCTTATTGCCAACACTTCCAATTTCGTGCGGAGAATCATTCGACCTCATGCTTTGATCCACAGGAGACCATGTTGGCGCGCTATATCCGGAATGTGATATATCCGGGGTACATTGGGAATTGGCATTGCGAGCAACGGCGAAAGTCGTTTCATTCGCGTTCGGCTGGAAATCTCCTGCAGCGAACTCGTAGTCGAATGTGATCTCTGGAGCAGCACCTACATTCGACATGCTTGCCTGTGTGTAGTCGAGGGTTTTGCTGGATCCCGTCTGCGGATCGCCATTAACGCGACCATTATGCGTCATGTCGCTCCGATCAAAGCCCACTGGAAGATCCCGAGCAGCTCTCTGGTATGCAGCCAGTTTCTTGATAATTGTGTCCATAACCAATTCAGCCTGGGCTATTTCTTGATGCAGCATTGCACGGCTTTCTTGAGACTGCCAATTTGCAGCTTCGTACAAGCCGGCAATGAGATTTGTCTTGTGTCTCTTGAGTCCCGACATATCCTGGGGTTTTCCATCATCAAAGTGTTTCGCCATTGTGTTGGTACATGTCAAGGAAACTCATGGATGGAAAGAAAGAAGGCATCGCGACAACGCGCAGATTGTCACGCTAATTGATACCTACGCTAGACTCAATGCACAGACCACGTCGTCTCTTTTTACTTTACACTGCAGTTGCCTTCCTTGACATCAAGAGTTGAAATTTCCATCATATGGACCGATAATGACGCTTTCCAATACACAAGGTCTCACCATCATTCCAGGTGCTTTCCCTAATTCCCAATGACCCAACATTGTGCATCAAACCCTCGTACCAACTCCCACGCCTGGCAGAGACCCCTCTTAGCAGTCCAAGGCCGGACGAGAGAGTCTCCTTCATTACCCTGCGTACGTTTGATGAGCACCTGTCAAATATCAACAGTGTGCCCCGAACCATCAGCGAATGCAACCTTAAAACCCCAGATCAGTCTTCTTCATCATACACTGTCGAGTAATAAACAAGTACAAGACAATATAGCTTGAAGAATCGACAGAAATCTCAAATGCGTAGAGGAATATGCCGTGAGGCCAGATGAGGAAAGAAAGAAACTGCGCCAGATGCGTGGCCCAGAACCACGGCCTCATTCCATGCTGCAACGCGTGAAACTCGAAAGTGTTCAGGTAGCCAAAGAACATTAGTCCCGTTGCGCTGCACCCATTCCTCTGTGGCAAAGACTGGATGGGTGTCGCTGGATTGTATGTCAGCTTTTTCCTGGACGGCGTTCTCTGATGATGCCTCGGAGAGCTCCAGGCGAGAAGGATCGGGGGCGTTCGCAATGTTCAAGCAGCCTCTGTCAGTCTCGATATAGCAGCCGCAGTCCGAGAAGGACACCTCTCGTATCGCAACACCGACTTGTAATGTTTGTTGCTCAATTCCTGTATCGTAGTTCCAAAGCCTGATGGTGAGATCGTCCGAGCGGGACACAATGGTCTTCATGTCTGGGGAGAAGGAAGCACAATTGACTGGGCCGGTGTGTCCCTTGTACGACTTGCACGCTCTGCCATCAACGTCAAAGACTTTCACAGTCATGTCGGCAGAGGCAGTCACAAGAAGCTTCCCATCAGCCGAAAATCTAATCGAGTTGATCGATTGTCCATGCGCGTTGATAGGATCAAACACCTGAGTGGCTGACTTCACATTYCATAGACACACCATTGCATCTGCTGAGCAAGATGCAACAAGCTCATCATTCGGAGAGATTGCAATATCGTTTACTGCACTTCCATGCCCTTGAAGGACGCTTCGCAATTCGCCTGCCCTGGGATCCCAGAGCCTGATGGTACTGTCGTTCGAACATGAGGCAAGTAACGAGCCATCACTGGTGAAGCGCACCACTTTAACGGCATCTGTATGGCCTTGCAGTGTGTGCGAAAGCTTTCCCGATTCAATATCCCAGATGCAGACGGTCACATCTGTAGAAGCCGAGGCCAGTAGCTGGTTGTCTGGCGAGAATACCAAATCTAGAATTCCACCGGAATGACCTTGCAGTACTGCTTTCTCCTTTCCAGCTGTGTCCCAGAGCTTGATGGTATCGTGATGAGAACCGGTAGCGACGTATAGACCATCTGATGATATGGCCAGAGATGTGACTGCACTTTGGTGACCGTGTTGATTCTCCAATGTATCTGCGGCTTGACCTGACTCATCATCGAGATGGTCTTGGGTGAAGTCGGGAAGCTTACCAGCAGGCTCAACTGCTCCAACCTCTTCCTTCTTCGCATACCAGAATCTGACCTCATCATTGAAAGCCGCAGCCGCGAGCGTCCGGTCATCCGGGGAGAATGCAACGGCACAGATGCCGCTAGTGTGACCTTTGAGTGTAGCGAGGAGGTTGCCGTTGACAGGGTTCCAGACTTTGATCGTTCTATCCTCAGAGCCTGACGCGACCATATAAGGCGTAATCTGAGAGAAACTGGTGGCCCAGACTTTGTCTTCGTGGCCTTCAAGGACAAACTTTTCTTCCCACGTGGTCAGATCCCAGATTCGCAGGGTGTTATCGTCTGAGCCAGAGACCATGAGCTGCCCGTCAGGAGAGAATTGGACAGAATTTACAAGCTCCTCGTGACCACGTAGTTTGTGGACAAACTTACGCTGCTCGATGCTGTAGAGATTGATTACTGGATTGGCTGTGCCAAGCGCAAGCAATGTGCCGTCTGGGGAGAACGAKACAGAGTTTATGCCGCCAAGTCCTGGCTCCAGAGTGTCAACCTCTTTGCCCGTCGCCATATTCCAAAGGCGTACGGTCTCATCCATTGAGCCGGATGCAAGCAGCTGGTCATCAGGTGAGAAAACGACAGAGTCAATCCACTTGGAGTGCGCAGTCAGCGTGTAAAGCGCTTCGGTCGTGTCCATTGCGAAAATCTTGATGGTGGAATCGTCCGATCCTGACGCGAGTAGCTTGCCATCGCTTGATATGTCGACTGAGCTGACTTTGTCCCCGTGTCCCGGGTACTTTGACTCTTCTCGCAATCTTGAGTAATCCCAGACCCTCGCCCATTCATCCAAGGACCCGGATGCCAACTTTCGTCCATCTGGTGAGAATACTATATCGTTGACGTAGTTGTACTGCGATTTCTCGTCGGGACCATCCATTCTCACGATTTGAGCATCCTCAAAGCAAGGATGGAGCTTCGACCAGAAATGGCGACGGAGTAGGTTCCATGTCGGCATAAACAATAAGCCCGCACAGTAAAGCTGCAGAGGTGCCTTTTCGGCCTTTGGGTGATTCTCTCCGATAAACATGCGGGCATGCTTCATGAAGGGTACCTGTTCTGCGTTTTCGCCAGGCTGCTCAGTAGCGTTATCAGCGGTGCCACGTACGGGATGGTTACAACAACTATACCTTGAGGAGGGACAAGTAAGTCCTCATAACAGTCGTCATGCTCGAACTCTTCCGCAAGATACTGAGAGCTTCGACCCAGTGAAGGAAATGCTTCTTCAAAAAGCGATGGGTCTGGTCGTTGTCGCGCAGTGCACCCTCTTGTCGCATCTGTGTTTCTGCACGTCGGATATGATCTGCCCACTCGAGGCATGCATACTGCAGTCCAGAAGGAAAATTAAGGCCCGTCATATTGCCATCAAGATCATCCAAGGAGGCTTGGGGAGTTTCCAAGCCACATATGTTACGTCTGAGTTGTTTAGACATTAGCTGGATGCAATTCTTTGCAAGTGTATGCTGAGCAGCGACTTCATCGATCCAGAAATTAAGATTGCGACATCGACCCTTGTCAAGAAGGAAATCCCGGAAGGTAGGATGATGAAGACGCAACGGTTGATCATCATCTTTGGGAATCCTGATGATCGCGTGCAGGTCTGCCAATGAGTCTTTGATRGTGGCCAGCTCCATATTGAGCAGACTCGCCAAGGCGGGTAGAGAAATACGGGAGTTGAGAAGAACTATGGACCCGAGAATTGCTCGTAGTCTTTGGTGTATCACAGCATTTTCGTCGTCATCCTGGTCGCCCTTTGGTACGGCTGCTTCGAGGACGCTGAGGTAGAGGGAATCCAGATTTTCCTGCCCAGCGCGAAACTTCTTGTCATTGATAAGCTTTGCTAGGCGATCTTTTGCACCCGGTCCGTGTGAACTTATATGCCGACAAGCAGTTGAAGCCCAGACGAACAGTCCATATGAAAGCTCTATCAAGTCTGCAATTGCTTTTTCCACTGGCCAGGGAGGTTCGATATTCCTTTGCTGGCGCACAGCGCTTAATTCGTGCTCGAAGAAAGATCGAAGATCTTGATCTATTGTATCCTGACTCACATCGTGTAGGTCAACCCCTCTGCGTCTAGACTCTGAGATCTCTTCAAACCCGTATCGAATCGGAATTTCGGGTCTGCTTGTTATGAGAATCCGCAAGCGAAGCTCACTCAACCTGTCAGTCTCCGACCATAGCTTCAGAATAAGCTCGATGTCTTTCTTGTTTGTGCATTCGTCTAGTGCATCAACGACCAGTAGTATCGCGGGTCGACGATCTATATCTTTCACCTTCGATAATGGCTTTACGACCAATTCCAGCCACTGGTCTCGAATACCCTTCTGTACGATGCCACTGTCATCCCGAATGGCCTCGCAGATGTGTGCACGAATGGATGGTATTCGATGAGCCAGTTGGGAGGCGAGGGTCGGGATGAGCTTATTGGCCTGACTATCATCTCCGCCGCCCTTGGAGAAGAAGAAGCTCGCCCCAAGACTGTCCTGGGAGTGATTGCGAGCAATCGTGTGAGCGACAGTTGACTTTCCCGTGCCCGCAATCCCGCTCAGCCAAAAGATACAGCGTTCGTCCGGCGACTCAATCCAGAGGTCGATCTCCCTGATAAGCTCGACTCTCGTTTCCTTAAGACACACGGACTCATACTGATTTTCAGCCGAGTCGAAGGCAGCAGAATGACTAATGGGCAGACTTTCTAGTAGGGTGTCCGGCGCGGTCTGGCCCGGAGATCTTTTTTCTATCGCTTCTCGCAGACGAGACATAGCACTCTCTTCTGGCTCGTGGGGAATCAGAGGCATATGGATTCCAAAGATTCCAAGCAACGAATATGCCTTGTCTTCTGGATAAGTCGTGTTTCTGCCCGATGCCCATCGAAATCGTTCCGGGACGGAGAAGTTCTTAAGCGGCTCACCCTGAAGTGCAGCACGCGGAATGCCAGTTGTTTTGTGGATGCTTTGGTGTAGAGACGACTTGTCGCCAAGGCGTTGACCCTGTCGCGAGAAGAACTCCACGGATGTCGGAGCAAGAAGCTCCTGGAGCGTCCAGCCGCGTGTAAACCACCTGGACTTGCGGAATTCCGAGTCCCAGGTTTGCACCAAGTTGGCGCTTTTCCCAGTTACATCGGCCATGTGGACATAGCATGTGACCGCACGACGATACCATCGGAACATCAATGTTATAGCATCTTGTAACTCTTTTGGATTTTGCTTGTCTATACAGCATGTATCCACCCAGAAAAATTCGATGCCATCTTTGGCGGCCTGTTTGCTGCAGAACTCGATTTTGGCACAGCTGTCGGGTTTGGCCTGGGCCGTTTTATTCCGCATATCCTCATATGTGACCTCCAGGTCGCCTTGAAGCCACGTATGTGACAAAATGGCATACCTAGGTGGCGTTACATTTCTCGGGAATTCAGGGGCTAGCTCAAAGCTCCCATTCAGGCTGCTCCGCAGCAGACGCATCGTGACGACCAAGGGAGGAACTTGWAGCAATAGACAGAGGGCATGATTGACGGTGCAGCTTCGCACATTTATCTGCCGTTGCACAGGTCGACAAACCAGCAGAAGAGGCTGTGGGGTAGCTGCCATTCGCGCTTGTCAAGATCATCGTTTCGAGATCCTCAACGTGGTGGCCCGAGAGGGCTGCACACTTGCAACCGAGACATGACGTGCCCAATTGTACGCGAGCAAACATCGCTTTGGGAAGCACTCGCAGCTGCGGCTCTGTTGATATCGAAAGTTGTAGGTTGGCTCTCTATCCCGAGTACCGCCTCAAGCGATTGGTCCATTCTTGAAGTTGAAATATCCTCGGCTCGTATTTCCGATCTTGCATGTGCTGTCGTAGCGAGTGCCTCTTGACGGGAGCATGTCGTAAGGAGCTCAGCTACATGAGAGATGTAATAWTAGCGGCGAGCAGGTGCATGGATGATGGATGAGGATGGATGAGGTGTCTGCGAAGGATCGGACCCGTGCCCGTCGACACTAGCCTTGTTTGATCTAGTGGGGTTGATCACTTTGGTTGTTGATGACGGGGAAGAACGCCACCAGCGCGTGAACTTGCCTTGCTCTCCTCAACGACACCGATTCGGGGGAATCTTCTTCGCAGGACGATGCGCACGCGTCACTCCCATTGACGGGCTCTCAAACCCAGAGCGAAACGCGTGCGGACCTTGAAGTGGACATATCGGACTAAATAGGATCCAGAGCCAATGGACTCGGACTTTGCTTCGCACCTCATACTTTGTACCGACTGCAGGCGCCTCAGCATTTGTGGCACCACGCACAACGCACTAGAGCTCCGAGATCCACTCACACGCTTTGTGGTACCCTTGCGTGACTGGCCTGCTATGGGTATCCTCCAGGCAGTCACCTGGGTCTTCAACTTGGAGTCCGCTCGCACGGAGGAGCTATTTGAGCTTCCGCGTCCTCTCATGCCGTTCCCGTGCACCCTTGCAGGTGGAATCACCGGTGGATGAAGCGGCCTCACATATCACACTGCGCATTGAAAATAACCGAGCCCGATCAATCAACTTTTACCTCTGTTTGCAGTCTGGCGGGTTTTCGCATGTGGTGCACTACAACCGGAGCATCAGCTCTTGGCCTTTTGTTTCTTACCTGCCTTTACCTCTTGCTCGCAAGCTCCGGTTCCGACTCAACATCGACAATGCCGCCCAAGGTGAAATTGCATACTCTTAGCGCAACCCAAGTCCTTGCATTGTTCAAGGACGACRCGATCACGGTTTTACAATATGCACGAGCTCTGCTGAGCCGCTTGGAAGAGCGCGACGACGTTGTAAAAGCGTGGGCTTACCTTGGTGTGATAATCTTCAGGGCAGGTCTTCGTCGAGCCTCGTGAACCTAAYGCACACACAGATAAAGAGCATGTCCTGAGCCAAGCTCGTGCTCTAGATAGGATTCCCAGATCCGAACGGGGTCCTTTGCATGGTGTAGGCGTGTGCATTAAAGATATCATGGACACAAAAGGTGCGGCGCATAATTGATTGTACCGTCCAAATGCTGAGCCTCAGCAGACATGCCCACCGCCTGGGGCTCTGCGCTCTACAAAGACCGTCGACCGGCTGTCGACTCATCTCCTGTGTCTATTTTACGAAGTGCAGGAGCACTCATCATCGGTTTGTATTGCTCTCCCCTTACAAGAATATCCCTTACCTTTAATACTTGCTTCCAGGMAAAGGCACGACGACCGAATTCACGCTTCCYAACTTCGGACCCAACACCACGAACCCGCATGATAGAGAACGTACACCAGGTGGATCCTCTGCGGGACCGGCAGCGGCAGTAGCTGACTATCAGGTACCGCTCAGCTTCGGCACACAAAATGGCGGAAGTATTATCCGACCGGCGTCGTACACGGGCATATTCGCCATGAAGCCAACGATGCACGCCATTTCGGGCGACGGCGTAAAGATAGTCTCAATCAGCACCGATACTGTCGGTTTCTTCGCCCGCAGTGTGGAAGACTTGCAGCTGGTAGCAAACGTGTTCAACCTTTGGGCAGATGCCGATTCCAAGACGATACCTTCCTTGGATCAGACACGCGTCGCGTTCGTCAAAAGCGCAATGTGGCAAAGCGCAGGTCCCGCCACGGTTGCAGCCATGGAGAATGCTGCTCGGATTTTGAAACGACATGGTGTGCAGGTCGAAGAGGTGGAACTCCCGCCAGACTTGGGCGATCCCAAGACCATCCGTGCAACACACAAGACGATACTCAACATTGAGGCTCAAGCAGCCTTGCTTTCAGATTACCGCAATAACTTCAAGGATCAGTTGGGCCACAAAATTTGCGACCTGGTGGAGAACAAGGCGAACGTTACTCATGAGCAAACTATAGAGGCCATGGACCGGTACGCACGCTGGCGTCCGACTTTTGACAATTTTGCCAAAGATTATGCGGCCATCATCACGCCCAGTGCCGAAGACGTCGCACCCCTTGGACTGGGCGACATGGGTGCTTCTACATTCAACATTCTTTGGACGGTGAGTTTGAAGATTTGAGCCTGTTCGGTACGTGCTCGAACTAATCGTGTAGGGATTGTACACACCGACCATCAATGTTCCTGCATTCAAAGGTGAGGAAGGTATGCCAGTGGGTCTGTCCATTCTAGCTGGTAGATTTCGCGATCAATATGTTCTCAAGATTGCCAGGATTCTCAGCAAGCCTTTGATGGATGAGGGTGGATGGACAATCGTAGAGCCACCACTTGCTAATAAGCTGTGATGCGAAACGAGTCCACAAATAGTGATGCCTCATTTGTCAGGTGGTGACCATGAATAAATACAACAGTCTCCCAATCAAGGCATTCGTGGCGAGCTAATCGCCGGCCGTATTTTTGCGGTACACTATGCCATTACTATCGGCACCCTCTTGATGTGCCTGCCAGTCTCATTCAGCCGCCTCGTACTCCTCGTACACACTACTAGAGTAAGGTAGGTAGACTCCGACAGTACCTTATGATGACTATACATCAAGATGCATGCGGACGCACCTCCACTAACCATGGGACTTTGCCACAAAGACATGTCATCGACAGCTTCATGGTTGCCCATCGTCACGAGTCTAGAGCACGTTCGCATGAACTCGCAGCCTTGGTGGGACGAGGCTTGCAGCTGGTCCGTCAGAGCTACGTCGTTTGATTCCTCCAACCTCAAACAGCCGGTAATAACATCAGTGCTTGATGGTGGTGCAAAGCCTCTCCTCCAGTCATTTCGATGTGTGTTAATTTTCTATGCTGTATTCAGAACAGAGACAGATCGCTATTCCCTTGAGGACACCTTTTTGAATCGTATCGCTGCGAGCCTTTCGACAACAGATTCTAGAACTAGATTCCAATGGAACATCCGGTCTCCCCGATCTCTGGCAAGAAAATCGTGGTTGCAGGGGCAGKAATCGCAGGACTAGCATTCGTGACTTCCCTCAAAGCCATATGGAACGAAAACATGGGCAGCTTCCCAGATATCGTCCAGTACGAACGCGACCATGGCGAGCCTGATATGACTCGAGAAGGATACTCACTTGGAATCCGCAGTGGTGGAAACAGCCTTGCAATGCAAGCTTTGAAGAATATAGGATTGATGGACAAGATCATCGCGGCTGGCGTCCTTCGAGAGACTGACGAGCAAGCTAATCATGGTCTGTGGTCACTTGATTGGTCTAAAATGGTCAGAGTACGACGTCCGCCACTTGTTGGTCTTCCCAGATCTCCCATGCGGATCGCAAGAACCAATTTGCGACAGATTCTTCTAGAGGCATCGGGTCAAAAGGACAAGATAAAGTGGGGTGTGACGTGTGTTTCTGCTGTCGTTGACGTGAAGGGAAGAACGCGGCTCTTCCTCAGCGATGGTACGGAGAATACATGCGATGTCCTCGTCGTAGCGGACGGTGCAAATAGCAAATTGCGAGCTTGCTTGAGGCCGTCGGATGGGCTGAGTTTCGCAGGCCCGGTATCAATCTCTGCGGTAGCTCGATTCCTTGGACCGACTCCATCACCCGTTGACAAAGCATGGGGTATTATGCCTAGCGGCCATGGAGAGTCGCTGTTTGTCACTCCAATGGGTGACGGGAGTGTGAATTGGTGCCTCAGCTTCTTAACGAACTCCCCTGGAAAGGAATATCGACAACCCATGTCCCCGGACTTGTGCCAGTATCTGCTTCAGGAGGCCAAAGAGCGCGGCGCCGCATTTCCTGAGCCATTCCAGACACTTGTGAATAGTAGTGATACTACCACATTGATGAAGTTCAACGGAATGGACAAGTCACCTTTTCCGCATGGCGCCTTGCCAGATGGAATTGTGTTCATTGGCGACAGTAACCATGCAGTCACTGCTTTCGCTGGAAATGGAGCGAACATGGCACTCAGCGATGGGTACGATCTAGCTGAATGCCTATGTACACAATCTTCTCTTGGTCGGGCAGTCCAGGAGTACGACAGGCGTAGCATCCCGCGAGCAGTCGAGACCCTCCAGAAGTCGCATTGGCTGATCGCCGTCGCACACTCTCGTGGGTTAAGGTGGCTCTACCATCGCTGCTTGCTGCTGGCGCATGGACGCATATTGTCGAYTTGGTACCGGGTAAGAGATGTATATAGCATGCTGTTCTACTCCTGAGTCTATTGCGTAAATGGGCTCCCAACAGTCATGACTGATCGATTGCCTTGATAGCAATGATTTTGACGTCCTCTGTGATGCATCAGCCACTTGCTCCCCCTCTCGATGCTCCAATACGTGAACTTGGCTGATATCATATGCTACTGCTCGTCACACCTGCAGCTATATATGACGGAGGTCTGTCTAGGCCAAGACTTCGGCTCGTCTCGCATCTTCTATGCTGCGAACCAACTTTCGCGCCTTGTGTCGTAGCGTAAGACTGTCGAGAATTCAAGGGTCGTTTCGATCCTTCACCAGTTGGATAGAAGGTTGGCGAGAACCACTCGACCTGGACTATAGCTACCATCCGATCGCGGCGTAGCAGGACTGAGTTCAATCGATTCGGAATACTTTACCACGTGGTGGCAATGCGGGATCGAATTAGCTGTCCAACCGATAGCAATCCATCAGCCGGCACTCCGATGAGTTGGTTTAAGCGAGGAGGCAGCATGCGAGCGCGGAGCATCTTCATGCAGGAGTGAGAGGGAAGTAGGAGATCAGAGGCGAGAAGGCGTGTCGTCTGAAAAGGTTCGGGATTATCCCTGTAGACACGTGCGAATTACCTAGTGGACCGACCACATTAGCCCCACGAACTAGGCTCGAAACTGCCTGGTTCGACATGGCCTGGTCGTCTGCCTTGTCTCTCGACGTCGTTGACTCGTTCTCAACCAACCATCACCATAGTAGACCTGTTTCAATCAACAGACTGCTGAAGCTCCTCGACATGTCGACTGACATCAACGGAGTGGAGTACTGGGTGCTACCGGACTTTACCTTCGCAGCAGGAACTCGCAAAGCAATCAAGATTGCATATCGCTCCTTCAATCCGCTGTCGACAAATGGAGCAGTCTTGATACCAACCTGTTTTGGCGGACGCATCAACAAGACGTTGAATTTCACTTCCGGCGCTCTGAAAGACTATCACGTTATCGTCGTTGCTATGCTTGGCAATGGAGAGAGCTCTAGCCCATCGAATGATGCCGACTTTCCCTCTGATTACTCACTGCGATATCAGGCAAGATCCCCACGATGACTTTGTGCTGGGATCCTTCATTCTATGAGTTCTGTAATGCTAACGCATCTGGATTCAGGACTGCATAAATGCTCAGTACGCTCTCGTCACCCAACATCTTGGTATCAAGAGCCTCGAAGCAGTAATAGGATTCTCAATGGGGGGTCAGCAGGTATACTACTGGGCCACGATGCATGGATGTGGGGAGGATCCTTTCGTTAAGCGTGCAGTGGTCATATGCGGCAGCGCGAAAACATCCGGWCTAAACTATGCATTTCTTGAGGGACCAACCTCCGCACTCATTGCAAGTCACGACTACCATCAAGGCCGTTACCGAGAGAAAGGTGTTAAGCCCACTCAGGGGCTACGGGCGTTTGGTAGGGCTTATGCCGCGTGGGTGCCAAGCGCCGAGTGGTTCAGACAAGAATTGTGGCGAGGGTCAGGCGCGAAAAGTCTGAAGGAGTGGCTACATCCGCCAGTCTCCTCGTATGAGAGTTGGGATCCGGAAGATCTCATTGTGCTTGCGAGAATGTGGCAAGCAGGTGATGTGGGTGATGTAGCAGGCGACGGTGATTACAAGGCTGCGTTAGGTCTCATCACCGCGAAAGTGCTCGTAATCCCTGGCATGACGGACCAGTACTTCCTGGCCACGGATGGAGAGTCCGAGGTTGAATATCTTAAACACGGCGTGTTTGATCCTATCCCATCCATCTGGGGACATATGGCTGGAGGCGGATCTAACCCGACCGATGTGCAGTGGATGGACGAGAGGATTTCGCGCTTCATGAGCGGGTGATGAGATGTTTCTCGATACCAGAGCTTGAAATCGCTTACAGTTGACATCCGTAAAGATCGCAGACATCAAGAGTGTAAACAAGGTCTCCAGCTATCATGGCTGATCACCCCCACAACAATGTCGTGAGTAGTTCAGGAGTGTGGTGTATCTTTCTATTTGTGGCCATTCAAACGCTTAGAAACTCCGTCCTTGCCACCGTGTTGCCTATGGCTTGCAGTTGCTGCATGCAAGGCTTGACATCCGCTCACGGCTACAGCCCTTGTGATGAGCCATATCTTGTGATAGAGTCATGACAACTCACCGCAGGCGCAGATATGTGGGTAGATTAGCCGAGAAGGAAGACAGTTCGCACCACTTGAAGGRACGAGAATTGCCGACATCATCTTTCAGGGTACTACCGAGCATTCAAGCTAATTAGACTGCCGAGAGGTATGGTGGAAAGATCTTGATGGTTTCGTCTGAGGACGCTATTAGCTATCGTCTAGGTTGAAGTTTGACTGCCGAATATTGGGATGCAGAACGCCAAACAGGTGGTCTTCTGCGGAATGAATCAAGACCAGCCAAGGTCTCCTCCACCCTTTGAAAAATGAGCCTCAATGTCCTTCATAACCCCATCAAAGGTATTATGTCTGTCCCACGATGCCACGCTCAAATCCAGTCCATACCAAGTGTATGGCTTGGCGGAAAATCTTCCCTCATAGACGATCCTATTGTCACGATGCCCGTCCGGCTGCCATTGTCTAGCAACATCCCATGACGGGCTAGATTCCGCCCTGCTAGATAGCCATAGTTGGCCGGTCAAGATGAGTATGACCTGGACTTCCACCTTTAGGCTTTCTGGAAGAAGCCACGTCCGAAGAGCGCACTCTATGAGCTCATTCGGATCGCCAGACTTCTGGATAAACTCTTCATATGCAGCCAACCCGCAGTGTGGACGAACAGTGACTCTGGTCAGTGACGGGAGAAGTTGAAGTAAGATATCCACAGCATACCGTGCTGGTCGCCAATGCTCAGTCACTGTAGACATGTCAGCCTCGCCTTTCCACCACAGACGCGCACACGGGAATACTCGCGTGTCAGTCGATCATGAAGATAGTAGTACGGAGCTTCAAGATCCAGCCTCATGTGCTTGATACTGGATAGGCCGTGCTTTACGTTCTGGGGAAGCAATTGAAGCATGAAAGAGAAAGTGCTTCCTCCAACCAGGTGAGCAGGGACGGCGATCTTGAGCTCTTGATGTTTACTGTGAGCGGTCTCTTGCGTATACTCGTCTCTGAATCGGCGGCTCACAAGCTGCAGTTGAAGACTGGGAAAGTTTGCGATTTGGACTTTAACGTTGCCGTGAAAGACTTTCCTGAGGAGAGGAACTCTGACGTCTCTCGTGAGCTGGCAGTACACCAGGTCCCTGAGTTCTCCTACCCGGTCGTTAGCGAACACTGAGCTTGAGACGTACTTTTTGTGCACTCACTTGGAAAATCGAAGAATCGAAACGGCCGTTTTTCTTGCTGGGAGACCATGCTTGCTGGATCGTTTGTAGTTTGGAAACGCTGCCTTGGGAGGTCTTGAGTAAAGGAAGAGGGGAGAGGCAGATGGTAAGAGAGAAGAGAATAAGGTAAATACTTACAAATAGTGTCGCGAGTGGAAAGGACGTTTCGTGAAGTCTCGAAGAAATCCGTGGAAGGAAGATGTCTCAAACATATGTATCAGACTAGAAAGGTTATCTTTGCTGCCTCGGACAGCATACGTGGTTGTTTGCGCGGAGATCAGTCGCATTGAGATCGGGGGTATCCAGTTTTTTGCTTCATGGTAAAGGACGGAGTACCGCGGTAACCGCCAACGAAGGGAATGTCTTGAAGCGAGCCGATGTCACGTAAGGTATTAAACCGACATCCCGCCATCACGGGCTACCTCCATCTCATGTGCAACTTCCGGAGATCCTTCTTCTCTTCACCATGGTGAAGGAGGGAAGGGAGACCGCCTTTGTTCGGCCGCGGACCTCCCTACACACAACAGCAATACAAGAAGGGCTGCGGATAAGATATGTCAAGGGCACCTCACTTGGCTTGGGGGATGAACAATGCTTTCAAGGTGCCCGTCCATGCTAGTTTGGACAGCTCGATTCATGGCCTACTGCTCGTCATGCTTTCAGCGGAGTTCAATAGGACAACATTGCTACTCCCTTATAGTAAGTGGGACAGAGTGTCGCACCTTGTCATATTTCCCTCATCATTGAGACATAGTCTCAATCACCCAGACTGCTTGCGCAGTGCTAGTCAACGTGCATGGCACCATACCGCCGGCCGATATCACTGCGCGGATGCGAGTGCAACAKCCTGCTCACTCTGCCGCTCCCATCGCCTGGAATTCCTCTATAACTTCATCGTTTTTGCCGGCGTGCAGTGCGCATCGTCAAGAATGAGCCTTTTCAGCGAGTATGCGAGCCCGACGCTTGAGGGCATATTCTTGCTCCCGTGCAGCCCGGCGCTTGATCGCCTGAAAATCTTCCTCTGTGAATTCGCCGCAAGACACCACTTCCAAGTCCAAGCCGTACCATGCCTTCGCGTCTTGATTGCTCGTGACATCACCTCGGTACTCGATCCAGTTCTTGTTGGCCGCTCTGTTCAYGCCTGCCCACCACCAACCCGACTCCCAACCAGGCAACTGGTATGGTGAGTAGCGCTGATCGCGAATCGAGACCTCAGTTTGGATTGTGAGTGAGGCGTGCTCGCCCGGAATGCGAGCAGCAGCGAGAGCGCCAATGCCTTGGGGGACTGTAACTGGACTCGTGACACGATTACGTCCAGGGACCTTGAAACGGAGATGGAACACGACGTGCTTGAGTTGTGGCAGCATAGATAAAAGCATTTCGATATCCCGCCTGCCCTGGGAGGACATATTGATCCCTGCGAAGAATCAAGATTAGTTGAGGGCATGTTGTGTTACGCTGGAAGGCAGTAGACGTACATCTGTCGACAGCTCGCTCAGTCAACACCAATGTGTGAATGTGGTCCAAACGTTGCGGCACATCAAAAGACTTCATGTCCAGGCGATTGCCCGGGTGCCACTTGTACTCAACAGTGTCTGCATGGAAATCCACCTCCCGTTGGTAATGACTTCGGAACTCTTTGTTCACAAGCAGCATTGCGGTAGTCGGACCTGGCGAGAATTGCAAAGGCCTGACGCGGGGCGTACCCCGATACGGCGGGATTCCCCGACGCTTGTGCCGCTGTTCAAACGACGTGTGCTCGCGTAGCAACGAATGAATTTTGTTCCGAATCTCGCGTGGTAGGCGGTGCCAGGGGAAGGTGTCTAGAGGTACTTGTGAGGCAGGCACTTGGCTGTCGAGATGCTGTTGGTGCGACTCGATGAGATGTGCCATCGTATTGGTGGAGCCTGGTGTCGAGGGTAATGGATGCGGCCGAGTCTCTGGCGCTGGCGTTGGCGTTGGTGCGTTCATGGCCATGTGAGGAAGACGGTCTTGAGATGCCGTGGCTGTTGGCAGATCACAGTGCATCTCTGCTGGGGTTTGTGTTGATGAGGACATGAGAGAGAAGCCACACGCGCGGCTTTGTGGAAGTGTGATGGAAAAGGGTGGCTAGGCAGCAATGATGTAGCAAACAAAGTGAAACGAGAGTAAGTTGTGACGTACACGGGCTCCGACTCTAATTTGGCAAAGGAGAAGACACTTCTCTCCCGTCTCATTATAGAGGCCATCCAATATCAACACGTTCTGAGGTATGGAAGGTGTGCGACCCTCGGTGATTCAAGCAACACGGCCGCGCCGAGCCTCATGGCGCTCGGCCATTGAACATCAGAGCTATAGATGTAGCACCATGATTTGCACGAATCCATGGTTCATATTTGCTGTCGCCCTCGCATTGTGGGGAGAGTGAAGTGAGGTCGAGTCCCCTCCCTTCGTCGAAACTGCGGAGAGCCAAGATGACTCAGCTTTGAGTCATCACCCAGAACTTTTGGCGATGGAAGAGTCAACATCCCACCAAGCAAACATTCAAGCTCTTGCACGTTGACAACAGCATTGCAAGTGCACAAACAGGTCGAAAGAAGGATTATACAAGCTCTGAGACGATCAGGAAGCTCAACAACTCCCCGCACAAACTTGCGAAGATACTTTCTCGAGCGCTTTTCCGGCGCAAGCTCTATGCACAGTTCCGCCCTGTCCAGCGAGCATTCACAGTCAAGATGGCGTTGAACCACGCGAGCCACAACCCCGCGGGCGAGAAGACGGGGCCCGTCACTGGACAGCCACCGCCACCATCCAATGAGACCAAGGCCGCACTGATGGAGGCAGCCAATGGCGACCCCAAAGGCCAATCCGCACCTGGCAAGGACGGCGGTGATGTTGATGGCGCGAAGAAGGAGAAGTCAGAGCGTGAGCTGGCCAAAGAACGTGTCAAGRCGGAGAAGGCGGCCAAACTAGCGGCGAAACTGGAAAAGCAAAAGGCAATGGCAGCCGCATCAAAGCCCAAAGAGAAGGAAAAGAAACAGCAGGAGAAGTTGGCGCCATACAAGGAGGATACGCCCAAGGGCGAGAAGAAGATCCTCAAGCCTCTCGATGATGAATACCACAAGGCCTATATCCCATCCGTCGTGGAGAGTGCTTGGTATGACTGGTGGGAGAAGGAGAAGTTCCACGAGCCCGAGTTCGGTGCCGACGGGGAGGTCAAGAAGAATGGATACTTTGTCATTTCCATCCCACCACCAAACGTCACCGGCAACCTTCATATTGGCCACGCACTAGCAACGGCTCTGCAGGACTCTATGATCCGCTGGAATCGCATGAAGGGATTGACCGTGCTGTACGTGCCCGGTTGCGATCACGCTGGTATCTCCACCCAGAGCGTTGTCGAGAACATGCTCTACATGAGACGCAATGGTATGACTCGTCACGACTTGGGCAGAGAAAAGTTCGTCGAGACCGTGTGGGAGTGGAAGGAGGAGTATCACAGCAAGATCAACAAGGTCATGCGGCGTCTGGGAGGCTCAATGGACTGGACGAGAGAAGCGTTCACAATGGATCCCAATTTGTCCTCTGCCGTACGTAAGTCGTTCGTGGAGCTGCACGAGGAGGGTCTCATCTACCGAGCAAACCGTTTGGTGAACTGGTGTACCAAGCTCACAACCGCTCTGTCAAATCTGGAGGTCGACCAAAAGGAGCTTGAAGGCTCGACGAAGCTTGACGTTCCGGGATACGACAAGAAGATCGAATTCGGTTCCATCTGGAACTTCAAGTACCCTATCGATGGCACTGATAAGACGATCGAGGTGGCCACTACCCGTCCAGAGACCATGCTTGGTGACAGCGGTGTAGCAGTGCACCCTGATGACGAGCGATACAAGGACTTTGTCGGCAAATTTGTGAAGCATCCATTCGTTGACCGTCTGCTACCCATCTTCGCCGACAGCACGGTTGAAAAGGACTTTGGAACCGGTGCTGTGAAGATCACACCTGCTCATGACTTCAACGATTTCAAGCGTGGCAAGGAGCACAATCTCGAGTTTATCAACATTCTGAATGATGATGGCACAATGAACTCCAATGCTGGCATTTTCGAGGGACAGAAGCGCTTCGACGTGCGGTACACCGTCATTGATGAGCTGACCAAGCTTGGTCTGTACGTCGGCAAGGCCGACAACAAGATGTCCATCCCGTTGTGCAGCAAGTCCAAGGATGTCATTGAGCCAATTCTCAAGCCACAGTGGTGGATGCACATGAAGCCTTTGGCCGAGCCCGCTATTGAGGCCGTCCGGAGCGGTGAGATCAAGCTTCGTCCAGAGTCGTCTGAGAAGACGTACTACCGCTGGATGGAAAATATCGAAGACTGGTGCTTGTCACGTCAGCTTTGGTGGGGACACCAGGTCCCCGYTTGGTTTGTCAAGTTGGAGGATGGTCCAGCTTATGATACCGATGCCGACTACTGGATCTGTGCCAAGACTGAGGAGGAAGCGCGGGAAAAGGCCGAGAAGAAGTATCCTGGCAAGAAGTTTGAGCTCGAGCGGGATCCCGACTGTCTCGATACATGGTACTCTTCCGGACTCTGGCCTTTCTCGACTCTGGGATGGCCAAACAACACCAACGACTTCGCAAAGCTTTATCCAACGTCTGTACTTGAGACAGGCTGGGATATTCTTTTCTTCTGGGTTGCGAGAATGATCATGTTCGGACTGAAGATGACCGGAAAGGTTCCATTCACAGAGGTGTACTGCCATTCCCTCATTCGTGACTCAGAAGGCCGTAAGATGTCCAAGTCTTTGGGCAATGTCATCGATCCCGTCGACATCATGGATGGTATCACGCTGAACGAGCTCAACGAAAAGCTCCGCGTTGGCAACCTTGCCGCCAAGGAGATCGACCGTGCTGTCAAGTGGCAAAAGTCGGCTTTCCCGGAGGGAATTGATGAGTGTGGTGCTGATGCGCTGCGATTCTCCCTTGTCAACTACACAACCGGCGGAGGTGACATCAACTTTGATGTCAAGGTCATGCGCAGCTACCGTAACTTCTGCAACAAGATCTACCAAGCAACAAAATACGTCCTGGGCAACCTCCCCAAGGATTTCACACCCGCCGCCAAGGATGCTGTCGCCAATGCGAGAAGTCTTCCAGAGCGCTGGATTCTCCACAAGATGACCATTGCCGCTCGTGACGCAAATGACGCCATGTCCAAGCGTGAATTCTCCCGCTGCACGCAATCCATCTACAACTACTGGCTCTACGAGCTGTGTGATGTCTACATCGAGAACAGCAAGTCCATCATCCGCGACGGTACTGCAGAGGAGAAGGCCAGCGCGATCGAGACGCTCTACACTGCTCTCGAATCTGCGTTGACCATGATTCACCCCTTCATGCCTTTCCTCACCGAGGAACTCTGGCAGCGTCTCCCGCGCCGCCCTCAGGACACCACCCCATCTATCGTTCGTGCCTCATACCCACAGTACGATGCCACCCTCGACGACCCCAAGTCCGAGCGTGACTATGAGCTGCTTCTCGGATGCTCCAAGGGCGTTCGATCTCTGCTCAACGAGTACGCCATCAAGGAAGGTGGCAAGGCATACGTCCACACCCTCAACGATGAGGCTTACCAGACCGCACACGTCGAGCTTTCCGCCATCAAGACCTTGGCAGGCAAGGCGCTTGCCGAGATCAAGCTGTTGACGAAGCAGGAGGCCGTACCCAAGGGTACCATGGTGTACCCCGTCAGCGCTGCTGCCGCCGTCTACGTCACCATCAACGGCAACATTGACCCCACAAAGGAGATCAACCGTACCAAGCCGAAGTTGGAGAAGACCGCCAAGGAGGTCAACGATCAGGAGCAGTTGATTGGCAGTATCGGTGAGTCTGTCAGTCAGGAAGTCAAGGACAAGGAGCAGAAGAGATTGGAAGATCTGTTGAGTGAGCAGAAATTGTACGAGCAATGTCTCGCGCGGTTCGAGGAGATGAAGCTTTGAAAGATAAGCTTGATGGAGGATTGTATACAGTAGGTACCTACCTGCGGGTGTATCTCATATATGATCAATTGTCCGGATCAGGCGAGATGCGCTTCTGTAGAGAAGGGCAGATGGCTGCATGGCTATCCCGTTCAGTAAATGTYATTATGAATGCAAAGATGGCATGTATACAGAAGTTCTCATCATGCTCAATCCTGAAGTCCACCCCATCGAACGTGCGCATCGGCTGCGTGATCGATCAAGGTTGTGTTTTTGCCAGCGAGAGATTCCTTGGCTGGAACTGACGGAACGTGACCAGAAAGGAATGAAACATCGACTTTGAGAAACTGTGAGAATTGAGAGATCACAGTCATGACTTCTCAAGAAGAGTGGTATTGTTGTTGTATATCTGCCACTTCTGAATGAACTGTCGCCATCGCCCTGTCCACAGAGTCTCATGCGTAGAGATCCCAGCAAGACGCCCAAAGAAATGAAAGACATCCCCCTCGAACTAGATTAGGAAGATTCATTTCCCGAGCCTGGAGGCCAGCTTGTGTTTTGCCAGTGCGCCGCGAGCCCACAGTGACATAGTACGACGCCCGAATTTTTCACTCTTTTCCGACACCCGCACATCCAAATCACCTTCGATCGAAGGATCGGATAGGGGCGGGATGGATGTCTTTCAGCTGGACGATRCATGTCAAAAGGCCTGTGCGGCTTGAGGCGATGAATTGTGACGGGTATCTTTCCCGCCGCCTGGCTGAGCTCATCGGTCGTAGCAACTATATCTGAGATTTTGGTTTGCCATATCAGCATGTGAGAACTGAGCTAGGCTGGATGATGTGTGGGTGGTCATTGATGGGTACTATTGTTTGCAGCCTGCTCCTCGGCTTGTCGAATGGGTGCGAAGTAGTGATGTGCCATTGCCTCTTTGGCGGTGAGACGTTCCTATCATAACAGTCAGCAGATGCAATGTGACAGACAGCGTATAAGATCTGAATACCTGATGATCGTATCGAAGCAACTTGTCGAGAAAGTCAATGGCGTCATTGCTCACGAAACGTTGGTTCTCGTTGTTAACGAATCCATGCCAGCTCTTTTTGGGGAAGCGGCCGAGGATATCATCATACTGCGCATCCAGCTCAATATCGTACTTGTCAAGGTAGTCGAACAAGTCTTCCGTCCCAAGCACTTTGGCAATCTTCACGAGCTGATCACTGTTGGAGTTACCGTGGAAGAATGGCTCCTTCCTAAAGATCATGCTCGCGAACATGGCACCCAACGACCACATGTCCAGACTGTAGTCGTATTCCTGAAAGTCCACCAGCAACTCTGGTCCCTTGAAGTAACGACTTGCTACTCGTACGTTGTACTCCGTCCCCGCATGGTAGAACTCGGCCAAACCCCAATCAATAAGACGCAGCTTGCGGTTCTCGTGATCAATCATAACGTTATGGGGTTTGACGTCTCTGTGCATGATTCCTTTGCTATGGCAATAGTCCAGCGCCTTTAGCAGCTCGAAGATGTAATAGCGAACATCCAAGTCTTGGAACTTAGGATATAACGTCCTGAAATCGGTGTTGTTGACATGCTCGAATATGAGGCTCGGCGTCTTGGATTGGCTGTCACGAACCACGTCGAGCAGGGCGACGATGTTGGGTCCACCCGAGAGATTTTGAAGGATCTTAATCTCACGCTTGATCTTCTTCTTCTTCACAGGCTTGAGGACCTTGATCACACACTTTTGGTAGTTAACCACATTGACGCCCTCGAAAACTTCCGAATACTTTCCACGGCCTGTTCAACATGTGTCAGCATATCTCATCATCTTCATGCCCATTGTGTAGCCTAGCCTACCAATCTTCCGCACTACTTCGTAGTTCTCCAGCACACCCCAACTGATGTTGACGCTGTCATAGTCCCAGTATGCGCGCGGCATTTCTTGGTTGACGGAGGCATAGACGCGCGCCATCCTGAGTGAAGAGTCCGCCAGCGCGGAGTTGGCACCGCTTGCGAGAGCGTAAATGTCAATGTTGCTTGGGTCTGGCTCTTGCCCTCGTGTGCCTGCTATCGTGCCGGTGGGACGAAGTGCGGGCGGTGCGGGGCTATGAATGAGCGCGCTTTGCGGACGTGGTGGAGCGCGAGAGATTCGCGAGTCGTCCAGAGGGGACGTTGCGAGTGGAAGGGATATGCGCCGATTCTGGCGAGGTGGTCAAGGTGTCACTGATGTAGGTAGTGGGCTTGGTGGGCTGTGGGCTGGAGTGCAGAGCGTGGACCGTGCAWACCGTGCACATGACTTCTACCTGATTGCACCTTGCATCGAAACCGGAGACTTGCCCATCAACATATTCATACAACACACATGTCACAATAGATATGGACAAGGATCTCCCTTTGCTGCAGAGACTGTCCCCTCCGGCCGTCACTTGGCTCGTCTGCTTCCTGGCATACACCTCACAATGGCTATTCCACCACCTAGAGCCCGGCCCTCTACAATCACAGGACGCGTACACGTTCAACTCACTGGTGGCCTGTTTGCTAGTCTGCTACTGGAGGACGTGCCTCACGGATCCGGGAAGAATACCCAATGATTGGCATGAGACTATCAATGCCGCAGGCTCTTCCGGCAACACCGCTAGCGAAGCTGCAGTTCAGAGCAATCGCTGGTGCCGCAGATGTGAGATATTCAAGCCGCCCAGAGCCCATCATTGTAAGACAYGCAGGCGGTGAGTATTTCAACACATGACTCCTGATGCGTGTCTAATGTCTAGAAGRTGCGTTATGAAAATGGACCATCACTGCGTCTGGACTGGTAGGCTCCTCAAACCCATCTCCGCTCCAAGAACAGGTAGGTAACACATCTCTCAGCGAATTGTGTCTCTCACATCACCATTCCGCATTTCGTCCGTTTTCTCTTCTACGCTGTCGTATCCATGGCCTACCTYGAATACTTCCTTTGCCAGCGCATATCAATCATTTGGCAGCAACGGACTCTACCCAGCGTGCGTACCCATGCCAATCCTACTACCATCCTGCCACCACCCCTAATCATGTTAACATCCAGTACCTTGGCCCTTCAGTTCTCAAGATTGCTCATGTCTTCATTTTGATCACGATCAACTCATTCGTGCTCTTCGCGCTCATCCTACTCCTGGGCCGCACAATCTGGTGTCTATCTGTCAATACATGGACAATTGAAGGCTGGGAAATCGAACGCCACCACACTCTACTACGCCGTGCACGCGCTCTTGGCGGATACCTCGACGCCCCGGATGGAAGCAGGATTCAAATCCAGCATCAGGAGTTCCCATGGGATGTAGGCATTTTAACGAATATCTGTCAAGGAATGGGCACTCGCAATCCCCTGGCTTGGTTCTGGCCTTTCTCACAAAGTCCAAGTGTGGCGAGTGGCTTGTCATTTGAGCATAATGAGATTGACGATCCTAGCAAGCCATGGCCACCTCCTGATCCCGATAGACTATTCAAGGTGGAGCGGAAACCTCTTGTGGGAGATGGATTTACCAAGTCTTGGGATATCAACGACTTCAAAAAGAGACAAGCCGCAGATATGGCGAGGCATGCCAATGCTGATGGCGAGCACGTGGTGCGGAGAAGACCTTTCCGTGAGCGAATGGAAGGGCCTGGAAGGCATCGATCAGACGATGGCGCGGACTACTACGATAATGGGGAGTACTCTGATGTCGACAGCGAGGAGGAGGATGGCGACGATCTTTCTGACGATGCTCGCGGTGGTGGTGGGGACGGCGAAGAAGCGTGGAGAAACAAGGAAGGCGAAAGACTAGCTGATTTTGGGGTTGACGAAATGGCAGACTTCTACGACGAGGATGATCTGCCGTTGGCTGAACTGATACGGAGGAAGAAAGGGGGAGTTGCGACTTCTTAGATGAAAGTGTACACTGGGCTGCAATGCTGATGGCCTCAATGACAATGTGTCATCTTCGGAGAATTAGCACAGACACCTTCATGGTAAGTTCTGGCCTTCAAAGACCACAGGTGTTCGTTCAGGGGCACCAAACCTATTCGCAGCTGCCCCCTGCTGCTGCTCTCCTCAGTGGGGTTGATTTAAGGATCAGGGTTAGGGTAGCGCAATCTTTCGCTATAGCGGAGATGCAAGGCATGGAGTTAACATACCATACAGCGCACATAGATCGACTATATTGTGCGAGACGCAGAGCAAATTGAAGAGTTTCAAAGATACTACCAACGTTAGCAGTACCTTCCTCCATTCGCGAAACTGACTATAAAAGCTCAGCAATCAGCTGGAATGTCGTCCGGCGACACCCTCGAATGTGTCTCATTTGGCGATGGTCTGACCACTATCTGCACCACTTCCCACAATCCTAAGCTCTAGTCTTCTGAATATGATCAATAGCCTTCAGCAAGTAACCAACAAAGATAGCCGGGTTCTCCGTCGCTGGGAAGTGTCCAAGACCCTTCATAGCCGTATGCACACCTCCGGGAATCTTATCACAAGTTGCCTGAGACATGGCCGGAGTGTTGGACCAGTCGTACTCTCCTGTGAGCATATAGACGGGACAAGCCTTGGTATCGATGCCAGCCATGCGGGAGCGACCGTCCCAGCCTCCAAAGTAAAAGTCCAGATCACCGTGGAAGATTCCGTAGGCTTGTGCCGAGTAGAGATGCCAGACGAGCTGGCGGTTTTTCAGCGGTGCGGTTGGGGACATCATTCCGTAGGTCCATTCGGGTGCGAACAAAGATTGGTTCACGTAGGGGGAACGATCGTTCCTGCGATGGAGGTAAGTGTTTGCCTTGATCATGCGTTCGGGAACAGAAGCGGCCAGATTGGAATTCTGAGCTCGTTTTTTCTCCATGTGTTTCGAAAACTTACCAATCGCGATCCATGTTGAGATAATCACTTCCCTGCAATGGAATCGTGCCAACGCAACCAACTTCCTTGTATCTCACAGCACAAGCGAGTGAGATCTGACCGGCCATGGATGCACCACAGATGATGGGCTTGTTCAGGCCAAGCTTCTTGACCACAGCAGCGATACATCCAACGTAAGTGTCCTCGTTGTTGGTGTGCTTACCAGGCCAGTAGCTGTATATCGGGTCAGCTGTGAGTTTGAAACCGAATGTGAGAGTAAGCTTACCCTTCGTAAGGGAATGATCTGCCGTGTGCTGGGAGGTCGAAGGCGGTCATACGGCACTGTTTCGATTAGATGCTGACCGTGGAAATTGTCTTGTAGAATCTTACCCGCTTCCTCATTTGCTCATTGTTCATTACTCCGTGATACTGACGAGAATCACTACCGGCAGTGTGCAAGAACACAATCTCTTGATCGCCCTCTCCGGCTTGCTCGTAAAAGACCTGAGATTGATCAGTGAATTGCTTTCATAATCTCGATCAGAACAACACTGACCTTGCACTTGCCCCAAGTTGGAACTTTAATATATGTGTATCGGCCAACGATGAAATCTTCATCAACTTCCGGCTCTTCGTAAGCCGGCGTTGGGCCCGCATGTGCATCGTGAATAATTTCAAGTACACGACGCCAGACATGAGTCCAGTGAGCAAAAGCGGTCTGATCGCCCTCAACCGAGATTCCTTCCTGCTTAATGTTCATGCCGAACATGCCTTGACATTCATCAGCGCTGAGCTTGGATATTTGTCGTCGGATTGCTGGTGGTCTCAACAAACGCACCGGCGGGTGGCATTGCTCGCTCACTTACCCCAATATGATTGATATGGTGCCACAGGGGTCTGCTTCATGAATTCTTGCCATTGCTGCGGAAGCGCAGACAAGACGAAGGCGCAGTCCTGTACAAGCACGTTTTAGTTCTCGTCTATCCATGCACACTTCCGATGCAGTATAGACTGACCTTAGTGGTACCGGATCGGATGTTGGCTTTGCCATTGGTCACGGTAACGACGATGGCATTGTCAGATCCGGCAGCCTTGATTCCAAAGGTTTTTGGTTCGGCGATAGCATCGCTCGTTGTAAAGTACTTCAATTGCTCATCGCTCTCGGCAGCCTTGTTGGCTTTTGGGAGGGCAGCTTCTAGAGCCGAAGGAAGATCTGAGAACGCGTGTGCCATAGTGTTTGTATCGTTGACTTTTTGACGTTTCGCAGGCATCATGAAGAATGTTTGTGGTATTTATGTATGAGGAGCTACCAGCAGCAAGGTGCGAACTGGTGGTTGTGCAACGGGAGAAAGGGAAATGGGTAATGCATACCCGCATGCTATTGAAGTACCCGCATGCTAACTGGAGTACCATTTATGACATCCTTGACATCCGCACAGCTCATCTTGGAAGCTTCCATGGGTTGTTCTTACGAGTACATGAGCGGGGTCGCTTGGGGGTTACCTTGAACAGGATCTTTGGTTGGTAGACCTTGGAGAACGTGGAAAGGTCTCAGCCTGATGACAGGAGAAGTGAGGCGTGTGTGGAGAGGTTGTGGATGACTCTGGTTTGGTGGATGTAATGTATAGAGCCACCAGTAAGATAAAAGCCACATTTTGTACACAATTGCAGTCCACGGCGCCTTCCTACAGGCGAGAAAGCGGTAACTCGCATGTTGTAAGTTATGTGGACAAGTGGGATGAGGGAAAGGCGTGTACCAATAACTAGTTTCCTAGCTTCATACACCATCATTATTCCCGTTGTCTCCGGCGCCTATCGGGCAAACGGGTAGGCAGTACGGCCAGAACCCCGCTCGGATAAACTTTCTAGCTCGGATTGGAGGGGCATAGGCGAAGAGACAGCTGTGGATGACGCAGACACAGATTCGATAAATTATTCCCTCTCTGTCGACACCTTCCTTGCCACTTAGAGAGAGATAGAAGCTTACATTCAAGACAGCATATCGATAACAGGACACAAGCTTTTCGCAATGGCTCCCAATCTTCCTTTCAAGGTAACCGGCAGACAAGCAACTTGCACGATGCCGCTAAAGCTGACATGTCCATCTTTGAAAGTTGAACAACCCGGAGCTGTTCCGTGATCAGTCTCTCGTCGGTGGAGAATGGATCGAAGCCAAGTCGGGCAAGCGATTCGATGTAGTTGGTATGCCATTCTTTCGTCTACCACAAATGTGATACCTAACGTTTTTCCCAGATCCCGGCAATGGCAAAGTATGGGCAACGGCTCCAGACATGGGCCCCGACGACGTGGACAACGCCATCACTGCTGCAAACAACGCATTCAACGATTACAAGAAGATCAACCCAAGAACTCGTGCTCAATGGATGTTGAAGTGGGACCAGTTGATTCGGGAGAACCGCGATGACTTGGCACAGATCGTCACCTACGAATCCGGTAAACCACTGGCAGAGGCGCAAGGCGAGCTCGATTATGCCCTGGGTTTCACCTGGTGGTTTGCAGGCGAGGCGGAGCGCGTTCAGGGAACCGTTCAGACTCCAGCAGCACCCAACAGGCGGGTGTTCACCGTCAGCCAGCCCATTGGTGTGGCGGTCGCTCTCGTCCCCTGGAACTTCCCAATCGCAATGATTCTCCGGAAAGCTGGCGCTGCATTGGCCGCCGGCTGTACCATRGTCGTTAAGCCCAGTCCAGAAACCCCGTTCTCAGTCGCCGCTCTTGCATACTTGGCCGAGAAGGCTGGGTTCCCAAAGGGTGTCTTCAGCGTCATGCCAACTAGCCTCGAAACCACACCCGCTCTCAGCGAGGCTCTTTGCAGACATCCATTGACCAAGAAGGTTACCTTCACAGGTAGCACCAGAATTGGAAAGGTCGTTGCAAAGATCTGTGCAGATGGACTTAAGAAGGTCACTCTTGAGCTAGGCGGGAACTGCCCCTTTTTGGTCTTTGACGATGCAGACTTGGAGCAAGCCGCAACTCGTAGGTCGAAAATGTGGTATTATTCATGTACATGGCTGATCTGAAGCAGAGTTAATGGCGCTCAAGTGGCGACACGCCGGTCAAGCTTGCATCACAGCGAACCGAGTGTTTGTCCAGAAGGGAGTATAMGACAAGTTCGCCGAAATTTTGACTACCAAGACGAAAGAGCTGGTTGTTGGCMATGGTTCGGACAAGAAGTCGACAATGGGTCCTGTTACGACAGAGCGAAGCTTGGACAAGGCTGAAGCCCAGGTAGCGGATGCGACCAAGAACGGCGGTAAAGTCATCTTGGGTGGCAAGAGATTGCATGGTACTCCCGGGTACGATGGATACTTCTTTGAGCCGACTGTCATCACTGGTGCGAAGGACCAGATGTTGATCGCTCAAGAAGAGACATTTGCCCCGGTCATGGCCCTGTTCGAATTCGACACTGAAGAAGAAGCCGTGAAACGCGCCAACGACACCAGTATGGGACTTGCCAGCTACTTCTTCACGAAGAACATTGACCGGACATGGAGACTGCTTGAGAATCTCGAGGCGGGCATGATAGGTATGTTTTCGCTCTTGATGTTGGCTCTCTGTGATCTCAAACTAACACTTGATAGGAATGAACACTGGCAACTCCTCCGCGGCGGAGGCTCCATTCGGTGGCATCAAGGAGTCCGGATATGGAAAAGAGAGCGGCAAGGATGTTGCCATCAAGGAGTACATGGTAAGACACGCCCCGTTGAGATTTTTTGAAATCGCTCGCTAATTGTTTTGCTACAGATTACCAAGACTGGTACTCTCACGCTCAGTGACCACTATTAGATTGCTCCGATGAAGTTGTCTTGTAGCTCAAGGTCTCTGGCGAACATTAGTGGCAACCAGATAAATCACTCGCATACCGCAGAATATCACCTAGCAACCACTTCCCAACCCGGAGGAGGGGTGCGCTACGTGGGTGAGATTGTGCCATTTCTCAATGCGAAGCGCAACATTGTTTCAGCTATCTTCTGGGTATCTCCAAGCCAGCAAAGCTCTTCCCAACTCCTGCTCTCCACGCAGCGTTGCACCAAATGTGTAATAAATCGATGGGGGGTATCATAAAGTGAAAGTCATAAGAATCATGTAGTGAAGGTCCTCCTGCTTTGTCAAAGATCTTTCTGCCGCCTTTGTTGATGAATGTCATCTTTCACCATCTTCGTAGTGGGGACCCTCTTCGTGGTGGACCTCGCAAGTGCGAGTTTGCTGGATGAACATGTGCTGCGATTCATGACTYCCACCAGAATGCAGGCTTGTCAAGGGTTTTGGTGGGGCTGATACAAGGGTGACGTTCTTGCCATAACTTCCTAAGAACCCAATATCATCAGCTTCACTCCCAAGCGGCGTGATGGCGATCAAACGCAAGGTTCTGCTTGCGCAGAAGCCCGGCATCTGTCGATCGATGCTTACCTTGACTCCCGGCAGGAGAGGGCTGTTTCGATGCTCTTCGACTACTCCTCTTGCCTCCCGAGTCCACGGGATTGGTGTCGTGGCTGTGCTGACCGTACCCACTGATGCCTTGCGTGTCATGCGTTCCCCACCCTGTATTGAAAGCCTTGACGAAAGGTTTCRGCGTTGGCATGGTGGCAGCCATCAAACCATAATGCATCTCGACGTTCATGCAAATGAACGGTATGACACCGTTGAGTAATGGCTCGGCTGAGCCGATCGCATTGGCGAGAAAGTGTACTCGAAGAATTGCTGCGGCAACGACGCTGGTGAATGTTAGCGAGTGCAGTAAGAGCGATGGGCGTTGATTATCTCACGGCAACCTAAGCCCGAAGACTGCTACGACAGTCAACTTCCTTGACAGACTTGTTTTGAGATTCCATACGAGCCACACTGGCAGTGCGAACAACAGTGCCTCGATGATGACATTGAAAGCCGTGATGACTTGCCACGCAAGAAGCTAGAGTCTTGTTAGTGCRGATTCACATCCAGACAAGAGTGGCGGCATACCAAGTTCCCGCATGAATCTCCGCCAGTGATGTCCCAAGGGGTGTGGTTCGTACATCGTACTGCCTCTGCTACGAAAGAACCTAGTCCCCACAGGCAGGATAGCGCGAGAACAGCATAGCATGCGTATACGCGGCTGTTCGGTCGTCAGCACTCCCTTCGATCGTCTGCAGGCAGGTCGCGCACCTTCTGAGAAACACTATACGCGCCAACAAGAGTGCGACCGTGCACTTTGTGAGCGCGTTTGTGATGATATATAGTAGCTGTGCAGCGTATATAGCCTGGAAGTTACAGTCAGCTTTGGAAAGCATTGCACACTCCCACTGCATTCTTGAGCCTCGCAGATGAGCGCCAATCTCGTTGGATGATATTTACCCTTGAAGCCTTTAGTATCTGCCCGTCCGTCAAGAGCTCGAGAGCCTTGCCAAATCCAAAAGATATCGCCGAGCTGAACACGACCATTTGCACAACACCGAACACCTAACAGAGCGTCAGTATGTGCCAAATCGCTGCATCTGTTTGTGCTTACTGTAGCAACGCTGCAGACGATATCATCTATCCCAAATGGTCCCGAGACGGTATATCGCATGAAGATTCGCACAATGAAGCATAGCACTACCCATGTAGCCATCAGAGTACATATCGTTAATGCAATCCCGCCGTGATCCTTATCCGTGGTTGTAAAGTTCCGCGGTCCTGAATCGAGATCTGGCAACTGTGGAGGACCAGGAGCGTCAGACATGGCGTCTGCGCCGCTACCTGCGTAGTTTCTAGCTGTGTCGAAGCGAGGCCGTCGAGAACGGCAAAGCCCACAAGGCGCGGCTGCTAGTTGAAGAAGGACGAGGTGAAGTGCAGCGTGGTCGGCTCGCAAGGGTGCAACCGGGCGAACCCGGTGCTCTCAATCCTAGGGGGGCGACGAACCCTCCGTGTGAGGAGTCGTGTGTCGTGCCATGCAAAATTGAGTCGCTAGCTCGCCGAGCACAACGTGGTAAGACGAGATTACCAGACCTCCCCAGCCAGGTTCCACGCTCGCCTGGATAGCAAGTCGTTAAAATAGAATATGAGACAACCGCCGTACCACGTTGTGCCTGATCAGTCCACTAGATAAGCTGATGATGGGCGTGAGTTCTCCAGGTTTGCGCATCTCAGATTCCGATGGCGTATCGAAATAGGCTTTTAGGCACAAAGAGTGATCGACTTGAGATCCGGAAGAGGAAGGCCGGGGGAACCAAGTGATACGCAGGGCAGCACATGGCGTTCGACCATTGGACAAGCCCGGATGTGTCGGCGTTGGGAGCCCCGCCTCTGTAACTTGCAGTGACTTTTACACGTGCGTGCAACAATGTAACAACCGTCAGCTTCCAATTTCTGATGAAGCGGCGGCCACATCAACAAAAGATCTGCACGCTCTCATGCTTGCAGGACGGCTTCATCAGCGCTCGTAGTTTCTTTCAGAAGTGGATTCAACCGAGCGAGATGGTATCGGGAGCTTCCTTCATCTTCATCGCACAGATCGCTGCGTCGTCAATAATAAACTTCGGAGGTGGACAGAACAAGAGTTTCCCACCCTAGTAGCAGATCCGGATGGTGGCGTGGGTGGGCCTCTTGCAGCACTGTCGGCTTAGAAGGTGGCATGCTTGCTCAATACTTCAATCATTGCTTGCCCTGCATCGGCTCACCACATCTTCTTGCTCGCTGACCCGATCAGAGCATTGAGAGCGTCGCGTGTCGCGTTTTGCATCCCTCCCACCCAAGATCCAACCATGGAGATGTCGCAAAGAAGCCATTACGAGATGGACGCCAAAGCCAGCTCGACGCAAATCACCATGGACGACGAGGTGGATCACAACCTCTCTCCAGAGAAGGCCGGGACTAGACTAGACCAGATGGATATGCGACGGATGGGTAAATCGCAGGAGTTTCGTGTAAGAAAGTCGCGATTGTAGAGAAGATATGTGCTAACATTGGATTGTAGCGAAACTTCAGTTTCGTAAGTTGATGCGTTTTGATCGCGAGAGCGATAGCTCACAGAAGATTCAGATACCAATCTTTGGCTTTGCAGCAGTGTTGATGATGACGTGGGCTTCTATTATGAAGTGAGTACTCTTCCTAGATCTGCGATTGCATCAGTCACTGATGTTCCATAATAGCTCCGTGAGCTACATTCTTCCAAATGGAGGGCTTCCGGCACTCATCTGGATATACATTGTAACTCTCTTTGGTTTCGGATGTGCAATTCTGTCAATGGCAGAAATGGCATCGATGGCGCCGACTTCAGGTGGTCAATACYACTGGTGAGTTGATCCTATGTCGCCGTCTGGATGAAAGAGCTAACGTGCAGAAAGGGTTTCCGAATTCGTAAGAATGCAGGTGCCGTGATTCTCCACAGAATACTTTGCTGACAATCTCTCAGGCTCCAAAGTCCTTCCAAAAAGTACTCAGCTACGTTGTTGGTTGGTTCTGCGTTCTCGGGTGGCAGGCCGGTATAGCTGGGCAATGTTTCACAGTCGCAAGTCAAGTGCAGGGTCGGTGTTCGGCGATGAAGATTGAATAGAGACGTAAGAAGACTGACCGTTCGCAGGAATGATTATCCTCAACGATATCAAGTACAAGCCCCGACCATGGCATGCTACGCTGTTGACAATAGCCACGGCCACAGTTGCCGTCATGTTCAACAGCTTCTTTGTTCGAAAGTTGCCTCTCATAGAGGGCCTGGTCCTCGTACTGCTTGTGTTCGGTTTCTTCGGCGTCTTGATCCCGCTTTGGTTTGTCCAGCCCAGCAGTATCTCCACACGCAAGCCAGAGCTGATAATTTAAAGGGTCTTCGCGCCTAAGCACTCCAGCAGCGATGTATGGCTCAACTTCACACAGGTGTCCGACTGGCCATCGATGGGCACCGCTACCTTGGTCGCCTTCACAGGGCCCATCTACGCGCTGATTGGTCCCGACTCGGCTGTCCACATGGCTGAAGAGGTCAAGGATGCTTCCAGGACGATTCCCTGGGCGATGGTGTCCACATTGATCCTGAATGGTTTCACAGGTCTGGTCATGGCCATCACCTTCGCCTACTGTCTAGGTCCAATCGAGGCAGCGCTATTGCCAAAATACAACTTTGCGCTGATCGGGACCTTCTWCAACGCCACTCAGTCGCACGCCGGAGCAACGATCWTGACTTGCATTGTGACCACTCTGGCTCTTTGCTCTGCCATCAGCAACGTCGCCACGGCAAGTCGGCAGATGTTCGCCTTTGCGCGCGACCACGGGCTACCTTTTGCGAGATTTCTGTCTCACGTACGGCCTGGGTGKGACATTCCTCTCAACTCAGTCATAGTGTGCTTCTGCTGCACGGCACTCCTATCGCTGATCAACTTGGGAAGCACAGTGGCTTTCAACGCCATTCTCTCCATTGGAGTTGGTGCGCTCCTGACCTCGTATATGACTTCCATTGGATGCCTTCTTCTCAAGCGAATCCGGGGCGAGGAGTTGTTGCCGCGCCGCTGGAGTCTGGGAGTTCCGTTCGGATGGTTCTGCAATACTGTTGGCTTTGTGTATGTTGTGATTGCCTTCATCTTTGCATTCTTTCCCATTGGGAATCATCCAACACCAGAGTCGATGAATTGGGCTTGCGTGATATATGGAGCAGTTGGGATTCTAGCGACCATTTATTATTGCTTCTGGGCAAGGCACATTTACGTGCCGCCTGAGTCGCGTTTAGCCAAGGACTTGTAGTGGTCTGGCTTATGGATCTGGGACATAGTTGATTGCAATTGAAATGTACATTGACGATTTCATCCCTGTGCTCATAAAGACCCTTGCTAAGAAATATCCATGATCTCGGAACTTCCCTGTGTATTGCATGCGTGTGTTGAACTGGTGATCATCGGAACCATGAAAATCTGAGGATTTTTGGATGAAAGTGAGAGGTGGAATAAAAGGATGAAGTCGCAGAGGAAGGAGAGCTAAAATGTTAGWCGTACATGGATCAATAGTCCTTGATTCCTGTCGTCCACCCCATCGGTGCCGATGCATGATCTATGTCGAGAAGCGCTATGATATTTGCGATTATTGTCTGCACGACCTGTTCCTGTTCCTGTTCCTGTTCCTGCGTGACCGACCATCAGCCTTACCGGACTTTTTAGGTTCGATAGAACTACTCCAAGCCCGCTTTAACCTGACAAGTCACCTCTCGACACGCACCTCAGTACAACATCAGTCATGTGGCAGTACGCATAACATAAGCCCCCATACGCGACACGCTCAAACATCACTGACACCCTCACAGAGCATACCGTAACCTCTCCCCTCGCACGCGACTCTTCATCGGAGGAGGCGTCATCCTATACGCCGGGTTCGGACTCTTCCTCTCGGATAAAGCAGAGCAGACATTCGGGTTCACACCTTCTGAAGAGGATAAACAGAAACTACGCGAGGCTGTTCCTAAGATTCACTTTGTGGACAAGGATAAATAGCTGTGGAGAATGTAGCATGCATGCAAGTCATTGATAAGCCGGTTGGGGGTCTTTTGAGACGGGGAAGAGTAGCTTTAGAGCCAACGGATGGTGGATCTTGATGGTATGGCTCGCACGATGGCCGTAGGACAAGACTATCACTATCACACTGCGCCAATTGAGGGGAAGTGGGTATACAGACGGCATGTTTGTCGCAGTACTGGTCTGCGGGGTGGCATTTTAATTGCATCTGCCAATGGTGCACAGCCATGCTCTACGGCCTTTGCACACGCGCCGAGTCCCTCTCCGACGTAAGTAAACTCTCCGACGACTTGAGGTATGCCAAGCTGACAGGTTCATAGGTAAACGTGCAGAATGAGAGGACACGGCAGAGGCAGAGGGGCAAGAGATTTCCACATTACCATCGTGCAGGTCCAGCTTGAGTAGAAAAGTCCGCAAGACCATCTTGTATTCTGCCAATCCTGCAGAGCATACCTCGCATTGAAAGGTGTTGCCACCACGTGATTGAGTGTGGGCGACTGCAAAATGAATCATCACGAGCTTTCACTGACACAACAGGAGTTACAAGCAACTGGAATCATCAACTTCATAGATCGTATCAGTAAATGCCTCATGTAATGCTGGATCATGTTTTCAAAGATTTTACAAAATGAATCGCTCAAAAGTACACTATTTTCCCAGATCTACAACTTGCTCTTGCCGTTGATAGAATCAATGTTTGACTTGAATGTGTTGACAGCACCCTGCACAAACTCATCGACAATAGCCTTCGCAGACTTCTTCTCATTGACGACAGCCGCGGCCTTGCCCATGAGGAATGGCCGTGCGTTGTCCATGGTGTCATCGTCGACATCGTCGCCGAGACGCTCCATGTCCCACTCAACGGGAATGTGGCCCTTGGAAGTGAGGTCCTTGATTTCTTGCTGTCGGTTCTCCTCCCAGTTCTTGATGTATGGGTTGTTGCGCACACGAAGTGGTCGTCCAGTGAAGATGATGGTACGGACATTGTCATCGAAGCCAGCGGTTCGGACGGCTTCCTGGTGAGCACGGGGAGCACCGGCTTCCTGCATATTTGTTAGTGGCTGATCAGCGGGAGAATTCTGAGGATAAGCTTACCTCTGCAAGAATGAAACGAGTACCGACCCAAACAGCGCTGGCGCCGAGTGCAAGCGCAGCGGCAAGACCCTGACCGWTGAAGATACCACCGGCGGCAATAACCTGCACGGGCTGGCCGGTCATCGGGCTCTTGTGACCCTTGCAAAGTGCGGCAACTGCTGGGATGAGAACGGTAGTTGGCACATCTCCTGTGTGACCACCACCCTCACCACCCTGTGCGCAGATCATGTCCGCACCGAGCTCGAGACACTTCTTAACGTGCTTGGGGTGTCCGATCATGTTCATGTAGAGAACGCCGGCCTCGTGGAGACGGTCAACAGCGGACTTTGGTGGAACACCGACAGCGGAGACGAAAAGACGGGCACCGGACTCGATGGTGATCTCAATCAGCTCGTTGAGCTTTCCCTTTGTGTAATCGTAGCTGTGCAGGTGTCGTGTTAGAATCCTCCGTTGTTTGCCACGCTCCAATCTGAACATACTTGGTCTTRCGAGCACTGCCACCGACCTGAGGAAGCAGAAGATCAACACCGAATGGTGCATTCTTGTCCTTGAGGTATCCCTTGAGCTCGGCAATCTGCTMCCGAAGCATGTCGGGTGTGTATCCAACACCTCCAATAACACCGATGCCTCCAGCGTTGGTAACAGCGGCAGCGAGCTTAGGACCAGCGGCGACGTTCATGCCGGCAAGCATGATTGGGTGGTTGATCTTCAAAAGATCGGTCGTGACCGTGCGGATCTGCTCTGCAGACCTGTCAGCAAGATGTTTTCCCAGCGGTGGTTTGGTAGGGGCGGCTTACGAGGGGATGAGTCGGCCATGGTTGCTGGTTCAGATGAGGAATAATTTGCTGTTTCTTTGGTGCCGTAGGCTGTGAAGAGATGATGTGTCAAAGAGAGATGGCAAGAAGTTGGTGAGACAATTGAAATAGACCGAACGGAGGGCGGACAACCAGCACATGTGATTACCTAGAGCAGAGCCTCGGATTCCAGAAACACCTCGGCTGCGGCTGCATGCGGACCGTGCGGGCGCTTCATTGGTGAGTTGGCGCATTCGTGGCAGCATTTCTACAGCAAAATGATATTCATGTATGTGGACTCGTCGTGTCGAGCTCCTGCTGTGTCCGGAGAGATCTAAATGTCATTCGGTGCTGCTTGAGGGTGTAAGTTGACAGCCGTGCGGAGATGGGATGAAATGATCATCGCGAGACCAATTTTCCGAAAGTGTACGGCGCGTTTTTAAGAACAACTCTGCAACAATCCTTTTAGGCGATAGTGCGACGCTAGCATTACAGGGTATTAGAGCCTCGGTAATTGAAAGTGTATTCCGTACAATAAGTAACAAGTAGCGTAATTTAATGTGCGCGTGCAATGTCCTCGCTTTCCTCCTTTATTTAAGTCTACGATACCTAAGTAATAATAGTAAGGATAAAGTAAAGGTATAATAGCATTACGCGGGCAGCTATATAACTCTTTATATAGGTAAGTAAGATCTCTAAAAGAGCAGCAGGATAAAGACCTACTGCTCTTTTAGCGACTCTTATTAACACCTAAANAGCTATATAACTCTTTATATAGGTAAGTAAGATCTCTAAAAGAGCAGCAGGATAAAGACCTACTGCTCTTTTAGCGACTCTTATTAACACCTAAATACTAATATTAACACCTACTACTCCTACTACTATACTACCCCTTTACTATTTACCTATATCCTCCTCCCTCCTCTATACTATCCGTATAAAAGCCTAAGAAGGCGAAGAAGCCTAAGTTGCTATACCTATAGCTAGGTTATATCGATACTACGAAATACTAGAGGCCTAGAACTTTCCCTAAGGATCCGGATAATAATAGCGAATACGGATATTTTAAGTAGAACTTTATAAGAGTATAAGCTAGGAATTTAACACTTTAAGAGTAGCGCTAACCCGTATAATAGCTTAAGAAAATAGGATTCTCCCTTAACCGCGAGTAGAGGGAGATAATAGCTAAGCCTGCTACTAAGCACGTCGAGATCTATAATAGCTTTACTAATAGGATCGATAACATCCGAGACCGTCCGAACTACGTCGACGCCTTTTTAGTTACGAGCCGGTCTGTATAATCCTATTAGAGAATTATTAAAGTATAATAGCTAATAATATCGTAGTAGAATAATATTAACTAAGGAGGAGTATTACGGAGATTATAAGGAGCGGAAGGACTACGATAGCAATATAATTAAAAACCTAGGGCTATTTCTAGTATATTTCCTGCCCGTATAAAGGTGTTCGACGCTAACGAGAATAGCGCTGCACAATCTAGCGTAGATATTTAAACTTAGCCTATAGTAACTATATCTAGTAGGGAACTAAGAGTACCTACTAGTATAGCGATAGGATAGCTAGCGAGAGAGCCTATTAGGAGAGGCTAAAGGCGTATAATAGCAGACTAGAGAACATACGCTAGCGACCTAAGCGCGGAATAATTACGAGCATAGCTACGGATAATTAGTTAAAGGGTCTACGTTTAGGAAAGGACAAGTAGTCTCGTAGGTCTCGGAGCAAGTCTTAGGGTCGGAAGGGATAAGGTATAGAGAATTAGTACTCTTCTTTCTTCTATATAATCTCGATTTTAGCTATTACAAGTTCGTAATAGGAGCTTAGTATAATATTATAGTAATATTATAGTTCCTTCCTAAATAGGAAAGTTTCTACTCTTTTTATTAAATTATATATTCTATTATCCACTCTACTCGCGGACTATTATACTAGCTACTTTTATTTAAAAGAGTAGTAGGATAAATACCTACTGCTCTTTAAGCGACTCTTATCTAAATATATATAAAGGAGAGGTACTAAAGAGTAAGGCATAATAAAAGTAAAAGCGTAATAAGGCAGGTACGTAAGTAGCTATATAACTCTTTATATAGGTAAGTAAGATCTCTAAAAGAGCAGCAGGATAAAGACCTACTGCTCTTTTAGCGACTCTTATTAACACCTAAA